CCTTGATACCGAATGTAGGACCCTGGCTGGGCTGGCGAACATTGGCAAAGGAGATGCGGTTGAGGTGTGCACCCAGGGCCTGGGTAAGTCCCAAGGTAGTAGTAGACTTACCCTCTCCAAGGGGAGTAGGGGTGATACCGCAGACGAGAATGTATCTTCCGTTGCGGCGGTGAGAAAGGCGGTCCAACAGGCTCAGGCTGATCTTGGCCTTCGTGTGGCCATAGGGCTCCAGCTCGTGGGAAGCAATGCCAATCTCGGAAGCAACCTGGGTGATGGGCTTGGGATACTGAGCGCGCGAAATGGCAATGTCTGAGGGGACAGGGGTTTCAAGACGGATGGGAAGAGGAACAACACGACGGTCCTTCTGCTTCTCAAAGTAGCTCTTGGCGGAGTGGACCACGTTCTTCAGCAACATGGCTACAGTCATGGGACCAACACCACCGGGGACGGGGGTGATTTGCGATGCGACCTGAGCAGCGGACTCGAAGTCCACGTCACCGACCAATCGCTCGCCAGACTTCTTGGTGGCATCAGGCTTGTAGTTGATACCCACATCAATGACAACAGCACCGGGCTTCAACCACTCGCCCTTGACAAGCTCGGTCTGACCAATGGCGGCCACCACAATGTCGGCGGTCTTCACGATACGCGCGATGTCGGGTGTCTTGGAGTGGCACACGGTGACTGTGGCATCGGCGTTCTTCAGCAGGTAGCTGACTGGGCTACCAACGATATCGCTACGTCCGAGAACGACGGCCTCCTTGCCTGCGGGGTTCACGCCACTGGCCTGGAGCAACTCCATAACGGCCAAGGGAGTGCATGGGGTGAACAATGGGCGACCGCCCCGCTTGGCAAGCTCACCGATGTTGATTGCGCCGAATCCATCAACGTCCTTCTCGTCTGCAACGGCCGAGGTAACAGCATGCTCTGACATGTGGCTTGGGATGGGCAATTGGACGAGGATACCGTGGATTGCGGGGTCATTGTTGGCTCTGGTGATCTCTTGGATGAGCTGCAGCTCGGTGCTGGATTCGGGGACATTGATCAGGGTGCAGATAATGTTGGCCTAGTCACTGTCAGCACAGGCCCTTCGTATGAATACAGTCAGACTGGGAGTCCTACCTCCTGCGCGGCCTTCAACTTCATGCGCACATAGGTACCTAGTGATTATTAGTCCAGCGCACGTCTGATACTAGCTTCTGGGCCAACCCACTGGAATCGGAACGGTTGCCGACTGTGCAGAAATGTTCGGTTAGTCTCATTCACCACTTTCAATCATCACGGAATCGTCTCTGGGGGCAAGTACCTTGGAAGATAACCAGGTTGGGCTTGAATCTGGGGTTTGTCACTTGGACCTGCTCGATCTCGGTCTTGAGGCCCTGGCGAATGCTCTTCGCGATGGCTGTGCCATCAATTTTGGCAGCCATTGCTAATCCGTGAAAAGTTCGAAGGAGAGGAAAATTGACGGATTCAATTGACCTGGGCCTGACTCGGTAGTTATAAGAACTCGGGGAAGAAATAAATCGGAGAGAAGGGCCCGCATGCACTTGGAGAAAAGCACAGCGGGGTAGGGCAGCGGGGACGAGTGGCATGAAATATTGCTTATTTGGGAGGGCGAACCCTTCGTTATCGGATGCTTAGGCGGTCCTCACATGTGTTGGTGTTTTCGATGATTGTTAGTACTCCCGTACTTCGTGCTCAGTCTCCGTTCCCCGTATACACACGTTCTATTTTCTTCTCGTTCCCCTCACAGTCTCTCGTAAATATCGTGCGGAGAGCCGGGCAGTTTTCGGGGACTCCTTGAAAGCCTCCGGATGTTGATGCCTGAGGCTTTGGGGATGTCTTAACCCAATTGGGCCTAGCGCTTAGGGCAGCCGGTCACGTGAAGATTAAGGTACACGGCCGGATAAACCAATCCTCCGGAGCGGTCTTGGCGCTGAGGGCCGAGTGTGCGATGAAATTCACTAGTCAAAGAAAGTGAGGTTGACGAGGTGAACCCCCCCCCAATAGCCACTCCGCCTTCATCCCCTCTGAGCCGAGCCTCTCAGAATTTTCCCCCTCCATCCCGGCCGTTAAATCGCATCAAACTTCAAGATGCGTCCTATCTTGCTTTCCGGCCATGTGCGTTGCTCCCCTCAAATTCTTGCAGGATCCACAGAAAACTGACCGCGGGCATCTATACTATAGGAGCGGTCTTTGACCCAGATCAAGTTCAACAGCGATGGCGATCTTCTGTTCTCCACCTCCAAGGATAAGATTGTGTGCGCGTGGTGGTCCGCCAACGGCGAGCGTCTCGGAACATACAGCGGTCACCAGGGTGCTGTCTGGACAGTCGACGTCAGCCCCAACACTACTCTCCTCGCCACCGGTTCTGCCGACAACACTGTACGCCTATGGAACATCAAGACCGGCGAGTGTGTGAAGGTGTGGGATTTCCCCACAGCCGTCAAGCGCGTGGCATTCTCCCCCGATGGTGGCCGACTTTTGGCAGTGACAGAAAAGCGTATGGGTTTCCTCGGTACAATCGCAGTCCTCGACATCAACTACGGCGAAAACCTCACCGAGCAGGCTGCCGAGCCCAGCCTGGTCATCACCTGTGAAGACAGCAAGGCAACTGTTGCCCAATGGAGTTTCCTCGCCAAGTACATTCTTGCTGGACACGAAGACGGCAGCGTCAGCCAGTACGATCCTAAGGTACGACTCTTTCGAAGCTTAATTGAGCTTTTTCCGCCCGATTCCACCACCAAATACTAATTTTGATATTAGACCGGAGATATCGTCGAGAACATCCAGATCCACGAATTCGACTCCGCAATCACCGATCTCCAGATGTCCCCTGACAGACTCAGCTTCATCACCGCGTCCAAGGACAAGTCAGCCAAGGTAGGCCTTCCACCCGGACCACAAACCAATTCCAAGCGCTAATCCCGTACAGCTCATCTCCGCCCGCAACCTCGCCATCCTCAAAACCTACACCACCGACACCCCCCTCAACACCGCAAGCATCACACCAAAGAAGAGCTTCGTCATCCTTGGTGGTGGTCAAGCCGCCATGGATGTCACCACAACCTCCGCCCGCCAAGGAAAGTTCGAAGCCCGTTTCTGGCACTCCGTTGTCGGCGAAGAAGTCGGCCGTGTGAAGGGTCACTTCGGTCCCCTCAACACCATCGATGTCCACCCCGCAGGTACCGCATACGCCTCTGGTGGTGAGGACGGATACGTTCGCGTCCACCACTTCGACAAGTCATACTTCGATTTCTTGTACGAGGTTGAGCGGGAGCACCTGCGCGAGCAGGCACGGAAGTAAAGAGATGTGATGTTTTTTACGAGGCGAAAAGGCTCAGAGATGATCTCTGAGTCACGCATACGGAGTGTTCCGTTGCACGATTTTTTCTCATTTCATTGATTCCATGATCAATCGGAGTTGGTACCTTGTGTTATTGTCTTTGTTTAATAAAAAGATGACATGGTTCAGATTTTTTGAGCTCTTGTCTGTCCAATTTGCTGGTCTGCAGCAGGAGAGATTAAAATCAGGTAAATAGACAAATTCAAACCTTTGCAAATCTTCAATCGCGAAAGGTCTCCGGGTTCATCCATGGAGTTGAACATCGGGATTGTTTTGGGGCATCTTGGGTATCACAACAGCGAGAATCAATACTCCATTCCATTGAGATGGAGCCTTGCCTCCAGGGCTGGATTTTGTTAGCTCCAGATGTACTCAAATACTCTATGTCCTTATGCAACATACTCAATTGTCCCAATTCTACATTCACAGTACTGTTTCTATTCGCAGGTTCAATTTCTCTCTTAAATCCCCTTCTTCCAGTGCATTCTTCCAATGCGGCGGACATGGACCTTGGGATGCCTATGTTTGTTGAATACAATAGGCACTTCATGCATCCCAATGAGACAATACTTCCACAAGGCTTCGGGCGTTCTAATAATGTGATAAAACGTGATATTAAATCCAGTTCCTACTTAGGTACGGGATAACAGTAAACAGAAAGTCCCCTGGCCTGTCTACAGGCGTATGCTTATAGACAAAGATCAAGAGCACAAGTAAACCTACTTCAATCATTTCTTGTTACTGTGCTCTCGGAAGAAATCCTCAGCTTTAGTCCAAGCCAAATGAGGATATCGGTCGTTATCCAACGGCTCCAGCTTCCCAGCACCAGAGAACATATTCACCATATACTGCATGCCCTGCCAGGCAGGAAAGATATCATTCTCGCCCCCAAAGAAGCGCATCACACGAATCATAAACTCCACTGAACCAACGGTACCCATCCACGAAGGCGAGTACGTCACACCCTCAACATTGCTCTGTGCCTGAGCAATCTCTTCCACGTTAAGTGTATGACTGGCAATGCGAAGGAACTTAGGTGTAGGGTTTGGATCAACAGCCACCTCTGCCGTATACGCAGCAGTATCAACCATAGTAGTGAAATCAAGAAGTTGCGTCGTTGAGCCAATATACGCAATCTTCCGACTCTTATGATTAGTTTGACGACTCAGTCGGTATGACAAAGAAAAAAAAGATAGTATTCAACAATACGATCCCGGTACATTTAGGTATCTTTACATACTTATCTGTGCAACACTTTGGGTCGAAGCTTGGAAAAACCACCCAGAACTCGGTCAAAAACTGAGTTTTGCGGAGGTCTAGATTCAACAAGTCATAAATGAACGCGTAACTATACTGTAGGATGTATGCAAATAGACGTCATCAAATTAGGAGCTGTTGTACAACCTAGGTAGCCAAATGGTGTGTTCTGATTGATCGAGATTGCCGCATATTTATCCACTACTTACCTCACAACTTACCTGCTTGTAAATACTTATATCTCGGATTCTCTCTTCTTCGACTCTCAAGGATCAAAACATCTTTTACTGCTTGGTAATCGTTCTTCACTTTTTAAATTCGATCTTGTTTTCTGATTCTAATTTTGCTTCTGTTTTTATGTTAATTCTTTTTCTTCGGCCCCAAATCTCCGTCCAACATGTCTACAGATAACACAGCTGCTGCACTTCAGGTACCTGGGATTTCAGATGTGAATGCACTACACAGTGAGAGAGAGACTGAGAAGAGCAGCCCCGCGGGGGCGAAGTTTCCAGTTGAATACCTCATGCGTGTGAGGCTTGCGGGTACTCTTGGATCTGATATCCCACTGTATGATAGACAAGTTGGGGAATCGGATTTATGGAAAGAATTCTATCCCTTGAAAGGGGAGGAGTTTGACTACGCAAAGGAAGACTACTGGATCTTTAGTGTTCATCTGCATGACGCTGAGATGAGCATTCAAATCGGTGGGGAGGATCCTGTCCTTGCAACTTCTGCCCCCAATTGGCGCAGCGTTAGCGACTTTAGGCAGACAAACATCGGCTTCCCGGAAACGCAAAACTCTCGTGGTCAGTTTATAATCGGTGAAGCTAGGTTCAATTTGAAGTGGCAACGGTACGTTGCCGTTCGGGCTCCGAAGGCAACCAACCCAGCTGTCACTGTCAGAGGCATCGGCCACTACGCATCACTCAACTGGGTTGGCTTGTTTGTGAAGCGAGGAGCCGACGACATGAACGAGTTTATCGCACTGAAGACCAACTGCATGTTGCTGCCTCAATATGCCAAGTCAATTGAGAAAGAACCATGGTACGATGAGCGATGTGGTGCAGATGTGACAGATCGTTTTCTCTCAATGTATCCGAAGCAACTTTACGGATCTGATGGCATCAATCAGAAAACATATGACCTGTTTGTTACCCAAAATCCTAGCGACAACCTAGGTCTCAAGCACTACCTTGAGGTCATGAGGAAGGTAAGTTCTGACGCTTTCTACGATTCCCCTTGCTAACTCAACTCTTCAAAATGAAAGCTACGTTCGCCAGTAACTAAGGGTGTCCGGGAGCATCAGCTGGTCTATACGTGGAATGCTGATGATACGACTGAGATTTATATTAAGCGTATTGTCGATGGCTTCAGTCACCTGTCCAGCTTTGACTATTGCACGGGGCATGCGTCACAAAGTACAACCGGCAGTGGCTGGGCAATATTGGTCGCACTTCTTGGAACAACCGCCAGGGTTGTTACAGGCCTTGTCTCTGGAAACCTTGTCCCGGTGGTGAATGCGATTGCAGATCTTATGGATCATGATGACAACAAATCTGCAGTCGATGCCAGGGGCTTTATCACAGCGTTGGTAGAGCTTGGGCAAACAGTGAAGCCCCGCAAGAAAACAGCAAACACGCTTAGTTTCAAAGAGCTTGAAGCCAAAAAGGATAGCGTTGTGCTCAGTGATTTCGGCTGTGAAGGTTATTGAGAGAGCACAGCGAGAGAAAGAGACTGAACCGAGAATTAATTGCGAGGGAGAGAAGAAGGAAGAGAGAGAGACGCTAAGAGGCTGCGAGCTATCTACTATTTTGGGGTTGGGCGAACTTCCTACACAACAAAGGTGACGGAGAAAATGAAGGATAAATTGACATGTTGACCCATTGAATCTGATTGACGATCCCCTACGGCGTACTATTTGACTGGCTCTTCTCTGCGACTCATCTGCCGATTTCGATTCCCTCCTACTGTTAATTCTTTACTCTGGTCTGGATTTTTACTTCGGTGGTCCATGAATAACGGGCGACCCTGCACACAGGTCACTGAAGGATCCGAAATGGCCAGGACCACCCTATATCTTGATCATTTTGCGGACTGAATTTTGTTTTCAAAAGTGCTACTTTTCGCGTCCTTGAATACAAGGAATTGCCACTCATTCAAGTTGTATGTATGTACATACTCTTAAATCCAGATTCACAATGCCTATTTTGGCGGGTACTTAAGTAATTGTTACGCACGATTAACTGGTCGTCGTTATGTTGGTAAGAATCGGGAGATATTTCTCTGATATCCTGCAGACTCCCAACCGTCAACGATCTGTCTCTCAACTGTAATGTTGCCAAACAGGTCTTAGACTGGCTAAGTTCTTTCGAGGGTATCAAGGAACGATCCCAGGTAGTGTGCCGAATAAATCTACACCGAGGTGTCGGGCGATTCGTAGTGTTTGTCAAGTTATAATCAAGTAAAGAGTCTCTGAAATTCTAAATGTATTCACAAGTAACAATGTATGATTGAAGACGAAGAACTCAACTAAATACATTAATGAATGTCCTTATACTTAAGTATATCTCTGGGTTCTTCCTGTGTAGATGAGTAAATGGTAGAATGTTGGAATCGTCTTGACGAAGTCTATCCTTCGACCATGGATCCTTCTACTTAGACCTCGCCAAACGCAGGTTTGGGTTGGGGTTTCAATTTCCTTACCCGCTCACAGGCAGCCCACCGCGGGTTTTGGCCTTGTTGAACCTGCCTATAGGTTCTATCCGGGTACCCGCGGGTTGCCCAAAATACCCAAAAATATATAAATAAAACGTACCTAGTGAGATGGGAAGAGCGCGATGGCGGTCTGGCTTCGTAGACAGGAAGACGGGGGTGCAGTGCTGGCAGACGGTCATCATAAGAGGAGACCCAAGGGGTGGTAAAATGGAGAAGAAGGGGTCTCCAATTGCTAGAACTGCGCGAGAGCGCCATATAAAGATGACAATCAGTTTTTAGTACGGCAGACATCGATATAGCTATATCAATAAAGTCACCAAGAACAATTTCAGCACTGTATAAGCTATGACAGACCAGGATCTGCTCTGATAGAGGAGCTCGATCAATATACATCGAAACAATACTTAAGTATACATGGAGTTATACAAACAAATGGAAACATACACCAGACCACAATATTTGCAATTGATATGTTGTATGCGATATGTATTTTCCGTCCGCGAATGGGAGAAGCTATTGTGTATTTCAATAGATTAGGAATTATTGAAACCCCGAGAGTAAAGCACGATGACTTGTAGAATCTCCATACTAAATAGTTCGTGGTATATTCTTATGTAAATCATTTACGACTCCAGGGCTACCCGTAGGCCTGAGGATAGGGAAAGTAGATAGCCCATGTAGTCAGCTTATAGCGTGCGTAATTCGAACATGGTGTAGACAAGTGATTTCTAGAGGTACGGCATGGAAAAGACTGTATGTAAATGAGTGAGAAGTTCTCGTGAAGGTTCGAGAACTATTATGAGGTATCTACCGCCTGGAAATTCCGGCAGAAACAGATTTAGCACGCTTGCACAGGTAAAATTAATTTTTTGCTCTAGACTTGGGGGGTTGCCTTTGAGACTGCTTTCTACTCTGGGCCAGTAGTTGAGGTCCACTTAATGAATACTACATAGCACGTCCCTAATATACAGTACTAGTACGGTTGTTACCGAGGTAGATACTATCGACGAATATGTATGAAAATCCGCACTTTGCGGATACTAGTATGAAGGATGTCCGCGGATATTGTGGATCGTGCCCTACGGAGTAATCTAACATGTACTAGTACACTTTACTAGTACAGCCAAGAACCAGGGTTTTACTAGTAGTAATACTCCCGTAATATGTGGTTATATTAAAATCACGCTCAAAAAAGAGCTATACATAAGTATGTCCAGAATCCAGATAGACAATGAATTTTTGGTAATTGGACGGCGTCTTAAGTAAGATAGTACCATTTGAAACTAGTAGGTTGGCTCGCGAAGTACGTTAAACATGAACGTTTAACCCTGTACTTTCCACGCCCCCACCAGAGGCCATCTCGAACCAAACACGTTCGGTGGGTCACCTCGGGCTGCAGCGAAGGTAATGATTTAACCACAAATCCCCTTGGATTGACCAAAAATTCTCAAAAAATGCTCAATCTACCAATCGAACTGGTGAATAAGACCTGCTCCTATCTGGAGCAACCGGAGTGGGCTGCACTCAGATTATCTTGTCGCTCTCTGTATGCAAAATCTTTGGATGCATTCGCAGATCGCTATTTCAAAAGTATTTGCTTCATTGCCACCAGTGAAGGCATTCGACAACTAGAAGAGTTGACAAACAATGAAACCATCCGAGTACGAGTCCGACATTTATGGATGATTCCGACCGTCTTCGAAGGTCACCACGGATGGAGCCTTGATGATTTCTACTTTTCTCCATATCGAGGGCCAATGAGTTACCTCAGGGCGAGTCGCCTCAGGGACAGTCGCCTCAGTGAGAATGATGATGTGCTAGTTGCTCGTTATGCGACATATCAAGCTATAAAGGCCGATAACCTGGCTCTTCTGGAGTCGAACACATTTGGCTCTAGGCTTCACGCATGCTTCGCTTCGTTCAGAAACCTCGAGTCCGTCGGGTTGAAGCATTATGCGACAGACTTTTTACTTGATATACGGCAAACAGAGGTTCGATGTCTAGGATTGCAGGAGTTGAAAAATCAAGTCCAATATGTGTCCCACCGCTCAACCTTCGATCGTCTCCGACGGCATCAGGTAGCCAAGGTCAACTCTCTGGCTTTATCGAGGATGATACAAGGTCTTAATAAATCCAACCCAAAGATCACTAAGCTAAGCACATGCGGTGCCAACTGCTGCGGCTCAACTTCTCCTATTCTTCCTCTCACCCGAGAGCAATACGATTCTCTTCTTCCCAAGCTTGAAGACCTGGAAAAACTTCATATCTGCATCTGTTACACCGAGGACGACCTAAATTGCACTCCAAATTCAATCACCTACATTGATCTTTTGATTTCTGTTGCACCTAGACTGAAAAGGCTTGTTTTCTCGCAATGGTATCGAGGTCCACGCGATTTGGAAGCACGCTACTTCTCAGAGCTCTCTCAGAGCATCAGTTTCACCCGACTGAAAGAACTTCATCTCCATTGGATACAAATTCGACTTGAGTCTTTCAAATCATTTCTGAACACCACCAAGGGGACCATGGTTTCTCTCTCACTCGATCTGGTAACCCTGCAACCTAGCGCTCTACCTTCCACTGACTACGGGCCTACTTGTTGGAGACTCCTTTGGGATTTCCTTCAGGCAGAGATGTCACTAAAACGGTGTTACATGGGACAACTTGGCTATCAGAGAAGAAAAGTGATGATTCAAGGGCCTGATGAATTAGCCGAACTGACATACACTGCTACTTATAATGCAGATGTAAACGGCATTTGTTTCAAGGATTGGATCGGGCAGCTCAAGCCAATTGTGTCAGAAGAGCTGGATTTACCAGTACGACGCTATCCAGGTTTGCAGTCCACTAAGCCCCCCAAAGCCACTGAACCTTTTCCTAATACCCATTGTCAGAATTATCTCCTATGCTTGGACGGGGCGCACCTGCTACATACCTTCGAATACGCGAGCGACCCCTCCGACCCCTCCGACCCCGCAGATTGAAACCAGAGGTCATTGAGACCACGATGATCTGCCGGCTACCAGGGGGCTCCTAGCGTACGTGATCTACTCTCACAAAACACCACAATCATTAGGAACTGAGCGTTATGCACAATCGGAAAACCTCTACATGACGTCAGTGAAGGGGTGGCGAATAACAAGCCACAGAACTGCGTATAATTGTATATCAGAATGAATAGCGCCGCGTTTTACTCGACATCACTAGGAAAAGCCCCTTTGAGGTAGTCATGTCAGCCCAGTTCAGAAACAGCAAATAGGAACAGCACATTTGTAATGTGGTAATGTGTCTTCTCCCTGCGTGAAAGCCCCAATGACTTGATCAGAAGGAATGAAAAGCCACGCGCAATCATATTGAGCCATAGTTTCTATATCGAAGATTTTACTCTCCGGCATAAATTTCGCGAGGTGCAACGAACTCGGCTTCGAAGAGAAGATTAGATGAGGAAATGCCACTTCGCAATAATCCATGGTTTATTGACAGAATGCAAGACTGGCTGGTTTTCGAGATATCTCTGTACATGATACTAGCCAGATAAATCCATAATAGTAGAGAGATTCAAATTGATAAACATCATGGCATTTCCAATTAGTCCTGAAGGGATAGCCGAGAAACCTATCCAAGATGTAAACACCGTACGATCTGAGAGTCCTATTTGAATATTTCCTGCCAAAGCAAACACACAAGGACCTCTCGGTAGGGAACATTTGTGACGAGAATCATCACAAGCCCACCGCGTCAGATCAAAACATCAAATCTTCCGGATCTATGCAAGTTCCTGTCGACCAGTCGCATTGGCTCAGATATGCACCTAAAAGGAATTATATTAGTCAACTTGACAGCTATCCAACACTTGGCAATCCAAATTTCACTCACCCACGGCCCAATACTTATAGGTGTCTGAGTAGAGAAGTTAGTTCAATTCCATGAGTCCTTCTGTGAAGAATCCTACCAGCATTTCTCCAAGCCCTGAGCTTAGAGGCATCGTCCTCGCTGTTGCCTTGCTTGGCAAGATCAACGATAGGCTCAAAGCCATAAGCCTTGGTCCCATCATCTAACGATTCATCGTCTATGCGGTAACCATTTTAGTAAAGTCTCTCAACTTGTCTCACTCCAATATTCAATTTTCACGCTTACCTTTCGCCTTGTCTTCCCAGAAATATTCCGCATGGGTCAACTCGTGTATGAAAATGCCATCCGCTGGCAATTTCGCCACGTCATCCAAGTGTTCATACTCCAAATCGGAGAGCGATCTTGCTTTCTGCACAGGAACAGGTATCGCCTCAGAGAATCTTTCCCAGCCTAATGGGCAAATGGTCATATAGTCGTGACCGTTTCGCCCGTGGACCATGAAGGCAATTGTACTGGCCTCTCCTTTATCGTTTTCACAGATGCTGTTTTGTACATTACTCTCCCTTTGGAAAGCATAGGGTTCTGCTCCATCGTAAAACTCGAAGAGGACGTCTGGAGATTTCCAAAAGTCACAATTCTATGCTATTCATTGCAATCCTTCTAGGGAGAACAAACTTACCTCCGTCGTCGTATTCGACGAACTCCCAGCCAGAATCATGGCAGATGATACGGATGTGGAAGCCGTTATTGTCAAGGCCTTCAACGTATTGGTTTGCGAATTCTGTTCAAATGTGTCTGTTTTTAGTGTCTTATGATCAATCAGTATAGCCATTGAACCACTTACGCCTCAATTGCGCAATTCGCCTTTTAGCCCTGTCCATTCCAGTGCTGTCGGTCTTCTTAAAGGTACCATACATCGCCATGTAGAAATTTATCTGTGTATTCTCCGCTGCCGAAAGATCTTCTTTCTTGCTCATCTTGTCCCAAGCCGATTCAAGTGTTGAGATAGCATCGAGCGCTCCTCTATTCTGTTGAAAGTTATCACCAAATGCCTCTTTTTTTTTTTTTTTTTTTGCCCTCTCATCAAGAAAACTTACAACTTGCAACATATGATCCAGAATCTCGGCAAACACCGCCTTGGTATTATCAGTGACGGTACCGGAGTCTCTTTTAGTCATGGACATGGCGTCAGATTCAGATCCAGATTCATCAGTTTCATCCGAACATGTAGCTGTATGCAGTGAGAATGTGTCCCAGCCAGGGATCTTTACCCATTCGCTATCGCCGGCATCACTACCATCTCTTTTTCCTGCAACAGAGCGCCTGTCATTTTCAAAGATATAGTCTGGCACTTTGAGAAGTCCTTGTGCACCATGCAGCATATCAGCCAGCAGCAAAACCTGCCCCAACATGACCAGCATGGTTGCGCTAGATCGACCGACAATCATATTGACGGTGAAAGACCTCTGAATCAGGAAATGAAAAGATGGAATGAGTGGGAAAGATGTAAAACTCCGAGACAGGGGTTTTAAGTATCTGTCAAGATGAATTTGATCTACACCGTCTTATAATGAATGCACTAGGGGTAGGCGACCAACTCGGTTACTATTTGGCATACTCTTAGTGCTCCCATTATCAATTCAATTAGTAAATTACACGGGCAAGACATGCAAATTCTCTAGACCATTTCAGCAATATGTTCCATAAAACGCTCTAGTAAATACCAGTCTATACTCGTATACATATCCGTGGCCTCCGCTATTCGACCCCGGGGTGCTAATTCACTTTGCACTAGCCTTGCTCAAGCTAAGCAGAGCGGGACTATGTATTACTGCGGTCGCGTGTATTAGCGTGGATGGCTACTATGTAGTACTCACTAGACCCGCTGTTAATTGCCAAGAGCACCGGGAGTAACCTCATGGAGATCTGGTTCCACGGTAATGAAGTGCGAACGCTAAAGTGTGCATATACGAGTACATAGTGAGTTTTGATGGCAATGTCTCAGCCGGAGAGAATGCCCAGGCGGATGGCGTCGGTAGGACCCGCTCAGAAATCATTTGAAACTAGCTTATGTTGGCGCTAATTCCCCCAGGCCCAGGCTTGTGTTTAGGGCTCGGACAGTAGCCGAAGATTCATCGCAAGATTCATCACCTTTGCTGTCAATATATAGCCTCATTATCAAATATTAATTCAATATCTAGTTCCTTCTCTCTTCATTCCCCATATTCCCAATCTCTCTATTCAATTGGTGAGCTGTTGTCTGTTATACAACATCATATATGTACCGGTGTTCGGATCACACTAAGTGGAGATCATTTAGGTGTTCGGTCCGGCAGTGTATCTCGCTTAAGAGACCGAATAATTTCCAGACCTAAGATTCGAGTACGAGACTACTCCATGGCCAGATTTGGCCTAATTAAATTTGAGTAGCCTCAACATCTCGGGTGCTCTCGGTTATCCACTCGAATAGGAGGAAATGAAATGACCAAAGATATGAATATATTTCATTTCTAGATCAGTAGACCTCCCCCACGCTTCCAAGCGCTTGCATGCGTTTTCAGACTATTCATTGAGTAGTAGGTTTGACTGCAGATAAGTCCCTTTAGCTCCCAGATCTTCTTTGGATGTCAGTAACTTGCCGTTTGCACTACTTGTATGACAATATGCATTGTCGTTCGTTAGATACTCGTACCTGTGCGTCAGTGGAGACTTATTTCGGCAACACTCAAACCCGGGCTAAACACCCGGTCCCCACTTTGTATAAACGTCTCTTCGGATCTTTTGGCCCCTGAGACCCTTGCAGTAGTACGCTCATCCACGTGCCTACGATTAAGATTGACGAGCCCACCGCTAACCTATTACGTATCGTTGTCCGAAATGCCAGCCCCAAAGTCTACTCGTATAGAAGGAGATTTTCCGATATCCTCGCCGGGGAGCTCCGACTGTACGAGTAGAAATTGCAACCTCCTTCAGCAGCCAGTCCCAAAGCCGTAGCTAGCCCCGGTCTTTGAAGCGAATTACATAGACCTGAAAATATGAGAGAAAATTTCAATAGTCCATTTGACTTTCCGCGAAACCGTGCGCCCACCATTGAGCCAACATGATGTAGAAATGGTCCTTGAATTCCCAAGGTGTTTTATGTTCTTTCAATCTTCCTTCCACACTTATCTCCATGGCTTCTATCCGTTCAATTCTGCTTGTGATTGTCCTGGCTCTCCAGGGCAGTGACGCCTTGCCTGACTGCCAAGGTTCTGTTCACAATGAGACAATCGCTGATTTCCACAGCGCTCCCATGACCTTTAGCTATGAGCATGCAGCAGCCTTGGATTGTCAGAACTGGTGTGAGAAGGTACCAGAATGCCAAGCATGGCTCTATGTTCGCCAGTCACATCAATGCGACCTTCATCGCACGAGGGCATTGAGCGTCTCGGATAATGCAGGCTTCATCTTTGGCGGGTGCAAGCCTAACGCCATCAACGAAACCCGACTAGCTCCTACCCCTAGCCCCTCGTTGCACTCCGCTGTGATCAGTGCCCCACTAGCTTCGAAAACTGCTTCTATGGTTTGTTCTCTTCCTTTTTAGGCTTGTTGCTCTCGACTTGTGGCTAACAGGCTTTCTGTTCTCGAAGGCACATGCTCGGCGCGATCTCTTCCGTCATAAGCACCAACGTCACCATTGAAATATATAGTCTGGAGAGAATATTTTGGAGATACGGAAGTATATCCTTCGTTTGAGGGCTTTAGGTCACGTCTAGAAACATTTCCTGTGTGTCAGTAAGATATCGGCTTCCAAGGTTATCCACGAGTTCATTCATAGATAGTCATCATTATGGTGTTGAATAAGAGGTGCCCGAGAAAAGGGAAGAGCTTCGGTATCAAGTTACAACGATGATGCAAAGAGGCCGGAGCGACGGTGCCAGTTGACTCTAACCACGTATCGACAATAGCTATCACTCTTTCGCTGACTTTGATGTGGGATCTATGGTTGTATCGAGTAGGCCATTCTCAGTTGTGTTTTCTATACTGATTTATTATCCGTGACACTACGGTTATCATCACACCATGCATCCTAGCTACTCGTATTCACAGAGTATTTCAACCAAACCCATCGAGATTTTTTCTTTCTTCGACGAATTGCATCCAAGATTGGTTCCACTTGCGCTTCTCTATCTCATTGGCCTATTCCGATTACTAGCCTACACTACCTTTGCTCGCTACGACATATTGACTTTTTTGTGAGTGTGTGTGTGTAGCTAGCGCAGAGAATATTTTTCTGTTTTAGTATAGTACGCAGTATCGTATTCGGAGTTCCGGCGATGGGGTTTGAACGGTCTATCGAACTAAGAATTTTATGTCGGGGGCCGTCTCCCGCATGGCTTGGCACACTAACGACTTAGTACAGATTAGACCCCTTCCACTTAGTATTCACCTGTCTAATTAATACCGCTAGTCGAGTGGGCTAATGGAATACCTGAAAACGACCAGGAGGCGAGCTCACCGGTCATCACCGATATTTGCCTCTAAGCTCGAAAATGGAACCCACCTTCGATGAAACCATTGAATTCGGAAATGAGTAAAACCCTTAGCCAGCCGAGGCACGCGCTGAGAAGGTTTGAAAAGGAGCTTTAAGTCTTTGCTTTTAATCTATCAACAAATAGCAGAGGCACCCGGAGCAAAACTCTTAGGACTCAGTCTTCAACGTATCAACCCCAGCCATGCGATTGTTCGTGGCTTGGGTTACAGCTCTTCTGCTCGCCTGTCGAGTACAGGCAGCGGCTGTCTTTGCTCACTTCATGGTAACTTATGACCCATCGGCGAAGATGACTTGAAAAACGCTGACAGCACATTTAGGTCACAAATTCGGCCAACTATACCTCCAGTGACTGGCAAAATGACATGAAATTGGCGCAAGATGCGCATATTGATGCCTTTGCTTTGAATATGGCTTACGATGACCCGACAAACACGAAAGCTCTTCCTGCTGCCTTTGCGGCGGCAGATTCTGTTGGCTTCAAACTCTTCTTCTCGTTTGACTACGCTGGTAATGGAGATTGGCCGATGACCGATGTCGTCAAATTGATCAGCCAGTACAGCGCTCATTCATCGTACTTCTTCTACAAAGGAAAAGCCTTTGTTTCCACATTCGAGGGACCAGATCGAGCTAAAGACTGGCGCACGATCAAACTTGCTACCGACTGCTTCTTCGTTCCGAGTTGGTCCTCCCTTGGAGCCAAGCCCGCTGTGGAGACAGGTGTCGTTGATGGTCTATTCAGCTGGGCTGGCTGGCCTTGGGGTGGTCAAGATATGGATACCTATATCGATGCATCCTATATCCAGTACTTGGATAAGTTACCGTATATGATGCCGGTATCACCTTGGTTCTTTACCAACTTGCCGGGCTACAAAAAAAATTGGGTATGGCGAGGCGATCACCTTTGGCATGACCGCTGGCAGGAGGTACTTTTCGTGCAGCCCGAGTTTGTTCAAATCATCTCATGGAACGATTATGGCGAGTCTCACTACATTGGACCCTTGTATGACAAAGCCATGGAAGCATTTGAGATTGGCCAGGCCCCATTCAACTACGTGACTGATATGCCTCACGATGGTTGGCGCACTACTCTACCCTACTGGATCGATATGTACAAAACGGGATCGGCAGAGGTGACCCAGGAGAGTATCACAGCCTGGTATCGACTGGCTCCTGCAGCGGCTTGCGGCAGTGGAGGCACCAGTGGCAACACTGCCTCGCAGTTGCAGATTGAATTCCCTCCAGCAGAGATGGCTCAAGATCGAGTATTCTTTTCCGCTGTTCTGGGCTCTTTCTCTGGCGCCGTGGTCTCCATTGGAGGGGATGCTCAAACCGTGGGCTGGTCATCTGTCCCAGGCGATGATGTCGGTGCCTATCATGGTAGTGTCGCCTTTGGTGGTCGGACTGGGCCAGTGACGGTGTCTTTGATGCGCGATAACGTTGTGATTGCCACGGTTGAGGGCAAAGCCGTATCTGGAAGCTGCCCGAATGGCATCCAGAACTGGAATGCCTGGGTAGGAAGTGCGAAGACAGGGAGCACAGTGTCGGCCAAAACCACTATCCCGCTTTCCGAGCAAAAGTGTACGAACGGGACTGGCGCTAACAACTTTGCGGGTCTCTGTGAGTTCGGTTGCACATATGGCTACTGTCCCCTAGGAGCTTGCACCTGCACCGAAATGGGTATTGGCCACAAAAAGCCGAATTCGACCGGCGTGCTAGGATATCCCATCTCAGGAGAAGGTGCCAGCTATAGTGGACTTTGCAACTTCGATTGCAATCTCGGATTCTGTCCCCCCTCGTCCTGTGGTACTGTGGAGGTCCCACTCTCAACGCCGTCTGTCTCCCCATTCTTACCTCCGGCATGCACCGCAGGAACTGGCGCAGGCAATCTGGCTGGTCTCTGTGACTTCAGCTGTACGCATGGCTTCTGTCCGATGAATGCATGCACGTGTACGGGGCAAGGGGCAGTCAATGTTATGAATCCCACGACCGATGTCACTGGTGAGGCTGCCCCCGGGCAAGACGCAACTATCTTGGGTCCCCTGTGTGAATACACCTGTCAGCGCGGTTATTGTCCCGAAGGGGCCTGCATATCGCGTACTGGAAGCTCCACTGGATCAGGATCGGGATCGGGCTCTGCTTCTGATGGTGGTTCTGATGGTAGTCACGGCACGGGTGATCTTTATGTTGCCGCATCTGTTGCCGATTCCAAGTCAGGTTCGAACATCGCTACTGGTAGTGCTCCGCTGAATATCATTGTCGCCCCCTCTACCTTGGCTTCCACGACTACATTCTCCGTCGGACCCTTGGTGATGCCAATCGAGGTGGCCTGGCCTACAACCAAGACTGTGACTATCTCTGGGCAGACTACTGTCACTACCACAGTGACTCGCACTGTGCAGAACACGACCTTTGCCATCCCTGATATCAAGACGACCCGAATTCCATGGTGGAATTGGAATATCACTGCACCTCACGTCACACAGGCCTCCACGACACTGTTCCCTAGTTTTTCACTAGACCCAATCGTGTTCACAGACCCTCCAAACCCCCAAGATCCCACACATCCTGAGCCAGCCTACCGGACTGTGTACCCTCCCCCCTGGCCTTGGTCCACTGCTTCTTTGTCTGTGGAGGTTCCGACCCCCACTATCAAATTTACTACAGGTAGTACCCCAGGTCCTACCTGTACGGCTGACTGTGGAACCAAGTGTACCTCCTTCTGTCATAAACCGTGCCTGGTTAACTGTGACGACCCTAAGGCCCATGAGAGCTGGGAAGACCCAGCGGATCCTGATCCCCCAACTAGCCATTCCAAGTGTTCAGGCCCTGACTGTGATGACAGTGGTGGTTGCACTGGCCCATCCTGTGTGAAGAAGGGCTGCACCGGCACCGACTGTGACACTGACAACCATGTCTGTCTTGGCCCCGACTGTGAGCAGACCGGTTGTCTTGGCAGCGGCTGCAAGTCTAATGGCGTCTGTACTTCCGGTACCAAGTGCCAGACAGTTGGATGTTATGGCAACGACTGCAATGGATCTGGTCTCTGCCTGGCTCTCGACTGTATTTCCCTCGGCTGCATTGGCCTTGACTGCATTTCAAGCACAGGAAAGTGCACCGGCTCTCGCTGCAGCAAGGTCACTTGCTCAGGCCCGAACTGCAAAAATGGCAAATGTGTAGGTGAAGGTTGCACGCCTGAAGAAAGTGACTGCGACTCTGTCGAGGCTGATATTTGCACTGAAACCGTCTACTCCTCTTTGGTGACTCCTGCTTCAACCTACACCACCAAGACCTCCACCAGTTGCGAAACTATCACCGCCTGTGATGTTGAGGCCTCTACAACCACCACAACTGTTTCAAGCAAACCACCAGTGATCGTCACTATAGAACCCTACCCCGATTATCCTGTCATGAATGATGCAGAAGTGACTAGTGTTCGGAAGTCCATGGAAGACATGTTTTCATCAATTTGGGCTACCACTACTACTTCCTCGCCTTCTGAACCCACCGATATCCCCATCGGGGGCGACTGCGACAATAACGCCTACTGCACGGGCGACTGCCCCAAAGGCCAGAGTATAGGATGCAACAACGGAAAGTGCTCATGCTCTGTCGACCAAAATCCCCCGCCTTATGGGACAATGTGCCAGAGTGTCACGGATTGCAACAGGGTTTATTCCTGTGCACTTGGGGACAATATGGTGTGCGAGACACGGTCCTATTCCAATGGGGAACCGCTCTGTCTCTGTATCAAAGGGAGTAGTTGAGTTAGTCGTCTAACACCATGGCACCGGAGTGTGTGAGATGTACCTAATGATACCAGATATTTATGGCGGTTGGGATACGAAAGAACGTTGATTGACACCGATAGACAGCAAGTCCAATTTATGTATTTCTAAGTTAAAGACGCTCTCAATTATGCCGATTTTGCATAATCCAGTACTGAATTGATGATATACCTCAGATAACTCAAGAGCAAGAAGTACTTGAGTTTTTGAATATACTCTCACCACTTCTCATCACCACTTCTCAATGTACGGCCTGAGGTCAATCTCTTGGGTAAAAGCACTTTTGGGCTGTGTGTGTAAGAACCAGTAAGAATCCGCAATCTAAGGTTGACTGTTAGCGCTAGACACAAGATCCAGAAACTGTAAGACTTACCCCCTGAGGATCAATTTTGCCATCTGGAATACCCTGCCCAAAATCCTTAGTCTTCTCAGTGTCGATAATTCCGTCGATGATGGCGTGAGAAACGTGAACTCCCTTGGGACCAAATTCACGCGCAAGAGATTGAGACAAAGCGCGAGTTGCAAACTTGCTCATGGCGAACGCCGAAAGACCCGAGCTACCTTTCAGTGCAGCCGTGGCACCTGCTGTTGTTAGTTCACAATGCACCATCAAGGCCTAAGAATCCATACCAGTGAAAATCAGCGTGGGTGGGTACTGGCCCTTACCCTCCCCGTTCAGCAACAAGGGCAGCGTGGCTTGAGCAAAATTGAATGCCCCCCTATTCGATGGCTCCAGGCTACCAAAGAACTCCTCTGGAGATTGATCCAAGAACGGTTTCATGAGGAACTTGCTCGCGACATTGTAGATAGCGGCGGCGACCGTGATATCACTTCCGAACTTGGCCTTGATTTGATCAATTGTAGAGTTCATTGAAGACGCGCTTGTAACATCCGTGGGAATCCCTGTTGCTGAGCCTCCACTCTGCGTGATTTCCTCGATCAATGGGTCAAGGGACCCCTGCGAGCGAGCCAGTAACACCACGGGGTAAAATTGGGCAAAGCGGCGCGCGACAGCGCTGCCTGTACCGGGTCCTGTACCAGCGATAATTGCAATTGGCTTAGACATTCTAAAGCTGATAATTGATATTAGAGAAAAATGCAATGGCGCGATGACCGGTAGAGGATAAGACTTGATCTTTTATTGTCCTTTACTGCAACGTGACGTCACCAGTATCAATCACCGAATTTTGGCTCGAATTCTCGAAATTCCCTGATTCAGGGAGATTATCAACTCAAACTGTCTGCCGGCCTCTCGGAATTCTACCAAGTAAGCTGAATGACATTCATGTACGTCGGCATTCAATGTCAGGACCGAGCACCGACACCCCACATGATCCTCTCTGATTGGACAGCTCTAAATCGCGTGTATTTTCCCCACATCGAGATAGTTCAGCCTCATTTTCGCAACATCGGACGCACAACTTGATGGACATCATATTTCGATAGTTCGGAACGGGTGTTTCTGATCGTAAGAAAATCTGTCTTACTTCCAACTGTAAGTTTTCAACGTCAAGTGCCTCTCTTCCTTCTCATCACGTCCATCCTGCAGCCAATCATTCTCTAATGTTATTTGTAGCTTTGCTCAAGACTCCGTCCGATGTTATTGCTAAATGCGGAGTAATCCGTTGGTAGAATCAACCTAGTGATGTTTTGCTTAAATCAAGGTACCGGATTCCCAACCTAGTATGATGGCTTTTCATACCTCCAAGTAAGAACAGCAGAAGATCATTTGAGTTAAGGTAATTCAGATTGACATAGTTAACCATAGAGCTGTTTGAACTTTCAGACCGAGTCCCTTCCCCTTGAGCCCCGTAGGCAGATCCTATGAGCACACTCGGCTTTTTTCTTAGCTGCTGTAGGGTGTTTGTCGTTCCTGTCCCAGTAGATAGCTAGCTCATTTTCCCTCGCTCTTTCTCTCTCACTCGATCTCTTCCTTTCCTCTCCTCTCCTCCTTTTTCCTCTCCTCTCCTCCTTTTTCCTCTCCCTCCCAGAGACCCAATCCCACAGCAGTGGGTCAATCATTTCTGTCCGTTTTCTCTCGCGCCCTGCAGGCCCGGTTGATTGAAGTTGAAATCTCATATTCGGACATTTCTGGGCATCTCTGGAGACCGGGATCAGATGCCATCCAGCATGCACCCGGAGCAAAGAAGTGCTCGATACAGTCGGATTCCGGGTTAATGACATCATCGCTTCCCTGCCGAGAAGAATCAAAAAATGCGGGCTGGTGGTTCTGACAACTTCACGTCAAACGCGCAGGAACTGGCCCGTCACCGCCCTCGAAGTACAATTCTGCCCCCAGTCTGGGCCCCTCAACTTCCATCGCAACATGGCTCAAGATCCCAAAACAACTTCATCTTTGCCACGCGAAGGAGGATCAACATTACTCCGACGGAGCTGTCACGATTGCAACCGCAGGAAAGTACGGTGTAACAAGTCCTTGCCGTGTGATAATTGCGAGCGCTTGGGCTTCGAATGCTCCTATCCACCGCCTGGCCGTAAACCTCGGAAAATAATCAAGAAAGCATCGAACAAGACTGAGTTGGTTTCCAGGTTGGGGTTTTTAGAAGATCAAATCAAGAAACTTGGTGGTAAGGTCTTTGAAGAGGACTCTCCGGATGCACCGCCAGCACAGAACAACGATGTCGATGTGCAGGAGAGCCGTGCAGTGCGCTCATGGCTCGACAAGCAGAGTCCTCGTGGCGGAGTCAGCGATCAGCCAGGGGAGGTGAATGAGAATGAGTTGGAGATCAGCAAAGAATCTGTTTCGCCTAAAGCGTCTTCCAGTACGCTGGAGAATCAGTTTGGACGCCTTGTCGTGGATCGAAATAGTGGAACGAGCCGCTATGTGAATCATCGAGTCTTGACAGAGCTTGCAGATCAGGTATATTTGACCTCTCTATGGTATTGTCGTGCACATAGAATCGATGCTGAGGCTGTGGTTGAAGATTAAAGAAGTCCGAGATCTTTTTGATTCGCCGGAATCACCAACATTGTCGGAGGAAGACTCCTGGACGTCAGTGTCAGCAGCAGATCAACCTGACGTGTCAAGTCCTTTTATATTCGGCTACCATTCTGTGGCCCATTCACTCACCAACTACCACCCGCCGCCAATCATCAGCCATCTTCTTTTCAACGCTTTCCAAGAGAATGTGGCACCTATAATTCTGATCATCCACAAACCCATGTTGAAAGAACTGCTCAAAACAGCGATCACCAACCCTGAAGATTTCGATAAAGAGTCTGAGGCTTTGGTCTTTTCAATCTATCTAGCTGCAATCTACAGTCTGTCACCAGAAGCATGTCTTACACAGCTAGGGACAGATCACGTTACAATGACCAAACGATATCGATTCGCTGTCGAGCAAGCGCTAGTGCGAGCAGGATTCCTCCACACTCGCAAGTTGGTCGTGTTGCAAGCAGCAGTTCTTTTCCTGGCCTGTGCCTGTGATCCTCAAGATGCACACTTTGTCTGGACCATGATCGCCGTGGTTACTCGTCTAGCCTTGAGCCTGGGCCTGCACCGAGACGGCAGCCACTTCGAGCTAGGACCGTTCGAAACAGAAATGCGGCGCCGATTATGGTGGTACATATATCTCTTGGATGTGCGATCGTCTGACTCTCAAGCGACAAGCCCTCAAATCCGGGAAGGGGACTACGATACCCTATTACCATTGAATGTCAATGATGATGATCTGTCGCCTGGCATGGCGGAGACACCACTGGAACGAACTGGGTTTACAGAGATGACCTTGACCTTGGTCAGATGTGAGATCCTCATATTACATCGCAAACTGATGCAATCCAACAATGTGGTCAATAATGAAGGACATAATGTGTTATTCCAGACCCGCCTCCAGGCAATAGAAGAGACCTGCATCGCCCTCGACGAACGATACCTCCAATACTGCGACCTCGAGATCGCGATCCACTGGGTAACCGCAACAATCGGGCGGGTAGCTCTCGCTCGCTCATGGCTTGTCTCACACTTCTCATTGATGACGGTCAAGGGATTCCAAAGAGGCCTCATCCCCGACAAATGCGATCTCCTCATCTTCACCGCAATCGAAGTCCTCGAATTTGTGTATCTCCTCGAATCTCACGAAAACACCACAAAATGGTCCTGGCTGTTCCAGGGATATGTACAGTGGCAGGCGTTTGCATTTGTTTTGTCGGAGCTTTGCGTGCGCCCAACGTCTTCTTTGTCGGACCGGGCGTGGGCTGCTGTGGATCGGGTTTATGAACGGTGGCATTCACCGATGGGTAATCGGCTTGGGTTGATGATGCGACCTTTGGAACGTCTTCGGAATCGGGCTGCTGCTATTCGAGCTCAGTATTCTGATCAATCGAGGGGGAGTATCGCGGTTCCCAACTTGGACTCTGATGTGGGTGATTTGGCTCCAGATATGGCCAATCCAACAGACATCCAAGCAGATCTAGAGCTAGAATCCCTTGGTATTTTCATGGACGTGGTGAATACCATTGGGTTATAGTCATTTCGCAGTGCGGGATGCATTTAGCCCTATAGGTGAATATGACACCTTAATTCCCAGGCAAAAACTCCCTTTCCCCGCCGGCTCGGGGCTCGGGGTTCGGTGGCGCTGATGTTACTAAGTTGATGATCATCATCAATTGTTCATGTTCAAATGTTATTGATTATGACCGATTAATGGTGGACCTTGATTATTGGTGACGAAATCAACGGGAGATCGGTGTTAAACTATGACCCCGAAGCTGATTCATTGCTTTCTTGGGCATGATTTCAACCGATCTCATACTTGCCTCTCTACTCGAGGCAAAGAAGACATAAAAGATCCGTGGATTCCTTTTGATGGTCTTCTATCATTCGAACAAATCTCCAATCCCCCCAACACTATCGATTCTTTGTGTCTCTCCATAAACTATCAAAAATATCCAACATGTCCAAGTTGATTACTGTCTTTGGTGCCACCGGCAACCAAGGCGGCTCCGTCATTGACGCCATCCTCGCCGACTCTGAGCTCTCAAAGGAGTTCAAGATCCGCGGTATCACTCGCGACACCACCAAGAAGTCCGCTCAGGACCTCGCTAAGAAGGGTGTTGAGGTTGTCACAGTGAGTTATCCCAAGGCTGAATCCCCAAATCTAAACTAATTCATATCCCAGGCTGATCTGGACTCTGTCGAATCCCTGACTGCTGCACTTAAAGGTTCCCACACTGTCTTCCTAGTCACCAACTACTGGGAAACAATGAACGCCGATGTGGAATTCTCACAAGGCAAAAACGTTGCAGACGTTTCCAAGGCAGTGGGCGTTTCCCACCTTATCTTCTCTTCGCTCCACAACGTGACCGAGGAAAGCAAAGGACGTCTAACCCATGTGCCTCACTTTGACAGCAAGGCCAATGTTGAAAAATACATCCGTGCTTCCGGTGTTGGCTGCAGTTTCGTTCTTCCTGGATACTACATGAGCAACTTTACTCAGATGTTGAACCGTGCTGAGGATAGATCGTACCAGCTATTCTACCCTGTGAGCAATGAGGCCAAGTTCCCTCTCTTCGATGCTGCGCAGGATACCGGTATGACTTAGTCCATTATAGCGAGAAATCTTTGGGATAATGCGACTAATTATGTCTCAGGTCTATTTGTGAAAGTTGCACTTAAGCACGCAGACCAGTTGAAGAACAAGCAGATCCTGGCTGCTGCTAAGTATTACACTCCCCAAGAAATCGTGGATACCTTCTCTAAGGTCTCGGGCAAGAAGGCTGTCTTTGTGCAGGTCAGCTCGGAGCAGTATAAGGTTTCTTTGCCTGAGGCTCTTGCTGTCGAGTACCTTGAGAACCAGCTCTTTGTGGAAGAGCCTGGCTACTACTTGGGCGAGTCGCTTGAGCCTACCCTGAAGCTTGTGGACTCTAAGCCTGTTACGTGGGAGGAATTTGTCAAGAAGAATGTCTCTTCCTGGGAATAGACTTAGCCAGCAAACATGGCCCAGCCTTGGTATCTATGCTTTCAAGGTTACCAGTCCGAGTTAGTGTCATTTTCTACTAGAAAACATGACCTTCTGAATAGTGTTTGTTTATCATTCACATAGCTGCTTTCCACAATACTACACTTGAGGTATTTGTCCAAATACGGTATTTACCAATACGTCTAAAATGACCGGTTCTCTGAATACCGTATGTCAGATTCATTGGCAACAGCGCCAATCCAACTGACAGGCACAAAGTCCGAGTAAGATACCAAGAAATGGGGGGGGAAAGTACCCTATGATGGAAGTAGGAATAGTACATAAAAGTCATTAAGCGCAAAAGAACACAGATGCAAAAGTACAGAGTACTTTGTAAACCCGGATCATGGGGGTATGATAGCCCACGATCTGAGACGTATGATCTACCGACTCATTCCAAAAACGGAGGCGGTCGGCTCACCCAAATTCGCTTATTGCTTCTTGCGCAGACCGTATCCAAGCACTTTCTGCAGTTTGTTGAGAGCAGGGTTTGCGTCCTTGGCCATGGCCTTTCCGTTCTCGATTTCGGTGTAGACGCTGACGGGAATGGAGGCAGCAGCGGCGACCTGCTTTTGTGACATGCCCTTGGCAGCGCGGGCGCGCTTGACGTTGTCAACGATGTGGTCTTCAATGTATTTGGGCTTGACGATATCATCACTGCGGTCGACCTTGGTCATGAGCTGGCCCTCGGGTTGGCCTGCCTTGGCGGCCTGGGATTATTGTTAGAATGAATTTTGATCGTGTTTCTACATTCTGGGGGCTTTTGACATACCAGGTTACCAGTGGTGTACTTCTTCTCAGAGGTGACGCCTCCAGTGCGCTTGGCGGCGTTAATGGCACTGTTGCCTCGGAGGGTTTGGGCGTGCTGGGGGGCACCGGCGCCAGTGCGGCGGTTGCCAATCATGGTAGTGGTTTCCCAGTCAGACATTTTGGAAGAATTGATATGAGTTGGTTTAAAGCAGGGGTATGGTTGGTGAGAGGATGAAGAGTGAAGTGTTGGCAATTTGTGTCGATGACACAGAAGCTTCTCGAGAGGGGAGCCCGCACTAGTCTACTTTGGGACTAGCGTGGTTATGAAAGAGGCTTTGTCTCTTGCGCGCATTCCTCACTTCTCTCCCTTCATGCTTAAGAATGCTATTTCAGTGCTACTTGTAAGCCAGTTCTGAGAGCTTCTGGCTGAATCTCCCCTTGAGATCCATGAGTCAATCGGAAGTGAACGGCTTGTCATACTCGGCAGTTTCTCGATTTGGACCCCGCCACAGCCACTTCACGCCTCCATACTTGGACAGCAAGTAAACGATACCATACTTCCGGAATTTGGAATTTCACTTGGGATATTGATTATCAAGCCGTACAATGCCTTATTGTGTCTCTTCGTAGTTTTTTACCTACGCGATCTCAATCTCAAAAATCCGCCGATGATGAAATTCGACCCACAACTTGATGTCATACCGATCTCCAGCCCTAATCACCGATATCACACTCGTAGCATCCGAGGAAATGTCTCGTGTGATTACAGCCGATCAAGTCAATTGGTCTTTTCAATGCTTTAGTGCGATTAAGGTAGTCATATTTCTGCAGAGAGCTTTTGTCTGTACTATAGCCTCGCAACGAGTAAAGTCTGGCCTTCACTTCGATGAGGCTGAACGATCGCGGACTTAAAGAGGTTTAGTTTGTTCACTGGCAATTTTGAAGAGGCCTATCTAGGTGCTTGACTCAAGGTGGCGTTCTCGATAGGTATATTGATTAAAGATCTTTGAGGGGATTAAGTGTCGAAAATCCAAGCTTCGCACTTCGACCAGATAAGCAGCCGATGGTCATAGCTGTGTCCGATATAGCCAGTGCCTGTCGGCTGCGAGGTCGGTACTCGGGCGGTAACCATACGACATTATTTGCATTATAGGTTACCCAGGAGCAATCGTCACTGAGACCATACCCATGAAGCGTCGTAGTGTCGTCTGGACCTCGGGGATTTGACCAGACACCTTCCAAAAGCCCCACGTTAAATGTGCCTTGTCCTGTGTGGAGTTTGTTTGGAATTGAGCGATCAAATTGAAGGAAACCTGAGGTTACCACAGGAAGGACCAAGACGCACTGGGTGGTTTTTGAATCCCAGACCCTGACAGTACCATCCCATGATGCTGATGCAACTTGGCTTCCATTTTGAGACCAGGCAACATCCGAAACCAAATCGGTGTGGCCTTCAAGGATCTTACACTGACCGGAGGCAAGATCCCATACCCGAACGATATGCTCAGCGTCAGACGATGCGATCCGGCCTCCCTCAGGAGACCAGGCAACACCCCGAAACCAGGCATCATCAACCTGAAGACATGTGCAATCACCTGTGCTCGGATCCCACACCCTGACGGTTCCATCTTGGGATGCCGATGCAAGTTTGTGTCCATCCAAAGACCAGGCAACATCCATAACATAGCTGGTATGACCCTCGAGTATTTTACACTTGCCGGTGACCGGATCCCACACTCTGACGCTCCCATCATGAGAGGCGGATGCAACTCGACTTCCATCGGATGACCAAGTAACATCATTGACCTGGTCGGTATGGCCCTCACATATAATACGATGGCCGGTGGCGAACCACACATGAACTGTATAGTTACTTGTTGACGCTGCGAGTCGGCTTGAATCGTGATTGTACTCTATTGCCACGAATGAGTTGTCATGATCCATGCCCATTGTGTCGTTCTGAGCGTTGGCGTCCCATATTTTGATAGTCTCATCATATGATCCTGATGCGAGAAGAGTTCCATCTGGAGACCAGGCTATGGATTGAACACTGTCAGTGTGGCCCTCGAGTACAGCAAAACAATTCAAGGTGCGCGCATCCCAAATCATGATAGACCTATCATCCGACCCAGATGCAATTCGAGATTCATCTGGGGACCAGGCAAGCGATGTGATGGCGTCAGTGTGTGCCCCCTCAATATCAAGCTCAATATCCCATGTCTCTGAGTCCCGTATCTGGATACATCCCAGCATGTTACCCAGCGCCAGAAACTCTCCATCTGGAGACCAAGATGAGCATGAAATTCGTTCAGTGTGCTCGAGGATAGAGATGTGGTTCCTCGTACGTAGATCCCAAATCTCGACACTCGACATAGAATCTGATGAGGCAATGCGGTTTCCATCTGGAGACCAAGATATGGAAGTAACTCGATCCATATTTCCCTGGAGCGTAAAGAGCTCATCAGTGGCATTTGGATCAAACACACGGATAACACCTTCTCGAACTATGGCGAGTCGGCTCCCATCAGGAGACCAGATCATGCAAGAAGTCGTAGCTTTTTGAGGCTCTAGTATAGCCACAAACTGGTCTGTGTCTAGATGCCAAATGTTGACACCCCCTTGGTACGTTACCAATGCGACTCGAGTGTCATCGAGCCACCTCACTGGGTTATCGCACCCGAGCCAATTTTTGAGAATCAGGTTGCCCTCTCCGGTATCCAGTTCCCATACCCTGGCACCGGTTTCACATGTTGAGACTAGTCGACGTCCATCGCCAGACCATGCAATGGATATTATGTTGAGTTCATGACCTTCCAGCGTTTGAAGACACGGGCTCCAATCCTCCTCTGCCACTGGCTCTTTCAGAATCCATTCTGCTTTGCTTTCTCTGTCATGATAGCATTGTCTCGTGATACTTTGCTTGGGGCTGAACATAAGAGATGAGTAATAGACCTGGAGCGGACTTCTTTCAATGGCAAATTGTGTGTATTGGACAAATCGGACGGCATCCTTCACTTGGAGCATCAGGGCCTTCGGCTCGCCTGTCGTCTGCTTTTGTTTTAGCATTCAAAAATCAAACATGGGCCAGATAAGCACGTACCTCAAGCGACTTTTCAAGTTTTCGTATGGATTTGATGGCAGCGGGAAGACTCTTCATGATGCTCATGGCCTCCAGCCAATGAAGATAGTTGTGGCTGAAGAAACAACTGACTAAACTGTCTTCTTGAAGTTCTATCTTTAGGCCTTCATCGTTGCATAGAAGAAGGTGGTCAATCCAATGAGCGCATGCATAGCGTACTGCAAGCAGGGGATCTGGACAAGGTACCTCTATCTGCTCGACTGGATATCCAGGTGCTCTCAAATCATAGATGTCACGTCGTAAAGTTTTCTTGAGGAGATGCATAGACGAGGAGTAGATTTCGTGCTGCGCGTTGTCTTTTCCACAAGGATATACCTCGCCAGAGGCTTGTGTCAGGAGGAAGTCTTTCGCAGACTGATGAACCAACAGGACAGTGTTACCCTGCAGTGATAAAAACGAGCCACAACTCCTGACTATTTCTTCGAGGATTTCCACGGAGTTTTCAGGAACGTCAAGGTATACCATCATCTCGTCCAGCGTGATGGGGCGAAGAACAGTTGTACTCACCCTGAGAACCGACTTGTAAAGATCAGCATCCTCCAATTTTTTAATTTGGCTCATCATGCGCTCATAGATCTGGTCAAGACCTGGGGGGAACTCCTTGAGCTTCTCTGTGACTTTCCACCATGGTACTTCGGTAAGATGTTTCCAAACCAAAGCCACCCAGAGGAAGGTGCCCTTTGCATTCGCAAGCAGGTAGTCGTGAACGGTTTTCCAAATCTCCGGTCTGTCCTTCTTTTTGGTTCTCAAGTCGTCGACTTTGTATTTGATGAACGACTGAATAGCCGTTGCTAGCAATTCTTCATTCAGTTCAAGGTGGAGCTTCATATCTGTCGCCTGGTCGAGATCTTGCTCGATTTCCGGCCAGTTCCGGCTCGATACGACCCATTTGACATTTGGATGAGCTGACGATTGATTGACTAGCAGCTTGAGAAGACGGTGGCGACCCTCGACGCACTCGTCAAGCCCATCAATTACAAGGTATGATGCTTGCAATTCTGGGTTGTTGAGGATGTTGATGAAGGCTCGCTGGAGTGCGAACCAAGCATTGTCACCACTGAAGGACTCCTCAGAGATTGAAGTTATCAGTGAGGGCTGCTGTTTCACAAGCATGTAGATGAGACCTCTAAGGACTGCGGATGCATTGTTGCGAGTCTCCTTGTTCGCTTGACAAAAAGCGAATGCAATATTCGTTCCACTGTTGGCCATGTGCGAAAGCTCGTCAAGAATTCCACAGAGCAACATGGTTTTCCCTTTACCAGGATCACCTTTGATCCAAAGTAGTTGGCCAGACCTGGCAGCCATCCACCTCTTGAAGTCGTGATTTTCAACTACCCACTGATAGGAGTCTTTCAGAAGGCCACCTTTGAAGTCCTGGATACTCTCTTTATCCAGTTCAAAGCCGCTAGCCTTGAGCGTGTCCAGACAGCGGCGATACTCCGCATCAGACATGTGCTGTTCAATCTTTTGGGTTGTATGGGCGATTTCTTCGACGGTCTTTCGAGAATCTTGCGCTTCCTGTTTTAGGTTCTCGAGCTTCTGCACAATCGTCCAGGAGGCAGCGTCCTGCATATTGTTTCTGATTGTTTTCTCCGATTCTTTGATCGATTCCAGTCGAGCGCTCCAGCTTTCATAATCGATCACGCTTCTGAAGTAGTTTTTTGTTGGGCTGCGGTCGAATCTCATCACACTTTGTACCTGGAATTCGATCACGAGTTTGTACAAGGATTTCACTTGCTCATTCATCTCGTACTTGACTCCTGTGTCCAGACAGTCTGGCAACATCAATGTCTCCATCTTGATGTAGTATTTGATCTGCGACACGACGTATAAAAGTCCTTCGTGGTTCTTGCTGTCGGCAGTGAATGGCCCAGTCAATAGAGGAAGAAGAAGGGACACGGCGACCATGACGATCGGTGCATATGGAACATCTTTGAGTGCATCTCTGGTGTAGTCCTGGATCCATCTCACACCAAGACCGAATTTTCCTATCGCTTCCTGCCACACGATCTGTTTTCCGAAGAATGTAGTTTTGAGCTTTCCCTCCTGTGATTTTTGTAGATTGAACAGGGCGATATCTTGTAAAATTTCTCGCCGTGCGAGGACATCGTGTTGGGGGATCTTCGCTTTGGCATCGATGATGACTTGACGAGGTTCTGATAAAGTTGGCTTGGCTATAGTAAGTCAGTATTATGACCCAGGGTCGTCCAACGTAATTGGTTGCCACATACTCTCATCTTCGAGCCGCAACAACAGCTCTTCATACTCTGTCACAAGTGTTGGATTCTCTTCTTTCAGAATATCATAGGCTTCATCCCATAGGAAAGATTTCTTAGGAGCAGTGGTGCTTGTTTCGATTTGCCGTCTGGGGTACGGCTCCTTCTCGGAGACATAGACAGATACTGCCTCCTGCGCTGAATGTGTTGCAATGGAGACCAGGCTATGAGTTGGAACCTTCTTTTCTTTGAGTTGGGAATCTAAGCCTTCGTCACACCACATCATCAGAATGAGAGGGTCTTACTTGTAGATCGTGACTTGAAACATTTTCGAATCAACTTCCTGAACGACACATTTTCATTCTGCTTGAAATCCATCATGGTTCTTTCTCCGGTTTGACTTTTTTGGGTACTTGTTTTGCCTTACTCCTGGGCTGTCTGTATATATTCTTCAGTGCCGCCTAGCATTTGCACAGCCGCTCGCACTGACGGAAGCGGGTCTACTAATAAAAGCGGGGGCTCCAGGGTGATGAGAGCAATGAGGCCCGTCGAGGCCTTCTGCTCTAACCGCTGGCACGGTGGGCTGTTCTGACGCTAATGTATCCTGCATATGTTGTCGTCTTTAGATACCAATCAATTGTCGCCAGCCTGAAGTCCACCGGGCAAAGCCCGTGTCAAACCCCGAAGGATTCCTGCCAAGATACGACCATATGTATGTGTACGCCATATATGCCTAGCTTGGTGCTGCTTAATATATGATGGCATCAGAGAAACGCAAGAGAAAAGGGTTGTTAAAACCGGTCCATTGGTTCTGAAGAGTCTCGTATGGAGCATTCATGAATAGTCTTCTAAAGTTAGTGTGGGCTTGATCTCGGAGTATTCAAGTACTCTTTTTGTATGAGCTTGACGCGGCATGCTTGGTTCTCTGTTAGCAGCCCTTCTTGGTCTCTTGTACATAAGAAAACCACTATAGAGATCCGGTGGCTGTGGCCCTGTATGAATAGCCAAAAAGGCTAGATGATGGCTGTGTGCTTCCACCCAAGACCCACAGATGAAGTTCGCATATAGCAGTATGACCGATTTAGAAACGAGCCATCCCGGCAAAAATTTACATGAATAAGAAATAGGGCATGGAACGAGAGAGAAAAGGCAAAGACTAGACTTGATGCCTTGAACATAAGGCATAAACACGTGACGGAGCTCCAGGGCGCGATCACCGACCCGAGCTATCTGGAACTAACTACATCATCTCATCTCGAATTGTCAGACACAACAATCACGTGTTCATAATCTCGTTTTGTATCAGAAACCCTCACATTGAACCGAACGGCCAGTTATAACCCACCCGTCATCATGTCCGGCGGCCTTTTCAAGCCCGAGAAGGACTTCACCAAGGATGCCGACAAGCTGATCCCTGAGGCCGAGGGCCTTGCGAAGGTATGATCAGCATTACAGGGAACCAGAATGATTGCTAATATGATGGCAGACCGATGTCCAGGGAGCGGTCGATAAGCTGTTGGGTCTGGAGAAACAATCGAGACAGGTATGATGAACGCCATCGCCGCCAGCACCGTGACTAACGAGCCTCGTATCCAGGCATCCGACTTGGCCACTACCTCGCGACTCTTGATTGCCATCGTCACAATCAGCAAGAACTCCGGCGACTGGAACCTTTTGAACGACCAAGTGTTGCTGCTCTCAAAGAAGCATGCCCAGCTCAAGCAGGCCACGACGAAGATGGTACAGACAGTGATGACATTCCTTGATGCGACACCGAATTTGGAAGTCAAGCTCTCTGTGATCGAGACTCTGCGCACAGTGACCGAGGGAAAGGTATGGAACAGCCATTTATTGGAGCAGGCCCGTGCTAATATACCCAGATCTTTGTTGAAGTAGAGCGAGCTCGCGTCACTCGCATCCTTTCCAATATCAAGAAGACCCAAGGCGACCTCAACTCGGCAGCAGACATCCTTTGTGAACTGCAGGTGGAGACCTTCGGGTCAATGACAAGACGTGAGAAGACAGAATTTATCCTGGAGCAAGTCGCTCTGTGTATCGAGCGCGAAGACTGGACCCAGGCTCAAATTCTGAGCCGTAAGATCAACAAGCGATACTTCAACCGCAAGCCCAAGAAGTCCGCTGAGGAGATTGAGAAGCTCAAGAAGGAGGCAGAGGAGCGAGAGAAGACCCGGGCGTCTGATGAGGCCCCCATGGAGGTGGATGACGATGTTACAGATCTTAAGCTACGATACTTTGAGCAGCAGATCATTTTGGCCAACCACGACTACAAATACCTCGAGGTATGCAAGAACTACCGCGAGGTTTTGGACACGGAAGCAGTTGAGAACAACCCGGAACACCTGCGTGCAGTATGTACACCCTTACCAACCCTAACAAGATCATTTCAGCTCACATCATCAGTCACTCGCCCGCATTGTCTATTATGTTGTTCTGGCCCCCTACGATAATGAACAGTCCGATCTCCTGCACCGCATCAAGCAAGACACCCGTCTGTCACAAGTTCCCGAAGAAGCCCGCCTGCTCAAGCTGTTCACCATCCCCGAGCTGATGCGCTGGCCCATGGTCGCCGAGCAATTCGGCCCCCACCTGTGCAACACCGACGTATTTGACGCCGACGCGAAGCAAACCACCGACAACCAGGCCAACACGAGGTGGCAAGACCTGCGCAAGCGGGTCATTGAGCACAATGTCCGCGTGGTGGCCAAGTACTACACTCGCATCCAGATGAGCCGTCTGACTCAACTGTTGGATTTGACTGAGGAGGAAACCGAGAAGTACATCAGTGATTTGGTCACCCTGAAGACTATCTACGCTAAGATTGACCGTCCCGCACGTCTGGTCAACTTTGCCAAACCCCGGGATGCGGATGACGTTTTGAACGAGTGGAGCAGTGACATGAAGAGCCTGCTGGGTCTGCTCGAGCGCATTGATCACCTCATCACCAAGGAGGAGATGATGGCCCGCATCCAGCCTACTCGCAGTGACATGGGCAAGGCTTAATTGGAATGTATGGCGCGGGATAGCCGCGTGTAAAATAATCGCCGGTAGATCCAACTCACCAGATTCACCTTATATTGTGTTTCATCTCATAGTAACCTTAGAAGTGTAGTCATGATTCGTCAATTGGGGTACTGGGTACACCATGATCTACAATATCTACCATGTATGTACAAGAGACTCTATATCTGACTCTACCTCAAAACGGCATATCCATGTCATTAACATCCACCTCCTCAACCTTCTTCTTCCCACCCTCCAATTGCTCCCTGATGAACCTAACAGCAGCATCCAAGTAAGGCCGCTGGCTAGGCAAAAAGTGACCGCCAGGATGCCAAACAACCGAACCATCCTTCTCCGGCTCCCCAAGACAAGCATCAATCAAAGCCCGACTCCTCGCCTCCTCAACAACAGCATCCAAAGACCCAAGCACATGCAGAACAGGCGTCGCAATCCCAGGCTCATAGAATCCCCTATACCGCACACCAGGCGCCCTAAACCCAGAATAACAAAGCGCAAACTTCAACGCCGGATGGAACTGCTCCCCAAACGGAGCGGGGACTTCCATCCCCGTCGCCCCATCTTCAGTCACAGTCGCAAAGTGCTCGAATGTCTCTTTCCGTCCCTCGAGGAGAGCAGCGACCATCGCTGCCATTGCGGCACCCTGCGAGAATCCAATCACGCCATCGAAGGGTCCCTCGGTCTTCAGTGTGTGTGCAACTGCTGCGAATCCCTCTTCGATCCCTGTGTAGAGAGGTGGGTTTGCGGTGTTTGAGCGCCGCCACCAGCCGTAGGCTTCGATTTCGTCGTCGGGTTGGCCGGAGGGTTCGTGGCCTGGGATTTCAGATGGGCGTAGGCGCATTGGGCCAGTTGGATAGATTGCGGTCACTTCATGGAGAGGGAAGGCCTTTTGAATGTGTTTTGTCAGAGCGCGGCTTTTGGCGTGGAAGAGGGTGCCTGATTGAGTGTAGCCGTGCAGCATGAGCAGTTTAAGAGGCTGCCTGGCAGTAGGGTTCGGAGCCATTATAAGTGTCAGTGAGGTGAAGTATAAACTGAATTTCAAGAAAAAATTGCCGCAGGCTTTATACAAAAGAAGAAAGACTCGAATTGAGTCCCCCTCTTCAAGTGCGATAAGATAATGAAGGCGGAGTCCACGATAGGAAATTCCCAAGCATCAGCCATCCCAATCCATCTCTCTCGACCTCATCTCTTCAATTCCACATAGACTTGTTGATACTTTCTGAATACCGCAACCATGAGCGATACTATCAACGTTGAAGAACTCAACACTAAAATGCAGGCTGTCCTCGAGTAAGTCAGATCCAATCTTACCCTTCCCCGCGACATCCCACCTAACCAAAACAGCGCCTTCGAAGCACACCCCGAGTGCTCGCCTCCCAACACAAACCCCACCATATACTTCGTCTACGACTTCATTCGAAACACCTACAACCAACTCAAGCAGATCGACGCCGCCAAGTACGCCGCCGGCGATAATGCCACCGATGCCGCCGTCCGCGAAATCGTCGGCCGCAACGCTTTCGCCTCAGTCCTCATCAACGATACCTCTGGCAAGATGGCTATGATGACAGGCGGTGACCCTTCTGCCCCTACCAACTTTGGTGATGATATCAAGGCTACCGTCGCGACCTTGTAAGGAGTCTCAATGATCTGGATATCCTCTTTCTCGTTTCTCATCAGGCCATGCCTGAGTGGGGTTTCACGCTTGGTTACTGGATTCGGTCACTGTCTCTCGTTGAAATATGTCTTGTTCAATACCCGTGTCTAGGCACACCATTTAATTGCATTCCGGTTTTATTTTCTTTATTTTCTCTATTTTCATCGTGGGTTTTCAATCGTGTTTCGTGGGTTCCTTGCTTTTAGTGCCTTTATGACTACGAGTAGTACGAGTCTTGTCGCAGCTCCGTTACACTAGAACGGTTGCGGGGCTTCAAATGCCCTTCCTGTGCCGGGAGTACAGTGATTATGCTTGTGGGCTGATGGTCAATCAACAGTAACAGTAACACTGCCAATTCTTGAAATTGGAAGTGAAACAAAAGAGAGCACAAGCAAGAGAGAAAAAAAAATACAATGCGTTAGGAGTATAAACCCCTTCCCCCCGCTCTATACCAAGTATACTTAAGTGCCAAATTCTGAAAGTAGCAATATTAGTCTCGAAAATCTCGAAATTTTCTCTCTTAGGTGTGACCTTTTGTGGCCTAGTACATGGAATTGTCTACTGATGACTCAAATTACATGCAACACTGCTGCACAGCCTGAAATCAAGGCATTGATTCCGTAAGATTCAAGAAATCAGAGCTTTCATAGCGCTAATGGTGGAGAACCCTCGGGTGGCGCATCTCCGCAGGCTTAGATTCGGGAGTTGGACTCCGTACTGTCCAGGGCTTTGCAATTGACGGGGTTTCATAGGTAAGGTTCTAATGTGAAAGACTCATTGCACTTAGCACTTACTGAAGTGGCTTAGCATCCATGGATTGGGTATGTCTACAGCTCTAGAGGTGCTGGCCAGATACAATTCAGAACTATGAATGTCATACTGCGTACAGCATCCAGCGATGTTAGCGCAAGTTATCACCTGGGCATGGTCGATCTTTACTTGAGGCCAATGTACTACTCATATTTTGAGAACCAATATACAATATCGCAGTTACATTTGCATATATTAAAACAAGAAGCCAGAAATAACATGACACAAAGGTGCCTTTTGTCAGATATCCGGAACTCCCAGAATGCGTTGCTTTTGTCGTTGCTTTTGGGTCGTCATTCCATCTTCTATCTGTCGGAAACAAAACAAGAAAATCCAACACTGATGAAATCATCACCGTGAAATATGAAAAAGAATGGGAAAATAGGAAGGGACCATCAAAAAGGCCACATTCAAATTCTTTCAAAATCACATAGTCGATATGCGCACCAAGTCGAAGAAGGGTAGTCGTTCAGTGGTGAATTGAAAAAATAAAGGGTATGTGACATTTGGAAGTCCAAACAATCCCCTAAAGGACCGTAATAAAAAAAAAAGTTGGTAGGTCAACCCCGGGTTTTGGTATTTTCATCCTAATTTCTCCATGCTAATTCTCACGTTTCCGGAACATAACAAGAAAGAAAAAGTTTTTCATTCGTTTTCTCGTTTACTTGCGGCGGAAAGAGCAGCCCTCGGTGAGACGGGCCTTACCACCGGTAGGCTGGCACAGAACGGTGGAGCAACCGGCGCAGATGACGACGGTCTGGGCGTGGGAGAAGACGGTGGTGATGGTGAAGCAACCGGGGCACTTGACGTCCATGAAGAAGGAGCGGGGCTGGGGCACAAGGGTCTGTGAAGAGTCGAGAATCAGCCATTTGTTTCGAGATTGCGATATCAATAAGATGTATATTTTTTTTCATTCCCATCGTGTTCGTTCGTCTGTCCTTTTCCGCCCGATGGCGTTGGTATCGGGGCGTTTCAGGGTCCAGTCGAGTGTCCAGTCCGGGAATATTCGTCTTGGGGGTTTTGTGCTTTTCGCTTTTGCGGTTCGGAATTCGGTCATACCTTCAGCTTGTGCTTGCGGCCCTCAGCCTGAGGGGTGGGGTTGAGAAGATCGACAGCGAGAACCTGAGACCTGTTAGCGGGTATGTTCACAGTTCATGATTTTATCGTCTCGGTCGCCCTGGGTGTGTTCTGGATCGAATCGAAGAGGGCCGAGCGAAAAAAATCGAGGACGAAAAATCTCACCATCTTGACGAGTGAAAGTCGATCAGCGAGATAGTTGATTAAATGGCGCTGATGGCGATGGCCTTGTGTGATGCGGATGAGGTGGTCTGGAGATAAGTTCGAAGGGATTTAGTTTGTGCCCTCAGTCTCGCTTAGTTGGGGCCAATCAGAGGTTTGGGTTATGGGTCCACTTGGTACCCTATTCAGGACTAGTGTCCCCTGTCTGTCCAATGGAGGCAAGCAGTCTCATGACTCTTCTACAACAATCGACGGGAATCGCGAATCTGGCAGTGACAACTCTCATATTCTATCGCTAAATCGACATTGGGATTCGGAAATGAGTGGTGAAAAAAAGATTTAAAAAAAAAAATACATTATTTACGAAAACGATCATTAGCCAGGTCAATGCTGTTGGTATCCGTCGATACCCGTCTAGACTCGGTTGAGCTCCGCCCATGGTGATCAAGGTTGAACTTCTGTCTTTCCCCAGAATTGGGATTCGCCCAATTTACCCCTCTATTTGGTCTTCTTGGACACACCATTCTTGTGTTCGGTCTCTTCGGTGAATGGGTACTTGATGGTGAGACACCAGATATCGATATAGTCACATATCGTGGTGATGACATCGAACTGAGGGGAGTCAGCATGGTCGCGCAACCAAAGGAACAAAAAACGAAAACATACCACGAAGCTACCGTACACTCCGACTGCCAGACCCAGGCACACAAAGGTGAACGCCACCTGCCCAACACCATTTCCAAGAACGGGTGTGGACCACAAGCCGATCAGTGCGCCGGCACTGTCAAGCACACCCAAGGCGAGTGGGTACAGCAGAACATTATGGTATGGGAAACTGGTCTGGGTGAGGTGGCCAACGATAATGCGACCAACCGAGTAGGCATTGACCAAAGTCACAAACAGTCCGAAGGGAATGGTGAAGTTCTCCAAAATTGCCGGCTGCAGGTACAGGTAGGCGGGGGTGAGAGTCCAGATGGCGACCAGGGGGAGCAAACCGTACAGCGGCTGGAAGGGGTCCTGGCCGCGCTCGCGGCGGACCTGCATAACGTGCATGATACTTGATCCCGTCGCGAAGAACAGAACGAATGCGCCGTACACCAAGTAACCCTGGGTGAAGGGCATGTCGTAGAGCAAGTTGGGGAGGAAGCTTGGTTTGGGGACACCGATCGTGGCCAGCATGGACTGGTGCCAGAAACTGCCACCACCCATGTATGCTGTAAATCCGTAAACGGTGCAGAGGGCCAAAATGCCCTCTACAGGCCCGGAAACGAAGCCCAGTGTGAGGATCTGGGTGTAGTATTCATCCCACGTCTGCACGTAGAAGGTCATAGTCGCTGCATGTTGTCAGATCGGGTCGCTGGGGGTGATTGGGGTGGCATACATCCGAATAATGCGATAAATGTCATCCAGCCCTGGCCGAGGTTCATTGCGGATGCGAAGACCAGAACACCGAGACCGGTGTTGCATGCGTCAACACCTGCTGAAATTAGTCTTTGATCCTCTGTTTCTATCGGAGAACAACTCACTGTGATCAAAGAGCTCTCCCAGCGGTCCACTCTGCCTCGTCCTCCGTCTGCATCGTTATCGTGTCAGCGTATCCCATGGATATCCCATAGACCCAAGGGTGTACACATACGCCTGCATGCCATCCACAGCGTCAAAGGTCTGATACAAGAACAGACCAATCGCGCAACTGGCATAAACCCATCTCGGACAATCTGTATCCAAATTCGGATTGAACCACATCACGGTGATGAAGTTGATAACGACGAACATGAATCCTGTGAGTGTGATCTATAAGACGAGCGATTAATGGACGTTCCGTGAAACATTTCGCGCAAAACTTACAGCATTGGGTCTTCAAGGCGCCAAAGAAAAAAAGTCAGCCATGTTGCGCTTCAGTCTCGAAGAGCTGAGGTATACGCACGCCATCGACATCGGGAAACAGTTGATCACGAATTTGTTGTAGAACGGCTTGAGCACAAACCGACTGATCGGTGAGTGGTCTGCAGATGCATACTTGTAGTTCTTGAGGTTTGCAAGGTGCTGTTGCCGAATGTACACCATTTTGAAGGTATGGCGCGTCTGCGATGCGATTATCTGTGTCCGTTTTGCGCGCGCATGTATTGAATTGTGATTTCGCGTTGCGCGTTCAAGTTGAAGATGTGGTAAAGGGGAGATTAAGAATCGGGAATGTGTCCGATGGAGTTGATCGGCGAGAGGCCACTTGGTCTCGATCGGTTTGTTTTGGGTGGTTTACTTTTTTTTTTCTGCCGAGTCGGAGTGAATAGATTAGATCTTGATGTTCGAGTCTTGAGTCTACTTTATATACCTACGTTAGTTACTCATCTCTCTCTCTCTCTCGTTGAAATGAGGAATCGGCTTTTTGTCTTGGGACACGTGCAGCGCGTGTGTTGCACAACTAAATTACTGCTGTCCAAGCGTTGCCAATAAATCGCCCTAAAGCGTTGTGATCGTCCGTCGCTGGGGTGGGGTACTCCGTGGTGAATACGGATTCCCCCGAGTATACAGTATACTCCGGATATTCCTCAGGTTAAGATATGTTGGATTGACGCTTCATGCCTAGGTACACAATACAGGATATGGGACAGAAGACCTAGTATCCTCTGCTCATACTTGGGGAACGACAGGTATAGGGCGGTGATAGGGCCAATTTCGTCTCTTTGGCAATAACCAAAGGTGCCCAGTGAATATTTCACAAATGCATGGTTTGACTTGCAGCTTAGCCAACGGGGCTCCAAGGCATAGGGACGAGGATTCGACTTTGCATGCTTTGAATCAGAGGCACCGTCTTGTGGACAGTCTCGGCCCAGCCCTCAACACCCCAGGACTCCTCGCGACGGATCTTGCGCTCCTCCAAGTTGGCAAATTGCCAGAGATGGTGCACGGTGTTCAGCTCACCAATCTGCACGAACCAAGCGCCCACGCCTTCCATCACTTCACGGCGGGCAGACAGACCACGGCGCCAGTGTGTCTCCCACTCCAGGAGGTTTCCGGGGTGCAGTGTGTATGATCGAAGTTCAAAGAGACCTCCGAGACGGCGTGGCGGAGTGGTGGGCCAGAAAGAGAATTCCTGCATAAGCGAGGTCTTCTTGCTCTTGATCAAGCTCTTGAGTTTGCGATCAAACTCGCGGAACTCGGGGTGTTCCGAAATGTTGTGGAGGGAGGCGTGGTAACCTTCATACCGTTGGTACTCCCAAATGTGGACTGCCCAGGGGAAGATGGTCAGCCAACACGCAAACTTCCAGGACTTTGATTGGGGGTTCAATATTTACCAAAGGTGTCATTGTCGCCCACCTGTGTGCGCCAGCTACCCACCAAATTGACGCGGTTCTCCTCGGTGCCCGCCATACGGGGATACCACTGGCCGACCAGCTCTACGTATTCGTCGACCTTGTCGGGCTTGACATCGTGCATGACGATGGAGTGGACGTATTTACCGCGAGCCAGGACCTGCGAGAAGGAGCGTTCCATGTCCTTGTCAAAGTGCTGGCCCTCTTTGGTGCCATAGATGAGCGATGAGAATGAGCCACGTTTGGCAGCCGCTTCATGTTGTTGTTCTTCCCCTATATATCGGTGCATCGACAGTGAGCCCAGTTCCTGATCATCAAGTGGCGAAGCAGCATCGAGAGAATGGAGAATGTCATGACTGCTCGCATTGCTCACTTGTGGAGCAGTGGGAGCGTACTCACGGGAAGGGGTAGACGAGGCAGAAGCATTGACAGACTGACTAGCTTGCTGTTCTTTTCTCACACGAGCTTGTTCCAGGTTCTCCCGGAACTCCCTTTGACGTCTGAGGAACTCCTCGGTAGACTCGGGGGTGACATCTCGAATTGAGGGGGAACGGTAGGCCACGGCCGAGGAACTGAAAGGACGCAGCAGCGTGGTCGCAGACCTCGCCGTGCGGATTGCGCGTGGGCCCAGCATTCTGGAAACAACAAGGGGTTACAAAGAAAGCTCCCGAAGGTGGTTAGACGAGATGGTGGAGTGTGGGATGAGATGGGAAGAGTAGAGCAGACGAGCAGGGGAGAATGATGAAGAGGGGAAGAGTAGTCGGGAAGGTAAGAACAGGGATTGGCGTAAATTGATTGAAGGGGGGCGACACGACGATCCGGGGGATGTGTGCACCAATTGGGTCGGAGAGTATGAAAGAGGGAGTGACTTGGGAGAAGGCTCGAGAGTGGCAGATGCAGAGAGGAGTAGAGAGAGAGAGCAAGGTACTTAGGCAGTACAGACGCTGACTTTGGCTGCCAATTGATTTGCAGCTCAATGTGCGGGGAAGGAGCTATCCCCAGCTGTGGGTACTGGTGACGAACGGGGGCGGTACTCTTGGCTGAAATTCCAGGCTATTGCACATACAATTGTGGGCTATGATGACATGGCCAGGGGGTACTGGGTACCTTGGCACATGTTGACGTTACCTGTACTCTATAGTTTAACTACAGTTACTCTATACTCTATACTGTATACTGTATACTTACTGAGTACTGTGAGGTTCAAATCGTCTGCAATTACCCTGTACTATGCCATGGCCACTGCATACAACAGAACATGATCCGTCATGACGCACTATACTTAAATATTTCCCACATATCACTTCCGAGTATAGGCGCATACAAATACACCTTACCGCCACACAAAACCATTTGAGAGATACTCTGTATTGATCACTAGTTAGTACTCGTACGGAGTACAGTCCAGAACATACGATAACCGAATGTATGACGTTGCCGGTCCGGACAAACAGCGATCCGGCCCCGAGCATCGGCAGATCTTCAGATCTCTCTCTTCAACAACATTGCAAACATGGCTGATTCACTAAACCCCCCATTGTCCTACGAGGCATCGGCAACTACCACTCACCCTCATGTCGCCACTTCACTCCCATCCGAGGTCATCCAATGTCTCAAGAACTCCCGCTTCGTCAGTACCACCCCACCCACCGACAAGCCAAACTAACCTCTCCCAAAGCTGCATCTGGCAACATGTGATGACAAGACACCACACATTTCCTTGATGTCGTACACCTATCTTCCCTCTACCCCGTTCGACCCCAACCCCACCATCATCATGACCACCAACCCCGCATCGCGGAAAACAAACCACCTCTTGTCCAACCCGCGGGTGTCTCTGCTGGTCCATGACTGGGTCTCACATCGCCCACCCACCAGGGCCCCAAACCACGGTGAGCGTGATGGTTCTCCGCCGCCTGCCGCCACCCGCTCTTCCCTGGCCAGTCTGCTGCTTAACCTGAACACCAGTGCGCTGTCCAGTATCTCGACCACTATCTGTGGAGAGGCGCAGTTCTTGGAGTCTGGCTCGGAAGAGGAGTCATGGTGTAAGGCACGCCATTTGGAGAATAACACCTTCGAAGAGGAGGAGATCAACACTTTTGGTCAGCAGCAGGATCCCAGCCAGAGACGGCCTAGTCTCTCGCTGGACACTGATGTGCGGGTTGTTACTGTCCGAGTTACAGAGGGCCGCATTGCTGATTGGAAGGGAGGTGTTCGTGATTGGACTCTGCTCCCGGCTGAATCGCAGGATGCTGGGCTGGTCAATGGCGTGGCGTCTTCATAGTTCTGCTTATTAGGGTTATCAATTGTTCTGCTTTGATAAAGTGGCTCTCCATACTGGAATCACGGGCTCTACCTATTCAAGCTCGTTTTGCTTCTAGAAGTGGCAGTTTGGTTCTCCAGAAGCTTCGTAGTGCCCAATTGATGCTCTACTGCGGAGTACTCCGGTAATCCTAAGGTTCCAACCTGTTTCGCTTGTATATTAAGACAATACTCAAATAGCTCTTAACGACCAGATATCGTATAGAAAAAATGCAATGGAATAGATGGAGTCGGGAAATAACCTGGAATAGCAAACGAGCAACGCCACTTATCAAACCTTATCGGAGACGCAGCTCCAGCTTCTCCGCAACCGACCAACTCCGAGGAAAACATTTTATGTTCCAAGCACTCAATTCCCTCTCACCTGGGCACTTCCTACACTCACCACTATACGGAGTACCACAATCAGCAAAATGAGACTCGCCCACCTCCACCTCCACCATCAAACGCCCTTTGCCCGCGTCTCAGCCATCCAACAAGCCCTCACAACCCGACTCCTCACCCACAAAAAGCTCGCCTCCCCAGGCTCTCTATCCTCCCAATACGACCACACCTCTTTAAAATCACCACCCCCACCCCCAGACCCAACAATCATAACCTTCACCCCAAACCCCGTCTACACCACTGGCCGCCGCGACCTCCCCCCATCAAACACACTCTCCCCAACCCTCTCCCTCCCCCCACCCCTCGAACCAATCCGCCATATCTTCACAAAAAACAAGGCAGAATACCACCCCACGCTACGCGGTGGCCAAACAACATACCACGGCCCCGGCCAGATGGTCGCATACACGATCCTCGATCTAAAGAGACTGGGTCTTACGCCGCGATGCCATATCCGCGTTCTGGAGAATAGTGTTATTGATTTACTGGCTGGGTATGGGGTGCGTGCAGTGACTACTGAGGATCCGGGTGTGTGGACGGGTGGGAAGAAGATTACTGCTGTGGGTGTGCATTTGAGGAGGAATATTAGTAGTTTTGGGATTGGGTTGAATGTTACAGATGAGCCTATGTGGTTCTTTAAGCAGATTGTTGCTTGTGGGTTGGAGGGGAAGGAGGCTACCAGTTTGCAGGGTGTTGGTGTGGCTAAGGAGATTGATGATGTTGCTGCTGGGTTTGTGGGGAGGTTTGTGGATCGTGTTAATAAGGATTTTGCTTGTGGGGAGGGTTTGGGGGAGAAGATTGAGGAGGTTTATCGGGTTAGGGAGGAGGATCTTTTGCCGGCTTGTTAAATCTATAGATTATCTATAGATGTTCCAATTAGGGAATTTTGGGTAAAATAATACTGTATACATGTTTATATTGCGGATATATACTTAAGTATATCCATGGATATCGTATGCTCGGTACTTCTGGCTATTTGCACTGATTGGCATGCTGTGTCTGACTATCGATATTATGCTGACCTATAGTGCCATTTTCATCTAGAAAGTTGTAATTAAGTACGGGGTATCCTTCGATGTACTTGGATACTGTGTCTGATGTATATTGATCTCAAAATCTGACTGGATGGCTATAGCTTGGTATCATGACATGCTATGTGGATGTCCAAATGGGGACCTGCATGCTGCGAATGCTGATCAAACCATAGTTGCATTGTCAATAAGTCAATTCGAAGTGATCATTGGACAGGGCGTTGGATTTTCTCAAGTTGGGTGTCCTTGACTGAAAGGTCCAGAGCTTGACTGTAATGCCACACATGCTAGGACTTTTTGTCCACAATATCTCCACGAGTGTATGTATGTAGTAGACACTCCTAATCCTGAAGTATGGAAGTCCTGGAGGCCCAACTTTAGAAGGTTTGACGAGTCACAACCCTCAGCTATTGGCATCAAGGCAAAGTATTTCAACGATCTAATAGAATATTATATTTGTATAAAACGTAAACACCAAGCCCGCACGATTGCCCGGAGATCCGGCATGTAAAAGCAATCACCAGAGCAATTGGTCCACGTATTGGCCAGTCCGGCCGAGAGAAAGAAAAGCGAAAGCAAGCTCAAACACCAATGCATGGGGGAATCAACAAATCGACTATAAAGTGGAGACAAGAAGGGGCGGTAAGAAAGGGAAGAGGACGCATGTCCTCCAGAGATAGGCTGTGGGAGTATATAGCTCCGGCAAGTATAGGGTCCCAGCACCCCATGCAAGTCATGTCGGGCATGAAGGTGTCATCCAACGCTCATTGAATAACACACGATGAACCAGAGGCCGATGCTCCAGCCGGCTTAACCTCCAGGGCAACCTTGGCAGCTTCATAGAAGCTCTCTCTAATACCGCGATTTTGAACCGCGGAGCATTCTAGACCCTGTTAGCCATGTCCCCCAAGCCAAAAGCCAAATCCTGGGAAATACGAACCCAAGTACTTCACGGCTCCGATTTCTTTCGCTTTCGCGAGTCCCTGATCAAAACTGATCGCATTGGGGTTGTCATTCAGGTCCTCGTCTTTGCGCAAATCGCATTTCAGGGCTGTCAGGACAACCCGCACACCGGGACAATTCTCATTGATCTCCGCGATCCATTTGGAGGAGACGTTCTCGAACGAGTCTGGGCTATCGACCTGTGCGCGCATTAGTTTGGGCATCACAGGCATCACAGATAGGACACAATGCCATACACTAAAGCAGAGCATAAGAACATGGGTATCCTCATAAGACAGGGCGCGCAAGCGATCGAATTCCTCCTGACCGGCCGTATCCCATAGCGATAATTCGACGTGTATACTATCGACAAAGATATCTGGGCGCATCAGCCTGCGATCGAGTAAGTGGGGAGTGGGGAATACCGTGGACGTAGTTTTCTGTAATGCGTTAGCTGACTTTCGGCAATTGGGGAGAATGCGCGCATACCAAAGACTGTCGGTTCACTGTGAATTTCCAGTCAATTTGGGGTTCTTTTGTTTTCTTTTTTTCTCTTTTCTTTTTTCCATGGGGGACTGCATTCTTACTAGACAGTAGGGAAGAATCTGAGAAGGTTAGCCGGGTCTGAGGGGGGGGGTATGCGAGGGGGCACATACCCGCGTGTAAACACGTTCAGCGCCGAGGTCTTGCCACAGGCTCCGTCGCCGCTGATTGTTTGTTAGACCAATCGCAAGGGGGTTCCGATCGAAACTGACAGTAGCACCATCTTGCGCTGGACTACCTTTTGTCGGCCGCACAGCTGCATCGCGCAAGGTGGTCGGTAGTACTTAAGTAGATGAGAATAGTAGGTAAAGCGGGGGGTCAGAGATTAAAAGAAGTAAGAGATTAAGAGACTAAGAAGAAGTCAAGCAAATGAAAAGATGTTGTCGGGGGAAGATTCCAGGACTGGCTGAGTCGATGACATCGAAGGGATCGGCGCCCCTTCTGGTCCGCGGTTTTCTCTTTGTCTGCACTGCCACTTCTCTACTATAATGTATATTATAGTATATATATAGTATATACTATGTTCTATATTCTGTATTTTTAACATCGTCTCTTACTCTATACTGCACTTTGCGAATCCCTCTGTTCTGCAAGTATAGAGAGGGTCAACATCTCCCTAATTGCGCGGTGGAGCTTCATTTCCCAGATGCGATAGATCGCTGCTTAGCGAAGGCACTGGTAGGTGTGGCTCGGCAATTTCTTCCATGGAGCTATAGACTGTCGCGCATAATCGGTTTTCTACGGAGTGAGCTCAGTACATAGTACTTTGTACTCCGGAGTGGTTACTTCATAAGCTAATTACTCTGTACTTATTGAATATGACCGTATATGATAGCCATATGATAAACAGAGTAAATAAGTAAAGAAGTAAAGAAGTGAAGAAGTAAAGAAGTAAATAAATAATCATAGAGACAAAGGATGTATAAGAGAACTGTAGAGTAGAACAATAGAATACGAAAGCAAAACACAAGGCGGAAGCTCAGCTTCTCCAAACCCCACCGGACCTACCCACTCCAACTTTCTCCTACAGTACGGAATACATATTGAAGGACACGCCCTCACAATGTCCGACGATGATTTTATGCAGGATTCTGGGGACGAAGAGTAAGCCCTGCGGTCGCTACCCCCAGGCTGCGCTGACCGACACAGTTATGACTTTGAATACGAGGATGCCGATGACGACGAGTCCGGAGACATTGGCATTGAGAACAAATACTACAATGCGAAGCAAATGAAGGCTGACAACCCGGAGGAGGCCGTGGATGAGTTCCTAGGCATAGCGCCCATGGAACAAGATAAGAGTGACTGGTGAGCGAAGAGAGCACCGTGGGAGGAACCACCGCTAACGACAACAGGGGATTCAAGGGTCTGAAGCAAGCGATCAAGCTGGAGTTCCAGCTCGGGCGATACAGCGACGTGAGTGCCAACGGGGTAGAAGGGGATCGCAAGCTATACTGACTCTCCATCTCTGTCTAGGCTGTCGAACACTACCGCGAACTGCTCACCTATGTCAAATCGGCCGTGACCCGCAACTACTCCGAAAAATCCATCAATAACATGCTCGACTACATCGAGAAGGGATCCGACGATGCCAAAACCTACGAGTGTATGGAGGAATTCTACTCGTTGACCCTCGAGTCGTTCCAAAATACCAACAACGAGCGCCTGTGGCTGAAGACCAATATTAAGCTGGCGCGGCTCTGGCTGGAGCGCAAGCAATACGCCCAGTTGGGCAAGAAGGTTCGGGACCTGCATCGGGCATGCCAACGCGAGGACGGATCGGACGACCCCAGCAAAGGCACTTATCTCCTCGAGCTCTACGCTTTGGAGATCCAGATGTTCGCCGAGACGAAGAATAATAAGCGGTTGAAGGCCCTGTATCAGCGGGCGCTGACCGTGCGGTCGGCGGTGCCTCATCCCAAGATTATGGGCATTATTCGAGAATGCGGCGGCAAGATGCACATGAGCGAAGAGAACTGGAAGGAGGCCCAGATTGCGTTCTTTGAATCCTTCCGGAATTACGACGAGGCAGGATCCATGCAACGCATCCAGGTGCTCAAGTACCTCGTGCTCACGACCATGCTCATGAAATCCAACATCAATCCCTTTGATTCCCAGGAAACCAAACCCTACAAAAATGACCCACGCATTTCGGCCATGACCGACCTAGTGGACGCCTTCCAGCGCGACGACATCCATGCATATGAGGACGTGCTGAGCAAACATCCGGACGTGTTGGCGGACCCATTCATAGCCGAGAACATCGACGAGGTCAGCCGCAATATGCGCACCAAGGCCGTTCTGAAATTGATTGCCCCCTTCACCCGCTTCACGCTCCAATTCATCTCCAAACACCTCAAGATCTCCGTCCCAGAGGTCCTGGACATTCTGAGCTTCCTGATTCTCGACAAGAAGCTCAATGCCAAGATCGATCAGGAAAATGGCACCGTGACGGTGGAGAGTGCGAGTGACGTGGAGCGCCTGCGTGCGGTGCAAGAGTGGAGCTCTGCGCTGCGCACGCTCTGGCAAACAACATTCAACGGTGAGGGGCTGCGCGCCGATGAATCCACAGCCCCGATCTTCCCGGGATTTCGAGAGGAGCGTGCCCGGAAAGCACCCGTCAAACAGAAGTTATCACACTGGTAAAACAAAGAATAAGCGCCCACACGTGGCTGAGCCGCGTCTCACCGATTCTTTGTCTGGTCTTTAGTTTTCTTTACTTTGTACTCTCTGTACTCTGTACTCAGTACTCGGTACCTAGCTGTTTCGACTTGACTCTTTAGAGTTGACAAAATAATGATAAGATGAACATATTAAATCAGTACCTCAATCTAACACTAGGCTCTGCGTCCCACCCCGAAGGAAAGTTGGCAAACTTGCGCAAGCCATCGGGAATCACATCAAATGAACACCCTGGCTGGTCCCAACAGACCGGATGGTAATCGAGTTGGAAAGGGACTCCGATTGGCGTCCTTTGCATGTGAGTGCATGCTAGCTTGGTATTACCATACCTGTATTCGAGTACTATACACCGTAGCCTATGAGCATAGTAGTAATACTCCATAGAACCGTATATAATGGGCGCCTTATGCACGGACAAGAGGTCGGGTGATATGAGAGATCAAATGAGAGAGAACAGGAAAGCCAAAGGTAAAATATTTCCGGCAAATCGCCAGCAAACAATATTCAGCCCTGAACCCCGCTTTGGGTGCCTTTTACCCGCTACTTATGGTACGGGTAATACCTAGGTACATATAGTCAGATCGACTTTAGTACTTTAATATTATCGAATATCAAAGTAATACTCGTATACGTAGTAATATAGTATATAGTATATAGTATATAGTATATAGTAATAGTAGAAGGCTATAATGCCACGATCGGCATCTTCAGACGCACGGTCTAATATTTTGGTTTTAATGGTTTGTCTTATAATATTAAATACTCAATAATAAATACTCAATATCATTAAATACTAAATACTAAATACTAAATACTAATATTAAATACTAATACTAATACTCAATACAAAAAATATTAAATCTCAAGAGTATTTTCTCTTTTCCTGAAATCTGATATCTTCCCTCTCACATCTCTCCTTTCCCGCCTTCAATTGTGATCTTCCCCTCTTTTTCAACTCCCACACACTTTCTCTGACATTCATGCCCCTTACAGTAGGTACCCTTTTCTTCAAAATTTACTCTGCTCGGCCTCGTGCACTTGTCCATATCGGGACTTCAGGACTTCAGGATCTTGAGGCCCTGACATCATTTCAATGTGTTCTGGACTCTCTACCCTTGTACTCCATACAGACTACTCCGGAATTACCCCATACCCATATGACCCCCTCTCTATCTACTATTTCACTTTGGCCTGCCGTTGCAACCCTCTGTCTCTGCACATCTCGATCGTCGTGCTGAAAACTATGTCAGCAGTAGCCGATCCACCGCACTGGGACACGCAGTGTTGCACAGCTAGTGTAAAGCCGTGTGCCCGTCAATGTGCAAGTATGTCTTGTCTTCTGTCTTTAAAGACCAACACCCCCTAACAGATCTAGCCATCGAATCCGGATCATAACTCACCGCAATCGTATGCGATGTCCTTATCAAAACCTACTTGGAATCATTTCGGTTCTCACCACCCGTTCCCGGACAAGCAGAACTTCGATCTCTACCGGGACGTTCCTTCTTTCCCTTTCTCTCTCCCCGCCTTCCCCTTCGCCATGAATGCTCTCTCTGCCGACGAGATGGAGCGCTTCCAAAGGCTCTCCAACACCTATCAGCCTGAAGTCCAGGTATGCATTTCTTCCGGCACTTCCGGCACTTGGGTCTGACATCCGACAGGGTCCCGCCGTCTCCACGAAACAGGCCAGTCACAGCATCGCCCTGGACTACTCCAATGCAGACCCAACTTTGGCTGCAAAGACCAATGTAGGTGATGATTTGTTCCCTCCCTGGTCTGCGTCGTGCATCTAACAGGTCACCAGGCCTTGGCTCTCTCCCACCCCGAATGTCGTATTATGAGAGGGGATGGGAATTGCGGTTGGAGGGGTAAGCTACGGAGTCCGGTCGGAAACGTGATATGTGAGGTGCTAACCCGCTGCAGCTGTGGCGTTTGGATATTTCGAAACGCTCTTCGCTCTCCGTGACCCGCTTCGCATTCAAACCGAGACGGCTCGAATCAAATCTTTGAATGCACTTTTGGATCAGATTGGTCTCGCCGATCACATTTATGAGATCTTTGTCGATGCTACGGAGGAAATTCTCAAGCGGATCCTCGATGCTATTCAGAGCGGTGTGCAGGACGAGTCTTTCCTTGTGGATGCCTTTAATGAGGGATACAGCTCCGATGCTGTCATCACCCATTTCCGGGTAAGTTTGTACCCTGGGACTTGATGTGATGATGTTTTTGCGCTTCTCGAGATGGGAGCTAATGATATGTTCAGCTCTTGACTAGTGCTTGGATCAAGCTGAACCCGGGTCGATACATTCCATTCCTTCCTATGCCTGTCGATCAGTACTGCAGTACGCGGATCGACCCGGTGAAGACCGAAATCGACGAGGTGGGTCTGCAGGCACTGATCCACGGCGTTATTGAGGGGTCTGGCTTTGGCGTCGAGATTCTATACCTGGATCGAAGCGAGGGCGATGCGGTGACACCTCATCAATTGACCACCAGCTGTCCCAATGGGGCAACCCTACGCCTTCTTTACCGACCGTGAGTGATACTTCTTTTGGTGATACTGCGAGAGTCTCTAACTTGTTCCAGTGGCCACTATGATATCCTCTATCAGGCTGATTCCAATCTGAACGTGGCGCCTATCGTCAACCTCCAGTATGGATTAAGCTCCGATTACACCAGCTCCTGGGACAGCGCTACTCTTGGATTCGATATGAACTCCAGTTTGATGGCCATTCCCAATCTGATGCAGGATTCTTCTTTCGGCATGGGCGCCCCCATGTCCCCCATGCCATCGGTCTCGCCTGCTCCACCCAGTCCTTTCCGGATGTCTCCCCAGCAGGAGATGTACCAGTCGCCTATGCAATCCCATGCCCCCATCTCTTCCCTCCCCGTCTCCCCCCATCCTCCTCCACCAGCACCATCCTCCGCCCCACCACCCATGACCTCGCTGCCCAGCCGGACCTCGGACGGCCCGCAGATTCGACTGAACCCGCTCGTGATGAAACCGAACCTGAGTCGATCGCTGCCGGTCACCACGCCTTTCAAAAAGTGAGTCTTCCATACTCCATATCGTATTCAATCACTGACATCTCCAGCTCCCCCTACAACCAAGCCCACTTCCAAAATTCCGACTTCGAGCCCATTCATTGGGAGCCGCATGGAAGATAAACCATCACGATGAAAAGAGCCATGACTTTCTTTCTCTTAATCATCCCTTATTCGCCCAGCTCTTCTCGTTCTATTATTCTCTTGCACTCTTTTTGTTTTCTTTTGGGACCTATCTCTCCTGAGCCCAACCCTCTTTTGTCTTCTTGAATGTCCTCTTTAGCGTGGTGCAACGCGTTGCATGGTACGAGCGTTCTCGCCCAGATTGTTTCTTCAGCCTCGGGATTCTTCTGTTTATATCTTTGGTGTTTGTTCGGATCCCACGCCAGTCACTTTCCATTGATCTTAGTCATACAATTTCTGAATCGATGATTCTTCATCACTGTTCAACCCTCTTCATCCTGCCTCTAATACTGTACTAACCTCCCTAACACATCACCCAATCCTGACTACTCCAATCATCCAACATCGTATTCAGAATAGGCGTCTTAAGAAACAATCTCTCGCAGTTTCGCGTTATCCACAAATCCGAAACGGGAATCACGCGCGCCACATCTGTACTTCATTATAGTATATGACTGTCTAGTATTGGTTTAATTGTTCTAAAATATGCTGATCTTAGAAGTGGTTATTAGTAGAATTTGAAACAGGACATGAAAACTATAAGATTCGAGAGACACATACCACACTGCACCAATATTCTCTCATTCTTCATGGCTGACTTTTTGCATGTTTCATAGAGAGGAAATGCAATATATGATCTGGAGATATTCAGTCCCAATTCCAAGTAAGCAACTTTGAGATGACCTCTAGGGTAGGATCTACATCGGAAGATCTCCGAGCTGGTATACTCCTGAAGCCCGCGTATAAGGAACACCTCTAGCTCTACTCAGAGATCCCTGGTAGTGGATTTGGCTCTGGTCTTCCGTCACCGTTACAGCCAACAGACTGTGCTACAGAGTACAGAGTCAAGTATCCAATGCGGAAAAGAAGAGAGGATGGATGAAGAGAGAAAAAAGAAGAAGCAAAAAGGAAGTGCTGGGATCGAACCCCAGACTTCCTTCAGGGGAACCTGGGGCACGAAACAGGTACCCATCCCCCGGATGGAATTTACTCTGGGAGTGTGCACCCTCACCAGCGAGCTCGACCACTGCCGAGGGTCGAACCCTTAGACCACAGAAAAACCCCTTGGCTAGTTTTGCTCCTTATCTTCCACTTATGGGGACATTTACAGTATGGAATACCAATGCCTAGGTATCAGTGCGTTTGAATTGTCTGCTGTTCTGTCTGTTTACAACCCGACTCGGCACGTTTCCGGGCCGCTTCCCCGCATTATCACCCCGAGTCGGCCACTTCCCCAGACTTAATCGTCACATTGCGGAGGAGAGAACTCCGTCTCTACTCTCTTCCATATCATAAGACCACTCGGAGTACTGTCTTCCTGAAAGCTTGATATTTGTTGAAGTCGGAGTACTGTCGTCCTACAAAAGAACAAAGTCCTATTCTGGTCTGGGTTTCGAACATATAAAGACCGACATCGTGAGTTCAATTCATCTCAATATCACAGCCTTGGAACTACCTCGTCATGGATACCAAGGGTGGGTTTGCTTTGGTTCTGCAGAATCCGTATCTATGTGGCGTGGCATCGGTACGTTCGTCCTATACTTAACATTGTCCGGATCTATAGCTGATCAAATAGTTCTCAACCCTGGGCGGGTTACTATTTGGTTATGATCAGGGTGTGATCAGCGGAGTCATTACCATGGAGTCATTTGGGGCTCGGTATCCGCGCGTTTTCTCAGACAGTGGTTTCAAGGGCTGGTTCGTTTCGACACTGTTGCTGGCTGCGTGGTTGGGGTCTTTGATTAATGGTCCTATTGCCGATCGCATTGGACGGAAATTGTCTATTAATCTTGCTGTTGTGGTGTTCACGATTGGCTCTGTCATTCAGTGTGCGGCTATGAATATCCCTATGTTGTTTGCTGGCCGTGCTATTGCTGGTTTGGCAGTTGGTCAGTTGACTATGGTGGTGCCATTGTACATCTCTGAGGTTTCGATCCCTGAGATTCGGGGTGGTTTGGTGGTGGTACAGCAATGTGAGTTGTTTCCGATGCCATTGCGATGTGACATGAGCTTATTTGGACAGTTTCTGTCACGCTGGGAATCCTGTTCAGCTATTGGATCGACTATGGAACAAATTATATCGGTGGCACCCGTTGTGCTCCAGATATTCCTTACTCGGGCGGTACCACCCTTAAGCCTGTCTTTGATCCTTACCATGATGTTCCTGTTGGTGGCTGTACGGGACAGTCAGAGGCATCGTGGCGGTTCCCTCTTGCTCTGCAAATTCTTCCAGCTGTGATTCTGGGTGTGGGCATGTTATTCTTCCCTGACTCGCCTCGCTGGCTATTGATGAAGGAACGCGATGATGAATCAATCACTGCTCTCTCCAAGTTGCGTCGACAGTCTCGTGATAGCCCCGTCCTCTTGAACGAGTATCTGGAGATCAAAGCTTCTATCATGCTAGAGAACACTTTCGCAAGGGAAAACTTCCCCAATCTATCTGGATACAAGCTACATGTGGCTCAGGTATGTTCATATCTACACCATTCACGTCCTTCTACTAAACCCCCTTAGTACATGTCCTTCCTAACCACATGGGCCCGCTTCAAGCGCCTAGCCATCGGATGCATTGTGATGTTTTTCCAGCAATTCATGGGCTGCAACGGTACGTCAGATCTTAGCATTCAATCTCCCAATATCTAACCCCAGCAGCAATGATTTACTACGCCCCTACAATCTTCGCCCAGCTCGGTCTGGACGGAAACACCACTTCCCTTCTTGCAACAGGTGTCTACGGCATCGTAAACTGCCTAAGTACCCTCCCAGCACTCTTTTTCATCGACAAAGTCGGTCGTCGCCCATTACTCATGGCCGGCGCTACAGGGACCTGTATCTCACTGGTCATTGTGGGTGGTATTCTAGGTGGATATGGATCTGGTCTGGTAGACAACAAGTCTGCAGGCTGGGCTGGTATTGCCTTTATTTACATTTACGATATCAATTTCTCCTATTCGTTTGGTGAGACTGGCTTTTCCCCCCTTCTGTATAACATGCTAACTGTTCAGCCCCTATTGGTTGGGTTCTCCCTTCTGAGATCTTTAATCTGTCCATTAGATCCAAGGCTATCTCAATTACTACTTCTGCGACGTGGATGTGCAATTTGTAAGTTTGGTCTTGAATTTGGGCTTTATTTGTACTCATCTCTTTCCAGTATCATCGGCCTTGTCACGCCAGACATGCTTGAGTCCATCACTTGGGGCACGTACATCTTCTTCGCTGCATTTTGTCTTCTTGCCCTGGCATTCACGATATTCTGCGTTCCCGAAACCAGAGGAAAGGTTAGTGTCTTGATTTTAATTACGTTTCTTTTTTTTTTCTTTTTTTTTCTAGGCTAATCCCAATAGACGTTGGAAGATATGGATCTCATCTTCGGGGATACAGCCGCCCACGAAGAGAAGAAACGTATCAAGCACATTGAAGCCGAGTTACGGGGTACACCGATCGAAGACGACGAGTTCATGAAACCCGTCGACGAACATGCCGAGACAATCGCTTAGAAGCTTAGAAATACCCTTGGTATTTGATCATTAATTCCAACTCGATACATACTGTTGAAAGATGCCTAGACCAATGACCATTGAGGAAAAAAAAATCAAACCTATTTTCACACGCGCAGTCCTATGCAAAAAACAAAACTTTAAATCACTCTGCAGCTGGGAAGTTCACCCATTCTGAAAAATCCATTCCTCCCGCATTCATCTGCATCTGCTGCTCTACTGGGAAGAGACTTCCTCCGAATCCGGGATCGCTGAATAGCTGTTCGGGGAAGGGCATCATGTTCTGTGGGGGTTGGGGGATGTGGTGCATTGGTTGGGCTTCGTGTGGGCCTGTGGGGATGGTGTGTGGTTGGGTGTGGAGGGGTGGGCCTAGGAGTCTGTTGATGACTTCGTAGCAGCGGGTTGCGAAGCGGTTTGTGCCGAGGGAGGGGTGGGTGAGTAGGGCTTTTGTTGTTTCGATGTCTTGGAGCCAGGTTGAGGCTTCTGGGTTGGAGGGGTCGGTCATGAAGAAGACGATGGGGATAAGACCGGCTTGGAAGAGGAAGTAACTGGCACCTTGTTAGTTTTTTCTTTTTCTTTTTCTTTTTCTCTTTTTTTTTGGGAATGGCATGGATGGGGTTGGAACTTACAGCATGTACCATGCGCCGATTCTTGTACAGATGTAGTTTTCCATATACTCTGAGATGGATGAGATGGTCAAGCGGGCGTTCTGGAGACAGCGCACTCGGCACTCTGTTTCACATGGGTCTTCGGTTCCTGCATCTGGGGTGCCTGGTAGGCCACTGAGTGGGGCCCATCGTCTCGCGGCCCAGCGGAGTAGGATTGGTCGGTGGATAAGGATGGTGAGGTTCCAGTTCCGCCACAGCAGACGGTTGCGGACTAGCGCAAGGGAATCGGGGTCCGGGTTGGTTGGCTGCACGGACAAAGGCATCTGCGGGTGTTGCAGATAGGATGGAAGGCCATTGTACCACTCTTCAATGGGCTTTTGCAGGGCCAATGTATCCTCCGGTGTTAGGCTAGGGCTTGAGATGAGGCGTTGGTAAACGCTGTTGGTGAGGATGTGGAAACGAGCCTGGGCAATTAAACCGGAGTATATCGTTGGGCCAAGAGATTCGTCGGGAAGTGCAGTGGTAGTTGGTGTCAATTCATCTTCATGAATGTTTCGAACTTGCTTGGCGTCCATGACGCTCTCTTCGGGAAGCAGAATCGGTCTTCCAAATGTTTTTGCTGCACCACTGTCGAAGATGAACACTCCCCACCACAACCTTCTGCGGATTTCCCTCTGTAGCAGACTGATCTTCCAGCCGGGGAACTCCTTGTGAAGACCCAAACTCATGGCCATGCGGACAGCTAGACCGAGATAGTTCCATCCAGTGTTTGGCTTGTTTCGCTTCTGGGCATAGTTACTCAATAGCAACAGGCCCTGTACCAAGGTCAGATTTCCAGTCTCAAATACAGAAGCTTGTTGCAGGTATCCTCTAGCTTCTTGGTAGAAGGTAATATCGAGATCAGAACTGTCATCGCCAATACACCATGCTCCAAGGGCCAAAATGGTGTTGAGAAGAATATGCCAAGCTGTGCCATGAGGACGGATAGATGGGTCATTGAACTGTGCCCTGAAAGTTGGCTCGTGGACAAACGGATAACTGGTGTGGTAGTTTAAGAAGAAGGCGTCAATAAAGGCTTGCTCAATCAGCCCTGACGGGGCACTTTCGAGAAGCTGCGCCTTGAGAGGTACGCCTCCCGATCTTGCTGATCGGACAGGCATATTCAAGTCAAATCCATGATCAAACAATGCTCGCAAAGGAACAACACTTGAAGAAGCTCCTGTGGTGGTTGTTAGTCGTCAATCGTAAAGTGATTATTGAATAGACCAACCAAAGTAGCCTGCTCCTTCGGGTTTGATCGACAGCGCAGCCATGCCGTCAGTCAAGTCCCCGAGGGTAATTTCTTTTTCGGCCCAGTCAAAGCCATCGGCTTGCTGGGGGAGTGCTTCAGGTGCTGGCTCGGCAGGCTCTTGCTCGTGCTTGGCCGGTGTAGAGTGCCTTGAAGAGGATTTTGATGAAGGAGCCCTCGGAGCCTCTGGATTCTGCAGAAGAGACCGAAGAGTAGCGTCTAGATCACCTCCTGGGAACAGCCTTCCTAAGGCTGTTTCAAATGAATGTAGACGATCTTCGACATAGGTCAAGTGTCTGGGGTGGTTAGTATAATTTCATGCATACACATTTCGTGTTCGACTTCAAGCACTTACTGACGAGTCAGCGGACTTCGGCTGACTTTGGGGCTATACAAGCATTCTTTGTTCAACTGCCTGCACTGCAGGCAGACTGGTCGCTCTTTAGAGCACTGGAAGTCATGTCAACAAAATGTGTCTTTCGATCGACTTCAAACAGGTGACATACTCTTGACTTGCGCAAGCGGCATTCGTCGCACTATACTGTCAGATCCGATTATCTCCGGTCGATCCAGTTGATACATACAGCAAATGAGTGGGAATCACGGGTGCTGGCCATCTTTATCGAGACAAGTTGGATATCTCGTATGGTGTATGCAATGCGCTCTGATCATGCCATACAACGGCAGTCATCTGAACATGTTAGTCTCATGTATTTGATATCGGGGAATACCGTATTCTCCAGGCCGGTATATCTTTGGCAGATACAGCCCTGGAGCAGTGGCAGGGGATTTCTGAAGTAACATATGAAGGGTAGAGTAGACCACTTACGATCGGCGCTAAAGCAATCATTCGAGCCAGTAATGCGATGTGCAAAAGATGCATCCGATGCTCCCCTCCGTGAAGTGGGGAAAAAAGCGGACAGGCGGTGCAAAACTTTTATCGCTGCCTGAGGCATTCATTTGTCTTCTGAAAGTACTTAAGTATATTGTTTCTGAGTGTGGAATATTGGATTTCGGCTGTAGAATGGTATTGTGTCTATTCCCGAGTTTTATCTGAGGATCGCAAGGTCAATATCAAGATGAATATCCCGGTATCGCTCCAAAATGGTGGGGTCAAAGCTCTAGACTAAGACGAGAGACAATATATAACGGCTCTATACTTCTCAGATTCAGCCTTATACCTCGAGTTTCTCAATTTCCGTGTCTAGGGGTACAAAGAAATGTCAAATAGATACTTACCCACAGATCAATGTATATCTAATAGAAACAAATCCTTCTTCAGGACATCAAGTGACAATTTCAATACATATCAGATTATGATCCTATGTCTTGGCATGGCGGGATGCCTCAGAGCCGCAGACATTTTTTTTCTGATCAAATCGCCTCACTCAGCAACACAACCAAACAAATATCGATATATCTTCAAAGCACGGAAATTATCCAGAGTGCTCAATCTATACCACAAGTCATTGAGAATCCCCCAGGGCTTACATCGAAGCGCAATCATGCCTTCACAACCCCCACTACCGCCCCTCCTCGCTCCATATGTATCATCTCTACCAGATGCATCTTTGACCCTAGTCTCTTCTATCCTCGGAGCAACTTCAAACTGGCTGGTTTTAAGATTCTTACATGCCGCGCTCAGCTCCCAATCAGCTTCAACATTCGGCGCAGACGATCTGCAGAATGGGATCAAAAAGAAGGTCGTACTCGTGAGCTTTATGCGGAGTTATGAGTTTTGGAAGACAGAAGCAAAGAGACTGGTAAGTGATTTATTGTGAATGGAAAACAGAGACGATTCGAACATGTGGATTTGCATTTGCCTGAAATCTGCTATCCCAGTCCTCACAAGTCTTGACCTTGATGTTAACCCTTCTCCAGGGCCTTGATCTTACACGTTTAGCAGAGAAGCATCAATTTGCTTTCATAGACGGCCTGTCTGAATTATTTTATCCACAATCTCCCGCTCCTACCAGCTCACCTGGTATGGGAAGCAGTCCGCGCACAACGCTGCCTATGAGAGGTCCACCTGGTGCCGTGCCTGGCAGAGCACCACAGCCAACGGCGCCGGTGGGAACCATGGGCAATCCAGCCGCAAAGCAGGAGCCCGGCATTGCAAAGAAACTTCATTTCTCTGGCCGCGGGCTAGCCTCCCTTGATGCAATGGAAAAGGATATTGCCTCGGTGATTGAACAGCAAAAGACTCAAATGGAAGAGGGCGACGAGCTGGTCCTTATCATCGATCAGCCTGACTTGCTGCTCGCGACAACAGGCCCCAGTATGGGCATTGGAGCTACGGAGATGTCGGAGTGGATCACAGGGCTACAGCAGGTAAGTCGTTATCAACTGGGAGTTGGATGGGGGCTAATGTATGAGGCAGCATGCTCACGCTACAATTGTGACATTGGCTACGGATACACCCTTGATCCATAATGCATCTGGTCTAGGAGGGCAATTGGCTACGCCGATAGAAACGGAGCATGCGGCGTTTGCTATTGGGTTGGCGCATCGGGCTAGGTCGGTTATGCAGCTCCGCACTCTGGAGACTGGGGCCGCGAAAGATGTAAGTGGGGTACTGCGAATCAGCCGAGGTGGTGGGCTGGGCACTGGTGAAGACAACTTGGAGGAGCGAGAGGCGTTGTACTTCATTCAGCGCGATGGTGGAGTCACGGTGTTTGGTCGCGGGGAGTCATAAGACGATGTATACTATAGGACAGATGTGACAAGGCGAGGACCATTGAAATGATATCCAATGCCATTCCGACCCTCCAAATCATGCATCTACTGAGTAGAAAGTGAGTAGGATAGGCGATCAAATGACGAGAAGAGTTCACATTGTATCTGCCATGACATGGGGATATTTGCCAGCCATAAAAGAAGAAAAAAGGAAATTCATGCACGCTTTCCCAGGTTTTTTTTATTCAACTCTCCTCCATAGAGGAGAGCCCTTCAACGAAACTTTTCCCACCGTTTCGCAAGTTTTACTTTGTCATCAAGGTCGTGGCAAAGAGAACCAACAAAATCGACAGTTGCACACCAACTCCACAGGAAAGCGGTAAGATTCCGGAACTGCCATTGCATTTCGAGTAATGCTATCCCGTAATGCTAATTCATGTCATGCCAGTATCCCTCTCCTCATTTCTTTCCAGCCTCTCCGATAACGAAAACGCGACGCCGAGCGGACGAAAAAGGGAATCTAGTTGGTCTCGGGGCCACGGGCACCCTTGGGGGTACCGGTCTGGAAGCCGTTCAGGAAGCGGCGGTGGACGTCACGGAGGGAGCGCATGCGGCCGGAGCCGGTGGTCTTGCGTCTCTTGGCCTTCTCACCCCAGTTGACTGTTCGTAGAAATCCATGTAAGTCGATGTTCTCAAATCGGATATTCTAAATATTTTTTGTCCATATCCTGTGTCAAGTTATGACACCTCGGGAGGGGGGTATTTGCGTACACTTGCGGGTCTTGGCGGCAGGGTAGCCACAGTTGGCACAGGTGGACTTCTGGATGTGGAAAGACCGCTTGCCTGTAAATTCGCGAAAAGTCGTTGATTAGCTCTCATCGTCCTGATTCAAATTGGTTTGTGTGAAGATCCTCCCCGTGATCGACGGTGCTGCGTGTTTCGTAGAAATTTGCAAGTTTGCGACAACGGTTCGGAAGGATAGGATCGTGTAGAAAGAGAGATAGGTGGGATACTAACCACAGCGACGGCACAGAGTGTGCGTCTTGTTGTGGCGCTTTCCGAAGCTCGAGGTACCCTTCGCTGCAGAGGTTGTCAGTATTCACGGAATTCGACATGACGCTTCGTGCGTTGGTTTCGACATCGGACGTACTCATTTTGAATTAGGAACTGAAAAGGAGGATTAGCAAAGGGACAAGAATTCAAGAAATGAACGTGCAGAACCTACCTGGCGATTCCGTTGAAGGGGCTGGCTGGTTGTCGATGTCGCTAATAGAACTTCTCCGATGTGATTGAGTCTCTCCAGGGCTGGCTCGCTTATTTCCTTCCTCGTTGTGGGACTGAAGTGGAAATTAGGGCACCACTAGTGCCCGCCCTAGCACGTGATCTGACACCGACTGTCGCCTCAGGCACCAACATGGACACATGGTCCGTGCAACATGGATCTATAACCAATACCAATTATGGGGCAATGCTACGATGTATACGGAGTACATTGTACTAGTATAACCTTGGAAGAACTACAGATATACAAGACCACCCGCTACCATACACACCTCAGGAAATACCAACGACTTTCAAAACTTATACAAGTCAATTCGTGTTACTTTTGAAGAGCTGATGATATGGGTATTTTATAGTACATCCAAACGCCAATGCAAGTATAGACAGAGCAATCTCAATCCTTCCCAATAAAATTCGCCATGGGATCATCGGCCGCCAATCGGCTTCGTTTGTATGATTCATATTCCTCCTCGGTCACACCAGATTTCAGTTCCTCCAAAGTTCGCTTTTTCGCATTGGCACTCTCGTTCTCAGTGCCCCGGGGCTGGGTGGGTTCGGGCTCACGGGAGGCATCCGCGGTGTCAGTGTTGTCAGCAACCTCTTCATCCTCATCACCCATCATTAACAGGTTTCCCTCTTCCTCAAATGCCCTCTTGCCGTCCTCTCCAGTGCAGTAGCTGTTCTTCACAGTGGAGTAGCAGCATGCGTATCCCCACTTGAACTGGTACCACCAGCTGCCGAAAACAGAAGAATGGTTGTTGACCATGACATCTTCGGGATATTTTGATTTGGTGGCTTTCTTGGGCGCACCCTTGATGGCGCCGCTCTCGTCATATTCAACGAACCGCTCGTTCTCAACAACCATAGTGTCTCGTAGTGCACTGGGTTGCGCGTGTTCGTCACCGCCGTATTTTTCCATGAGTGCCTTGCGATGAGCTGTACGCTTGGCTTCACTGTCTTCCTTCTCCTTCTTCCTGAGGACCTCGCCTGACGTAGGGTTGGCTTGGATGTGGAGTTGGGGGTGACCCTTTTCTTGGGACTCCCACGCATATTGCTGAGCTTTTTCAAACTCGGCAGCATCCCCAGAGGCGCGGACAAAGTTTTCTTCTGCGACAAGCGCAGATGCCTGATCATCCTGCGCACCCATGTCCACCATTCGGCGCGTCTTGGGGTCGTATTTGGCGGAATCAAGATCGAGGTTGAGCAGGTACTTCGCGGTATCTTCACGAATACGAAGGTTGCGAGTTGCGGTGCTCTGCTGACGTCCCATGTCGGATTCCTCAGCGTAGCGGATGTCGGAGTCGGGTGCGTCGTCCTCTTCACCGAGCTTCTTCAAATCTGAGTTCTCTTTGGCCGCCTTCTTGATGGCCTCCATTTCTTCGTATTCATCGACGACTTGACGGTACTCGCTGGCATCGTAGCCATTCCATCGATCGCGTTTCGCATCCCACCCCATGTCCACGTTCTGCAGTAGTTCATCCGCTTGGATATCCTTGCCAGTCCATCTGGCGCCTTGCTTTCGTGGCCGACTCAGACACTCCTTAGTTTTGTGTGTCATCGCGCCGCAGTTTTCACATGCGCCTTTGCGATACTTCGTAGCTGCTGGACCGGCGCGCTTTCCACGATCGTACCATTTCGACTGGTCGGGAGTGGCTTTTTGGAGACGTTGATGCTCCAAGTAGTCGACATCGGCATCGTCGTCAACGTAGAATGGCTTCTTCGAGATGAAGGAGGGAATGTACTCGTTGCGCTCTTTCGCCGCAACATCAGCGGGCTTTCGGTTAGACATGGCTGAAAAGCCCAGCAGGGTCCGAAGTTGGTAGCAAAGAGGTGAAGAGTTGGTTAATCAAAGGATAAATTAAGGGCAATTAGACACGGAAAAGTCGATAGAGCCCTCGCAGCTCTGATCTGAGGCGAGAGATGAAAGTGAGGTTGCGATATCAGGCTTGGCAGATAAATGGATCACACGTGACCAGGTGTTATCTACGCGTTCCGGATCAAGGGCATCGGCGCCGTCGCGTTTTTCTACTCTGTACCAATTTGCCGATTGACATGCAATAATCGGTGCTGACACCTGCTTGTCGCAATGTCGCTGTGGCTTCTGACCGCCACATACTGGAGCGATGGAGCCATTTCGCGTGCGCCTCAACTGTATCGATCATTACCAGGCGACCGCGTCGGACCTGGATCCCCCGCTGCCTTTTCGTGATGGAGAATCCGAGAAAGGGTTCAGACCGAGAGTTCCCGTGATTAGGATATTTGGAGCCACTGAAACGGGCCAGAGGGTTTGTGTTCATGTCCATGGCGCATTTCCATACCTCTACATCGAATACAATGGGTCTTTGGCGGCGAATGAAGGTGTGTATAGAAAACCTACTGACGCTTGGATTTTTGACCTAACATGTTGATAGCTAACTCGGCCATCCGGATGCTTCATCTTTCTATTGATCACGCTCTGGCGGTCAGCTTCCGCCAAAATGCATATGATAGGAAGATAGCCTATGTGGCGCATATCACATTGGTGAAAGGAGTCCCATTCTATGGATACCATGTTGGATGGCGTTTCTTCTTCAAAGTTTACCTATTGAACCCCTTCCATACCACCCGCTTGGTCGATCTTCTGCACCAAGGAGCCGTGATGAAACGCCCTCTGCAGCCGTACGAGGCGCATGTGCAGTACATCCCGCAATGGATGTGCGACTACAACTTGTACGGATGTGCAGTCATGAATTGCAGCAAGGTTCGATTCAGAGGACCGCTACCCGAGTATCTGGAGCTCAGCAATCTCAACCACCGTTGGCATGACCGCTCAGTTTCGGCCGACGACATACTCGACCATCCTGCTCTGCAGAAGCAAAGCCACTGTCCTTTGGAAGTTGATGTATGTGTGCAAGATATCTTGAATCGTGCCGATATCAAAGAAAGACCCCTGCATCACGACTTCACAGAGCTCTTGAAACCAGCTGTGGTGGACGAACGACTTGTCCCAAGCATGGCTGGACTGTGGCAAGATGAAACTCGTAGGCGAAAAAAGAGAATGGGTATTAAAGACCCAGGAAGCACTCCATTTGGTCCTGACGAGTTGGTCTCAATGTCGGCTGACCCAAGAAATCAATCGAGAGGTGGCTGGGTCCACGAGGAAGAATTTCGCGAGATGGAAGCTCGACTCGCTGCAGAAGAGAAGCGAGACGATAACAACACAGAGACATCGTTTGAGACATTTCTGCATCGCCGGGATTTTGCGGAGAATGTCAAGACCGCGCTGGATAGCGTCGAAGATTTTTTCCCAGACAAAGTTGGCGCTTCAAATTTTGACGATGCTTACCACCAAGGACCGACTCGGCAGAAGACCCCGGAAATTTCAGTCGATGAGGGCCTCGCCTTGTCTTCCCAAGCTGACTGGCAGCATGGCTTGGACTCCGACCAAGAAGATGGGCCCCTAGACGAGGAAACCGAACCAGAAGACGAGTCTAAAGAGAACCCGTTGGGTGAAAGCTTTTATGACGGGGTCTTTGACGACTTGACGATCCCAGATATAGTGTTTTCTGTGGACCGTGCGGCGCAGCCAGGTGAAGTCGATAAAGCTCAACAGCAGAGTAAAACTATTGTCCCTAAAAAGCTCTTCTTTGACACACCCGAGGAAGACCGTCCGTCTGGAAAGAAGCGAAAGCATTCAACAGACCACGACCTCTCTGGTGGACACACGGATTTGAGGAAATCCCAACAAGACAACAAACAAAAGAGTGTCTCCTTTGAAAGTAACCTGCATGCACATGCGGGTACTCCATCATCGACACCGAATTCTTCTTCATCGCAACGGACAATCCGCCCCAAGGCGCATAGTTATACCAGCGGGCTGAAGTTCCCAGTGGTGAAAGATCCCAATGACGCCCTGACGATATCACGGTATAGCCAAGAGGATGGCCACACCAAAAAAGGCATTGAGTCTTCTCAGTCCTTCGGCTCATTTCCCTCTGCATCGGCCACAGATCCATCAGGCATAGCCAGTTTGGGTGGGAGCTCCTCTGAGCTACACTCATCTGCAACGGCGATGGGCCTAAACTTGCTTGATCCACACCTTGCTGAGACCATGAGACTAGCTCATCAGTCATTCAACTTCGCGCCGGGCGCATCGCTTCGTTGTTTCAAAGCCTCTGGGCCAAGTTCCAGTGAGGTTGCTTCGACGATGCATGATTATGGACGTCCTTCGATGGTGTACCAAAAAGCATATTACAGCGATGAGGCAGATGTTCCCGAAAGGCCGAGAGAATATGGCGGCAAAGAATTCCGGCTTGAAAGTAACACTATCCACTACCTCCCTGATTTCGACCCAACAGCAGAGATGCCTGCGGTATTTGGCGAGCACACGCCAATCACTTTCGAACAAGACCACCAAGCAGGTATTGACCAGAGTCTTAGAGAAAGCTGCACTGCTAGAGTCTGGGAATTTGCACCTGTTCCGCCAAGCCGCTCAGAGGTTGTCCAATGGTTTGACGAAATACAAGCACAATCGGACACAATAGACCATATTCAATCGCGGCCCGTTGAAGCGAAGCACGAGATATGCTCGCAGATCGAAGGCCCTACACAGAAGAACACACAGGGCTTCAAATATTCGCAAAAGGGTGTGTCTACAAGCGTGGAACACCAAGCCCAGCATATGAGCACTATGAGCATGGAAGTGCATGTGAACACACGCGGCACTCTCTTCCCCAATCCCGAGGAGGATGAGATCACTTGCATGTTCTGGTGCATCCAGTCCGAGGACGAGGAAGTCGAAGTCAACAGTCATCTTCCAGGTGTTCATGTCGGCATGGTATACCACGGAGAAGGCGAGAGGCCAGAAGCCAAGATAACCAAAACTTTGAAAATGGACGTCGAGCATGAGCCTTCGGAATTGGATCTCATCAATCGGCTTGTCGATTTAGTTCGGTATCATGACCCGGATGTCATTACGGGATACGAGGTCCACAATGCTTCTTGGGGATACGTGATTGAACGAGCTCGGAAGAAGTATGATTTTGATATCTGCGAGGAGCTTTCGAGGACAAAGTCTCAATCCAATGGAAGATTTGGCAAAGAGGCTGATCGGTGGGGATTCGACCACTCATCGTCAGTGCGCATCACTGGTCGACACATGTTCAATATCTGGCGCGCCATGAAAGGCGAATTGAATCTATTGCAGTATACCATGGAGAACGTTGTTTTCCATGTCCTACACCGTCGCATCCCGCACTACTCGCCTCAAGTCTTGACACAATGGTACCAGAGCGGCATGCCTCGCAATATGCTCAAAGTTGTGGACTACTTCTCCTCGCGGGTGCAGATGAACCTTGAAATCCTCGAAGCCAATGAATTGACACCGAGGACAAGCGAGCAAGCAAGATTGCTAGGCATCGATTTCGCATCTGTGATTTCGCGAGGATCCCAGTTCAAAGTTGAGTCTTTGATGTTCCGGATCGCAAAACCTGAGAATTTCCTGCTTGTATCTCCGAGTCGAAAGCAAGTGGGACAGCAAAACGCACTGGAATGTCTACCTCTAGTCATGGAACCGCAGAGTGACTTTTACACCAGTCCTGTCCTGGTGCTTGACTTCCAATCACTGTACCCGAGTGTCATGATTGCTTACAACTACTGCTACTCCACATTCCTGGGCAGAGCGATGCACTGGCGCGGCCGCGATAAAATGGGGTTCATGGACTACAAGCGCCAGCCCAGACTACTTGAGTTACTAAAGGGCAAGGTCAACATCGCGCCGAATGGCATGATGTACGCAAAGCAAGAAGCCAGGCAATCATTACTGGCTAAAATGCTCACTGAAATTCTCGAGACTCGCGTGATGGTCAAGAACGGCATGAAAGCCGACAAAGACGACAAGGTCTTGCAACGGCTCCTAAACAATCGACAATTGGCACTCAAACTGATCGCAAACGTGACATACGGCTATGCATCAGCCTCATTCTCGGGCCGAATGCCCTGTTCCGAAATCGCCGACAGCATCGTCCAAACAGGACGAGAAACCCTCGAAAAAGCCATTGCCTTCATCCACTCAGTGGAAAGATGGGGTGCAGAAGTAGTCTACGGCGACACAGACAGTCTTTTCATACATCTGAAAGGGCGAACCCGCTCCCAAGCCTTCGACATAGGCGAAGAAATCGCCCAAGCAATAACAGATCTAAACCCACGTCCCATCAAACTCAAATTCGAAAAAGTATACCACCCCTGCATCCTACTAGCCAAAAAACGCTACGTAGGCTTCAAATACGAACACCGCAACCAGACCGAACCCGAATTCGACGCAAAGGGCATCGAAACCGTCCGTCGGGACGGCACACCCGCCGAACAAAAAATCGAAGAAAAAGCCCTCAAAACACTCTTCCGCACAGCAGACCTCTCCCAAGTCAAATCCTACTTCCAGCGCCAATGCTCTAAAATCATGCAAGGGCGTGTCTCCATCCAGGATTTCTGTTTCGCGCGCGAAGTCCGTCTAGGCACATACTCGGACAGGGGACAGATTCCCGCCGGTGCAATGATCAGCACAAAGCGCATGGTTGAAGATCCGCGCTCTGAACCACAGACTGGCGAGCGGGTTCCGTATGTTGTTGTTACTGGTGCGCCGGGGTCGAGACTCATTGACCGGTGTGTGGCGCCGGGGACATTATTGCGTGATGCGCAGCTGGAACTCGATGCTGAGTACTACATTACTAAGAATTTGATACCGCCTCTGGAGAGGATATTCAATCTTGTTGGAGCGAATGTGCGGCAGTGGTTTGATGAGATGCCGAAAGTGCAGCGGATTCGACGGGTGGATAGTTCGCGGAGTATGGGCAGGAAGACATTGGAGTCTTATATGCGTTCTTCGTCTTGTGTTGTTTGCCGGTCGAAATTGACTGATACCACTGTTCCTGTTTGTGTGGGGTGTTTGGGACAGCCGCATCTTGCGCTCTTGGATGTTGTTTCGCGGCTGCGACGTGCTGAGAAGAGGGTTGTGGATTTGGAGGCTATTTGTCGGTCTTGTATGGGTGTTACAGCTGGTGATGAGGTGAGCTGTGATAGTTTGGACTGTCCTACTTTCTATTCGCGCACGAGAGATGCTGCTCATTGGAGACATTCGCAGGCCACGCTGGGTCCGGTGGTGGACTTGTTGGAGCGCCGAGGTGATAGTCTGGATTGGTGATGTTCACTGTTACAATGAAATACAAACTACTCTGACTACTTTGACTCCTTTGGATTTGATAAAAAGTTTTCTCGTGCCTAGCCAAAAGCTCTCATATTGAATGGGACACTCTGTGAATCGAACAATCATGCTGGACTAGTTGTTGATCATGCTGAGGAGTGCATCCAGCGCTGAAGCCTTGATGTCTCCTTCCTGCTCGACCATGTCCAGCTGCTCTCTCCCCCCTTCTCCCTCTCTCTCTCCTTCTTTCTCTCCTGCACTCGCGTTCGCATTTCCATTTCCATTCACATTCACATTCACATTCGCATTTTCAATCTTGTCGGCTTCTGGCTCGACGGCTCGGTCGTGTGCAATGTCCTGATCGGCTAAGTGAACTCCACCATCCTCACCACCTTCTTCGTCACCTGATTGTCCTGCAAAGAACACCCCCGAGTCCCGGTCTTCACCAAGTGTAGGGATGCGGTTAGGCTTACTAGCAAATTCATCAACAAAGTTCAAAGACATCAGATCCTCGTCCAGGTCAAACGAGGCTGGGGACTCGCGCCGCATGTCGTCCAACATCTCCCGAGCTTGAAGACAATCGAACATGGGAGCCACACCGATTGGGCCTGCAGCCTGAGCCTCGGAGTTGACACCTGAGATGAGTTCGGGAACTTTGACTTTCCCCATTGCAATGTCACCCAGGACTTCCGGGAACACCCAAGGGAAGCTGATGAGTGGGAGTTCGGTGGAAGGCAAGTCGATATCGATAATGTTTTTGCGTCGCTCTTTCTCTTCTTGTTGGGCCTTCAGAGCGGTAGACATTTGCTCTTCGGTCACGCGGTACATGGCAAGGACCAGGAAGGCGATGTTGTCTGGGCCAGCTTTGTCGTAACAAGCTTGACGGAACCCACGACGCATGGTCCCGACGATTCTTCCTAGGTCTTCCTGCATTTTGAAATCCTTAAGCACAAAGCCATGGCGAAGAACAAAAGTGGACCAGACTTCGAATTCAGTGTTGATTTCATACTGAGCCATCACCTGACGCATGTTGATATCCCATTCTGATTTGAGACTTCGGGCCGTGTCCATGTAGCTGTTGCTGGCAGGGATCAGTTCATTGTCCAAGATACGCGAGTCGAAGGGCATCGAAAGATTCGGCACGAAGTCGGGAGCGATGACAACGTCGTATAGCTTGCCGAGAACCTTGTCAGAGTGGTAGATGGCATCATCTCTCTTGAAACGCTTTTCCATGAAGTGTGGCCACTTCTTGGGAACCAGGTCCCGGGTCATGGTCGCGTGTCCACCCGTTTTGTTGTAATCGACAGCATCGGAATGCAGTTTGGCCAGACGGAAACATTTCTCAGACCAGACACCGTCTCTGTTGGTATCAGCCCAGGCCATGTGGGCGTGCGCAATCCTCGGCAAGCAGTCGTTCTTCATGTAAGTGACGAAGAAAGAAGTCACTTCATCCACAGTCACCTCGTGGTTGAGGTCCGGTGCTTTCTTAGACTTGAAGTCCATAGATTCGGTGAACCACCGCTCAGGGATCAGGTCGCGGTCCCAGATGACCAGGTAGTCGTCGCCATCCAGATCTCCTCCGGAGCACATACTTGCGACGTCGTGATCGCCTTTCTGTGGAAGAACAACGACGTCTCGAAGGTGTCGCAGCTCTGGCTTATTGACTGCTCGAACAACGCGCACGTCGCCCGGATGAAGTGAGGGATTCCGCGCCAGGATACAGAGACCCTCAATAACCTCGTACTGGCCATCTTGGTCCTCACGGCAGATCTGAACAAAGATCTCGGGCAAGGCGGCCAATTTTTCTTCGTGTGTTTGGGCAGCAGAGATCTTACTCAGATAGTGACCTTCCAGAGTACCGGTTTCATCAATACATCCGAGCAGATCTGCACCCGAATCTATGACGATCTTGGCTTTTTCTTTGAGGTTCTTCAGATGCCAAGCTTTCCAGAGGCCAAGCATGGTGTTCATGAAGGGCTCATTTGTTATTCGGAAGCCGTTGTTGACCATCTTGGACAGAATGAGGGTAGTCTGATTCGGGTCGATGTACTTCTGAAGCAATGCCGTGGCCTTGGCATCGCTACTCATGGCTTCCTGGAAGCTGTTGAGCATTACATTTTGTTTCTGTAGGAACACCTCGTCCTTGACTCCCAATGCACCGAGCACGAGGATCAACTGGCGATTCAAAGTTGCAAGTGAGAATTGGGACCAGCGGATGATCTCCAACCCGTTATGGGTCGCTTCGAACTTTTGCTGGCTTGGTCGAAGGTGAACTTCTTGCGGCAGGGGATCCGGAGAGATAACAAGCATTCCTTTGGATCCACCGAGACGAAACTGATAAGCTGAAGGAGGTTCTCCATTTGAAGTCTTGATATTGTGTTCCTCGGTCAAGAGCCGAGCCAGGAATGTTGAGATCTTTCCGACACCGTCTGAGAATGTACATCCATTGTGGGCGATTTCCTCGCAGGTGACAGTCTGCACCGAAGAAAAGGTGAATGCCCGAGTGGTCGAGAAGCTCTGACCTAGTCTGGCGGCGTACTTGGCGACATTGCGAATATGGCTGAATTGGCCCATCCAGGCTCGAATTGTCGCCGCTGAAATGCCCGCATCTGCTGCAAAAAAGTATGCACCATGCTCACGGAACTGGGAGTTACCGAACGCGAGAAACTCGTAGTGACGATCGCCAATAGTGATGCCATTTGCTAGCGTCCTCTTGACCCGCGTGTATATCTCGTCGTTGGAATCTCCAATCGATGAATTGATGCGTCCCTCTGTCTTCTCGTCTGTGAATCGGACACGAAGGAAGCGGCCTGCCTTGCGACTGTCGGACCATTGTCGGACCACTCGGTTAGAGATATCGACAGTTGGAGTACTGTAGTAAATCGTTGTGGGGGTAATGCGCGCCGTGTGCATGTGGCAGCAATAACTTGGAATCTTCGAGCCTGTAACACCCCTGAAGTATTTGAGTTTGAAGATTTTCATAGGATCAAGATACTTTTTTTTCTCAGACGCCACAAACTCAAGCAGGTGTCGTGCTCGTGTATCCCCAAGGCTCTTTAGTTCTTGAATGAACTGACGAGTCATGGTGTATTCAGAGAGGTATCCTTGTGACAAGCAAACCTCAAGCTGATAACGAATGGCGAATGAGAGATGCTCGTAACTGTTGTCCTCCAAGTCTTTCAGCAAAGCAGAAGCCTTCGTAGACGCGGATTCCGAAAAGTCTATCCATTGCCACACCGGGACCGGTCGATCTGGACTCTCAGTGAAATGGTTTCCATCCTTGAGAGTGATATTGTAGTCCTGGAAGATATCACGGACCAGTCCGAGGGGATCAGCAGGACCCGCGGAGAGTCTAGGTTCTATGATCTGCTCTGGCGCAAAGGTGATCTTGAAGACATTCCATCTCCCTATAGCGAGGGGTGTTAGCTTTTATCATCGTGAATAAGATCTGGAGAATGCTCACCAAGATCAATTACTTGACCATGTCTCTTCAGATTAGTGGTGACGCTCTTGAGAAAGATCGGGTTATGGGCGACCGCTGTCTGGCGGTACCAGGTGTCTTCTTCCCTCCAGCTTCGGGGCTCAGTAAAGGTCATTTGGATGTTTTTTACTTTGCGGTGGCAAATCACGGAGGAGTCAAGGACAATCAGAAGGGAGGCTTGCTGTGAGATCTTGTCAAACTGTTCAAAGACCTCAGATAATTGAAGGAAAGTGATCTTAAGGCGATAGTCATGCTGAGTGAGCTCTCCAAAGGCTGGTTCTGGTCCGGATATGGAACCTCGAAGAGCCACTTTGAAGTAAATGAAGATGCACTTTTTCTTGACATCCACTACAAATCTTGGGTGAGCATTCGCTGCGAAGGTCTGCATGGAATGCACCTTGGACTCATTCAGCAAGACGCCAATGTCCACTTGGGTTGATCTCAACTCCTGAAATATGATGAGCGGACTGCGTTACTTTCCTTTCGGACTTCACTTACATTTTCGATAGGCAACTGAACACCCGGTCGGACTGGGCTTGGAAGATTCTCCAAATGAGTTGTGCAGATTTGGAATTTGAGGTAGTGAGTGCCCCCGCTTCGCAGGTTGATGAGATATGGACTGTGAATCCAGTCACTGTTTGCAGGCGGAGGTCTGTATCAATGTTAGTTGCCATCCCAAGGGCTAAGTGAAATATACCGACCGGAAGCGAATGCGTCCTCTGGTTTGTCTGTCCCCCGGCCTGAGCTCCCAGATATCAATAGACATAATCGTCCCTTCCTTTGACAGCGCATCGTGTAAATCGTGAGTGTTGACCTCCCTCGGAAGATTCACAATATCAAGAGCAAGTGTATTCCATGACTTCCAGGACACCCATTCTGTCTGGTTGGGCGGTCGCCCTACCTGAGCCCCTCGTAGTCTAGAAGAGCTCATGGTGTTGAAGCATTGGGTGAGAAAAATAAAAAGAAGAAGCAGAAGAAGGAGAAGATGCCAGCGACGGCGATGGTGATGGTGATGACAGCGACCGTGAGCAGCGACCGTGAGCAGCAACAACAAAGCAGATGATTGTTATCCTCAGAGACGCGTAGTTGAAGACGCGAAGTTCCAAAGAAGACCAACTAAGAAATAAACACAAGCGAAGGAGCGAAGGAGCAAACAGTAGGAAGGAACGATCCTATCCAGTCATTTCAACTCCGCGGTCGGTACTTGGAAGATGATGGCGAAAAGAGTGAGTATCGATATCGATAAGAATGAAGTCGAATTGCTGTTCTTCAAAGTGACGTTGAAGTGAGAGGAATCTCATATACTTCAGAGATACCATGTGTACTAGCAAATGGCAGTGTATGTAGGCGGTCGGGCTTTCTAGGGCTAGTGGAGAGTGGAATAGATGTGCTATGCCGTGAAAATGATATGCGAAAGCCGTTATCGCTGTCTCAAACGATCGTTAGGGTTGTAATCCCTGTAGACGATGGTTCTTTGGGATTCAAAGCCGTTCGGGACAGAGATACTATAAGTGGTATATCATAATGGAGCATCTGAGGGTCTCACAAGAAAGTAAGCCCTAGAACAGTATGAAGTGCATACATTAATCCAGCAAAATATCCGCAATCAAGACTCAGTTGATGGTTTTTGTATACCAACTAGCTAATCTCACTTACTTACAATGGATCCTTCCACAAGTGGCTCAGGATCAGTAGCTTGAAACTCCAGCTCTCATCTTCCTGGATGTTATGTTCAACTTTGCAAGTACTGACTTCTCCATCACTTTCATCCTGGTTCATCTGATTTGAAGTCAATTGATCATTAATCAACCTATTCCGTAAAATCAGTACCAGAGAATATGAAATTCTTCGAGAACTCCAGATCCATATCAAGATTCAACCCCCGAAGCCGATTCTCTTCCACATTCTCCTGAGTAGGAGTGCTTGGTACAGCATCAACCTGACTATGCTTCCACCCACTGGTAGGCGGTATATGAGGCGACCCATTGAAATTGGTATCCGCTAATGGACTTCTAGTGGAGCGCGTCGCGCTAGATGGGATTTTTCGAGAAGCGGCCGCGGGTGAAGGATTGGTGGGATATGATGGTGAGGATTTACGGTTTGATCGTGGACGTTTTGGCGTGGGACCCATAGATAATGAGTGGGAAGATGATGGGCGGGATTGATTCTCGTTTTCATCATCTTCATCGTCACTGATTGGTTGTGGGGATCTTGCTGCTGGCGTTTGATAAGGGGTTGATCTCGTTCGTTGATGCTTGGTGGATTCTGGCGCGTTTGCGGAAAAGCCCATCACACCCATCAGCCGGCCGATATGTTGTTGGGCTTCTGAGAATTCCCGTGCTTTGGCTGCTCGCTCATCTCGCAAAGCTTGTATCTGAATTTGGAATTAGGGCTTTCTTTTTGACGTCAGGTGGTGTTTTCTTACCTTTCTTTCAAGATGGTGGATGCGTTTGGTTTTCACTTGGACGTCGTTTGAAGCCTTCTGAGCGGCAGCCTGCATGGCAGCCTGTAGGCGTTGCTTTTCTGCACTCAGTGTTGCCACCTATGGGATTATGAGCGCTGTTATGTTTGAAATGCGATAGCCATACCTCATTGGAAGCCCGAGAAGCTTGATTCTCCGCTTCCCGGGCAAGAGCATCGATATCACCCCTCAATCTCGCCTCGGATTGCCGCAAGGCAGATTCCTGGTTATCATACTCTGCGACTCGTCGCGCCAACTTGAGAGGTCAGTATCAAAATACCCGATCCATCGACAATGGACCTACTGTTGATTTCAAAGACTCCAACTCCTGTCGCAGATCATCCTCCTGGGCCGAAATTTGGGTAATCCTGTCATCTTTCTGAGCAGACACGCCCACAAGTTCATTGATCATATCGTCCTTCTGGACGTTGAGAGTCCTGGCTTGCTCCAACTTCTGCGTCGTCCCAGCAAGTTCTAGCTCCAATGATTCCATCATCTCACGGACTTTAGCATTCTCTTTAGAACCCTGAGCAACTCTTTGACATGCTTGGTCATGGCGTGATCTTATATCACCCAGCTCTTCATGCAATTCCTCTATTTGATCATCCTTCCCAGTAAGAGTAGCCATCATCTCTAATTCTTTAGATCGTGCAGCCTCTCTCTCAGCAACAATGGCACTCTCAGAATCATGCTGCTGCTCTCGGAGATTCGCGCGTAAAGCCTCGATATCAGCCATCAATTCATCGCGGTGTGAATATTGATCTTGAAGAAATTGTTCCAGGCGTGTGTGCTCATGGCCAAATTCAGTCAGGTGCTCGGATGATGTTCTGCGTGCAGCTTCCACTTCATCGGTCTTTTCTTGGAGTTCCTTGGCCATTTGCTCGGTTCGTTCTCTGAGATACCGGGTTTCTAGTGCGTATTGGTCACGTTGTTCTTCGACGGCTCGCAATGGCCCTTCTACATCTTCACAGCGTCGTTCCAAATCGAAGCAGGTTTCTTCGATCCTTTTCATCATGCTGTCGTGGTGGACTTGGGCATCTTGCATGAATGCACTGGTAAAGCCAGCTCGCCAATTGCGGTCGATGTGTGTAGACGATGGTTTTTCGTTGCCAAGCAAGGCATAGCGGTCACTGGACCCTGAAGGGTTTGCTGTCAGGAATTTGCAGCGAAGATCGGGCAATGATTGTTCCACTTTAGCCATGAATGATTTCATGATAACGTCGCCCCCAGCCTTTGTGGTGGAGATGGCATTGTAGAGCCCTAGTAGAGACAACAATAGCTGGTTCTGCATGATGCACACTTGAGAACTGCACACAGCTAGTTCCTTGCATTGGTCTTCATTCGGTTGTCGGGGGAAGTGTTCCACCGCCTCACCAACAACTTGCCCGAGAGATTTCATTGAGCTATTCAGATTGAAGCTCAACGTCTCAGGATCAAGTTCTTGTAAGCCTGTCAGAATGATTTGCGCCAAGCGTAGTGCTGCAATTGTTTCTCGGTCTTGCCATTGGCTGCCTTTGAGAGTACCAAGCACAAAAGCCATGGCTTCACGAGTAGCAGGCTCCCCAGTGGTCTACTTAGATTAGTATTTGGCAGATTGAAAGAGCGGGATTACTTACAGCTAATGACTTTGCAAGGCGCGTGGTGAGACGTGGGGAAATCGACTCCAATGTGTCTTGACTTTCTTTCGATAGAAGTGTCCTGAGGCCCAGGCTCCGTAGCTGGGATGATAAAGACTGTTCCGGAAGAAGAGAATACAAGAAAACAACAGCCTAGAATAATGTGTTAGCACTGGTTCGCTGTACCAAGGGGTTTAGCCTGACCATTTTCTGAATCCCATTTTCCAGACCATCTTTGACAGCCTTCTCACACAGCTTCGAAACCTTGGCAGAGTTACCGGCTATCCATGCCTGCTTCTGCGCCGGCTCAATAGCATCAGTAATGTCAATCGCCAGCCGAATACTCGCAGCAGCGTCTTGCGGTCCCAAGTTACAGCTTGAGGAGCACGCCAAGATAACCCGCAAGACGACCAAATCGAGTGTCTTGATACCTCTCTTGGCACCAAAGAAGTGTTTAATGTTGAGGAGCCACTGGCGCTCTGATCCGTGTTGATTCTGCGGTTCTGCCAGCCGCGCTGTCGCGATTTGGGCAAAGGTGGACAAGCACAGCAGGTTTCCCATGTGGTCGTCTAGGTTACGTAGGGTTTTAGTAAACTCCAATTGAAGATCGGACATGATCTGAGAGGGAACATCATTCAAGACTTGCGGCGAGCCTTTTAACCCGGTGATGAGTGCATGGATTGATTGTACGGTGTCCACGCAGGGATTTGCCACCATCACGCTCACCAGCTTGGACAGAAAGGCCGCGATGCGAGCCGGCGGGACAAAGCCCTCTGGAAGCGGTGATGCGAAAAAGGCAATGCATGCCGAGTAGTACTAGCAGGTTTAGTTCCTGCTCACTTGTTTGCGGGAAACACTCACCTTGGACTCTCCATTGACAGTCTTTTCCAGAAACTGATCCAGAACGATTGGGTGACGCTCAAGTATTGCATCTCGGACGGCCCGAGTGGAAGCTATCAAATGTCAGAAGGACGTGGCTGTCGGGAATGTGCGGTGTCATACCGAACGCCGAGACCAAAGGCACCGCGACGCGCGATCGCGGTAAGGCGTCTACCAAAACATCGGCCATGAGCCCGACCTGGCAAGGCTTGCACAATGCCCATGATTCAATCGATGGAGAGCAGCTTTGTAATAGTTCATAAAGACCCTGATCTGTTCAGCGACCTCCTCTCAGTCTTTCGATCACCTTACCTGCAGTGAGGGTACGTAGGGCGCGGTGACTACGCGCTCTACCTCGCGCACCAGCTGAGCGAGTTGCTCCATCAGTTCGAGATTTTCGAATGTGAAGTCGTCGAGTGTTTAACGCGTGAAGGTTCGTTGGTTGCCCCATCAACACTGTCGGTCTCTGCACCAATGACATCGCGAGATTTCACTATAACACGAAGCAGCTCGATTTACTATGATAATTAATGTGAAAAATAACTGAAGATGTTCAGTTAAATTATTCGATTCAATGCGATCAAATGCAATCCAATGCGATGCAATGCAAATACTAATGTTTCCTACACCAATGTGGCTAACGGAGCCCGTACTCATCCTCCGTACGCCCTCGGCTTCTCTCCCACGCCCCCACGTCTTTCCCAAGCTTCTCCGCACTTGAGATCCGAAGTGACAGTGAAAAGCAGCGGAATTAACCCTATCTTGTCGTTCTTTATTCGGCCGAAAGTCCGAAGTCGCAGGTACTATTCCACATAAGAGCGGTCACATCATGCAGGTCCGCAATGTCGACAAGGGCTAGTTCATTACTTTTCTCAAGGTCCAGCGCCAGACTTTTATTTTTGAACTGCAATTGAATTCTATCGCTATTTCCAGGCTATTCTAGCTATGCGACTAGTCAGGGCCTCTCGGGTTATTCCCACCCCTTGCGCCCCTTCCCGGGTCTCGTCTCGCATACTCGCCCGGGGCGCGAGATGGAATAGCTCCAATGCGAGTGGAAAGACGAAGGAGCAGAGTGAGTCTAAGACTTCCAATGCCCCGCCAGCGCCGTTTTGGACGCCGACAAAAGCTGTCCTTGTCTCCGCATTTGCTGCGGGGTTAGGCTATGGCTTGGCTTCGTCCAACGGGACACCAGCAAAGCCCTCTACACCTCGATATGGTTCAACGCAAGATTTCGCTCGGGTAAGACTCTGCGCTCATCCAAACATTTCAATATAGCTCTAACTGAAAAAAAAAAAAAAGGCCATCACCGATCTTAAAGCCCTCCTCGGCGAAGACTCCGTTAGCACCGAAGAAGACGATCTCCAACACCACGGCTACTCAGAATGGTCCAGCTTGAACGCAGAACGCCTCCCAACAGCAATTGCATACCCCAAATCAACACAAGATGTCTCTGAGATTGCCAAGATTTGCACCAAGTACCGCATGCCCATGATTCCCTACTCGGGCGGTTCCAGTCTGGAAGCCAATTTCTCCGCACCACACGGCGGTCTAACCATTGACTTTGCTTTTATGAACAAAGTCCTCGATATCCACCCGGAAGATCTGGATGTCGTCGTCCAACCATCTATTCAATGGATGGCTCTGAACGAGCAGATCAAAGATACCGGTCTCTTCTTCCCCGTCGACCCAGGTCCTTCCGCCATGATTGGCGGCATGGTGGGTACCAACTGCAGCGGCACAAATGCCGTTCGCTACGGTACCATGAAAGACTGGGTAATCAATCTGACTGTTGTCCTTGCTGATGGAAGCATCATCAAAACGCGAAGACGTCCACGCAAGACATCAGCTGGATATAACATGACAGGACTGTTTGTTGGATCCGAAGGCACATTGGGAATCGTGACGGAGGCTACATTGAAGCTGGCGCCATTGCCAGAGCAGACTCGTGTCGGGGTTGTGGCGTTCCCGACTATTCGGGATGCCGCTTCCACTGCTATGCAGTTGATTCGGAAAGGTGTTCCTGTGCAGTGTATGGAGATCATGGATGATGTCCAAATGGATGTTATCAACCAGGCGGGTGGTACGGGTCGTGATTGGAAAGTGTCGCCGACACTCTTTTTCAAGTTCTCTGGAACCACGGCAGGAGTGGCGGATAGTATTAATTTGACCACGCAGCTTGCTCAGGCCAACAAGGCGGAATCGTTCGAATTCGCTAAAAATGAGAAGGAGGCACATGATTTGTGGTCTGCGCGCAAACAATCGCTGTGGAGTATGATGGCTCTGCGAAAGGAGGGCTCCGAGGTGTGGTCGACGGATGTGTCGGTGCCCATCTCGAGACTGCCTGATATCATTGGTAAGAAATGTTGAGTCGTGTGTGGGCTGCCCTTGCTGACCAAGTCTGCAGAAATTTCCAAGAAAGAGCTTGTCGACCTTGGATTGTTCGCCAGTATTCTTGGCCACATTGGCGATGGAAACTTCCACGCGAGCATTATGTATGATCCAAAGGATCCTGCCGAGCTGGCTCGTGTCAAGAAGGTCGTCTATGACATGGTTGATCGTGGTTTAGATATGGAAGGCTCTTGCACAGTATGTCTACCTTTTCGGGAAATAGAGGATATCTGCTAACCCATGACTGCAGGGCGAGCACGGCGTTGGACTGGGCAAGAAAGGATCACTCAGAAAGGAGGTCGGGCCAGAAACAATAGATGTCATGCGCGGTGTGAAGCGCTCCATGGATCCCAATTGGTTGCTGAATCCTGGTAAGATCTTTGATCATGACGACGATGGCAAGGGTCCAGGGCATTAGTTTGTGGCATTTGCGTTCAGCATTAGAGGCGATATTAGATCAAAATCATTCCACATGTCCCATTCAGAGAAGATGCACAGTATATATCACAGCATTCCATGTGGAATATTCCCTGCCTCTGTCTCTGTGAGTAACTTGGTCAATGTCTCTGGTATAGTACAAGTACAAGTGAAGACAGTGGGACGACGATGACGCAGTGGTGCAAACAGGACAAACCCGTTGAAGATCCGAGATCGACCAATCGGGGAGCAGTTGAGTTTTTCCGGATATCGCTGAGTCAGCGCGGGGCTGCGCTGGCCGAGCAGCGACATCGCAGCGATGAATTACTTCAACTCCGTTGTCAACGAAGTGGTAAGTGCAATTGCTGTTACTTGTTGATTATTGCGTTTCCAAATGCCCCATGATGCTTGTCTATGAGTTTGACGCAGCAAGAACCCTGGTAGAGCCATCTACACCTCCATGCGGGGCTCTGCAAACGCTTTGACTCATTCGAGGACCTGGATGATATATGCTCAAATTTGAACATTCCCTGTCCATCTTTGCACAGATTGTGTTCAGCACTCAATTCTCAAACTGCGAACTTGTATAGTGCTATAGTGACTAACTTTCAAAGATTGATACCCATATCCAGAAACATGGCCCCTTCATTCGCTAAAAAGAAGTGCGGTATGTTATTCGCCTCTTTTTATATGGAAGACTCATATCTAACTGATCACAGGTGTCCTCGGTGCCACTGGCTCCGTGGGCCAGCGCTTCATTCTGCTGCTGGCAGACCACCCTTTCCTTGAGCTGCAAGCCGTGGGTGCTTCTTCACGCTCCTCAAACAAGAAGTACAAGGATGCCGTGAACTGGAAGCAGACTTCCCCCATGTCCGAGGAGCTCAGCAACCTGGTCCTGCGTGACTGTAAGGCTGAGCTGTTCTCAGACTGCGACCTTGTTTTCTCTGGACTGAACAGCGACGTTGCTGGAGAGACCGGTATGTTGATATCAGGCCTGATGTTGAATATTTTACTAATCATTCACAGAGATGGCTTTCATCAAGGCAGAGATCCCTGTCTTCTCTAACGCCAAGAACTTCCGCAAGGACCCTATGGTCCCTCTGGTCGTTCCCACTGTCAACCCCCAACATCTGGACCTGATCCCTCACCAGCGTGAGAAGTACGGTCTCAAGAAGGGTTTCTTGGTTTGCAACTCTAACTGTGCTGTCATCGGAATTGTCATTCCCTTCGCCGCCCTCCAGGCCAAGTTTGGTCCCGTTGAGGAGGTGGAGGTCTTCACCGAACAGGCCGTCTCCGGCGCCGGTTACCCCGGTGTCCCTACCATGGATATCCTCGACAATGTGATCCCCTACATCAGTGGCGAGGAGGACAAGCTCGAGAACGAGGCCCAGAAGATCCTCGGTTCATTGAACGCCAGCGCCACTGGCTTCGATGAGCAGACTGGTCTTCGCATCGGTGCCACCTGCACCCGTGTCGGTGTTACCGATGGCCACATGGCATTCGTCTCTCTTCGTTTCAAGAACCGCCAGACGCCCAGCGCTGAGCAAGTCGTTGAGGCCTTGCGGGAATACCAGTCCGAGGCACAGAAGTTGGGTGCTCCTTCCGCACCTCAGCCTGCCATCAAGGTCTTCGATGAGCCTGACCGTCCTCAGCCCCGTCTTGACCGTAACATCTCTGGTGGTTACACCGTCAGCGTTGGACGTGTTCGTGAGGGTGCCCCCGGTGGTCACTTTGATATCCGATTTGCTGCTCTCTCCCACAACACTGTTATTGGAGCTGCTGGATCATCCATCCTCAACGCAGAGGTTGCTGTGATCAAGGGATACATTTAAATAAAAAGGTAGAATTACCAGTGAATGTCAATAACGAAAGATTTGTACAAAGTCATCACTTCAGTTACCTCAAAGAGTAATAAGTGGATCTCTGATCTGCTTACTCGCCTTGTTTCTAAGGCAGAAATGCCAAGTGAAGTGTTGCTGCCTCAGGCGGAAATAAGCGATTGGACCCACTAGGGTTAGTGAGAAGGGTCACCTGACCGCCCACAACCGACCCCATTATCCTAGACTCTCTCAGGCGCTCTCTCTCTTTGCGATACTCGACCAACTCACCAACCGACCAAATCAGTCAAAATGCGTGGCCCGTAAGTGTCAAACCACGACCATCACGATCATTCTTTCAGCACACGGGTTTTTGCATTACACTGCACAGCAATTTGCAGAAATCCTGTCGCTGCAAGATTGATTGGGTCAAGGAAAAAAAAATTTCGACATCAGAACATCATCACTAACTGCAATGCCTTTACAGCGGAAAGCACCAGAAGCGCCTTAGCGCGCCCTCCCACTGGCTCCTGGACAAGATGTCCGGAACCTACGCCCCCAAGGCTTCCCCCGGTCCCCACAAGCTGCGCGACTGCCTTCCCCTGATCGTCTTCATCCGCAACCGTCTCAAGTACGCCCTGAACGGTCGTGAGGTCAAGGCCATCATGATGCAGCGTCTGGTCAAGGTTGACGGCAAGGTCCGCACCGACACCACCTACCCCTCCGGCTTCATGGACGTCATCTCCCTCGAGAAGACCGGCGAGCACTTCCGTCTCGTCTACGACACCAAGGGTCGCTTCACCGTCCACCGCATCCAGGCTGAGGAGGCTGAGTTCAAGCTCTGCAAGGTCAAGCGCGTTCAGCTCGGCAAGGGCGGGATCCCATTCTTGGTTACGCACGATGCGCGAACGTGAGTTCCACACTCCACAAGTTCCGTGTCATTCAGTCGTTGGACCAGGCTTTGGTTGATCGGCGGAGGACAATGAACTTGAAACCTAGGTTCCAACTGTTCCATCTCTCTGGATACAGTAAGAACTCTTTGATCAGAACATGGTTTTGCTAACTTGCGTGCTCTTTAGCATCCGTTACCCCGACCCCGCTATCAAGGTCAACGACACCGTCAAGGTCGACCTTGCCACTGGCAAGATCGTTGACTTCGTCAAGTTCGACTCCGGTGTTGTCATCATGGCCACTGGTGGTCGTAACATGGGTCGTGTTGGTGTTGTCACTCACCGTGAGCGCCACGACGGTGGTTTCAACATCGTCCACGTCAAGGGTATGTTTTGATTTTCATACATTTGTATAAAACTCCGTTCTAACCAGCTTCTAGATGCCATTGACAACGTTTTCGCTACCCGTGAATCCAACGTCTTCGTCATCGGTCAGGAGAAGCCTTGGGTTTCCCTCCCCAAGGGCAAGGGTGTCAAGCTCTCCATCTCTGAGGAGCGTGACCGCCGCCGTGCCCACGCTCTCGCCAACTAAATGTCTTCTGACATTGGTGAGATAGTGACCGGTAAAAAGCACTAAAAAGAGTACCTGGAACACGGCGCTTGTCTGTTTCATGCGCTTGGATTGATCTCGTAGATTCCGATAGCAAACAAAGCAGAGACGGGCTTACCGCCGCGATTCCAAGTGATATGATACCATTTGACGATATTTCTGTTCAATTATTTAATGACCGTATTTCCTTCACTTCCTTCGATCTACACTCCGCGGATGATAGTTCCTCAATTGTCCGTACCTCGCCCTGTTGAGACCGCGCAGTCCCCGCTCACCGTTGGAAGATCGAAGGATTCGTGAGCTAACCGTAGTCCAACAATCCCATCAACGTCAAACCCGCCTACCACTCTGTGATAACTACTGCAGACAACTCCGTACTAACGCACAGACAAATCATCAAATCTGAAATCACTATTCCCCTCAGAATCGAACATGTAGACCCGATCGAGGTCTATCGCCATCTCATCTCCGGCGAGGCCCGTCAGTATCCACCCAAGCACCTGAGCAACGCCAACCATTCAATACCCTACTATTTCAATGGAATCCAAGACAAAGTTCCCAGCCGCTTTAAAAAAACAACGATCAACAAGGCCCAAGCACAAGTCCTCAAAGCATACCACGCTGTGTGTCAATATTTAGCTTTGCCTTGACGAACCCCGAGCGCACCTAGCATGTACTTAAGTAGCCCTGGACGGACTGAAAAAGGTGCGACGATCTGCATTTTACTCATACGGAATGAGGTATCGCAGAATGTGTTGACGCTTGGCTAAATCGAGACAGGCCCATCGATATACCTCGGCAAGCAATAGAAACCTTCGAACGTCTCCGATTTAGTTTGCGGGAATGAATTCCGTGATCGGAAGAATTGTGAAAAATTAAACCGCTCCCTACTTAACGGAGTAGATCGACGTGAGATTCATCATGTACCTACTTACCTGTGGCCACATTATATACATCCTGAAGTCCCAGGTGGATTGACAGGTTGACAGAAGCTAGCTTCAGCCTCGAACCTAAGCAACTTCTAAGTTAAGAAGTAACTTGGAACCAGGGCTTATCGAAGCGATGATCACAGGCGGAATACGCTCGAGCGAAGGAAAGGCCAATAGTCTGAGAATAAATGAATCTCCGGTGAAAACAGAGAGACCAGTCATCCTTTCACCAATATTGTCCCGTGATTGCAGAAACAGCCGATTCGATCGCTCGATCGACGTATGAGCATGACGATCCATCACGGCAATTTAATAAATCAGCTCAGGTCTCCAATGTCTATGAGTACTCGTACGGCGTACTCCGTAAACAACTTTGGAAGTGAGACCGAGTGAGGATTTGAGTATCTGACCTGTGGCGAATCCTTTCAGAAGTTCTGGGGCAAAAGCTAAGGTGAAAGGAGTGGAGAAAGTAAATCTGATAGATCCAAAACTCAGGAGCTGGGGCCCACGTTCACACTGGGAAAAGTCCTCCGAGTCCCCATCCACTGTGCTGGGATATGCACGACAATCCAGTGCAGGATTCCTGACCCATCATTTGATGCAACGTGGGGATCGGCGAACGTCCTTCGCTCTCGCATAGAGGTAAGGCAATTGTGGCAAGGGGGGACTTTTGTGATAAGGGAGATTGTAAGTACGACGTTCACGTACTATGGAGTACAGTACGAAGTACTGCTTCTAAGTTGCAGTTCGACATTTTGGATGTATGTTAGTATGTTAACATGCATGAGTTTCCAAGGTTTGCATTGATATGGGGCCCTTGGAAGCATACCCCGTATAATTCCGTATATCTGCCGGACAAAGGCATTGTCCTGCATTATCTGCGATCTCTATGGCGTTTCCCTTTTCTTTTTTTCTGTTTCCCTCGAATTCAATAAAAGATGCGGTCTGGATCGTCACTCGGATATTAATATCCGTAAAATAAATGGTTGATAAACAAATTGTTCATGGTATCGGTATGGACTATGGCGAACGACGTACTCCGTATGGCGGAGTACGGAGTACGCGGTCGAGTACTAAGTATCATTGGAACCTTAGAAGCCCTAGGCTGTTTTTGGTGTTTGTGTAGGCACTCCGAACCCCATAGATCCCGCATCAGCTCCATGCTCAAGCTCAAATCTAAAGAGAAAAGAGAATACTACGAATATAACTATTTGTTCCCCCACAAACCTACGCGTGGATCTACCGAGATCCGTTACCCCGTTCCAAGGAGCTGGGTCATAAGAATTCCCCCCTTGATGATTTCACGTGGCTCTGATGACGTCTCTTTTGAGGCGATTGGACTGGAGAAGTTAACCGTGAAGGGAATTAGCGCTTGTAACGGTTGTACCTGTGGACGAAGTACGAAATACGGAGTAACTATAGGATTGGATTTGAAAATTCACACATTCTCATGTGCTAAAGACCATATCAAGGAATCTAGCGGTGTACGGTGTACGACCAACCTATGTTTGTTTTCTACTTGTTTACGGGCACATTATAGGCGAAAACGCTAATGATCTTGACTATGATATAATTATCCAAGGCAAGGCAAATAATAGATTTACTTAAGGAGGTCATAAGGTTCAATAATGGTGCCTGATTGCTTAGCCTTGCCTCAAAAGTTTGCAAAAGTTGCCTGGCCCAGCGGTGTAGTAGATTCTCTCCGACCGGGTAGTAAAGTGACATTGACGGGATAACCAATTGCAGACTTCCATGAAATCTATAAAGAATCAGAAGAGAAAGCCGGGAATATACCAAGTTCTAAAATTCCAGTTCCAAGATTCAGGAGACCCCCTAACTCACGAATGGGGATTATTGTTTATTTTTCATTGCTGATCCGGCTCCACTACTACTTCCAGGGCTATACTACTCGTAGACTATGTAAGTATTCCTCTTTACACCATTTCTGACTGCAGTTAGCGCCCTTGATGAAACCGAAGATTGGGCCTGGACCAATTCTATGAAGTCATGTATATTATATTATTTAATATTATAATATTATAATTCTATAATCATTAAATCATTAAATCAAATGATCACTATATTATTACCTTGACCGACTTCTTTGAGATCAAAACTTCTAGAAACACCCCCTTGTAGAGAGGCTGACCGCCTCTCAACCGATTCATGTAGCAACTAAATGGACTCCACAGGTATCATATTGCCAACTAGTCCCAGTCTCAATCCCGTTGATGTTCGGCATAGAACGGAATCAGAATCGCCTTAATCGCAGATCTCATGGGAGTTCGTCAGCTTCTCCCCGATCTGCCCAAGAGAGGGGATCCCAAGAGAGGGGAGGCCAGGAATGGAGCTACTAACTATCCCATGATGCTGTCGATCTTTACTCCCTTTCTCCGAAGGCTCGTCCCGTCGTCCCAGTAGCCTGGGCTGGGAGTAGCCCGTTGTCAATGTGCCTAAGCTCCTAGTCAAGTTCCTCGTGATGTGTCGAACGTGGCGGAACGGTAACAAGCAGGGATACTGAAAATTAGCTACCGTTGACATCTATTCACCAATAACCCTCGTCCGTGAATGTCCGTTGATTATCCCTGCAATATTGTTTCATTAATATCTCTCGTTCTCGTCTCTCTCTTTCTTCTATCCTTCCCTTATCGGTCCTATAATTACTTTCTTCGCCGTGTTACATGAGCGCCAACGTGTACTTTAATGTGTTGGCCTTGATTCCCGGGCTAGTAATGTGAGGTGAATAAATGCAATCCACCAGCCCCAGAAGATTTGTTCTTTAAACCACCTCCGGAAACACTTGGGCACCCAAAAAAAACACCCCAAAACCTCCCAAGGAGTGAAGGTATTGCAAACACTTGAGGAGCACTCGTTGATTCTGTTCATCATGATGGCCTTGGACTCGGGACATTCCCCATTATTCCAAACTAGCTTGGAGATTCCAGCCTTCTTTGTCTCCTATCGTTGGTGGGAAGATGAAGCAACAACCGTATTTTGGGCCTTCGACATCCAGGAAATTAGCCGAGTCATTCGATTCGGACTCTTTCGCGACGAAAACTTCCCGAGGACTTCTCTTCGCGCTCGAAATACAGACACCATCGATGCCTTCTTGATTGCCCTATCCGTTCCCCACGAGTACCAGCTCCTCGATAGCCTCTCCCATATGCAGAGAGTGGAGGAAATTCTCCGTCGGTCAAGTATACCTCCGTTCGAAGCCATTCCCTGGAGTTGGTTCCCGCAGTCTCAGGCATCAGATGCACGAGAAATCGCCACCGCAATTGAGACCGAGAGCCATTTTCATTTCAGACAGATTGATTTCGAGGAGTTTGTGCGTGCTGCGCTGGGCTATAATGCCTTGTTTGTCGATTGGTTCTTGCAGCAACATACGGCTCTTTATCTTATTCTCTTAAATCATCTCCAAGCTCACCCGGAGGATGTCCCATTGTACACCGAGGTTGAAAAGGTGCGTGCATTTAAGCCATAATAAGCCGACAGCCTCGAATGCAAACTAATTTGAATAGCATCTGCGGTCGCGGAGTCCATTTGCTCACCGAGCATTGCTCCATAGCCTTATGGCAGTAAAACCTGGTGGCAGCCGGGACATACCTCGCCCTAACGCCACTGGGTTCCAGTTCATTGCAGGGCCAATCCAGGATTTGTTCAAGGATCAGCCTGGAAGGCTGAGCGACATGCTCAAGATGCTGAGTGTCTTGGCTGTTCGATTCCGCCGACAGTATGCGCATGCTGCGGCTATGGATTGGAAACCCCCATTTGATACATCACTTGCATTCCTGGAAGACTGTCTCACTTATTCGTCGCCGATGGATCTGGCTCTCAACATGAAGGGCCTGGATGAACATCAATTCGCCGAAATCACCCGGCAAGCATTAGTGACAGATGACGCGGCTGTCAGACAATTGTTTGTCAATTGGCAGACGTTGAATATCTCTGTTTGGGAATGTTGCTGTGCCCTTCCAGACTTGATCCCATACCTCCAAGACTGTGTACAAGTGAGTATCCCCCACAAAGTAGTTGAAATAAGCCGAGATGGCTTCCTAAATAAAAAAGAAAAAAAAATTGACGATCTAATACGACTAGCATTTATTGGCAACTCGAAACTATCACTCGCTCATGGCCATGATCAGCGGCCTCCGCAACTACGCTATTTCCACAATGCGGACCGACGTGGGCAATTCCAATGCCCTCATCCTAGAGGCCCTGATTCCACCAGAGATCATCTCCCTCATGAATCCAGCCGAGAACTACTCTGCATACCGCCAACATTACAAAAAATACCCCGGAGTTCCATTTTTGATCCCCCACATCCGCGATTTCAAACAAAACGGCGATACCGGGCTCGAGCCAGTCTGCAAGTTCTTGCAGGCAGAGTAATCCACTGAGGTCTCGGCCAAGGCCGAACGATGTCGCTAGCTTCGGTAACAGGAGAAAATCCAAAAGGGGAGCGTGCTTGGCCTGCAGTGGCTGCAGATGGCGAGAACCCGCCCCACGTTAAGTAGGAGCTGAAGACTCTCGACGACATTCTTGTTTGTCTCAGCAGCTGATGCATTGTGCGTCTTGGCACCGGGGGCCAATTTGTGACTTGAAATGCTCCGTTTTCATGACCTGTATTTCTATTATACCCCTAGTATCGGGCAGGAGTTCTGGCGTTGTCTTAATATCAATCTAATAGTCATATTGATAATTCAAGGGTATATGTGATTTGAGAAATTCCATTGGATCCAACGCACTAGATTGTTAAGACACGAGAGCAGTGCATAGAGTCCAACCCCTCTTTCCCTTCCCAACATACTACATACCTACGAATCAGATGAAATCCACTACATCCGAAGAGCCGCTCCAGGCGATAGCACCATTGAAGTCGACATTACAAATATGCGGTCTCATGCAGGTGGTATTGGCCCCTGTGCCACACTTTCTTTGCTTTTTTTCTAAAAGTAATGTAGTATAGGAAGTAAGTCACACTTCACTGCTGTTTCTCAGCCGCCTTAGGCGCCTTCGCATATCCAAATACTCCCCAGAAATAGGCGATTCTATTCACAAACAAGAATGCAGTTGCTCCGATGTTACCCCATGTTAGGGCGTTCCATGATCCAACGTCCAAAAATGCGTCCCAGCCCATTGCCAAGCCTGTAGCATATACATGCCCTACGTCGGCGATGGCCAGCCCGACGAGGTAGTTGCGCAACACCTTGGGCTCTGTTGTGGCATGGCACACTCCGACCCCGACCAGGAATAGGAGTGAGTATAGATTACCGAGTTGGTAGGCTAGAGCGACGCTGCTTGGATGGAGGGTGGCTGGCTCTGGGATGGTAGGTGTCTGACCAGCAATGAAGCCTTGGAGATCATAAAGAGGGAAAGCACTGCCCAGAGCTCTGTCAATTTGAATTGAGTTAGTGATGTGCATGGTCGAGGGAAGGAACTCCATGTTCATACAGCGAGATAGGCTCCAGAATGCCAAAGAGGATGTGCGGCCACGTTGGGAAAATAGTAGGCATTTCGAATTTCTGTTTCTTCAATGTTATTATTTAGTTGCCATTGTTTGCGCTTGGGTTCTGCAATGCGCCCCGGGCGATCTGCATACAACGCAGTAGCAAGTTATGGAGCTTGGAATAGAAGACTGACTGTTTTGTGAAGATGAATATAGGAGAATGACTGAATAAAGCAGTGCCAATGCCAGATCAATTGAATATCAATGTACCGAGTACGGAGTAGTTAAAAAAGAAAGCCAGGGGATCCGTAAGTCATGGAGCTGACGTATTTACCCACTTTACTGACGTTCGTCACCGCCTCCGACATGCCCCGTTATCAGGTTTCTTATCGACTTCATCTTCATCTTCTGCCTTCTGCACATCATGGACGCAATGATGTCCATACAGATGTGATTTGAAATGGAACCTGCCAATCCTTCAAAGCCCCCAGCTGAACCGGCACTCCGCGAACTGCCTCAACTTTCTCTCCGTATTGCGCCTCTCCGAGAACCGGTTTCCTCCCGCACCTTAAGCGTCCCATCGCCCCTCGAGCCCAATGCCAGCGGAGCGCGGGATTCAAACAATATATCCAAGGCAAAAAACAATGTCCCGGCTGCAAATGCACAAGCCGGTCTTCCAACAGTAACAGAGTTCCTCAATGCGGCACGGACCAAGACAACCGATCCAACAGACTCACCATCGAGTGTGGAGCGACCACCAAGGCCTATTCTTCCCGCCTTTGTCAACCTGCGTGCATTAGAGAAATTTCCGTTTTCCACCTCTTTCGATGACAGTACCCCTCAAGGGACCCGCAAGCGCCGACGCTTAGATCATCAGGCGGATTCCTTCAGCGAGCATCTCCAACTGCCCATCCCGCAAGCCCAAAAGGAGCAAAGGCCTCCGCCGTTTGGTCCATTTGCTATCCTGAATGGATTGAATGAGCCCCCGCCAAATGCTGCATTCCTCCCGCCCATCGAGGTTGGGTCTAACATATCCCAGCTTCTTACCAAACCATCGGGAGGCGATGCAGATCTCGATGCGGGGGCATCAGCCTCAGGCCAAGGCACAACCGCAGATGGTCAGCCTGCTGAAAGACGTGGTGCGCGCATCGAAGAGATACTACGTACATCCCTCAGTGTGGATGAAGATGACACTCGTAATGATAATTATGAAAACATTCAAAGCACTAACACAGCAGAACCTGATAAGACTACTCTATCGGCTCGTGAAGCAGATCCATCGCAAGGCTCCAATTCCCTATCCACTGCACCCAAGGAAGATGCACCCATGTCGCCGAAAAGCCGGGGCCGATCCCGTAAGAATCTGAGAAGGTGGACTGATGAAGAAACCACCAATTTGCTTCGGGGAGTGGTCAAATGTGGAATTGGAAATTGGACTGCTATCCTGGCACAGCCGGAACTGGAGTTTAACCAAAGAACCGCATCTAACCTCAAAGACAGGTATGAGCCCAGTTCTTGATCAATATTTGATCTCCTGCTAAAGTCCACTCTGTTAGGTTTCGAGTACTATGCCCATGGGCCTACCGGTAGGAAATCCATATAGCTTACATCGCCTAGTATGAATTGCTAACCATCGTGGAAGTGCATCCGACCCCAACGAAGCCGCAAGACAACTACATGAAACCCTCACTAACGCTTTACTCAAAGCCAAAGCAGGAGGCTCCGACAACATACCCGCCCAAATGCAAATACCCAAGCTTATGCGCACCGAATCGGGAGGTTCCGACTCGACTTCTGGGTCGGGGAGTCCGGCAGTCTTATCGCGTCACTCTTCAACTCCGAGTACTCTCGCATCAACGCCTGATACGGAAGTTGGGAATGTCATGTCACCCTCGCCAGGACAGAGTACACTTGCTTTATCAAACCAATCCCGCTCAACCCTCGAATCTCTTGGAATTCCCCAACCCCACGTCGCACAGATTAAACGTCGCTCAAGGCGCCCCTTTACACCCACGGAAGACGAAGCCCTTCTGAAGGGGTACGCCGTCCACGGCTTCCAATGGACATTGATCCAACAAGACTCAAGACTGAATCTCAGTCACCGCAAAGCAACTGATCTGCGTGACAGGTTTAGGACTAAGTTTCCCCACGCCTACCGTGATGGCGGCTCCGTGAGCGGCAAAGCCATGACCAGTCAGAGTCCAAGCCAATCGGACTCGGCGGGTGCATCTACGCCCCGTCCGACTGTCTCGAATATTGGCGAACATTCTCCCAGTAAGGGTCGCGCAACCCCAACTTTAGCTGACCCTCGCCTTTCGAGGGAGAGTCACCCTACTACCTCTTCTCACTCCAACTCCACTCACATTGACCCGGCACTCCTGCCTCCGCCCCCTCAAGGCTTTTTGGACAATCCCATGCCTCTCCCTGCTGCAGGCGGGCTTTCTTTCTCCTTGGACGAAGGCTCTGGCCCGGCTCCTTCGGTCGAGGCACCATGGGAAGACAATACACTTGCTCCGATGATTTGGGATGAACTGGCCTAATGATGGACACGTGCTGTCTTCAGTACTACGTTATCGACGCATGTCATGACTTGGATTTCTCGGTATCATTTTTTAATGTTTCTTCTTAGTGTTTTTTTTCGGCTTCTTTTCTTCTTTCTCGGTGTTTCTTGGGCTACCTTCTTGTCATTAGCTTTCTGTCGTTTGTTTTCTGTTATTGATCGATATCCCGCAGTACACGATGGTTTTTGCTTTTTCATATCAAATAAAAGTTATTCTTTTTCTCAAGCTTTTCACACTGGTTGGTATTTGATTTTCAAGAAAATATGCCCTATGCTGCAAGTGGGAAAAATAACGGTGGATTCGGATATCAAACAAGCACAAGTGAAATCATGTAATGGCCATCTCATAGCTTACAGTCGCGGGTAATTTTGATCGCAAGTCTGCCGTAGAAAGAATATGTAAAAGCGTGAGAGCATCAATAAAAAAAAAAACAGAACATGAACGAAGACCCAGAAATCACCCCAATGCGAAATCAGGATTTCCAGAAATGAAAACACGCTGAAGGACTAAGCTGACAGTCTACCATGCATTGCGATCCCAGTTAGGATCTAGACATTTCATTAGCATAGTCGAGACTCGAAAGCAGAAATACAGACCTTGTATGAAGCTAGCCAGAACCTTGCTCCCAGTCTGGAGGAGGGGATGTCCCGCGACAATCTGAAGGAAACGCTGGAGACCTTCTCGGCGGTGCTCGATGACATCGTCACTGAACCGATTGGTGAACACTTTGCCTGGCAGTGGGGGTATTGTGACGCGCGTGCTTTCGCGCTCCAGGATATCGCGGAAGTACTCGAAGTCAGAGTAGCGGCGGCGCACGACGGAATGTTTCAGTTTGAAGGCGGGGATGTTGGTTCTGCATACGATCTCGTACGACGTGTACATGTTCCGGGAGGTGCCATGGGTCTGGGGGTTGCGGACCTGGTGGTTTTTTGTCAGTTTATCGTGAAGTGGGGGGTTCATGTCCGGGGAGTGGGGATGTATGGGGTTTGCTTGGATGGGATGTTGGCACGAGACCAGAGGAATGGGGCTGGGATTTGATCGGTGTGGTTGGTCTTGGGGTTTGGAGGGGATGAGACGCACCTCAATCTCGAGGAAGTTCTCCGGAGGCCCGTAGATCTCCTCGAATGACTGCTGTCGTGATTCTGGGACGGACTGCATGGTGGGGGTGGGTTGGGGGTGGGAGAGTGATGATGTGAGCGCAAGAAGTATGCGTCCAGTCCCTCAAGTTTGAAGGCAGTTGCTCAACTATGAGTCAGATGGCAGTCTAAGGATCTCTCTTTGGTCTTGACTCCAAGGTCTTGAAGACGAAGCCCAAGCTCAGAGAGTAGAGTGGGGCCCGGGATAATGGTTAGTCCGTCCACTTTAGCTTATCTTTCAACGTCTTTGCTTCTACTCTCTTTTACTTACCTAGGTATTTAAGTAGGTATGTATCAGATTGATTCCAGGCTGGACTCACTGATTTGGTCTTTTTTGAAGCATCATATTAAGAGAAAATACCATCATTACCTAGATATACAGTGTCAATGTACTCTGTCCTAGACAAAGAATTGCGGGGCATATGTCAACTAGGATTTAGAAAAGAGGCATAGCAATAATCTATAGAAAGCCATTGCATTATGAAATTCTCATATCAGTTGGTCACTGTGAAGGCCAAGCTACATTTTCTAAGTACAGCCCTAGAGAAAGCCTGCTGCATAGTATTGCGTACTTTGTATAAGGTTCCCCATACCGAACACGAGATAGCCGGAGTGCCACTGGCAAAATTTCTGCATAACATGCATGCACGGAAATAGTTACAATGTTTCTCCACAGAACTGTATTTGACTGCATATTGCTCACTGATGTTGAGATATGGGTTGACGGCCCTAGGTATGCCATATTATGATATTTGAATTAGGGCCAGCATCAACCTGGACACCAGTAATCAGCCACTGGCAGCTATAGACCTATGTGGCTCATTGCAGTTTGATGAATGGTATGCTTGAAGCTAAGTTTAAGTTTAGAACATGGGAAATTTTTTCATTATGCATCGTGAAGCCTGCTTAGGAGACAGTCCCACGGTATCTATAGATACTCCAGGGCTAATGATTGATCACCTTGGGGTAGCAGCACCACATCAACGGTGATCAGGTTAATAGCCCTGAAAACTGTCAAACCAAAGAGCATACTCCTCAACACCGACTTCAAAATATCTGTCAAAGAACACATTGTTTCAGGTTCCAAGAGCTTCAATGGCAGTAGGCCCGGAGATAGCGGAGTTAAGGACCCGGCCCAGACAAGAGCGGTGACCTCACGGATGGAACTTATCGGCTATCGATAAGCATCTCTCCATCTCCACATACTTCCTCATACTTTATGATCTGTACAGAGCCATGAGTCCCACGTCCAACAGAGGAGATTCACCAGGTGGTGATGAGGGGATCTGGCACCCTGCTCTTGAGTGGCTAGAAGAAGATGAACAGGATGTCGACTATACCCCCCACCCCGAACCCAATCACGTCGAGGCATGGGTGGACGAGATGCCAATCGAGGATGAAGCAATGGGCATGGGGGTTACAGGAAGTAAGCTGAAATCATATATGCACACAGGTCGACTCACATTGCACATAATCGCTAATGCTCTTTTCCCAGACACCCGAAGCATCAATATCGGCAATGTCCAGATCTTACTCCCACATGATGACGCCGCGGGCGAGGGCCACATAGATCGTATGTTCACTTTGAGAGTATGAAAAGTCCAGAGGAAAGAGCTGATGAATAGCAGATTCTGCTCGGATCCTTGAAATACTTGCCAGCACCCAAGGATTGCAAAACATTCTTCGGGCCAATGGCTGGCCCATGCAATTGCAAGAGGAGGGTGAATTTGAAAGCGACGATGATTCCGAAAGCGACGAAGATGACGCCGATTATGAGGAGCGCTTTATGTCGCGATACCGCGCAAGAGCCTACCGGACCAGACGGGGCAGGCCAACCAGGCCCCCAGCTGAACTACCCCCGGTGCCTAACCCCGAAGGGAAGAAACTGATGAGCGAGGGTCACTTTGGCACTGACCAACATTATGTCGACCGCAATAAGCAACGCAAAAATGGATTAGCCACAAACCTCATGTGGCGAGAACTAGGTGTTGATGTCCACGGGGTGCGAAAGCGAGCGAACCAGGCCATTTCCCAGGTATGTTCTTGAAAGCACTCCATTGCCACTCATGACTAGGGGCTAATTTGTTCTCTTTGGCTATCAGAGCTTGATTCCAGGCTCTGTCGCAGATAGAATCATTCATTACGATACACGAAGTTACTCCGGCCAATTCTCGGATGACGGAAACTTCTTCTTTTGCTGCGCACAGGATTTCAAGGTTCGAATGTACGACACTTCTAACCCCTATGACTGGAAATATTACAAAACCGTCGAATATCCATTTGGCCAATGGACCATCACCGATGCAACCCTGAGCCCGGACAATCGTTTCCTAGTGTACAGCTCAATACGAAGCCAGGCATATATGGCTCCGACGGACCCAGAGGATGATTCAGATCCCACTGGTCTCGACTTTTCAACTATGCCAGGTCAATCGCGACGGGGAAGTTCACATTTTGGAGTAAGGAGATGCCCACGCATGGAATTTATGGGGGCTAATAATTTTTGAACAGATTTGGTCCCTTCGATTCTCCGGAGATGGCCGGGAGGTTGTCGCAGGCACGTCAGAAGACTCGGTCATCGTTTATGATTTGGAGACGAAACAGCCAGTTCTGAATCTGCGAGACCGACATGGACATCATGTCAATGCAGTTTGCTACGGTGATACATCATCGCCGCATATCTTATATTCCGGATCCGATGACACAACCCTGCGAGTCTGGGATCGCCGATCTATGGGCGATGGACGTGAAGCCGGTGTCTTCCTGGGTCATACTGAGGGTCTTACCTACGTCGATAGCAAAGGCGATGGTCGATACGTCCTGTCCAACAGCAAAGACCAAACAATGAAGCTTTGGGACTTGCGGAAGATGATGACATCTTCCAGTGTAGAGAATCTCGACCCATATGGGTACACGACTGGATTTGACTACCGTTTTGAATCGTACCCAGAGGATTTCCGCAGAAACGCCCCAAGTGACTGCTCGGTTGTCACCTATCGGGGCCATCATGTGCTCAAGACATTGATCCGATGTCATTTCTCGCCACCGGATAGCACAAACTCACGCTATGTGTACAGCGGAAGCGAGGATGGTAAGGTCTATGTCTACAACATGGATGCCACTCTAGCCGGCACGATTGACGTCGGAGAAGCGACTGTCAACTCCCGGCCACGGGGGCCAGATACTTACGCCACGGCTTATGAGATGGGTGGTGAAACGATGTGGAGGACTTGTGTTCGAGATGCCAGCTGGCACCCGAATGCACCAGTTTTAGCAGGTGAGTACTATCTCGTGTTTTTCAAGACCTTGCTAATTCAGTGTATAGCAACTTCCTGGAACGGCTGGGGCCTCTCCACTGGAACATGTACCGTTCATTCATGGAACGATGGCGCCAGCGCAGACGAAGGGTACCCGCCCTTGGGCAAGAGTTACGATGACAAGTTGCGCTACGTCCCGGAGTTCAACGATTACCGTGACAATGCTCCCTTTGGTCGACCCCAGCGCCCATTACGCAGTCGACCCGTTCGCCGGATGGTTGACGAGGATGCTGATCCTGACGCATGGTAGCTTCAGTATTTGACTAGGTGTGGCCGAAAGCAAGTTCCTTTGATCCGGGGTTCTGTCCAATGGCTATGTTTCCCGTAAGTATTGTCGCATAACTGAACATTGAACGAAAGCTAACTCAACATAGCGATCCAAGTACGATTCCGTTGAAGGGGTTAATACCTCCCAACTGGGATCTTCAGGTCGGATTTCCATTATGTTCGCCGATCTTCGTGAGGCCACGAATGCCTTTCACCGGATTGGCCGTGCCTGGCCGCAGAGCGAGGTACACTATGTGAATATTGGGGAGATTGTGGACGCTGTCCTCATGGGACCGATCATCAGCGACACGGTGCAGGAAAATGGATGTACAATCAGCACATTGGTGCTATTGAAGTTCGTTAGGTAGATATACTGATCTTTTGGATCCAGACACGAATTTATGTAGCCATGAGGCTTTTTTTTACCAAGTCTGCATCTCGATGACCTAAACAGCTGATGAGATGGTCAATGTAAGGGCATCAATTGACTGAAAAATTCTGTATTAATACAGTATGCGTAAACGGTGGTATCTCATGGATAGCGATATTAAACTGTCTCATCGCATGTCCAAATAAAAGAGCCAAGTGGCAGCGCTCGCCAAGGCAAAACATGAAAACAAAAGTGCTGGTAGGCACAACAGCAAGGGACGTGGAGTGTGGGATAGCATGAAGAGATGACCTAGGCGGTAACACATTGGCTCATGTTCGTCGTCCGGTGTAAGTGCGTAGGGTTGGCCGCCATCGTCTGAAGTAGGTTTTGTGCAAGTTACCATCGACAATGCCTTAGGCGCCTCATCGTCATTTGTAGTTTGCCCTGCATCTCCACGAGCTTTATCCCATTCACATTCTTCCCATCCCTCACCACCCTCCTCAAGCTACCAGCGGTGGCAGAGGACACCTCTGATGCATCTCCTCTTTATGCGCCACCGACCAACACCTGGTTGACAGGGATGTGAACTGCAGAAAGTATATTAGCACAACAGTACGTGGTATGTGATGCCACGGACTCTGATCCGGGCCTTGGAGCTCATACTCAGCTTGACGAAGTATCCAATGGCTCCCTATTTGCGATGTCAGCTATCTGGCCTCGCGCACTTGATCCAGGGGTCGCCACCACGGCACTTACCATGACAAGGAAACCCATGCCCACGGCCTGGCTGATCTTGATGAATTCACGCTTATCGGCTGGACAGATTGTCAGTATGGCGAGACACTCAAAGTAGCTGGCGATGCAGCGCGATCGACATACGCTTGGTGCAGCGGCGCACGAATTGAGAGCCTTCCCGGACAAAGTCCTTAGGGATATCGGCAAGCTCTTGGAAAGTCTCAGACATTTTGAATGATTATGGAGGAAGACAGCTGGAGGGGTTGAAGAGAAGAAAAGTCCAAGGAGGCAATAAGAACAGGTGGTTTCCGAGACCAAATGGCCTCCGGGGTGGCCCGGAATATTCCATTATTCCGGACCGATCGCAGTACAGCTCTCGCCGTCGCGAACTTCCGGCACCTTCTCCTCTTTCGCATCACCCCCAGGTCGTCGCCAAATTCGTATACGCGAATATCGCGAATACTTTTCCGAGAATATTCACCTTGCGCGATCTTTTCAGCTAATTTCCCCGTGCTATTCCCCCCCGGCAACCACTTCCCTGATCACTGCACACTCCTGTCTTTCCTCTCTTCCCTTTATCTTCTGCCTGTGACACTCGGTGCTTGTGTGGCGGGCTATCCCATATCTCTTTGAACTCTACTTCTTCTGTTTCCCTGTTTTCTCGGGGTATTCTCTTGTGCGCCGTGTCTAAAGCTCGCGCCAGTCTTGTCTCTGCCGCAAGCGCTTGATCAGCTTCGGATTTGTACGTATTGTCAGGCCTTGTCTTTGCTCATGTCTATTCTACCTGTTTTCTCCGGCCTTCCCTCTGGACTTCGTGGACATTGGCCATTATGCGATCATCTGCCGTTTTCGTGAGGGCCGGGGCAAACGAGCCTCGTGAGGTCTACTTCGAAGATTACGCGTTCCCTTCACCTGCCTGCCACTGTCCATGGTCACTTGCTGTATTCCTCTTTTCAATGCTAATTGGTGACATGTCTGCAGAAGTGCGTATCTTTCCTTGGCTTGCTCAGAAGCGGGAAGGAAACAAGAAGAACAAGGGCCTGTACATACACAGGCAAATCGAATATTTTCTCATTTCAATCCGTTGAATTGAATACTAATTGACTTCGCAATGGCCACCGACGACGATAACTTCGACATTGACATCTACGGTGATGGCACTTACAATGCCAACGAGCCGGCTGGTCAGGATGACGCAGAGCTGGTTCTCGATGCTCCTGAGAACCTTCCTGCCACTGGCAATGACGCAGTAGATGGCACTAATGACCGCCCGCACCGACCTGCCCCCTCCGATCGTGCTTCCCATGAGCGCACGGCTCCTGCTGCCCAGACCGCTCAACATACCGAGCCTGTTCAGCCTGCTCAGAACACCCAGCCGGCCCAATCTGCCCAGCAGGCTCCCGGCCACACCCTGCCTGCTCCCCCTCAGGGCACCAAGCGCAAGGAAATCGACGAGCAGTCATCTGATCCTGGTGCAACCAACGCTCTGCTGATCGGAGAGCTTGCCTGGTGGACCACCGAGGAAACGGTTCGGGGATGGATCAACTCCGCTGGCGTCGAAAACGATTTGAAGGATGTGACCTTCAGTGAGCACAAGGTCAACGGAAAGAGCAAGGGGTAAGACAACTCTATGAGATTGATTGACTGAATTAGATTGTGCTAATACTTGGAACTTGAACAGCCAAGTTTTTGCTCTGTTTAACACTCCCCAAGCTGCAACAATTGCCAAGCAGGCGATTTCTAAGACCACTGAAAACGGCCGCAACCATACCGCCGCCTACGCCAACCCTGCCATGAACCCTTTCAAGACTTTGCCAAAGGACACTCCAATGCGCCAGAGCAATGGGCCTACCCGTGGCAATTACCAAGGTGGCTCGAACAACTTTGGCCATAACAATGCTGGTAATTATCGCGGCCGAGGAAACTTCAACAACCGTGGAAATTATAACAACTTTAACCGTGGCGGTCATAACAACTTCAATCCCATGCCATTCCAGGGTGGAAATGCGAACCCTATGATGGGTAATTTCGGAGGCGGTCCCATGGGTGGCATGCCTAACTACGGGTTCAACAACCGCGGTGGACCCATGATGGGAGGTAACATGCGCGGTGGTCCTCGCGGCCGTGGTGGCAACCCCATGGGCGGCCATAACATGATGTCTATGGGAATGAACCCCGCAATGGGCGGTATGGGCGGCATGAACCCAATGGGCATGAACCCCATGATGTCTAATATGGGTGGTAACATGGGCCCCAACATGGGTCCCGGCATGGGGAACATGGGTCCTAACATGGGCAATATGGGCATGCAAGGTAAGATATATCCATGCTATAGGTTATCATAAGTCTTTATCTAACTTCCTCTAGGTCAAGCTCCATTCCAAGGTGGACCAACTCCTCCCTTCAACCAGGGCCAAAACCAAGGCCAGAACCAGGCTCAAAACCAGGGTGGCTTCTATAACGCCAACCAAGGTGGCCCAGGATCCAACCCTCACGGCGCCAAGCGCAGTCGTCAGGACTAAACGTGTTCGCACCTGGTCGTTGCTCGAACCTTGCTCGGCCTTTACTATTTCATGAGTTGATTGTGTTTGTTACGTGGTCCTTAACTATCATTTGTTCAAGGCACTTTCTGTGCAATTGTCCCTGGTGAAACATCTCTGAGACGATAGGAGATTCTTGAGAGAACTATGGTTCCTGATTCTGAGATTTTATTTGCTTCGTGGGCTCGTTGAAAGGGTGAGGTGGAGTGCTCAAGTGTTACGGGAACTGATCTGGTTTTGTCATTTGTGAACTGCTCTCCCTTTCTGGGGTGAGATGGTATTCTCGATCTTGACTTAACCTGGTTTAGTTTGCCCGGCTTTCGAACTGCTCTGCCCTACTTCATAGCTATGGCGTTTTAGGTTGCTATAAAAATGGAGTTATCTGCCTTTTTTATATTATTTCTCTGGTTTCAACAGGTCAACAGCGATCTGGGGTTGAAAATAGTCATCACGTTGTCCAGTTTGAGATCATGGTTTACACTTGGCTGAGCCATACTATATGCTGATATCCAAGTCTACAGATGGATTGACCTTACAAGCTGCCAACTTGTCCATTCATCGTCATCCATGAATCTCATGTCATTTGCTCCTGAATCAGCCATCTCGAGTGCTGTGTTTGACCCAGCTACACAAAGAACTTGAGGCCTTATTGGAAAATCCCCAGTCTAATACAGCATTGAGGTCGGATGCGAGAAGGTCATCTCATTGTTTTGATTCATGGACAGCCGAACCCTCCAGCTTGATATCCAGATACAAGAAAAGTATGACAGTTTTCGCTACTCACGTCATTTCCTTTTCATTTGGTCGTAACTTGGCTGTGGATTATGATATCTTAAGTAGATCAGGAGCCAGTAACGGGCTTGTCTGCACAGAGTATCTCAACTTGGATATTATTCGACAACCAAGGTCACATCAGATTCGATGCTGTCACATTCAAGGCCTAGAGGCACATTCAAACCAATTCAAACCAGCTAACTGCTGCGCCAGGACCCAAAACCAGGATTCGAAGCCCTGGAAACTGCGCTCACCATGGAATAACACAGCTCGTCACAAAAGGAAGTTTAAGACGTCGCTTTGCGGTACGGGTTGCCAAACACGATCTCAAGATAAGCGATGATGTCCTCCGCGTCCTCAAAGGCATTGTCTGACTCGGGATCAAGGCGGGGAGCAATAAGCAGCTGTGCCGTTCCTTCGCATCGACTAGACACATAAAGCAGTCGGGAATCACGGGTAGGATAATGATCTGCATTGATTTGCAGCGTCCGACGCACAGTGGCGACCCAGCTCTCGAAGGGATAAGTCTTTCCATCATTGAACATGGGGGGATCTGGCATCTTGGTGGACTTGTGGCTCCCGACAGAGTTGGAGAGGAGTTGGGAAAGTTGGTATCCCACCTCATTCCGCTGTTGCTCCAGACTCTGGCAGTGAGACTCAGCTGCACTGAGGCGACTTTCTGCCTCCAGCCAAAGGCTTATCTTGTTCCCGTACGCGGCGTTTGTCTCCTCCAGTTCCTCCATCAGGCAATGCGCGAGGTGCATGGAATCCTGATAGTCAAGCTTAATCCTGTCATTATCGCTTTTGAGAACTTGGTGCATTCCAAGGAGTGCTTCGAGATGCTCGTCACTCGGCATTGCCTCGAATCGCCTTATCGCGGCTTCCTCGAAGTCATACTTCTGGAGGAGAGGGCGGAGACCCGTGGTCGTGACGGTGATGAGGGGGACTTGTGGACCCGATAGACCAGGGGTGGCTGGCTCATTCTCGGGAACTGACAGCTGCTCTCGCTCCTTGTTCTTAGCGGCTCCGCGAGTCCGACGTCGTCCAGAAGCCATTCCGTCTTGTAGTAGGGCTTGTGGGGCTCGATTCGGTCCTCTGATTGGTGGGCTGGTGCCAAGGCGCTAAATGGTTGCTTCCGTTGCTTCTCTGCGGCTCGCAGTCGGACAAAAAGAGAGGAAGTGTTGCGAGGTTAGCAAAACGCGAGATCTGACTTCTGTGTAGTCCTTCCAAAAGACAGGAAGTTTGAGAGAGAAAAGGCATCAGGGGAGAAAGAGACTAGAAGTAGCAGAGGTGGTGAAGGCCTGAGTGCCTGAGATGTTGGTGCAAGCAGTAAACCACCCCATGCATATCAAAAGTCATAGATGTTGTGTGTTGGGTTGACTTCAACCCTGTAGATAGATCTCTCGCGCGCTCCCCGAGAGCTAGAATCGATTCGTTCCTTCCGCCTTCCATCCTTCGCCTGTACGCTCAACATGTAGATTCTCAACTGTTGCCATTTTCATTAAGGCTACAGTCAAAGAAAGAAACCAGAAACGATCGATTGAGGGAGGAGAAAGAGGTTGCAAAAGGCAAACTCAGAATGGCGAACGCTGAGGGTTTTGACTAGCTAAAAACCATCCCATCTCTCAACAATTTTGATGCTCCTCGTCCAATCCACTAGACAGCAACTCTGTAGAAGGGCGACTTTCAGCAGCTACCATCTCGCTAGTAGCCTCCTGTAAACCATAGCCGGGTCTCAATTGCGCATTTGCAATATGATCTGGCAAAGGGTCGAATCCACTATAATCTTCCTTTTCGAGCTTGACGGATATCGTGGCCCCCTGGGAGATCCGCAGTATTGTCGAGAACTTGCTGCTGTATGAGCCTTGGCTTGAGAGCCATACTAAGACACCTGCAATTACACTTAAGAGGGTGACGCCCAGTGCAATGCCATAAGTAACCCATAGAGTTAATCGACTATAGTTGTAGATGTTGCGGTAGGTTGAGATAGTCACGTTTGTGTTTGGGACTGTTGTTGTTGAGTAATTTGGCCTGTTGAGACGGATTAGCGGGCTAAATCCTCTTTAGAGATTGATACCAGAGAGGCTGCGTACTGAAATAAAGAGGAACTCATGAATGAGATGGTGGTGTTTCGGAAAAGATCTTGGATTGTGGTTGCCAGTGGTGTCAAAGGTTGATCCAGCGAACTCATAGACCTTCCACGCCAATAATCAATATATGAATCATTACCACCAGAGATCAAATTGGCTTTGAGTTGGTGAAGTTCTTCCGTCTCCATCAATATTGTTGAAGTCACATCTGTGTGCGCCCTCGATGGAGTGGACGCGTAGCCCGGGACGGTATCATTATTGGCTTTGAATATATTTGTCCCAATGTATCCATACAAAAGACCACAGAATGCATCCATTACCGACTGGTAAGCCATGGATTCCATGATCTGGGGGTTTTGTATGAAAGAAGATTGATTTTGAGAGACCACGCCTTCGATTCCGCCAAGGAGAGAAATCCCATCCAGGATCTTTTGGTCTATCACGCGAACTGTCTGATTCCCGTTGACATACTCAAAAGATGCTTGGTATGTTGCATTGTGGAGGAAGCATTGTACAATGGTAGAATTCTGCAATGCAGCATCCAAATTGTCGATATCGACATTGTGAGCCATGCGCGGGAAACTGGCGACAAAGACTGACAGAGGCGATCTTTTCTGAATCGGCTCTGAGGCTGTTGAGAGCCATGTATCTTCCGTTCCCCCAGTGGCCCATGGGTCAGGTCCAATTTGACGCGCTTGCAGCACGTAGGAACCGTTGTGTTCAGGTTGCCAAAAGGGGACAACATTGACTGGGTCTTCGCCTGCTGGTGCCCATGAAAGATACAGATATCCAGTGTAGGAGCTCACTCTAAAGCCACTTCCGTTGTCATTGGTTTTTGATGCATTGATCGCAGTCGCTATGTTCCGAGTGAGGATAGCACGGAGCGTCTGGTTGACTTCACCGCATACTAGGGCAGGGCCATGGAACTCTTGCAGCCATGAGGAATTGGCAGCTGCAGGGTCAATGGCTAAGACTTTACCCTGAGTGGCTGCGCCGTAGACAATTCTTTGAACGTCCGGCGTAGGACCGGAGTACACCTTCATCCATTGCCTCCCAAGAGATCCGGCATCCCTCTCATAGCTTCGGATTAGATTGACGAAATTTGCGGTGGCAAAATCGACTCGGGGTATCCTTTGCAAAACAACCTCGTCCAATGGAGCTAGCTTGACACTTAGCGTAGCTGGGGTGAGAATGGATGGCACGGGGAGAAGCCAACACATTGCAGCAAGAGTCATGCTGAGTGGATAGTGCCTCCATAGCCGTGGATCTAGGAGTGTAAAGCCATGCTTCAGAACCGAGAAAAGATCGTCGATCACAGCAATCTTGGTCGTTTGGCCGTGAATGGACTTCCATGCAAACTGATCAAATGCCGTTGAAACGCTGACTCCAAGACAGCTTTTGACCAGGAAAGCAAATAAAGTGCCGAGTGAAACATAGACTTGCTGGTCGGATAGTTGAATGGAGTTTATGGTGAACAGAGGCTCAACATGTAAAACGGGCTTCCTATTCAGACCCTGATATAAAGCATCATGACCGACGGCAAAAGCAAGGGCAACTAAGAGCGCTGATATCATCAAGACCACAGCAGAGCATCTGAGGTTAAAAGGAAAGAACGCCATCTTTTACATGGATATAAGTTGATCAGTAAAGATGTAACTCAAGGGTGCCGAGGGCGAAGAGGGGGTTTACTATCTTCACCCGGGTTAAATCCTAGTGAGAAGCTGAGGAATGGCTGAGCCAGACCCCTTAATCGGGCTCTATCATTTGTACTACCTTTGCCTTCGCTCAGGGCTGTTGGATGCTCAAGTGTCACTCATTTCCCCTTCGTAAAGTTCTGGTCACGCAAACGCTATTGCATCTAGGTAAAGCTTTTTGCTACTATGCTCGACTTATACTAAATCACCTTCCCAACAAAACTAACGCTCAGGATCTAAATGACCTCGGCTTTATGAAAGCAGAGATTCTGCCTGCAATTTCCCGCTCCTTTTTCCTTCATAGGCCCTTGTGTCACATTCTTAATTGCTGCAGGCTGATTCTCATTAATAGCAACATGCGGTATAGATGAGAAAGACGGTCAAAAGGATGCAAGGGATGCAACTTCCAAAGAGGTTACAAGAGAAATGAACCTGTTGCACAGGCCACCAAGAGTAATGGAAGGTACTAATTCTAAAGTTTGTCTGGATGTCCAGGCCTTGATGGCCTGATATACTACTGAAGTCCGCGGGCAAGCCTGGAGTATCTCGCATCTAGACCCTTGGGTGGCATCGCCATGGGCACTTCTAGACATCGCCTGAATCATGTCAAACCATCAAATCAATCCCCCCGTTCCTGAGCCTCTCATATGTTACTTAGTATTTCCTTTAAATTCTTTTTAACTGAGTAGGCGATACTCGTATGCCAAGAAATCAAAATTGCCAGATTAAGTGGAGAACATAAAATCAATACCATTTACTTAAGTATAATGCTGCCTCTGCTTCTACCACTCCCAGCTCCCATTACTTGAAAAGACTCGTATCCAACGGAAGTCGATCCCCCAACCAAGTCGCACGCTGGGTATGATTGCGCTCATCCTCCGACTTGACAGTATTAGGATGAACCAGCGCACTCAATGGGCCCCGATTGATAACCAACCAGGGAATAAAAGCACCAAACTGAGCAGGGGTGAACAGGTTCACTTCGAACATCGCCACAGGGTGTGGGCCAATAGGTCTATCCCAGAATCGGTAGATCCTCAGCTCGGGAACTGTCCTCGTTAGCGGTCGTCAACTTTAGAATTCTAAAGTTGGTTTGGGGCATTTACATTCACGTCTGATGCGCTCCCAGAGTGCTTTGGCGAAAGTGACTTGTTCGGGGTTATTCTGCTCAAGTGGTGGAGATTAGCGGGTGTTTCACGGTGGTGTTACTAAGTAGCTGGGCATGATGTACTTGGAAGTGGTAGATGTGGATGTCGAAGCCTCCTTCTCTTCCCTTTGAGAGGGGGTCGGGGAATTCTTCGTATGCTTTGCTTAGAGGTGCTTCGGGGTTCTTCAGTGATTTGCCATCTTCGTTCTTTTCTCTGTGGGGTATTAGAAGAGCTGTCTTGCGCATGGGTATGAGGATCTTACTCGGATAATGGCTCCAGGTTCTCATATCCCTCCAGTGGAGAGGGGTACTTGTAGGCAAAAGGGTCTGACATGGTTGTACTTGAAAATAGAAGTATGGGAGATATAAGTAGAAATTTAGATTAAGTACCAGTGTTCAACTGTTATACAAGGCTACTTAAGTACTACTTCTAAAGTTAATGAGCAATTGTTAATTAACATGTCGTCATTAAGCCGGCCGAATTCCGCGCTCTTACAAAGCGGGACGAGCCGAGTCTGCTTATATATAGTGTACATACTACATAGTACTATACTAAGTATAGTGATATATATTTCATTGTGGTGTTATACGGAGTATCTATAGATGCTCCGAATGTTAATATATTATACAAAACATACATGGTATCATAACTAAAACGCAAGTAGGACTACCACGCAGCCCGAATATCAATATGCCCATCATCATCCACGAACTTGCCGCGATCCCATTCTCGTCCCTCCCCCTTTTTAGACCATTGAACGTCTTCCGGGTTGCCTTCTCCGTTCGTCCCCGTGAAAGCAGGGTTATTCTTCCATTGCGAAATGGCTGCCTCATTGATTCCGGCTGCACGGAGCCTCTCCTCCCCTTTTTGTTTCCAGCGCGTGCGGTCGCGCAGTGCCTCGAGTGCCATGTCCCAGTCATCATCTTTTGTCATGAGTCCTGCGACAGCACGGCGAGGAGGCTCGCCTGTGGAGTGAATAGGTTCCTCTAGATGTACATCGGCAGTTGGATCATAGCCCGGGGCAAAATGGGCATCTATGTTGCTCATATTGGGTTTGTAGGCGCCTCGTCCGCGAGAACGGATGGGGGCTTCGTTTTTGCGGGGAGGAAGTGGCCCCACGAGATCTTCGAGAGGATCGGATTCCTCTGCCTCGGTCGGGACTTGGGTTGGAAGGGAAACTCGGTCACGTTGAGGGGTTGGTTCGGGGCGAGAACGACGAGGCGAGGGGTCTGCGTGTCTTGAAGACCGGGACCGGCGGAGTTCCTGTGAGCGAGAGCGCGAGCGAGTATAGTGGTCGGATTTGCGATCTCCTCTTCGGGAATGACGGCGGTCGGAGCTTCGGTCTCTGCGTGGGGAGCGGCTGCGGGATCTCGATTTCGAGGAAGACCGGTCTCGCCGTCGTCTGGTATGTCCCCTGTCTCTTTCTCGTCGGTCTTTCTTTGATGACTCGTGATCACGGCTGTCCTGTCGGTAACTGTGACGGTCCCTCTTTCTATGTTCGCCATCGCGATCATCGTCTCTTCGATGTCGTCTTGTTCGGTCGCGCTCAGTCGAAGAAGAACGACTGCGATGTCTTCGGTGTGACCGATGCCGATCTTCCCTATCATCCCTTCGATCTCTCGATCTTTGCCGCTCATGTCGTCTGTTTGAACCTCCAGATGTACGGTCTGCCGATGTTGAAGCCAAAGTACCTGAACTCTGCGATTTCAGTTGACGCATGCGCTCCCGTGCTTCCCTTTCTTCCTTCCGCTTGAGGGCTGTATTATGACTGTCCGTCACTTTGATGAGGTTGCGCAAAAAGCGAGTATTGGGTTTTGGGGCGTTGCTCGCCGGCCTGTAGCTGGTCAGCTTGCATTCGTCAACGCAAGATAGGGGCGAGAACAGACCTTGATGCAGGCATTAAAGCACTGAGACCCTGGGAAGAGTATTTAAGAGAGCTCTCCTTCGCCTCTTTGGCGAGGATTTGCGCAACATAGTCGTCGTCCATGATACAATTGTGTCGCCGATTGCGGGGTTTCAAAGGTAGTAAAGGATGTAGTAAAGGTGGGCACCAAGGCAACCCAATTTAAACCACTAGAATAGAGCAGTACAGCATCGAGTCATTTCAACGCACAAGGAAAGGTTTCCAGAGCAAACGAGACTCGAGAGGCGAAGCACAAAGCGCCTTTCAACTGACCGCCTTTATGATCGGCAATCGCGATAAATTGTTTATCGTTTACGCTCCCCGCCTTGTCTTGAAACAACAGAACATAATTCACAATGACGAGCACATCAGAAGCTTTAGCAGCACTCCAGAAATTGGAGCAAAATGGCGACCTGAAGAAGCGACTCACGATTGTTCGCATCAGTGAACCGATTTCAACCGATGTGGGAAGCTCCTATGCATCGACCTCAAGAAGAGGCTCAGATGTCTCCATGTCGAATCTGGAGAATCCCACTCCAGCCTCGTTGGAGGCAGATCTGTCGCATTACAAGGTAAGTGGTGGCCAAGCCCTCGCGTCGCGAAGCATATACTCATTCTGTGTCCAGGAACTGTTCTCCAAGCTGCGATTCTCCTACGTGGAACAAGTTACGAAAGAGAAATTTCTACGCTCGATTGTTGGTGATCCGCCCGTGATCGTGGGTAACAACGAGAACATGGAGCTAGAGGCGCAAATGGCAGAGGTGAAGGCTCAACTCAAAGCGCAAAAGGAGGATGTCCGAGTGATGGTTGAAGAAATGGAGCAGATGGGTCGTGATTTGGCAAGCCGTGAGTGTCACCTTTTGGATCACGGGTATGATGATTGACATTGGGTCATGATAGGGTATAAGGAAGTCGAACTCCAAACAACACAGCTATCCACGCTGCCCGCATCGATAGAAACCCTTGAGTCGACCATTGCTGGTCTCCGTGCTAAACAGGTCGCCAACATGGGCTCTTCTGACTCCAACTATGGCGCGTCACAGAATCTCCCTCTACCGGCGACTCAGAAACTGTTGGCGGAACGTGAGGCGGAGCTGGCAGCGCTGGATCGCCAATTAGCTGCTGTGAAGAACACTCTGCCTCGGAAGACTCGAGAGGCTGAGGCAATTGAAAGAGAGACGGGGGTTCTCAGGCGACGCAAGTCAGAGGCTGTTGCGCAAGCGCAAGAAGCACAAAGAAAGAAACAACAGGGTGAGAGTGATGGGTTGGAAGAGATGGGACGGTGGTATCGGGGAGCAGAGGAGACCCTCAAAGAGTTGGTCGGGACCAAGACATGAACATGACTCTGCAGGTCAACATCTGGACCTAGACACGACGACACGAATAATAAGGCTTAATTGGGTGGGGCTGGAATCGATGGCGTTGAAATTTCAATAAGGATCTACATTCTGTACATATACTATGGGTCTGGGGTATTACTAGAAACAAAGGCTGCAATTGACATGAAATTTGAGTTCATTGAGATCGGGTTCCGGATTGAAGCCTTCTGGCTGTTTTTGATTCATTGTATTGCATGATCGTACAACATGAGACGCTATGATGCAGTCATTTTGAACCTCCGGATGGAGGTGCCCCAAGCGAAACCCAACCGTACTCCGTTTTTTAGAGACGGGGAATGATTTATTCCTCATCCTCCTCCTCGGCACCCTCGTCACCACCGGCGGCGGCAGCGGCCTTCTTGCGGCGAACGCGACCGGGGCGGCCACCACCGAAGGGAGAGGTGAGGGAGAAGTCAATGTGCTTCTGGGAGTCAAGACGGACCATGAACGAGGGAACGTTGACGATCTGCTTGCCGACGCGGATGTGACGCTGCTTGATGAGGACACGGGCGTGGTGGATGGACTTGGCGAGACCGAGCTTGTAGACACAGGTCTGGAGACGACGCTCAAGGAAATCCTCGACCTTCAGGGCAAGGACGTAATCGAGCTTCATGCGGCCCTCGTCGAGCACACCGATGCGGACGAGACGGCGAATGAGGGCATTTCCTTCGAACAGACGCTTGGGGTCCTTCTCGTCGAGAGTGAGGAGCTCACTGGAAAAGTTCAAGTTAGCGCATGTCCACCAAAATTCGAGTGCGAATTTCTCCGCGCCTCGAAATTCCACAAGTGTTCCTTCACATACCGAGCAGCACGACGAATCTTGGACAGGGTGAGCTGGACACGCCACACCTCGCGCTTGTTGCGCAGACCGAATTCACCAACGACCTTGAGCTCGGAGTCACTATTAAAAAAGGTTAGACATGTGAACACGACATGAAAAGAAGCACGCTTCTAATCAGTGGCCGGAGAATACTGACAGACGGGCGGACTCGAAGGCTGTGATAAAGGTTAGCTTCTCGATTTCTTCCAAGACACGATTTTGTTCGAAATTGACTTACGGCGACGGGGGACCTTGTAGGTCTTGGAGGAGACGCGACTGCACAGATATTAGATTCATGCTCGTGCGATTGACAGCAATTGCATGTATACTCACGGGGCCATGGCTGCGGTTAATTTGGCGGAGGATGTCGACGTGAGAGAAAATCCCACAGAAGGTCGGAGTGATAGCCTTTGTGAAATCGCTTACTGGGCCAATCATAGCCTGGTGGAGCTGAATACTAGGCACGTGACCACATCACATGACCTCAAATCTGTGAGCCCCTCATGACTAAGCACCGAGGCACACATCACATGACCGTGAGACCCTCACTAGCCCTAGCCCTACTTTCTTGATTGGTGCTGGGTCGCTTAGAAAATTCCTATTCTGGACACCATCCACCTGCACGTGACTGGATCCTGAGTCATCACACTGAACATTATCCGACCGAGACTATTCTGCTCCAGCGCTTGGAAGTCGTCGACTAACTCACCAGCACCCACCACAACACCGCCGTTATGCCTCACTCGTACGGTCTCCGCGCCGGCACTCGGGTACGTTTAACCCCTTCTTGCGACACGAATCTATTCCACCGTTGGACCTTTTATCTGCACCGGACACGAACTTGGAGGAAATTTGAAGATGCCGGGAACACAGCTAACCAGACGACCAACAGTATGCCTTCAGCCGTGGCTTCAAGGAGAGCGGTATGATCCGCCTCTCTACCTACATGAAGACCTACCGGTACGATCAAATTCCTCGAAACTTTCAACGAACGATAAGAATTGGACTCTGACGGATTTTTTTTAGTGTTGGTGACATTGTCGACCTCAAGGTCAACGGTGCCGTCCAGAAGGGGTCAGTACATCTCCGATAACCCTTGCGCAATCGCCCGGACCGCCATCAGCGATCATTCCATCACGGGCATTGCCAATCTCGAAACGAGCGAAAATCTAACAAGTTGCACAGTATGCCCCACAAGGTCTACCACGGTAAGACCGGTGTCGTCTACAACGTCACCAAGTCCGCCGTCGGTGTCATCCTCTACAAGAAGGTCGACAACCGCTACCTCGAGAAGCGTATCAGCGTCCGCATCGAGCACGTCCAGCACTCCCGCTCCCGCGAGGACTTCATCAAGCGCGTCAAGGAGAACGCTCTTAAGAAGCGCGAGGCCAAGGAGAAGGGTGTCCACGTTCACCTGAAGCGCCAGGCTGTCGGTCCCCGCGAGGCCCACTTCGTCCAGCAGGCCGGTAACAAGCCCGAGACCGTCGTTCCCATCGCCTACGACACCCACATTTAAAGGGATCGCTTTGGAATTGGAACGGTGTGTGCGGTTGTTAGGTGTTATACTGGGTTTTCACTCCATTTTTTGCCTAGACTGAAATGGATTTCGATGAGACGAAGCGCAAAGGGTTTCGGATGCCCTGGCACATCTCTCGCCTGTGCATAGATTCCCCTGAATGAAACAAAATCAAAATCTCCGAATTTATGTCTACGTCTGTTCTGGGTTCTATTTTGTTTGCCCATCGACTCTGGACTGTAGTGCAATCGCCTCAGTTTTCGGTATTGCTACTCCGTATACTCCCCGGGGCCGTACTTTATAGACTTTACAATTCACCAATCTCGACCTCAACCAACTATGCGTACCCATTCTAGCTATTTTCATTGAGTACTCCATACTCGAGTCTAGAACGATTACTTCCGCTGCTTCCGAAGCACTGAGATGCTCGCGTGGAGAGCTTTTTATATGACAGCTGGAGATACGAAAACTGGAAATACTATAATCTGGGGATTTCCCGTCAATTTCTGTATCAGAATATGGAGTAGACAAAATGCAGTATATATTGTATTGTTTAGACCTAACCCCGTTGATAGACCAGTTCGCCCCTTAACTATGCGGCCTTCCCCAGGCGGAGACCCGCAATCGAAAAAAATATCACTCCGGCGAGACTCGTCTTTTCATCTTTTCATCTCCTTCAATGTACACTATTTGACCTTTCCATTTGACCTATTATGATTTAATCGGACTTTCCTTTCCCCACACTTTGATCTGCAACAGTTGTCTCGGTTCCTACAAACGCCCCGATGACTCCCTCGTCCACAAACCCCAGCTCTGCGCAGGCGCATCTGGGTGGTCCATCCTCTTTCGGCCAAGAACCGATCCCCCAATCGAGAGAGATGGGGGAGGTTATTCCGAAACGAGCACCGGCAGCTGTCGAAGAGAAGCCTGAGGCGAAGCCATTCGCGCACTTCGTTGCTGGAGGGTACGTCACCGAAATAATCACCGCGGCCGATCACAATTGGATAAAGCTTCTAACGGGGTGAACAGACTAGGAGGAATGACCGCTGCCACTCTTACCTCGCCGCTGGATGTCTTGAAGACACGCCTGCAGTCTGATTTCTATCAGGCGCAGCTCCAGGCACTCCGCGCCGCGAAGCCCGCGCCCGCTCCGTCCTCGAACACCCTGGTCCACCTCACCCGCACGGCGGGTATGCATTTCAGCGAAACCTTCCAGATTCTCCGCTCGATCCACGTCCACGAGGGTTGGCGCGCGCTGTTCAAGGGACTGGGACCCAACCTGATCGGTGTCGTGCCAGCTCGTGCCATCAACTTCTACGTGTACGGAAATGGGAAGCGCATCCTCAGCGATTACTTTGGCTACCGAACTGCCGATCAGACTCCCATGGGCATCCACCTCGCGGCGGCATCGATTGCGGGCATCGCGACAGGAACTGCGACCAACCCAATCTGGCTGGTCAAGACACGCCTGCAACTGGATAAATCGAACGCGGAGCATGGAAAGAGCAGACAGTACCGCAACAGCCTCGACTGTGTGAAGCAGACTGTGCGCCACGAAGGCATCAAGGGTCTCTACCGTGGACTGTCTGCTTCCTACCTGGGTGTGACTGAATCCTCGCTCCAATGGGTGATGTACGAGCAGATGAAAATGTTCCTCGCCCGCCGTGATGCCCTCAAGAAATCTGATCCCGGCTACGAATACACATCCTGGGACTCTGCGGAGCTGTGGGGTGGCCGCATCAGCGCTGCTGGTTTGGCCAAACTGGTCGCGGCTGCGATCACCTACCCTCATGAGGTCGTGCGTACCCGTCTGCGCCAGGCCCCGACCGTCTCTGTGGGCAATGGCAATGTTGTGATGAAGTACACTGGCTTAGCCCAATGCTTTAAGACTGTCTGGAAGGAAGAGGGCATGGTGGCCATGTACGGTGGTCTCACACCACACTTGCTCCGTGTCGTGCCCTCTGCTGCGATCATGTTCGGAATGTATGTTGCTCTGTCCTATTCTCTTATGGTTTGATATGCTGACCCTCTCACCAGGTACGAGTTTATTTTGCGCGTTTTCGGCACGACCTCATAATCTGCCTTTGATATTCTGCGACGAAGCACGACTCTCGACTCTTACACTGTACACTATTAGCTTCTTTTACATCTCTCCACTCCACGAGTGACTCGAGATGAACTCTCCTGCGTGTTATTATTATTGTGTATAGACGGGAAACGGCCTGCATCTCTACGGCGCACACGATCTGGGTTTACTCTTTTTACCGGCGCTTCTACTCCAATTCTGCTCACGCATTTGCAGACCAAAATATCTGTTTTAATTGCTCGTCTCGCTGATCATTGCGCACATCACTCCACTTATGTTTGTATAACTTAATAACGTTGCGACTCTAGGGAGCGCAGCGCAAAACGAAAATTGGAACAATCTATGACTATCTAACTTTGCGTCAGGGCCTGCAGAATATGCGCGCCACATATACATAGTGCCCGAACCCTGGTAATAAGGTCCATAAGCGTGATTCTGCTGTCCCTGCACAGCCCTTCTAAATTATTAGAGCCCTGGTTAATTGCCAGGGTCATCCCACCTGGGCACATCACCATATTCACGATATCCAGCATTATCAACCCGAAATTGCAAATCGCCCAGAATCCAACGAAGAATCAGGCATCAGTCTACTCGTATACTCTGAATTCCAAGGTTGCCAGGCAATTGAAAGTTAGGCTGCTTTACCCAGGCGACGAACCAGGCCCAAGCGCACTGACAGTCTCCAGTACTGATTGGGTACTTCTACGAGTACGGAGTACTGAAGTGCGTTTCATCTGGAGTTGCGGTAAGCAATCTGGATTCTGCGCCCTTATTTCTCCGTGAACGTCCTGTGACATACATGTGCATGGAGTGGATGGCCGAGCTGTCTTTCAATGATTGCGGGAAATTTGCATTCTTAACTCGGGAATTGATCGACACCCTGTCAAGTGGGTGTTGCGCCCTGTGGGAGGCATTATACCCGACCTGGAAAGGTTCTGGAAGTCGTGGCGGTTGAGATTGAAAGGGCCCTTTTTGTTTCAGTGCCCTGTTCGTATGATTGTCATAGTTAGAATGGGATTATTAGTGGTCGATCAAGGTTGCGCTTGACTGTTGTGGCTGAATCTTGCTCATGCGTGATTTAGGTGGATTTTTTGTTTTAATAAAAAAATCTGAATTTGCCAGGGATTTTCTAAAGCAAAGCCCGGGAAAATAGGAAAACAGGTAAGAGAAGAAAAAGAGGTGTGAAATGGGTTCGAGATTGAGCCTGACCAGGTGAAATGAAACATCGTGGGAAGGGAACAACAAAGACTGCGCCACACTAACTGCATACTCGACGACATTCTGAAAAATTGGGAAGTGATACATCAGATCTGACGACATATGGAAAAAGCAAAGGGTCTCTTAATCCCTCAAGCAGTGCCTTGCACGTTCTGGACTCAACGTCAATGAATCTCGAATTGAATCTGCAAACAATCTGGGAGATCCACTGTGGCTGGACTCCAATTTAAAAGTACTGCATACAAATCTAAGTGATGTACTTCGTGCTAGACTATGCAAGGTACTCGGTTCACTGCCAGGCGAGATCTCGACGCATTGGAAGATACCCCAAGGTGACCAACTTGTGGGATATGCTCTGGCGCGTTCTACCAAACCGATATTTGTCTGGCGGTTGTAATATTGTGATTATTGTATTTATTGCTTGTTTTTCCTTATTTCTTTATTAAAATAAAAAGGGTGGTCAGACGAACAATGCCCTTCTCCACGGAGGGGGTGGATACTCGTACAGCCAGGGTGTTGTCCTTCACCGCATCTTCCTCGACACCCTCTGCCAGGCATCCACGCGACATGTCGAAAATGGAGATATCCCTGGGAACGGTGAGGAGTTACAGTGAGGTTTGGGCAGCTGTCTGGGTAACTCCAGGGCTTCAGTTGTCCTAAGTACACAGCCCATGTCCATTGCGCACCAGGGAGGTTCACCTAGTCAGTTTAGTACAAAGTAAAGCTTCTTGAATCATGCGTCTAGACCCAAGTAAGGTGTTAGCTGAGCCACTGTTACAGGTTCGCATTCCGTTTCTCAATGACGACACTGGCAGTTGGGGCTGGGCTTAGTGTGTGAAGACTACTCCGAACGCCCGGAGTGAAGTGAACGGGTTGCTGTTTCATGATTTTTTGATCCCGCGTTTGATTTTTTGTAGGATTTGATTACAATGTACGGAGTACCTTGAGATTAATCGGAATTTAATTCCCTAATGTTTTGCGTGTGGCAAGCCGACTGTGCATGCAGAGCAGAAGCGGGGAAAATCCCGTACGAGTGAACCGTTGCCCATTAAGGTACATTCAATGATCGACAGGGCGGATTATGGGAAATTAAATAAATGATCACCTGGTAAATGAACCTGGATCTGAATTTCCTATGTAGCATTGAGTGTATGGGCAGTGCCTCGTTGACAGTCCCGGGTGCAGGTGACTTTCGCCCAATGTACGGAGTAGGGAGTACGGATTACTAGCCAGTATTTGCACGCACTACAACGACTGACCTCAGGAGAAAAGTAAAGCGGATACTCAACAAGATCATGTAGCGCTATTCTAGTGCCATTAGTGGCTCCAATTCTAACAATCTTATTTCCCAAATAGTGTTGAATATAATATGAAATATCATAATAGGAAAGGTTTCCAATGGAGCCTAAGGATCCGATCGCAGATCCTCCGCCAAAGTCTTCTACTCTCGGGTCGGCATCTCAAGACTTCTGCTTTGCCTCCTTCTGGGGATATAATCATTTCAACCCGGGAATTCAACTTAACACCCGGGTTATCTTCTCGTAGGCAACGAAGGCTTCATAGCCCACAACGAGTTCACATAAAACATGCTCTCTCCTCTCCCAAGATGCAGTTTTTTCCACACCTCCCGGACTCATAGAATACCTCAGCCACTGACCTACCACATATACTTTTGATTCGGTCCTCTTCGACCATCGTTGAGTAGCTCTCATAGCCACAAACCATACCAATTCCCACCTTTCTTCATTGCAATCGCCACCTCTGCAACATCTATTCATCGATCCTTGAAGATCTAGCTAGTGCCAAAATGAACAGCATCGGGTAAGCTGACTCGTGAACGTTAACCGTTTATACCCGCTCCCCCAAATATCCACCCAATCTTCAATCAACTTGTCATTGTCGTTATTCCACCAAATCCATAAGTACCTATCTTGCTGTCTTATCTGCTAACCTTGTTGCTTTCATCTGGCTCAGATCCCCATCATCTGCCGTCAACGGCGCCGGAACGCCCAACAGTGCCAGCGGAAGCACAGGTTCCGGTCCAAACAATGTCACCCCAACCATGAACCCGAATCCAAACCCGGGAAGCTACATGCTACAAATGTGGCAGAACTCGTCGCCAGGATCTGACGCGTGGACCTCGGCGAAAGTCACTTGCAGCAAGCCTTGAAGCCTTGTTGCTCCATACACGTTACAATTCACTGTGAGATAAGAAGTGTACGACATTGAGACGGGAGTTATGTTATATGGTAATCGATATGGATGCTTTTTTCTGGAGTCTCGGCAGCTGGGGATCAATCGCCGTATGTAGGGCGCAAAGTACGCGTACTTTGTACCTATTTGGAGATGTGCCCGGCTCCCTTGGATTGTTTTTGGTGTTTCTTTTGGTGTTTCTTTTACTTTCCCTTCTGAGCTTACATCTTACTTTTGTTCTTTTTTCCCGCATCATCAGGCATAGGGTTGGTTACGGGGCACATAGAAATAAGATTTGAACTCGCGTTGTCTGCGTCATATCCCATTATTGGCCGAATTGGGAAAGACATTTGGCGGGCCAATGAGCACTGATTAGTCATTGGGCGCACTTATACATACACTTGAGCACTCGTACTCCGTACATTTGTACTACTCAATACTCGCCAGTTCATAATAGAACTGCAGGCTCTTCACCGTCAGTCTGCAGGTGTCGTTCATCTTAGATACAGACTTCAAACGAACCATGGTACAGTGCGGGAGCTTCTCAAACTGACCCGCTTCTCCACTTTGACCCTTTTGGGCATTGGCATGTCCATTTTGGGCCAACCTCTCTTTTCTTTTCTTTTTCCCGTTTTTATTTTATTTTATTATTTCCCTCTCACTTTGTATTTCATACAGTGCATCGTTTCATTGGGGGGTTAGTGAAACCTCGACTATTACTTGTTTCTTGACCCGACGCTACGCGTCCCCGTATCGGCGGGATCTCCACTGAATCTCCGAACCTCTGCGCGTCCCCTCCTTCGTACTCCATACCCCGTCCGTATTGAACCCTGAACTAACCGAAGCCAAGCGTGAAATAACAAATGGAAACAATTAATCAACTTTCGGTGAGAGAAAAGAGTGAGAATACGGTGGCGAATATCACCAACTCTCACCCGACAACCACGGGATCATTGGGCAATCTAAGTTCACTCAGGTATGATTACCCGCCATCCGAGCACAGAGCAGGATGATTGGCACTGCAATCGAGGTTGGCTTGGGCTCCCCTTAAATTAATAGACACGAGCTTAATAAGAACCCTGTTCTCTGCTCCTCCACTCACGCCTATCAAGAGGGGTGGCTCATTTATCCTGCCTGCAGCACTCTCCCATGGCGCCAGTTAGTCGCGAATCATTTGGAGTATGAATTACTCAGGTGCTCACGGGGTTAAGTGCAGGTACCAATCGCCCTGATGAGGCAATTAGATCCTTGATGGTCATGCTTCGCTTAGAATCATGGCGTCAAGGAATTTGTGCAATGCTGGGATTATGGAGCACAGCTTTGGGCCTTAATTCCTAAACTCACTTCGGAGTTATGGTGTCCATTGCGTCCTTACGCCCGGGTAAACATCCAGTTAAATAGGAGCAGACAGGCTAGACGGCGCTAGTTTGAGAAGGGCTGTATGAAGCGCCATGCGCTGTGCTCTGCCCAAAGTACGGAGTACGGAGTAGCACTCATTGTATCACAGTCTCGTTCTCGCTATGCTTCGGCTTGGGTAGGAAAGACCAAGATTCCTCAGGGCGATTCAGCCGCTAGCTTCCTTTTCCACTAATTGAAGTTCTCTGCTGCTTTGCTTCTGATGGTGTAGGTGCCAGGGTTTGGGAATCTGGGCTTCTTGCTCCTGGCTTGATGGAACTCTCCGGAGATCTCATACCTCGGATTTTATCTGCTCGGATCTTTTTCTAAGAGTTCATTACGAGCACAGGCCTCTCTATTTGATGACATAGCTATCGCCCGGTTTTGGCGTTACTCAAATACAGGTGCGCTTTTGTATGATGTTCTCCCCCTTTCTTGTATTTTATGCTGTTTTTTGTATTTGTTTTGTTTGGTCACTTTTTTAATTTGGATTTCTTGCGGAAGATCCCACTGTAGTGTACGTGTAGGCCATCCGCCGGATAATCCGGTCTGGACCCATGGTTCGAATCTCCATTGCTTATCGCTCGTGTAGTCTTATCTCCACGTGTTCTCCATACAATTGCGGCTCATGTGACGTAACCCCAGCTATATACACAGCCTCAGGACATTTCCCCGCAGCACAGTAAGGGCGATCATAAATGACGAGCCTAAGATGCTTTTCGGCCTGATATTATATGAGAAGAGAGTTATTTCCCAATCTCTCGGCGAGTGAGAAATAACGAATACATCGATAGGGCTTCTTAGTTCAAAAAAACCCCAGTCATCTGCGGAGAAGCCGTCATTGGATGCTTCATTTTAATGGAGTCGACAACTGTCGGGCGCCCAGGCAGACAATACATTAGTATGTATCTCATTACTTTCTTACAAGCAGTAACATGCGGTGAACTCTGTAAGTAACTGGTACCAAACATCTATCTTTTCCTTGGGCGGGTCCACGGTTCTCCCCTTATTGTTTTCCAGGAACTGAACGAAGGACAACTCAGAGAGCACATTCATGCATGAAGCTCCACCTCGCGTTCTAGCCATCTGGGCAGATCTGGTTTATTTTTCGATTTTTCGATTCATTATTAACTAATTATCCTAACTTGGAATAACCCGGGTATCGGGAGGCTTAGAGGTACCCTTTTCGTCCAAGGGTCACCCCCCCTCAACATAAAAGGCCCCCCAATTCCCCCTTCTTCAGCTTCTCTTTGTATATCGGCGAGAGGACCAATCTGAGTGGTCAATTACCAGCCAGCTAAGCTCGACTTGTTCAACATGGGTTTTCCCGACAACCATGACGATGATGACGACTCAGGATACAACCCTTTCGCAACATCATCGTCGTCCAGGGCACCACAATTCTATCCTGACTCCTTGAAATCCTCATACGATCATTCCAACATGGAATACGAGGGCTATGTGGGTTTCTATACCGAGCTTCGAGCTTTGGTGCTAATGTGCCCTCACAGGACTTGGTCTACCACTCCGGCACCCACCCCTCGACAGACCCCTCTACAGAGACCACGAGCTTAACAAGCTTAAGCCAACTCCAAGAGAACATAGATTCTTTTCCACCCGAATCCAGTCAAGCCACAATCTGTCCTTTGTCGCAGGGTGACGACTTTAAGTTCTTCGACGGCCCTGCAGATTTGGATCCACAGTGGAATGCAAAGCCCGATACTCTGGATAACGATCTTGGAATACAAACAGATTCTTTCCAAGCTTTCCAAATGGCCTCAGATGTCCAGAGAGCCTTGGACCCCTCCACAACCCGAGCCATGATGGGAATTTCAAGCTCTATGGATTTGCCTCTACAGCAGCGACCGTATGAGGATGACATGAAACAGGTACAGACACTATGGTCTAGCCTCACATCTGGTTATGCATGTGGCCACGAGGAATTCATGAAGGCACATCGAGGCCTTGTAGCCCTCAAGGCCTTTTTCGATTCAAAGCTGCCAAACAATCCGCCTTCGACCCCATCTGAATCCAATCCAAGAGACAGAGGATCTTCTTTCCAATGCATATTGTGCAAGGCCCAAGATAAGACAGTATTGATCGGCTCTTTTGGCTCACTCAAAAGGCACTTGGCATCCATCCATGACATATCTGACAAGAGGTTCTTCTGTCCGATTCGGGGCTGCAGAAGAGAAACCTTTGAACGCCGGGATAGACTGCGCGAGCATTTGGCTCTGATCCATGCGATTGATCCAACGCGAAGCTATGTTGACAAGGCCCGAAGAAAAGTTGATCCCCCGCGCACTTGTCCTATTTGTGACCGCAGAACTCAATCGTGGGATCAGTACTTCGAGCACATCAAACACCACTGCTCTGTATCCCCTGGCCCGGCTAGCGTCTCAACTGGCGATGATCGTTCTCGTCGAGGTGGGAATGGGGGTGGTAGTAATGGGGGCAATCGTCCCAACCACAACCCTCCCTCCTTTGCTGAGCCAAGCAATTCTAACGGACAGTCTCGGTTCTATCAAGACAGCCAGCCATCGGACCCTACGAATTTTCTCCATCCTGGATCCCAGAGAGGACACATGAGCAGTGCCAGGACAGATACCCGACCCAGTTTTCTGATGCACTCAATCTCAGACAACCAATTGGACCTTGTTCGTCGCCAAGGATTTGAGCACGCTGCCGAGGACCATTCCATGATCCCTTCTTTTGAAAATCTTTATAATCCTGATATCGACATGACAGGTGGAGTAGACCAGCAGTCTGGTCCTATCCAGCCACTCCAGGATTCTTCGTTTCTCCAACCTGATCAGTTTGGCCCGAAGCCTAAAAGGCATCAGAAAGGCAAGCGGTCAAACAGATCAAGAGCACCTATAGAGCCGACCACAGAACAGCAGCCCCCAAGCTCGAGAGAGTGTACCGCATGCGGACATGACTTCGAGAGATGTCAGCAGTGTCAACACCTCACGGAGCCCATCAATGGCTGTCATAAATGCACCAACGGGACGGGCACTAGGATCCAGACCCTTCCTGCCGAACCCTTTGTCCAGAGTCGCCAAAATGGATTCTCTCCTACCGGCGCCCTCAACGAACAGTCCTTTCGGCCTGCTTTCTCGGAAGACTATGTTTGGCTTGCCCAAGGGCTAAGCCAAGAGCTCTACCCTCATTCAAACTATCCCACGGAGTACACTGGGCAGTACCCTGGATCAGGGTACCAACGTCGCTCATTCGATAGCACTGGAACAGGATACAGTGACGATGTTTCCCCCGGGGGCACAATGATCAGGGCTGCAATGGTCGCCGAAGATCACGGTCTTGTGCACAGTCTCGACCCCAAGATACTGCAGTTACCTACAGTTCGCGAAGACCTCAGACTGCTCTACGATATTGGATTGGGCTCATTGATGAAATCCAAATCCCCTCAAGGCCAGTTCAAGCAAGCTATAAGCAAAGCTTTTGGCCTTTCTCCGGAGCCATACACCGGACTTCCCCTCAAGACCCGTGGACCGAGCATGCTCGGGTCTCCCCAACCCGTGCCTCAATGTCAATGCCCATGTGCGATTCTGCCTGGTACCACATACAAGGCGCATCTCCGTGCCCAACTGTCTCCTTGCGAACGAGTTGAAATGACCTTCAACATGACCCCAGCTAGCCGCGAGTCTAACCACCCCCTCCGTACTCGAGTAAAGGTGGTTGTCAGGCTCTTGAGACTCAGGGCGTCGGTCTCAAAGTCGAACGCCAAGCGCAAGCGAAGAAAACAATCCATCGAATCTGAAGCCACTTCAGAAGACGATGCTGGATCTGAGACCGACACAGATCATGCTCTCTCCCCTACATCTCCCTCCGGCTCTGAAGATATCCCTGTCGTCTTATGGACCGAGGATGTTCAAGACTGGTCCTTTGACTTTGATCTCAAGTGGGCGATCTCGAAATTCGCCGAATGGACCAGTGGCATTAATGCCGATACGTACCTCAAGATTTTCCATGCTGAACCTGGCCACATACTGGATTTAATCTCATTGTATATCATGTACAGTTACAAACAACTTTGGTTGTTGCGTGTCGCCGGACTGGATTCTCTTTTGAGGCGCCTCATGATTTCATGAGCTTCTTTTCTCATGTACCCCTATCTTCTAATGATTTCCGACCGTATGATGCCTGATACCCCTAATATTTACAGTTGTCGTTCGTTTATTGATGAAAATTTTGATACACCATATGCGTCTGGTGGTATGTTTTGACCATTGCATGATGGATATTGCATACTTGATTTCTGAGAGCTGCTGCTTCGTTTCTTTTCTGTTTATTGGGACTTTACGTTATTCAAGATTGATTGAACTTCGGATAGCATTTCAATTCATGCATTTTTCTATTCTTTTTTTTAGTCGGCGTCATAAAGCGACTTGAGCGCGCATGTCCTAAAAGAGTGACCTTGCTGGGAGACTCGGTCTTGCAGAACTTTGAGTATGTGCCATTGGACTTATTACCTTTCTTTATAGATTGTTGAATCGATTCATCTTCATTCTCCTAACAATCAGAATCTCAAGATACCTGTTGGACCTCGGGACTTATGCTCACCCCTGGGCACCACCAAGACTCTTCAAGCCTCGGACCATCCTTATTCCAATTCTTCAGTGTCGGAATGTTCTAAAATGAACAAAGTCTCACTCAAGATGCTCCAGGGCTTGCGACGGCGATAACCGGCCCGATCAATTTATTGTCATGAGGGCTCCCCCAACAGGTGACCTTGTCACCCTAACAATGAGAAACGGCAACCAACTCGCCGACCATTTATGATGTTCATGGTGTGTTGAATCAGTCATTTGGATGCTAAATCTTTATCTAAGATCTTTCCATTGCTCATATGTTCGAATGATCAAGGGTTTGGGCGAGATCCCACATTCCTCGCGGGTTGCATACCTCCACCCGGAGGGTAAAGCGAGTAAACAGTCTACAAAAATCCCACCCTGGATCGAAAATGCTACCCACCTCGTTTTATTGTCGCTCTCTGCTGAGCTTACTCTGGTGTCCAGTGTGGTTGTGATCTGCTGCTCGAAAACACTGGCATGATCCCAGCGGAGAGGATCATTCAACACTGTGCATCTTTAGCATCAAGCAAATGAGACAACTCGTCTCAGCAAGTGCAAAGATTTTCCATTTTGATTGATTGAAGTACCTCTGCTCAACTGATCTCTGCCCCACCTTATACACTGCATTGCTGGTAATAACCCCCCTCATCCCAAGGTCATCCTGGTGACAACGTCATGGTGATTATCGACTTTCCCTCGAAAAACCTCGGCTAACAACTCTTCAGCTTTATTTATGAGCTCTACAAAAGCCCAGCAAGAAATCTGTTGATTGTGAACCACGATCGGAAAATGCGTCGCTTTATATTGCTTACAGCTGTTGCCCTAACTGGGATCAACCCCGTCTACTGCGCGACCAGCGACAATGCTATACACAGCGTCCCCCAATATATAGTAGACTATGGTGAGACTATTATGGTCAATCTAACAGTTCTGACATGCTAATTAAGCCTCACAGCACCATTGGTGTGGCTCCACAGCCAGGAGACATACATGCCAAGCGATATCCAACAACAGGTCATCAATACCGTACCAAAGATCAACTGGACTTCCATCGAAGGCGTTCAGAGTCCCCTAGACCTGAATAACCTCGACACATTGAATGGCCTCGGCAATGCCAGTGTGTATCTGACCTCCCATGATGGAATCGAGGCCAATCCACAGCCGGCGTGGTTTCGGGGTATAACTCCAGACCAAGATGGACGCCTGGGAAATGGCACCGGAAGTGCCATTATCATTGCAGACCGTGGAAATGGGACGGTCGATGCTTTCTACTTTTACTTTTATGCGTGAGATCTGAGCATTGTAACACGTACGGCCTTTAGCTGACTTTCATCAGATTCAACAAGGGTGACAAAGTCTTGAAGATGGAATTCGGTGATCATATCGGTGACTGGTGAGCATGAAGAAGCCTTTCTCTGATTCTAGCTAAATTATACAGGGAACACAACATGATCCGTTTCAAAAATGGAAATCCCACAGCAATCTGGTACAGTCAACATGCCAGCGGCCAAGCATTCACCTACCACGCCGTCGAGAAGGATGGAAAGCGGCCATATGCCTTCTCGGGAAACGGAACGCATGCCAATTACGCAACCTCCGGGTAAGCTCTTCAGCTCTGTATATGGCTTCACTTTGGCATATCATAGCTAACAAAACCAGACAACACGACCACGCAATTCCAGGCATTAATCTCCCCGTGGGCTTCGTGATGGATTACACAGACCGTGGCAGAGTCTGGGATCCCACGCTGAACGCATATTTTTATACGCACGACTCGAACACGACTAAATTCGAGGCTGTAAACTCGAAAGATCCAGTGGCTTGGTTGAATTTCAATGGAAAATGGGGAGATGACCAGCCGCCGGGAGAGCCGGAGATATTCGGTGAAGCTAAGAATGTGGCTGGACCCAATGGGCCGAAATTCAAGGGGTTGGGAAGAAAGCTCGTCTGTCCTTCTAAGCCGTGTATTGTGCTTCCGTTCAGGATTTGGTCTGGAAATTCGACAGAATGATTGGGATTATGCAGGTTGCTTTTAGGACGATAGGTGCCATTTGACCTAAACTTTAGTGATTTGAATTGGAAAGTCTTACTCAAACGTCCAGTCATTCATTCAATCATAATCTGACATCTTATCATAAACACTGCGAAAGACGACAGCCAGCCTTTGCAAGTCGGCAGCAACCTTTCCCCAGAACTCGAGTACGCTCAACGCCATATCTGCGAAGTGTCTCCAATCAGAGCGGACAGTTATCTTCTCACTCTTCTTCGCTGCAATAATAGACAATCCACAGCGGAAGGATGCACGGGCCTGGAACCAGCTTCCATGATGTCGATGCTGGATATTGCCCAGGTTGATGATAGCGTAGCACCCCTCCAAGCAGCGTTGGGCAAATCCGCAGACAGTAGGTGGTTGCAAGACAGTTGAGTGAATCAAGAGAAATAGAAAGGGTCGAAGGATACTGTCTTGTACAGAGAGAGAGCGGGTATGGATGAAATGTGGCAATTCCCGATCAGAGGCCTCGCCTTCGACAAATCGTAGCCAGGGAGGGAGTCGTGATGCGGCGAGTGTCTGATGTCGCTCCAGTTCTATGGCATCTTGTGTCATTGCCCCGACTGGAGCTTCGAGTAGCTGGGTGTCATGTTTGCTCGAGTAGAATGTGTTGATGACTTGATACATCGTTCGCTTCTGGGATACTTCGAATAGATAGTAATACCAACTCTCCTCCTGCGGAAATTCTGCAGGTACATCGTTACTACCCGTTGGGGGATTTGGATAGTCTGTTGGAAAGCTGGGCTCGGGGACTAGTGGGACGGGTAGGTCCAGCTCAATGCGGAGCTCACTATAACACAGATTAGAGTTGTCACTTAGGGATAAAAGGGGGAAGGAAAGAAAGAACTCAGCTCTACTATGCGACGTACAATTCCGACTTCGAGGCAGACCAGAACAGACGCTGTTCCAGATCATTTGTTTCAATATCGATTGATCCAGCACTTCTAGTGCGGGTGTACAATGGCATCGCCGTCGATACCATGTAGAATGAGTGCCATGCTTTCAATGGTTGTAGGGTATACATCTCATAGACACCTGAAAGGAAATAGCACTGGAGGTATAGTAAGGACGTCACGCTCAGCAGGCCGATGCGCTTTCGGGCTGCGAAATAACAAGCATCTGCAAGTGATCTATCGGATTCTGGTTGAGCCTGCTGTGACGTTGGAACACGCTGAAATGTTGTCGAGATAATGCCCAGCGCCGAAGTCAGTAGCTATAAATGTCAGCATTGATGCAAAGGTGTGCAGTGTATTGGCCGGACGTACGACCAGGCAACTGGGTCCATCCCACGATATGTCATTCTCTGCGAAATCGTTTGCATATTGGATTAATGTCTTGTGCTCCACCACCGGGTTTTTAGTATGAACATTGGCAAGAAAAGAACGGACATGGGCGGGGAATTCTTCTTCCACGACACCTCGTGGGCGTGATGAACGCGATGTTAAATCCTCTTTCTCCGACACAAACATCGATTCCAATACCGCATCGTAACTCTCATTATGAAGAATTGGCCACTGCAACACACGGCAGGATAGATTGCAATGCGACAAGGCTTGAGAGGATACTTGCGGGTGGTCGTGCTGAGCAACCAGCCACGGGGAGACTGTGTTGGTGTTGTTGGTTTCAGGGGAGACAACCGGACCACTCTCTACAGAATGAGATGGTTGATTTTCCAGCAGAGACACAACATAATTCAACCTCTCCATAAGGGCCATGCTGGCCGGGTCGAGCCTATCGCAGTCAACATCACGACAATCCGACGAATCACCAAGACCCACGCATTACTCTCCTGCCCCACAGGCTGGTACGAGCAGATCGCGCCGATGTCCGCACAGAACCCACATGTAGGCCGAGCATTGTCACATTTTGTTTTTCGGCGCCGGCAGATTTGACAGGCAGTAGCCGCCCTTTTCCGGGGATAGGAGTCTGTGGATGCTTTTCGTTTCGTGCCAGTGTCTGGACCACCGCTGGTGGATTAGTGGGGCGTGATACTTCAATTATTGCATACTCACATATTCGGCTGTTCGGGGGATGACTCCGCCATAGTGAAAGTCGACGAGGCCAAAGTGTGGGAAAATGAGAAATGGCGGGGAAGTTCGGGGTCTTATACTCTTAGCGTCGCTGCAGAGTGGAGTCGTCGGCAACTTCCCCGGACACTGTGCATAAAGCCACTGACTTGAGAGTATCTGCAGTTTTTGATATTCAGAGACTTTCAACTACAACTTCAAGATGGATTCAAAGATCGTTCGTGTGGGAATTATTGGATGCGGCGAGATAGCCCAAGTGGTCCATATTTCGGTATTGGACCATCTCTCCCATCTCTTCCAGATCACCTATCTGTGTGATGTCTCGCAATCAGCGCTGGCTCATTGTCAATCCAAAGTCAGTGGAGTAAAGCCGCAGACAACCCTCAACGCAGAAGAGTTGTGCGCATCGCCGATGGTGGACGTCGTCTTCGTGATCAACAGCGACGAGTACCACGCTGCCCATGCGATCTTGGCTCTGCAGCATAACAAGCATGCATTTATTGAAAAGCCGATGGCACTCAACGACCGTGATGCGGATGCTTTGATCAGTGCCGAGCGAGCATCCTCGGGTCGTGTGATGGTTGGGTATATGCGGCGTTATGCACCGGCCTTCCTCGATGCTGTCAAGGAGATTGGTGGAATGGACAAAATTCTATATGCCAGAGTCCGAGGTCTGAGTTGAGCTTCTCCTCAAAGAACGTATTGGCTAATATTCCGCGTCTAGATATTATTGGGCCCAATTCTACTTTTGTGGAACAATCTGGCACTTTTCCCTTCCGCGCCACTGATTTCAATGAGAAAGACACTCAAGATAAGACGACATGGGCTACCGATATAGTCCGTCAAGGCTTAGCAGAGGCTGGCCTGGAGAACTTTGATGATTCCATGGCGACAATGTGGAGGGTGCTTGGTGGCCTCGGCTCTCACGATCTGAGTGTGATGAGAGAAGCTTTGGGAATGCCCACTGGAGTGATCGGAGCTTCTTTGAAGATGCCTTTCTGGAGGTGAGCAGTATGATTTCCATAACGCCTCCGAAGCTGACAATGAATGATTCATCTAGCGCCATATTTCAATATCCCTCTTTCACAGTGACATACGAGTCGGGTATAGACTCGGTCCCACGCTTTGATGCCCATCTAGAGTTCTACAGCGCGGAAAAGACTGTGCGTGTCCAATACGACTCCCCATACGTCAAGGGACTACCAACCACAATGCATGTGGTGGAGAATGTGGATGGAGTATACCGAGAGAGCACCATCCGGAAAACCTATGAGGATTCATACACTTTGGAACTCAAGGAGTTGCATGCAATTGTAGTCGACGGGGCTCCCATTCGGACAACTGCGCAAGACGCGAAGGAGGATTTGAAGATATTTAGAATGCTAGTTAAGGCGGCTGAAAGGAAGCTCTAGAACCTGCTGTATTTGAATCGTTCAGATATGATTCTCCTATATTTGAACTCTTTCCAACCTGATAATACTCCGTAACCTGGATCCTTCGATGGTTTTGTGGATAGAATTCATAAATCGACCCACTAAAGGCTGTCGGGACGAGTACCCGCGAGAATCTCATCTCACATTGAGCCCGACGGGGAGTTCGGGACGACTTCCCCACACTTCAATTTGAAGGACTCCATACATGTATACGAGGACGATGATAACTTAAAAACCCCTTCATTGCCTCCCTTTCATCCCTCATCAAACTCACAAACTCCAATTCCTGTCACCCCTCATTGCCATCATGTCTACCCCAACCCTCAAATGGGGCATAATCGGTCAGTAACACCTCAATTGCACCACAACAACAGCTAATAAATGACAGGCACCGGTCTGATCTCATCCTGGTTTGTAGGAGACTTGGTCCTTCCCCGCGAAGACAAGCAAGCAAACCACATCATCCAAGCTATTGGATCTTCATCCAAGCAAAAGGCCGAAGACTTCATACAGAAGTTCGCACCAGAAACTACCGCCACTGCCTACGGCGCGTACGAATCAGTATATTCTGATCCTGAAGTGGATATTGTCTATATCGGAACTCCACATGCTTTCCACAAGCAGGCCTGCTTGGCTGCTATTGCACAGGGGAAGCATGTGTTGTGTGAAAAGCCATTTACTTTGAATCGCGATGAGGCCGTTGAGGTATTTGATGCTGCTCGGAAACAGGGTGTTTTCATTATGGAAGGTGAGAGATTTGGATTCTGGGTTTTTATCATACTAATTCTGTGAAGCGCTTTGGACACGATTTATGCCTTTGTCTCGACAGCTTCAGAAGTTGATTCACGAGGAGAGAATTATCGGAGATGTTCATCGAGTATTTTGTGACTTTGGATTATACTTTGATCTTGATAATCTGCCAGATTCCTCCCGTTTGAAGAATCCAGCTTTGGGTGCTGGGTCTCTCCGCGATATTGGTATTTATTCCCTCACATGGGGATTGATACTTTTGGACGACGGAATTGGAGAGAACGCCACAGAGCCACTTGTATTCTCCGCTCAATCAATCAGCGAAGAGATCGACGTTGCAACATCCATGATCCTACATTATCCCCAGAATGGGCGTCAAGGAATCCTGACATCCAGCATACAAACCCGAACAGATCCCATTTTCGCCAGAATCGAGGGATCAAAGGGCTCTATCACAATTGAAGGCGTTGCCGCTTCTGCTCCGAGCAAGTTTACAGTGATTCCACGGGAAGATGATGCCGAGCGGAAAGAATACACCTTTTCACATCCTGGATATGGGTTCTACTATGAAGCAGATGCGGTGGCTCATGATATTGCTGCTGGAAAGACTGAGGATGCTATTATGCCTTGGGCTGAGACTCTGAGAGTGCTGGGGCTGATGGATGGAGTGCGAGCGAGGCGGTAGGGATAGGAAGCCTCGTCGGCTCTCGCGGGGTACGAGTAGCAAAGAGGGGTAATTTGGGCGTGGGTAGCGAGGAAATTTCATCATCTTGGGCTCTTATCTATTTCAAGTGGAGTAATTTAGGCCTCTGCCGTCTTGTTCCTTGCTGCTCGTACTACGTTGTAGCGATCAACTCCCGATAGCGGCTCACCGAGTTTCAAAGCACGCAAGGCAGCCATCCATGGATTCAGTTGCCACTCATATATGTCAATTTGCCAGGCATTAAGATGCCATTTGGCTATGCTATCATTCTCGGTAATCATCAGTGGCAAGTAGGTGATTGAACTCCATGACACTTAAGGCGTTCGGTACACTGGACGACTGCTTCGGACCATGGAAATAGGTCCGATTTACAAGCGGATACATGTACTAGTATTTAATTTCAATAGTCGTTGACTGCTCCGTTGTCGGACGCAGTGTTTTGACTCTCCATGTTCCAGATGTCTGCTCATTCACGCTCCCTGAGATGTTGACTTTGCCTGCAGATTATAGTCAATCAAAACAAAATGACATTTTCTAGCGACTACGGAATTCAAAATTAAGAGATAAAGCGATCGACGCGGAACAGAATACGAAACGAGCTTCAAATATAGGTAATCACAAATTAGGGTTGGCGCACACGTTAAGTCTGCACGTGATTGCCCACACAGCTGGCCACGAGTTGAATCAAACGATGCTACGAGGAATGAGATGTAAGATATTGAATGCATTGATGCTTTTATCATAATTTCGCACATAGTGATGCAATTGGATCATAATCATGTCAACTCAACGCGTGAGTGAAAAGTTTGAACTCCCTATATACAGTGCCCACCAGGGCGGGGAGTGGTAAAAAGTGACGAGTACATCCGTACCGTCTTTTGAAGGGACTTGAGCCCTTGCAGAATAAGAAATGAAATCGTAAAATCGCTCAAAGGCATATCAAGAATGGAGGTATCACGCAGGGAACGCCGGGGGATAATGCTAGATCAAGAACGCAAGACGGAGTGGGAACTCTTAAGCCACAGGAGTGCACTGAGCATTGAGAGCCTGTGTAAGAGCCTGAGCCTCCTCTTGCTGCTTGCGTTCCATCTCCATCAAGTAAAGGGAGTAAGCCGAGCGCTTGTTGTGAATACCGCACTCAGTCTTCTGCTGACCCTTCCAGCGGCCAGCACGCTCGTCCTCGCCCTCAGCAACGGGCTGAGTGGAGTGCCAGTCACCAACACTCTTGTAACCACGGTCGAGCAACTCGTTGTAAGGGACATCGTTGTCCTTGACGTACTGCTGAACTTGAGAAAAGGACCAGTTGGCCATGGGGTTGATCTTGATGAGACCGGCCTCGTCGACTTCGACGATGTCGAGGTCGCCACGCTTGCCACCCTGGCTGCGGCGACGTCCAGTGAGGACGGCGTGGACGTTCATTTCACGGTAGGCGCGTTGAGCAGGCTCGACCTTGGCAACCCAGTCGTAAAGTTGGTCATCGACTTCCCAGAGCTTGGCGCCATACTTGGCTTCGAATTCGGCAGTGGTGTCGACACCAGCAGGCTTGAAGATGTGCACGTTGTTGTTGGGGTACTTGCGGCGGACACGGTCCACCAGGGTCTTGGTTTCATCGAAGTGGTAAAGAGTGTCGAGGAAGATGAGGTCCACCATCTGAGGACGAGGAACCTCGAGCTTAGAGAGCATATCCAGAGTGACCAGACCAGTCAAGCCGAAAGCAGTAGTCTGGAACAGGTGAGGCAGGGATGTAATGCACCACCGCAAGATTTCTGTAGTCTCGAGTTAGATGGGGTCTTCACAGCGGGGCTCTATCAATACGAACCTTGAGGCTCAAGGAACTGGAGCTGACGGTTGAGGAATTGAAGATGAGGCTTGGTGAATACAATCTCCGGGACGTATTCTTCGCTTGCACCAGAGCCAGCACTGACGTAGCCAGACTCAGTCATGGCATCCATCTCAGAGGGGTAGGAGTCAATCTTGGAGGACATGATGAAAACAGGCCAGATGAATGGATCCCAGATGGAAGCAGACGCGACTGAATGTATGAAAGATGTTAAAAAGATGTGCAGAGTATGAAAGGCACAGAGATGTTCACAATGGATGAGGATAGAATGTCAAGAGTTCACCACTCCAGAATTATAACGAGGAAGGGCTCTTGCGTGCTTCGATGCTTTACTTCGGAGGCTCCACTATGTTCCATTTTCGGATGCGCCCTTCAGCCAATCAGAGACTCGAACGATGAGGAAATCGATCACGCCATTTTCGCCTGAGGCCGAAACCTCGAAAATCTCAGGAACGCCCCTCCGGAGTCGCTTTTACCCCGGAGCCATTGGTAATCGACTGCTGACCAACTTTATGTTCTCCCGGTAGCTTCCATAAGCTTCTTTGGTGATCAGGGATGCTATGACGTATACTACTCAGATCTATATCTGGATCCATACAACTACAATCACTTCCTAGATGAAGTCAACAAATGTCATGGCGGATGATGTGAGACTTGCCGCCACACTCCGTACATCCTGAAAATCGGGATTCACTGTGGGTCATTTTTTCACCGTTGTCGCTAGGCTTGATCACAGTCGGAAGTAGCGGCACTTTATGAAACAAGTGTGTGATTGGCTGGGGTGGGGCAATAAAGGGCCTTGTACACTTTGTACCGAGTAATCTGTAGGAATCTTACACAGGTTTGTACATCATTGATTTTGTTCTTCAAAAAAAAAAAAGCTCAATGGTAAAGATCAAATTCAATCGAAGCAACACACCGCCTTCGGGATATCTGGATGGCAGTATTTGGTGACCCGAGTTCTCCGAGCTCCATAGTCAATCTCCGTATTGCAGAAATTGCACTCAATTTTGGCATTCTTTAATATCCAGAAAAATGCCGATGAATACTCAATTCAGACAAGAACAATATCTTCACTCGATTGGTCTATGAGAATGTATGAATTTTAGACCCCGTGTCAAACACCGAAAACTGAGAGTATTACGCTCACTTCTTTGACGTCGAAAATTAGTTGAGCTCAGATTGGAAGCTCGGCGGGAGCCAGGCGTTTAGTGGGTCCCTCGGCCAATGACGTAGTTCCTGCAGCACGCTAACGCAAACCCTATTAGTCTAACGCCCCATAAGACCCCGATGAGCGGCGTTTGGACAGGAGATATACTATGGACATGGTTTTGAAGTCAACAGCTTAAGAATAGTCTATTTTTATATACAGCTAGGGGGGAGTATCCAAGAAGTTGAAGGATCAGAATTCATTTCAGTAGATTGGATATTGTGAACGTGAGCCGCTCTTGTGCTCACAGGCGGAGATAAGTGGCAAGTAGGTCAGAGAGGCATAGGTGTGACAGCCGGGGAATGGGGCGAATGAAATGTAGCGATAATCGTGCAGACGAACCAAGCGGATCAGAACACATCCTGTTTATACTTAAGTAGGAACCCAGTACTAACCTCCAATCTTTCCCATGGTCGTCGGGCTAATATCGGAATGTTCTTTCGTAGATCAAGGGCCGGAGTACTCTACTACTACACACCATTCATTCTCTTTTCAATAGCCAAGCCGGATTCTGTGGTATTCATTTCACTTGTGCTTTAAACTCGCATTGAATCTAGGCTGTATAGTCACGAATATTAATCTTCTTGTGACAACACGAATCGCCAGACGATTTCCCAATTGGGAAACAGAGGTTTATCTGAGATCTCTGCGTTTTGGCATATTTGAGAATCCGAGCATCTCATGTATGTAGGATCATGGTAGAGATGGTCCTCACTATATCTACGCCTGGAGCGCTCCTTCTCTCTCTCGCGTGCCATCCTAAGGCACCAGGGGGTTTGGCTATCAAAACCCATTTCAACTCTCAACAACTTCCTCCTTTCCACATCATCGCTCCTTCCAAAGCTCCCTCCTATCAAAACTTTCATCTTCACACCAATTACTGTCAACTTCGGTATTTTTTATCCGAGTTTTTTCCCCAGGGCAAAATATCGACGCTGACGTTCACTGTAGAAGATGCCTTGCTCGTGGCCCGACAACCCGGACACGGGTACAGACGGTGGATCGTCAGAGGCAAGACATTCCCATTTACGTGAAGTCACACGCTAACCAATAGAACAGGCCACCGAATCCGATTATTTGGCCCTAGAAATCTCCTGTCTACAAACCACAATCTACCAAATCGATTCAACTGCGAGGGCCATGCATCAAAGGAATCGTGCTTTGCAACAGATGCTCAACGCATGCCCTCGATTCCCTGGGGCCCAAATTATCCTAATCGAAGGTCAGCGTGCGATCAATCGCCGCAGAAGACGAGCTGTCGCACTTGAGATGATCGCGCTTCGGCTGCGGCAAAATGTGTTTGAGTTACTACAATCTCTACCTGATGACGAGTGAAGTGCGCATGCAGTCTGACATACCAGACTAAACATGGCGGGATTGAACAAACGAGGATGCAAGATGCCCTCTATGCTAGACCGTACGATCATATCTATCTTGCTAGAAGCTGAATGAGCATCCGCATCTGACTAAGGTCAGGGATGTGGACGGCATCTTTCTCTCTCTTCTTCTTCTTCTTCTTCTTCTTCCTCCCCAGTCTCAGTAAGATAGAAGTAATACACTACGTTTAATAAGTTCTGCGCTCTCGACGGAAGGTGAACACAATGGGTTTTGGCTATCAAACCCATTCCAACTCTCAACAACTTCTTCCTCTCTACATCATCTCTTAATCTCAACTTCGGTACTCTCCATCCAATTTATTTCCCCGGATAATATCGATGCTGACCTTTACAGCAGAAAATGCCTTGCTCATAACACGAAGACAGCCCCGGCACTGGGGCAGACAATAGAATCTCAGAAGTAAAACATTCCCATCTACGTGAGGTTACACGCTAACCAATAGAGCAGGCCACCGATTATATGACCCGGGAGATCTCCTCTCTGCAAACCAGAATCTACGCAATCGAATCGACTGCGAGGGTCATGCATCAAAGAAACCATGCTCTGCAACAAATTCTCAACTCATACCCACGAACTCCTGAGGCCCAAGGTATCTGAATCGCCAGTCAGCGGGTAGTTGGTCATCGCGGAAGACGAGCAAGTATGCTTGCGGCGATAGCATTTCGGCTGAGGCAAGAGCTGCTTGAGCTGCAGCGTATGCCCTGGTTCCTCTGAGGCCCAAGTTATCGTAATCGCAGATCAGCGTGCCACGATGAGCTGGGTGAGGTCACACCACTTGCTCCTAGCCTCGAGGGCGGCACAACGAGCTCGTTCGCCATTGGCAGCGATGCTACGCGACGCCGGTCTGGTCGTGCAGCCGGCCCCGTCACTCGTCCCAAGAAGTCAAAGGGGCAGAAGCAGGCCGAAAAGGATCTTGCAGAGGCTGCCGCGGAAGATAAGCTATCACGCTTGAGGGGATCACGCTTCATCTGCGGCAAGAGCTGTTTGAGTTACAACAATCTCTACATGATGAAGAGGGAAGTGCGCATGCGGTCTGATATACCAGACAGGACGGTAGCAGGGATATAGAGCAGCACCACCGCATGAGCGGGCGATAGAATCAGCATCTACTCAGCGAACATGGCGGAATCGAATGAACAAGGATGGATGATGCTCTCTATGCTAGACCGTACGATCGTGTCTATCCCCCTGGTCCATAGATAGATGTGTGTTTGCCCTCCCCCCTCCCTCTCCCTTCTTCCTTCTCTCCAGTCTCAGTCAGGTAGAAGCAATTCACACATTTATTGCGCTCTGCGCTCTTCACGGGTAAACACTATGGGTTTTGGCTATAAAAACCCATTCCAACCATCAACAACTTCTTCCTCTCCACATCATCGCTCCTTCCATTATTTTCAACATCCATCATTGCCAACAATGGTATTTTCCATTCGAACTATTTCCCCAGGGTAAAGTATCGATGCTAACTTTTGCTGCAGAAAATGGCACCTTACTCACTTCCCGATGCCGATTTGGGAACGGAAGATGAAGTCCCCGAAGTAAGTAACCCACCGGTTACGCACTATCAATCAGTTTGCTTCGGTTTTTATTCACCGAAATGACATGCTAATATATAGAAGAGAGCGCCGAGGATCCAAGGATCCGGCAGTATCGTACGCTACAAGCCAGGATCATCCAAATCGAAGCAACGGCGAGCGATTTGCGTCAAAGCGCTCGAACCCTACAACAAGCCTTGAGTGAATATCCTCGAGCCTCTGGGGCCGAAATCATTGTCGTTTCGAGTCAGCGTTTGATCGATGGTCGCTTTCAACAGGCCGGCATGCTACAACAAATAGCCCTGCGCCTAAGGCGCGAGCTCCTTCTATCGCTGATTTTACTGGGATACACGCCTCGCCAAACCCGAGAAGACAATTGAATCTGAGTGAAAATGAAAATCATTATGGATAACTTCTGGAGACCAAGCTTCAAAGCACCGAAGAATCCCATCTTAGATAATGCTGATCAGAAATTTAATGAATAAAGCAGACAGCATAGTCGGAGCTCAATCTTGTATCCCAAAGGAGTAGAGGACTACAGAGTATACTGTTTACATCTTTCCTCTTTCCTCCCTTCTCCTCTTCTTTCCCATCTCTCTTCTTTCCCATCTCTCTCTTCTCTCTTCTCTCTTCTCTCTTCTCTCTTCTCTCTTCTCATTGATCGTTGATCATTTGTCATTTATCACCTACACTCTCCGTCGTCACACCAAAAGATCAACCCACTGATTCTCTTCACCCAAAGTGCGTACATTCCACCTCGGCTGTGCCCTAATGGACAATAATCTAACAACTGACTTGAACTGCAGATCATGGCAGGCTTTGAATTGCCCGAGGGCGACTCAGGCCAACAAGAAAACCAAGCTTCCTCCCTCGACGACCACGATCACTCCTGACCTGCTCCCACGGTTTGTTTGTCTCTCAATGAGAAAAAGTGAAGTGCTAACCAATAGAACAGAACAGCCGTCATGTAATAATCCAGGAGTACCTGGCCCTGGAGGCTCGAATTATTCGCCTCCAGAGATCCGCCAATGCAGGGCGGGAGAGTCTGGCCAGAATGGAGGGAATGCTCGCTCAATACCCACACACACCGGAGAATAGGGCTATTGCACTTGCAGCTCAGGGCCAAATCGACCAACGCCGAGGTCAGGTCAGCGCACTGGAGGAGATGGTTATCGGACTGAGCAAAGATTTGGAAGCGTTCAGAGCCTCGTTCTAAAGCTGTCATTCCTAGACTATCACACTTATGCTTCTATTACTTACTCGTTTTTTCTCCTTGTATCTGTCTGCAAGTACAAGAACGGCTGGTCACCTTCACAAGACCCAATCTACTCAAATTGAAATTAGATCCTTCAACTGTTTGTAAGCTCGTTGAGAACGAATAAGAGTCATTTATGCATAATTACTGGGTATTGAACTTCAAAACACCGAAATAATCCTATATAAAAAATTCTGATCAGGATCCTAATGGATTACGCAGACCGGAGCTGAATGTTCTATACTAAAAGAAATGAGGGCTACAGAGTATACTGCCTGCTTCTTTCCTTTTTCTCCTCTTCTTTCTCTTTTTACTTCTCACTTCTCATTTCTCATCTACACTCCCTACCACCTCACCAACTCACCAAAAAATCAGTAAGTTGAGCCTTTTTATCTAAATTGCATACATTCTGTTTCGGCTTTACCCTGATGGACAATACTAACTTGACTTTGGCTACAGATCATGGCACCCTTCCAACCGCCCGAGGGCAGCTCAGGCCCAAACCAACGAGAGAATCATGCTTGTGCCCAGGAGAACCACGATCCTGTTTTACCTATTCCCACTGCTCGTTTGCTTCTCAATAAGCAAAGTGAAGTACTGACCGATATAACAAAATAGTGATCACGACATGATCAAAGAATGGCTAGCCACAAAGGCTCGAATCAATCGCCTTGAGAGATCTGCAAATGCAGGACGGGAAAGCGCCGCCAGGCTGGAGGGAATACTCGGCCAATATCCACAGATACCAGAAAATATGGATATCATCCGCGCTGCTCAGGATTAGATTGATCAACGCCGGAGTCAGATCAATGAATTGGACGAGATGATCTACGAGATAAATGAACCAATTTTTCTTTCACCCTGTGGCGTATGGGGTGATGAACCCCTTGGTAATATCCCATCCAATGAATTTTTTACCTTGGTATTGTTAAATCAACCAGATAGAACAGAAGCAAGGCAAAGGTGCAGTATGTAGGGCTACGAAGTATACGGTGTCCATTTTCATTGGTGGAGCCCAGCCAAGGAAACCCCCACTATCAACGCCCATCACGTGCCTGGCGACGATCCGAGTATTTTCCCTTTCAATCGGAGCATTTGCAAGCAACCTCACCAATCTCTACAGACTACAATGGAACAATCCAGTCGTCCCACGCGGCCATCGCTCGGCCAAATGCGCAGCAGCTCGTTCCTGCAAGATCACCAACAATACAAGCCGATGGCACCAATCAACCAAATCAACCAAAACATCGGAGAGGTTCTAGCAAACCAAGTGGACGACCTAGCCCTGAACGCCAACCCGATCAAGCCCGATCCCGAGCGCGTCACCGAGAGCGGAGTCATCCACAACATCTTCAACCACCACGAGAACCCTCTCCCAAGCGGCACGGCACAGATCGTCGCGACTATCTACTACAAATCCGCAACCCCAGTCCACCCCCACTACCACCCTGATGCCTCGCCTGATCCCACCGCAGAGATCCCAGCTCCCACTGTCCCTGAGGGCTCAGCACCAACGGAAGATATGGACAAGTTCCCCCGCGAGCCTCCCGCGCCAGAGCCGGAACCACTCGACCACCTGTACGGCCCGTACGTCTCGCAGATGTGTTTGACCAACTTCCTCCAGATCCTGGAGTCCCTTCCTACGCCTTACCAGCGCATGAACACCTCGCACCGCTGTCTGGACCGTGAGGAACACCCCCGCGTCGTGGAGGTCACTTTCTCACCCCCGCCAAACCCGGATTACCTCTCGTTCCCGGATCTGCGGAAGCACGAGAGTATCTGGCGCTTTGAGCGGGAGTGGAATGTCGAGGTTGTCTTGCAGCAGGAGAGTGTGTTCCGTCGCCACAAGCGTCTTGCTGTCTTCGATATGGATAGCACCCTCATTGACAATGAGTGTATTGATGAGATTGCCAAGTTCATCGGTGTTGAGAAGCAGGTCTCTGTATGTTTGCCTGGCTCACTTTTACTTACACCAGCTAACCATGATAGGACATCACCGAGCGCGCTATGAACGGCGAGCTGGACTTCTCTGCATCTCTGCGCGAGCGTGTCGGTCTCCTCACCGGTGTCCCCGCGGATGTCTTCGAGAAGCTCAAGTCTGTCCTGAAGATCGCCAAGGGTGCCCGTGAGCTGTGCCGCGCATTGAAGACCCTCGGCTACACACTTGCTGTTGTCAGCGGTGGATTCCAGCCCCTAGCCGAGTGGCTAGCCGCACAGCTGGGCATCGACATTGCCGTTGCCAACCACGTAAGAAATACCCCCATCCCCAACACCTCTATCAATCCATCTAACATAACCAGCTTGAAATCGACGAGGCCACCCAAACCCTAACCGGCAAGCTGGTCCCCTCATACCCAATCATTGATGCAGCCCAAAAGCGCACACTCCTGAAGTCCTTTGCTGCCGAGCGCAATATCCCCATTGCGCAAACAATGGCCGTTGGCGACGGCGCCAATGATCTGCTAATGCTTCACGCTGCAGGTCTGGGCGTGGCATGGCGTGCCAAGTCCAAGGTCCAGCTGGAAGCCCCTACCCGCATCAATGGCGAGAGCCTGGTCGACGTTCTCTACCTGCTTGGCATGGATAACGATGACATTGCGGAGCTGACCTCTCAATGAGTTGTAGATGGGCGAGTGCCTTTGTAGAGCGTATAGGCTTGAAGCGAATTATACCCCAAGTTGGGAAGCTGAGCCGTCGGCTTGGTTTTTTTCGGAGTTTGTTGAGGCGCTGGCGACGGTGATAGGTAGGAGTTGCAGCGTAGAACGCATGGATTGCATGATTATATGGGGCTATATGACAGCTTATGATCGACATTTCGGGTATAAGTGAAATGCCATTTGGATGATTTGAGATTCTGCTATGAGAGATTTCTAGACCATTACAAGATGTAGCGTGAACAATAGTTGGTCTATGATTTTTTGTATATCGAGTTTCAAGCTGCAACAAGTTGATTTGCAGCCCAGCTTTGATTAGAAACAGACAGGATTGCAAGGTTTAATGATAATACAGAGCACAATCCCTGTTGAAATGTTGAAATGGCAAACGACCCCTATACAAACCCCAAACCAAGAACCCTAATATGCAAGATAACTCCAGTAATATAACCACGAAGATGAGTAAACAAAACGGCAGGAAGTGAGGCGTTGATGAGTGAAATCACTGGGTAGCTGCATCTGCTGGAGAAGTAGTCTTTTCGACTGTTCCAGGGGATCCACCAGAGCGACGCTTCTTGAGAACATTCTCAATGAAGGCCTCACCAGCCTTGTAGCTGCTGCGGACAAGAGGACCTGAAGCACAGTACAAGAAGCCCATGTCAAGGGCGCGCTGGCGCCACAGCTCGAAACGATCAGGAGTCACGTATTCATGTACAGCCATGTGGCGCTTGGTAGGACGCATGTACTGGCCGAAAGTCACGACATCGACATTCACAGCACGGAGCTGGCGAAGAGCATCCCAAAGTTGCTCATCTGTCTCGCCAAGACCCAGCATGAGCGAGGTCTTGGTGATAAGATCCGGGCTAGCCTTCTTAGCAGCATCGAGCACTCGAATGGACTGCTGGAAAGTAGCGCGACGGTCACGGACGAATGGCGTAAGCTCCTCGACTGTTTCAACATTGTGCGCATACACATCCAAGCCGGATCGCGCTACCAAGGCCGCCATCTCCAAATCGCCCCGGTAGTCACTTGTCAAACATTCGACCAGCATGCTGGGCTTTTTCTGCTTGATCTTGATAACTGTTTCCGCGAAGTGACGGGCACCACCGTCAACCAGATCATCGCGATCCACACTTGTGAGAACAACGTATCCCAAACTCCAACGGGAGATAGCCTCTGCGGTGTTCTCAGGTTCGTGTGGGTCAAGTGGTGGCGGCGCGCGGGATGTCTTGACACTGCAGAAACGGCATCCTCGGGTACAGGTATCACCCATCAGCATGATTGTCGCAGTAGCGGAGGACTTGTCGCTGCCGCCCCAACAGTCGGAAATATTGGGACATCTGGCTTCCTCGCAGACAGTGTGAAGGTTAAGGCCTCGCAAATCTTTCTTTAAACGTTGGTAGTTCTTGGAGTCTGGAATCGGAGTCTTCAGCCACTCGGGCAGGCGAGTGATTTCCTTCTTGCGGCCGGCGGGTCCGGCGAGAGCAGTCTTGAGGGCGTAGGCTTCGGAGGCCTCAAGGGGAGGTTCGCCGCCCCCAGAGACGAAATCGGAGAACGAAGGTCCGGCGTTCAGCTTATCCCGGAAGGTGGTTGCTTTCCGCCGTGTGGTTGGGGTGTTGGTGGCGGATGAGGAATCGGTTGTGGCATAGCTGCGGCGGGGGGCAATTGCTGCTGGGGCAGGACAGACGGTGGTTTTGAGGGACGACAGGTGTCGCAGGGTTCTAGTTGGAGCTGCCATGGTATGTGAAGTTGTTACAAGACAAGTGGAAAGTTGACATGGAGTTTGCTCTAAGGTTCGCCGGCCGGGAAACTTGGCTTAGTCAGTTTCGCCGCTCGGAGCGGAATCGGGAAACTCTCTAGATGATCGGTCCACGATTAACGATGTATTCGGTTATGAAAGACTATGTGGTATTATTACTAGGATGTATGATTTTGGACAATTGAACGAGCGAATTCCCAATTCCGGCACCAAACGCAATGCAAGGGTATGAGGTAAAAAAAATAACCAACGAGAAACCAAGTGAGCTGCCAGAGAGTGTAATTGTTCAGCAACACAGCAAACAAAAGGAAATGAGGATATCAAAAAAACAAAGACAGTAGTATGATTGAAGAGCAAGGAAATGTTTGAGGGAACGAGAAGATTCAAGGAAACGTATGCGAAGAGAGAGGATACTCGTAGGTAGAGGGAGTGTGAGAGAGAAGTGGTTCAGTGAGACAAGGAAATTTGGACGGTAAAGTTGAGACAGAGAGAGAGAGAGAGAGAGATGTAGGAAAGAACTGAGTTGAGACAAGTAGGGAGAAAGAGAGGATAGCGCGATTAGTCTAAGCATTCGTTTCGAGGACTTGGGCAAGAACCTCGACGGCTGCTTTGAGAGTAGGGTCAGAGCGACCACAGATGGCGAAGAGGAGATTGTCCACTATTCGCTCAAGGTGTGGTCGGAGGGCCGTGCTGCGTTTGGCAAAGACGCGGTCTTTTCCCTTGGATGGGGTGGCAGAAGGGATTTGAATTCCCAGAGTGCTGTATGCTTTGGTGGGAACTGAGTCGGGGATGCAATCGTTGCGGGTGGAAACAGAGGGTTTGCTTCGGTGTATAGCTGAAAGGGACAGGAGGTAGTTTCGGGCCAAAAGAGCGGCACAGAGACAATCGAGAAGATTCTCGGAGACGTCAGGAAAGATTGTTCGGAATGGTTTGATGAATGGCTCCTCATCGCTCTTGCGAAGGAAAAGGATAACCGGGGAGGTGAGTCGAAGCATATTACGGGGGAAGTCTTTCACAGAATGATCCAGCTCATCAAGAGTCCACTCATGGTCATCCAAGTTCCAGTCTTGGGGCCATAGCTGTGGTTTCTCATCTTGCTTGTCGGACTTGTTGGAGCTCCGCCCTGGTGATTGAGGTGGAGACGGTGATGGTGCCTTGGGGCTGACGCTTCCAGAGCGTATTTCAAGTGATTGCAGCTCGCGCTCTCCCTGCGCGGATTCAGGCCTATCGCAGACAACCGTGGACCCAACACTGTCCGAGGAGGTCAGGGACCCTGGGTCTGTGTACGCATCATCGTCATCATCGGGTTTGCTTTCATCGTAGCTATCGAACGAATAGCCGGAGTCACGAGTGTCATAACCACTGTCCGAGACATCCATCGGGGTGTCGGGACTGAAGGCAGAAACCTCTTGTTGACGCTGGTCAGGCGTCGTTGGGACTGTCTGGGGGAGTAGAGGGGGTGGTGGAGGCAGTGAAACTGCAGTAGGGGATTGTCGTGCTATATCAACAAGCTTGGGCTTTGTTTTACTGGCGACCACGAAGCGCTAACTCAGTTAGCAGTGAACAGAACAGGCCGGATTTGAGATGACAACTTACGACAGGCTCTTCCAGGGCTTTGGCTCCGGGGATGATATCAAGTTTCGGCATCGGGGGATCGTTTTCGACGATTTGGAATTTGCGCCTGTTATTGAATTCTTTGGTAGGACTGCTCTGGGTGTTGACTTCGTCCGTTGGCACACACTGCAGCCACCTCTCACAATAAGAAAAGTTGCTAGGAACCCAGCTAGCTTCGCTGGACACTGTGGTGGTACGTGATCGTTGGGGTCTGGGGGAACTTCCAGGTGGAAATTCTGTGGAAAGATGAGCGGGATTGGGTGACTCAAGTGGTGAGTCTTGGGTTTCGGGATGTGGCACAGGCGACGTCGGTTCATTGACAGACTCGCATTGGCGAACGAGTTCAGAATGTGCCTCATGAACATTCATCACATCAGTACGAGGTTGATTGCTCCAATCCGATGGACGATAGGCCTGGTACTCGAGCTTCTCGTCGACGTCGAGTTGAGCCGCAGTTGGTGTGATATCCTCCTCATCTTCGGATTCAGGCGACTCCGAATCTTCAATGATCGGCTCTGTCTCGTGCGGCTTGGTACCCAGATCATTTTCCGTAGGGTGACGCCTGTCGGCTTCTGGGTCTTCCTCCAAATCCTCATTGGGATCTTCGCTGATGTCTTCATTCAGATCGTGCTTCACACGATGGCTGAGATCGGCTTTCGAATCATTTGTCTCAGCAGACTCAAACCTGAAGTATGAAGACTCCGGGCCCGCACTGGAAGGTCGCGATTCTGACATTGGCGGGCTTGGTAAGAGGCCGAGACCTCCGATGTCAACCTTTAAATTCTGATCGGATCTCCAAGTCCTCAGTGAATGTCCACCTCGTGGTCTTGGTGATCTAACTGGTTTTTCAGGGAATGTCGGTGGCGCACCGTCCATAGATGCAGGCGAAACAGGTAGCATGAGTTGAAAAGGTTCTTTCATTCTCCGAACAGAGCGGAACGGCGACATGCATGCTGGTGATCGGTCTACCGGCCTCCTAGGTACTGAAGCCGAAAAGTCCTGAGACTCTATGCGAGGCATGTCTGGTGATGGTACGAAAGATAAAGAAGGCACCTGTTTGCTGCGCCTTCGCGGTTGGTAGGTCGGAGACCACCGACGGGGCGAAGGAATCCGGTCGGCCATTGGTGAAGTATCGTGGCTCATACAGGATGAATGTGAGTCCTGGTTCCTGATATGAGTTTGGATTCGGGCTGGAAGGTGAGCACGCCGAGGCATATCTGTGGCACCGCAGTCCATATTGGACAAGGGTTACCTGGCTGAGGATGCTAGTCAATGGTGGTGAAAAAGCAAAGTGGTGGCACAAGTGAGACCTAGATGTGATTAAGGTGGTTGTTTATTGTTGAAGCCAAAACAAATGGACTGTTGTCCATGCAGGGGCTGGATATGGCCTTATACAGCGAAAGTGGCGCTAGTCCGCTAATTTCAGAGTGGATAGGGTCAGATTCAAGTGGACATCCCTTGACAGGAACAACACCCTGCCATGAGGAACCCCGAAAATGTTCAGCAGGATTCCCCCTTCAGGAAGAGGGTCGTCTGGCACGAACTCCGGTCGTCCAGGCACGGGCCGCAGCAACAATAGGGAGAATGAAGTCGCGTCATCCTTGCATTCCAAGGAATATGGGAGACCAGGACAACGGATGGGCATTGGCTCCAGATCTCGATCTGTAGCCTGCAGCAGCCCGTCAACGTGGAGAGGTCTCCATCGGGCGTCTTGTCTCGTCATAGCCAAGTGTGGGTGGGGACAAGGAATGAGACAAATTGGATGCATGAGAGGAGAAGCAGACCCGTAGCGAATCAAACCCTTGCCCAGGGCAGTAGGATCGCCCTGAGGATGTATTAAAGCGGGTCTTCATTGGGCCTTGTCTCGTCGCAACAGCAATGCGCCCCTTCCGCGATCCCTTGCATCGAATTGGACCCAACCCGAGTGGGAGTGTGATATTAGCATGATCCGTGGAGGTTTGAATATAAATGCTTGACCATGGCTTGCATCACCAGCCGGGTGGTGCGCCTAAACGAAATGAGGTCAGAATCAGAATATGTTCCGAAGAGTCGACACCTCATACAGCTGATCTCTGATCGTCCAACTAGCGCATATGGGGATGACAGGTCGAACCGCTACGCGAGGCAATATAAAACCGCGTACAATAATTTGGAAGAAGCTGAAACATGGCCAACGGAAGTATAATTAGCATACAGTCAGCTGCATGCAATGCTAAAATCAAATCAGCCGTATTCTGTAGGCTGTAGGAGTGTACGAGTAGTCCGTACAGTGGGAAATGGGAAGTAGAGAGATCACATTGCAAACAGTGCAAACAGTACAAACACCTTATCACGATTAAGAAAAAAAAAAGCTCGGAATGCCTCTTGACACTACGCTATACTTGATAGCCTCATTCCTCATGCTGTCCGAATCATTTGTGGCGTCGACCCTGTCATCCGCTAAATCTCCGACAGCCTCGCTGAGAGATGTAGGGATCTGCGTTCACGATTTACAGCCTTCGTCAATCCTGCGATCGACCTTCAAGAAGAGCTCTACTACAACCAATTGTCTGGCAGTTAGCCCCTCGCATATTTTCACAGCCCAGGCAGACAAGGCTGTCCTGCACGTGTATAGTAGAGAGAAGGGAAACCAAGAAGGAATTGTCCCATTTCCGGAACGGATACGCAGCATTGCTGTTGCGGGCGGCAAGTATGGTGATATTCTAGTTCTGGGTACTGAGGGTGGTCGCTTGATCCTCTGGGAGGTATGTTGAACAAATGTCAATTCTACAAGTCCCAATCTGACAGCTTTCAAGACTTGTACAGGACGCCAGGTAGCCACGACCGCGTCTCACTTACAGCCAGTGACCTCCCTCGTCATCGACCCTACCTCCAACTTCATTCTTTCTGGATCTAGCGATGCCAGTGTGCACGTCTGGTCTTTGCCTGGTATCCTTTCTTTCTCCAAACCTGCTTTGAGCGCAACTCGGCAGCCCACGAATTCTCCCATTCGGACTTTTTCAAACCACCGCGCAGCCATCACCTCTCTGGCATTCGGACACAGCAATGGCCGGAACAACATTGTGGTATCGACCGCCAAAGATAACACCGCCATTGCATGGGATTACCACACCGGTCGCGCATTGAGAACCTTCCTCCTCCCCTTCTCCGCAACATCTGTAGTCCTGGATCCAGTCGACCGGGCTTTCTACGTTGGATATGAAGATGGCAGCGTTCAATCAGTAGACTTCTACCGAGGCCATTCCGCACAGCACCCCCTCCATGACCCATCCGTTCAATCCACCCCAGTCCAGGTCTCCACTGAAGACCGGTGGCTCCCTCCATCCGCCGAATCAGGATCGGCCAATACCCTCTCCCTTACATACGACGGCACCACGTTACTCTCTGGCCATGCAAATGGTAAGATTCTGTCTTGGAACGTTGCGCGCCGTAAGTACATCTCCTCGGTGGCCGACTACACACATCCGATTACGAACCTGGTGATGCTCCCGCCTGGCGGCATCCCCCACCCATCCTCGGACTTGCAGAGGAAGGCACACACCATCGTCAAGCCGCGCCATGACAATGGACTCACCTCACATGTGCCCGGCGCTGTGCCGTCAGAGTACATGTTCCACACTCAAATTCTCGCACCCACCACACCCAAACCCACCCAATTCTCCGCAGCACTCACCCATGCCTCATTCCCCGACTCCATGCTGGATGAAGGATTAGCAGAGCTAGCTTCATTCGGTCAGCCTGGCGCAGAAGTCCGTGTTAGCGCCAGCGCAACCCGGCCCTCAGCGGCTCCTGTTGAGGACTCACGGGCCCAGGTCACTGAGTTGGAGAACGAGGTATCTGTGCTCAAGAAAAAGGTTGCGGTGAATGAGACTGCTCGTCACAATGCGGATGATGAGGTCGTACAGCTGCGCTCGGACCTTGCCAATCTGCAGGATTACATCAATGAGCTCCATGAGAAGCAGGAGGCAGCTCGGAAGGCGAAGGTCCTGCGGCGAGCAAGGAAGCAGGATCGTGAGAAGAAGAGGAGAGAAGCTTGGCTTGCTGCCGAGAAAAGGGGTCAAAGTGGAGATGCGGCTGTCCAGAAGATGGACGACGCCAGCAGTGACTCGGATCAGAGTGATGAATAAAAGTTTGCATGGGATTGGCGCAGGTTTTGGACTAGTACCACGTATATATCCTTGGGCTTTGGATAATAAGATTTACCACGTTCGTGGATCACAATTTCACATTGTTGTATACTTGAGTAGTGCATTATATACAATGCTCTAAGGGATTTCGCTATATATCCCAGCTTTAGTTTCACTACACATTTACCCCCTTCTTTACTTAAGTACACACAAGACAACCATCAAGCACTCTCGCATGTGAATATTCTTTTAATAACTCCCTCAGCAACAAGGGCACATGGGATTAAACAATTGAGGGTTATGCAGTTCTCGAGGCAACCCCACAGGGGCAATGCAGGGCTCCCGGCGCGCAAGGATCAATATAATTTGTTTCAACACGCACAACCTTGAAACATCTGCTACTTAATTCCCTGGCAAAAGTCCTTACTCAATTTCCAGTTCTAAAGGTGTAGGTACACATCCTTGATTTTGTCTGGTACCCCTTAGCCCTGGAGAACATTTCAAACACTCAGACCAAGCCCTAAACCATTTCACAACTATACTCCAAGTAGAACTTTAGAACTCAGGAAACAGCATGACTAGCACCCTGCTCTAGGATCTCCCCTTCATCCATCTCACGCATAATCTTCACTCCATTACTAGTCCCAATCCGATGCGCCCCAGCCTTAAGCATCTTAACTACATCCTCCGCCGTGCGCAATCCCCCACTCGCCTTGATCTTCGTACTGCGTCCACATAGATCAGCCGCAATTCTCATCAACGTAACATGCTGCGTAGAAGCACCCCCATTCCACCCAGTACTCGTTTTGATGAAATCCGCCCCAGCCATACATGACACAATCGTGGCATCCAACAACTCATCCTTATCCAGCACAGATGCCTCAATGATCGTCTTCAGCACCACAGGCGGCGGAGCAGCCTTGCGAACAGCAACAACATCCTATCACCCGTCAGCATATATAAACACCCAGATTCAATTCCACAAAACCCACCCTATAAACCTCCATATACCTCCCCTCTTTCAAAAGCCGATAATGAATAACCATATCCAGTTCCCCTGCGCCCTTCGAAACAGCCTCTTCGGCCTCCCTGACCTTCTCGACTGTTTCATGCGTTCCCTCCGGAAAGGCAATCACACATGCTACGGCGATGTTTGAGTCCTTGAGCTGTTCTTTAGCTTGGGGGACATGTTCGAGGCGGACGCAGACGGCTGCGAAGTCGTGTTCGCGGGCTTCGGCGCACAGTTTGTCGATTTGGGATGGTTCCACTGGTGTTGTTAGGAGGGTGTGGTCGATTGTTCGGTGGACGCCTAGTGGGATTGGAGGTTGGGAGAGTGGTCTTTCAGGTAGATTTTCTTTCATTTTGGCGATTTTCTCTGCCCATTCGGCGTCTGTGGTTGGGATGGCACTCATTTTGATTTGTGTTTGTTGGTTTTTGATTTGTATTTGTTGGTTTTTGATTTGTATTTGTTGGTTTTTGGTGTGTGTATAGTTGTGTTGTGTACATTTATGTTCTATGTTTTCCCCTCTTGCCAAGTAAAGGGGGATGTGACGTGGCGTAGATGTCATGTTGACAGATGCAGTGGCGCAGTTTATATTGTATACTTAGGTTGTCAGTACTTAAGTACTTGTGGACTCGCTTTGTATTCGATCTACAGCCTGGTCATAAGGTTAAGCTTTGGGTATAAAAGTGCATTGCAGCGTGCATCGCATATGATGAGTATCCAACGGTCCAAGGGCTTGATTTGACCACTTTTGCAACTTATATCTCAGCCCTCGAGATATCTGCAGGGCTGTCACTTCCAATTTATCCACATCCACCACCGCACCGGGGTCCGCTGGAGTCCGTGGCCCCACGGAAGTCATCGATGCGACCTACGCGTCGCGGACCAGATCCCGGGCCATCACCTCCACCGCCGCCTCCATAGGAAGACGAGTTTCCCCAGCGGGAACGGGTAGTGTATTTGTTTCTGGAGTGGGTGACGTTGAAGCTGGAGTTCTCGGCGGCCGCGTAGGAGTCGAGCTGTAGACTGTCAGGGATTTGTCCGGGGTGGAGAGAGAAACTCGCAGTCGCAAGTACATATCACATTCAGTTCTTGTGGAATAGCTTACCGCGAATAAGCTGCTGAAGTACAGGCCGAAGAAGAAGTAGATGCTCTCGACAAAGCGGCTGAGCCGCACTGTCATCGGGGGTCTGTTGCCGGTTAGCGGGGCTTCGCGAGAATCACAGATAGTATACTCACTTCTCCAGTAGTTCTCCATTGGAGAAATAGCCTTTCTTTGGTGCAGAAGACATGATGTGGTTTGATGAAGTGGAATGTTGAAGCGTGGAGTGATCAGCCTGGGGTCCACAAAAATAGACAGCCGCACCGCCTCCAGTTCTAAAGTTTGTGCCTCCCAACTTATGTTACTCGTACTGCTGAGACTCATATATTCTTTTCATATTGTTCATGCATATCTCGTTTCTAGGGGTATTTAAATGCTCTATATACACTGCCATGCAAATTCCGCTTAAAATTCAAAATGTGATGAATCACGCCTTCTCCAAGTCGGCAACCACCTCCAATTCACCATGCAGTCCATCCAAGGCATGGAAGCCTTCTTCAATTGCCCACCGTTGGCCCTGAGGATTATGCAGGACGTGGCAGCTGGCTCCAACAACAAGCAGACCAGGTGGGCGGGATCCCGCCTCCTCAAAGGCAAGGCAGACGTGTTCCAAGGTGGAGCGAATGACGCGCTGATCGGGACACGAAGCCCGCTCGACAATGGCACAGGGAGTCTCCTTAGGCCAGAGGGTGCGCGATTGCTCACTTCCTTCAGGGAAAGTGGTGAGGGAATCAATCAGAGCAGAGAGTCTGTGGAGGGCCATCAGGAAGACAACTGTTTGTGTGGGCACGTAGGTGGGGGGGTTAGGTGCAGCGCCCTTCCTACCGGTTCCGGTACAGATGAGGACCTGATCAGAGACGCCGCGGTGGGTAGCGGGGATGTCTGCGAAAAGAGACGCACTCATGGCGCTGGTGATGCCCGGTAGCACTACTGGCGAATAGCCTTCGTTTCTGAAGAATTCAAACTCTTCCGCACCGCGTCCGTAGAGGTATGGATCGCCTTGCTTGAGACGGAGGACTTGGCGGCCTTGTTGGAGGGCTGCGAGGCCCATTTGGAGGAATTCTTCCTGGGCCTGGTCTGCGTTGCCGGGGAATTTGCGGGCAATGTGGACTTCTGTGCGGCGGGGGATGAGATCCAGGACTGGGGCTGGGACAAGCTTGTCTGCGAGAATGAGATCCGCATTGTGGATTGCGTGGTAGGTTGCGCGGGTGAGGAGGTCTGGGTGGCCGGGACCGGAACCTGCAAGTACAATCTTGCCCTGTTTGGCCGGTTCAACGCCGTTGGTGTCGTTGGTAGGGTTTTTGGTTGCTGTGTAGGCATTCAGGATGGATTCCATGTCTGCGTCGGTGATGGAGACCAGCTTCCGAAGAGGCCAGTATTCGCAGATCTGGGATAACCAGCGGATCCGCCTGGTCTTTGCGGCGGCTGCGTCGCCTTCTGTGATTAGGTTGTTGAAAGTGTGCTTTTGGCCGGTGGTGTCATCGTCCTCTGCGTCGAATGCGGCCTCGCCTGATTCGGCCGCCTGGTCCTCTTCCCACAGTCGCTTCCGCACAGCACCTAATCTGTCAATAGCAGATCCAAGATGCTGCGGTAAAAACGCGGCAATTTCTCTGCGCAAGCGAGAAGCCAGCTTGCAGCCTCGGCCTGAGGTTGTAATGCCAATGTGCAATGGGCCATCACTGTATGTGGAGAGAAGTGTGAACGAGCAGAGGTCGGGGGCATCTGACACATTGACAGGGATTCTCAATCGCTTGCAGAGTTTTGAGACGTGCGCACCTATATGGGGTTAGTATGGAGGTTTTTAACTGTTGCGATCCAAGATACATACTCAATGGGTTACTTGCGCCCACAGTGACAAAGACCAAGTCCACCACATGGTCCACTTCCTCCCTACCGAGGACCCTCAAGTCCGTATCTTGGAATTCACGGTTGACCCATTGAGCAGAGCCGTTTGCGATGTGTTGCGACAGAGTAAAATGCATGTCCGCGGTCTCCGGGGCAATGATGATCGGCTTTGCGCCGACTTCGATACTCTTGGCGCATCGTGCACCAGCGAGGGAATTGGATCCAATGATGAGGTGGACTTGGGAATCTGTGTTCCACGCTGCCATTAAAGGCGCGGGGTTCTGATCGCCGGCGTCTTTCATGGCTGGATAAGATGAGGCGCGATATTTGATATTCGATGCCAATTGTTGTCGATACCCGCAGAGGTTCTCAGGTGAGGATTATATCCCACGACGAAGGCCCAAGTATATCCGGCAATTGGTCTCAATTGGTCTCACAAAGCTCCGCGGAGAAAGTGAATGAGTAAAAGGCCCGTTGCGATTGATCACAGATAAGAGGATAAGGATAAGGATTGTCCGAACACGGAGTCTCTGTACCCTGCCCAGGTGAGTTCGTAGTTGTACTATATAGTATATAGTATATAGTATTAGTACTCAATTAAAGGAGTAGAAGAGTTCCCCATTGACTCACTGTACCTTTTTTTTTCTTTCGTTCTATACTCCAGAGCACGCCATCGGGGCCCACTTAGGACATCCCGCATTGGCTTACACCGCCCCGGAGAATATGTTTTCTGCCAATCTGGTTGGTCAGCTGAGGTCACATGACCTACATCATGCATCAAATCTAAAGTTCTACTTAAGTATGCATGGGCATAGGTACATAGGTAGTTACTCATGTGAACTACTTCGTACTCCAGATATGTATTCTGTGGAGCAAAAAGGTTCCAAGGTTGTATCCTGCGGGTCTAGACCCTCAGGCCACTCATGATTTTATGATGCATCCTTGAATATCTTGGCGTAATAGTACTTGAGAGTCATTACTCCGGACTTCAGAACTACAGACTTCAGGAGAAAGGATTCACTTAGTACTACCCGGGGACCCGAGTTGAAGTACCAAGTATTTCAGCTTCTAAGTTTAGAAAAGACGTGGACTTGCTCAAGGTTGCAACATAGCTTCAGAGAACGGATCATAATATACATATACAAGTACAATAGTATACATTAGATAGATAATATACATAGAGGCGACAGAAAACCTAATCAAAGATCATTCGCCCTTCCCGCAATATACAGAAGGCTCAACGCTTGGCGGTAAAGCTAATCGACGAAACGAGCTCGCGTGTAGTCGAGGTCCCACCGACGAGTCGCTTGAACTCACTGATCGGAACCTTTGCTTCAAGCTTCTCGTATTCAATGGCAACGTCCAGAAGACTCTCAGCCGAGATAGTCATTATCCGAATTTGACTCAGGTCGTATTCCAGGTTGCCCTGATAGCTGGTTGTGGGATCCAAAGTGGGATCACTGAGAGGCAGAGGTCCAGAACCGGGTTTGAGCCGTTTGCCGGCAAAGAGGGCGAGACTTGGAACAGCCTGGATGAACTCGTTGGATGACCAATGTGAGAAAAGTTGGTTGTTGAGAGTTTCAATAGTCATTTCACCGCGGTTGGCGAGAATAGAGGTCAATACCTCAAACCGCTCAAGCACAGCCTGCGGTTGAGAAACTGATGAATGGTTGAGTTTCTGTAGCATGGGAGGGGAATCGTTTGCCTCAAAGTACACCACTCCAACCGGGTTTCCGACGGGCCAGACTTCATCGGAGCGAATGTGTAGCGGTTCAAACGGTCGGCGTTCCCATAAAAACTGGGAGCTTATGTTGTTGCGAGAGGTGTAGAGCATGCGATCGTCGTCAACAATGTGAGACACATTGATTCGGCTTTGCCAATGTATTCTGGAAACTTCGTCATTATATTTCGATGTGATCGACTCAATCTCATCGTCCAATGCCTTCAGAGATTCGCAAGATTCGGTAGGATCCGCAGCCGCACGCGCAAGCTGACGGCCTTTTTCGTCAATTTCCAGTAGCTGCTGGGCGAGGCTGTGGGTTAAGTATGCCTTTTTGTCCAATTGAACTGCTTTCGCCCTGGCAGCATTTCTTTTGCGGCTCGCTGCCACCATTGCGGGGTCCTTGCTGTCCTTGGCGTTTACACTAGGTGTGTCATCTGCAAATTCCATCAATTTCTTCTGGTTGGGTGAATACACCCGAGGGGTGTATGGGATACCCTTCGACTTGCGATCCGGAAATTCTGGGGTTTTTTCCAGCGGTGGTATCTCCCGGTTCGGTGGAGTGACAATGTTGTGTGCGGCAGCTCTTTCAGCCACTTGCATCCTGTTGGTTTGGATGAATTCCCATCCACGCCACCCGTGGTGCCAGTCCGGGTCGTGTGAGCTTGCGACCTCGAAGGCATGCAGACTCAAAGCTTCCGTAAGTGCAGCGACCCGTTTGCGTTCCAGGGCACACCGCGGTATTACGGTTGTGATCTCATTGTAGGGCATTGTGGCAATGACTCGAACAGTTCCATAAATATTCAACTCCGTCTGTGTTAGACAAGTCTCCCAAAACCTTTGAACCCAACGGGCCGGAGTTAAATGGCTCCAATTTGATGGGGAAATGGGCACATTGGCTAGAACGAGTAATGTGCTGTTTTTCAATATTTTGCCCGGCTTCTGCTCTGTGGAAGGAGGAACTTGTTCGGGGAAATGGGCCTCTAGGAACTCTTGCCAATCCTGCCTTCCGTTGATGGAATCGTGGACGAGTTTATAGCCAGGCTTGCTTTCAGCAATTGGTTTGTGAACTATGTCAAAATGCTCACTCGGAGAGACAAGTACATGGCGACGAGGGTTGAAAAACGCGTTGGCTCTGGAAGATGCGACACCAGAGCCCGGCCAAAGGTCAAGGATGTCGATAGGAGAGTCCCGGGGGAAGTAGGGCGACAGACGCTGGAAAATGTTGTCTAATATACACATGAGTATTGTAAGCCGAAGAGCCACAAGATCAGGACTTACCCCATAGTTCATTGTCAAGGATATCATACTGTGAATTCAGTTTCATTTTCCCTCTGGGTATCTTGTCGAGCGTCTTGGCTATCGGGTAACGCTGCTGCAACAACGCCCGAAGCTTCAGGCGCTGCGCCCGAAGAGCAGCAGACATAGTCAATGAATGGCCTGTATTATGTACGAAGAGTGTATATACGGAAGTAAAGCATGTCGGTCTGGATGTGGAAGATAGTGTAGAAGATAGATGTGTATCTTTTTTTTCCCCTGCCAATGCGGCCTGAGGGCGGAGAGCGGAGAGAAGGAGAGCTTCCGCCATCCCACTTCTCTCCCCCTCAGCAGCTCCCCCGACGCCCTAAATGCACCAACTCTTGCAGCTGGTCTTCGTGACGAGTCTCGGAGACTTTTGTCCATTATGCTTGATGTTTGATCTACCATAAACTGCCTTGATACACCATGGCCTCCAATATGATCCCTACCGGGGGTACTGCTCCCCAGAGTGTTGAAAGTATCACACGAATCGCACAGGTCTATGAGTATAACTCTTCAGTCCCGTTGCGATATTGGCTCAGGACGGCTGCAACACTTTTACGAGAGGTTGGTTTATTTCGCTCCCTCAGAGAACGTTAGACTAACCAGGATCGAACTGCTAGGCCCACATCTACGAACGGGAAGGACACGATGAACAAGCCTACTTTATCCTCTTTCGACACGCCCAATTAGTCCTCGTCAATCTTTCCAAGCATCCTGATACTAAGAAAAATGAGGAGGATCGCAAGGCCCTGATAGCAGCCGAGAAGGAGGTTCAGAAAAACCTCGGCAAGTTGGAGGTCTTAAAACCTCGAATCAACAAGCGATATGAGCGTTACACCCAGTTGATGCGCGAGCGCGATTCTCGGAAACAACCCCTTCAGGCTGCATTTGTTCCCGAGCCACTGGGGGTCATTCCCGACCCAGCCCTCGTAGGTGTGGTCGAACCTTTGGAAGCTGGAGAGAACAGAGATCTCGCTGTGCGGCTGGCCCAATCGGAACTCAACCGCAGAGCGACTGCACGAATCTCAAAAGGCTCGTCAGGTCCCTCGGCTGAGGAATTGGAAAGCCGTCGAGGGGCTGGTGTGTGGGGTGATTGGGATACTCAGCTGAAACCTGATAATCGAACAACCGACCAAGATTTAAGCCAACGCATCCAAAACATTCGATCGAACATCGATAATCCACTTGGACAGCGTGCCAAGGCCTCTAATACTTTCTCGACTACAAGTGCCTACAAGTATCCAAGTGTGCCTCGCCAAAAGCCCCTGGAGCCCACTGTGTCTTCTGCTCAGATTGCCATCCTTGACAAGAACGTCCAACGGCATGCACCGCCCATTCTGCCACCGAAAGAGCACATGGCGCCTAGCAGAGCGATCATCGATGACATAGCACCCTCCTTACCAGCAAAGGTTTTACCAGCCCCAACACTCCCCAACAAGGTACTACCATCCGATGATGCGTCTGCCCCAGAAGCAAATCTCAATCCCTCCAGTTACACTTTCAAGCCCTCCGCGTATCTGGAAAATGGAACTCCCTTACGCTCAGTCTTTTTACCTGGGAACCTCCGGTCGCGTTTCTTGTCACTGGCCGCTGCCAATACCAACGCCAATCTCGAGACATGCGGTATCCTTTGTGGCACCCTCGTCTCCAACGCGCTTTTCATATCAAAACTAGTCATCCCCGAACAGACCGCCACGTCGGACACCTGCGAAACAGTCAACGAGTCCGCTCTGTTCGATTACTGCGACTCCGAAGACCTCATGACCCTCGGCTGGATTCACACACATCCCACGCAAACCTGTTTCATGAGCTCCCGTGACCTTCACACACACTGCGGGTACCAGGTCATGCTCCCCGAAAGCATTGCCATTGTGTGCGCGCCGAGCAAAAACCCGGACTGGGGTGTGTTCCGGCTGACAGATCCCCCTGGGCTCAAGTCGGTTTTGAACTGCACTCAAACTGGTCTCTTCCATCCACACGCCGAAGAAAACATCTACACGGGAGCTTTGCGGCCCCCAGGCCATGTTTATGAACATACTGACCTTGAGTTCGAAACGGTGGATCTACGTCCTTGATGGAATTGACTCGTATTTGGCTTGAACGTGATCATGATACCATACTTGCATATCCCTTTCTCGACTTATGCAGCGAAATAGAAATGCTACTTGATTTCAATTTTCTAATTGAGTCCAATTGAGCTCAATTGAGTCTCCTATGACCAAACAATGCAGAAACGTCCGGATCCTTGGCAGGATTATGCTTAAATTTAGAGCAGCCCTACATGTAAATTTCCGACCTACATACAGAGTGCAGGTCAGCGAAATAACATTGAGATCCGACATATGAATTCTAGTTCTAACATTAGAAACATCCCAATTATTCGAACTTGAGAAACAGCAAATCAGGCCAAAGTCTTGGGCTGCGACGGGTTGACTGATAAGCGATAGCGGACTCGACTTCACCTCCGCATTCTACTTTCTCTCTCTCTCTTCTATGTGTATCCAGGCTCAGGCCCGACATCCTTTGCTACTATTTGCTTCCAATTAATCGCATGTCGTCCGCATCAGAAAAACCCCCCTCCCCCTCATCTTCGCCTCCCCCAAACCCGCCCTACCAATCCGCCGCCTCCTACTTCTCCTACCCAGTCAGCCACGTCGTCTCAGGTCTCTACAGACGTCTCACAGAGCCAGACGTAGCAAAAGAGATGCCCTCCGTCATGCCATGGTCAAGATCCTCCTCATCAGAAGTCTTCACACCTCGCCGAACAGCATCCCCCTTCCAACCACCACCACTCACCCCGCTCACCCTCGAAATCCCCACTGGCGCAGACATCCTCCAACAACAACTCCTCACCCGCGCCCTAGCAGAGGAAATCCGCCTCCTCGTCCCGCCCCGCCTCCAACTAGCCGAAACCTGGCGCCTAGCATACAGTCTCGACCGCGACGGCGCCTCCCTCTCAACCCTCTACGAGAACTGCGCCGAGTTCTCAAACCGCAGCCCGCGGGCGGGCTACGTCCTCGTCATCCACGACGCTTCACCCTCCTCCTCCGTCTTCGGAGCATACATGACCGATGCCCCACGCCCAGCAAAACAGTTCTTCGGCACAGGCGAATGCTTCCTCTGGCGTTCTAGCGTCCTTCCGCCCGCAAACTTCCCCATATCATTCCCCAGCGACGGACCCCAGTCCGAAGAGGCCCTCGAGCGAGCTGGTCTCCCGCCTCCCCCATCTGCTGATACCACCACCGCCGGACGCTGGAGCACACTACGCAATGACCCGAAGTCGAAACCCGTCGAGTCTCCATCTCACAATCTCAACATGAGTATAAAAACTAATCTTGCGGCTGCGAGTGGGGGTGTTCTAGCGCCTCCTTCGCCTTCCTCTATCCATACGTCGCGGAGTGGTGCGAGCACACCGGAACGGATTCGCTTCAAGGCTTTCCCGTACAGTGGCGTTAATGATTATATGATGTTCTGTGAAACTGGATTTCTCAGTCTTGGAGGCGGGTGAGTAAATGTGTTCATTTTCTGATGGGTTCGGCTAATGTTGATAGTGATGGACACTTTGGGTTGTGGGTTGATGATAGCCTTGAAAAGGGTGTTAGTGCATCTTGCCAAACATTTGGCAATGAACCGCTTTCTGATGAAGGTGTCAAGTTTGATATCTTGGGAGTGGAGGTGTGGTATGTAGGCTCTTGAAATGGTTGCATGTATTTAGTTTGGCCATTGCACTGGATGTATCATGGCCTCGTGGATATACCATATGCATTGAAAGGGGTTGCAACATAAGGAGATTTTATACAGATCAATTTTTAACTTCTGAAAGGAACAGAGTGTCTCTAGGGACAATTCCCAGGGCATACTGCAGTGGAGATTAATATTCCTCGCTTTTGCACTCGCGAGTCTTGGTGAATCTTTAAACATGGAGTTCGTACAAGTGATATCTGCTTTTGAATATTCAAGGATTTCATTTCAACATTATCTGTCCGTTGTCGCCTTTTAACTTAACCCTATTTCATGAGTTGAGATATGTCGCTATCCATTGGCCATAAACATAATAAATCGCTCTTACTTCGAGACTTGAGAGGCATTTTGACAAAACCCAGAAGCTCCTGTCTATGCCAATCTGCTCAACGCCGAAGGACAAAAATAAAGCATTTTCTGCGTGGCGATTAAATTCCTCAAAGGCCTCCCTGTAGATTCCACGATGATCGTCTCGAAGATACCCACTTCCATCACCTCTTCAGTTCTTTCAATTGCCTCCATTCGAAGCCAACCCAGTGTCCTCGGTAGTCTTGTTAGCCTTGATTATCCTTGTGTCTCGAAATACTGATGGTCACGTCTTGCGGTGCGGCGAAAGGTTGTTCAGGTAGTCGGCGAATCGGAGTTCCTTTTTGTGATGAGCATGCATTCACTTGGTTTCATGGACTGTCATACCTCTTGGGAGAACTTGGTAAACTTGGGCATGTACACTAGGTTTTGGTACTGGTTGTACGAACTAGTGACACCGTCTTTTTCGCGAAAACACCAGTCACTGCCATGCCATCAGATATGTCAGCCCATCGCTCCCTAATGAGTACAATACTCATTACCATTCCCCTAAATATTACGTACCTTGGGAAGTCAAGTGTTGTTGGTGTCGTCTCGAGATGACGAGGATGGCCCGGTGACAAAGTGGACACGCCGGGGGCCGGAGACACATGCTGGGGAGCAACAGTGCCAAATGAGCTATTGACCACTGGTTCAGTAGCTTTGGGTGTCTTCGAAGCTTTGAATAGGCCCTGTGAGCTGTATGCAGAGTCACTTGCCCACGACCCTCGGAGGTTAGGCCTATTGTTTTCGTCGTGTCCAGGTAAAGCCCTGCGACTTTCCTCTTGGGTCACTAGGAAGGGTTGACCACCAGGAGACACCATAAGTGCTGCTCCTAATTCCGATGGATCGGTTCCCGGAACTGATGGTACTGGCAATGGAAGATCGGGAACGATGAATTCCTTCAATGCTTGAGAGTTTGGCTGAAGCATGTTTATCTCGGCATTCAAGCGTTCACGACTTATCACGGCTGAGCTTGGCTCCATACCTAGCTCTTGGACATAGGCGTCATCCAGGTCTCCGATTTTCTCGGCTGTTAAAAGACATGGGAGGGGACCAAGAAGACAATTCTCCACTGCGAGTATGGAAACGTTGTCGATGAATGTCGTCATGGCAGCCTATTTATCATTAGCATATTTACGGACGTATAGACTGTAGATTTGCCAATCATTCTGGATAGGCTGAGCTGGTTTAATATCACTCACATCATAATGCGCCTGCAATAGATCGACGGCCGCGGCCGTGGTGCAATCCGTGCTCGGCTTCCTCAACACACGGGTTTCTCTCCCTGATTGCGCACCAGAAATAGCTAGCTCCTGGGATACAGGGCCTCCGCTCTCATGGAGAGCCCGTAGGCGGTCGTTCTTGTATTTCTCGACATTGGCGACAACAGATGGAGTGACGGGCAGCAGTCGGCCTCGCTTGTTGTAAGCGGTCAACTCTTCGAGTTTCTCCAGCAAATTGATTTTCAGCTCTTTAAGCTCTGGGTCAATGAGCAGTTGCATGATGTGGTCTGCTGTTTGCTGGTCTGTGAGATACTGGAGCACAGAAACCACGCAGTCTCTAACAGACTTCCACGCCGTGATCAGATGCACATGGGCTATTTCTCCCCATGGCTGCGTTTGGTCTCGAAACAAAGCACCCACCAATAATTCGTCAGGATTTCCCACAACTGTAGATATTCCATCACGCTGTATTTGTTGAGAGACTTGATGTTCAAACTCTGCTCGTGTCAGACACTGTGGCCTTCTAAATCCCGGGTAGGGATTTTCGGAGATGGGAGGCCAGTCCAAAATTTTATCTGGTTCGACGATCTTACGACGACAACCGATGACATCAATCGCGTTCGCGAAGTGTTGACTCAACGCGCGAATGATGGCACGCAAGCGACGAGGATCAGCAAGATCGGCCACGACGTCATGATCTCGAGTATCGAAAAAGGGGGCACTGTATGCACCAGATATAGCCTGACGCAAGATGCACTCGAAAGTGTTACTCAAGCTGAATAAGAAGGTCCTTTGTTGTCCGAGTGTTTCCCTCGGAAGGGTCAGTTCGGGCAGCATCGATTTCTTGTTTGACACGGCAGCATCAATGGCGAGAACCAGCTCTGGCACGCCTTTCTTGATGTGTTCGGCAAATGTGTCATTCAACCAGTCTGTTAGGTTCTCGACACTGTTTGCACACTTGCCAAGTGCTTCCCAGTCTCTCTCCCAGAGTGTCACTGGGTTATTTTCCTCATTCCTGGCGGACAACGTCTTCTGCTTTCCGAGGATATGGTCTGGCAAGAGAAGCCACCCAAGGCGCAGTTTGCGCTGGGTAATTTCCGATAAAACCGAGTCCGAGACTTGCATTTTCATTGTTGCAATTGCACGAGGATGGGTGATAATGCCGAGCGTCCGCTCTTGCTTCGGGTCGATTTCCGCGGCGATATCCAGGACCTTTTGGGACTTGGTGGGTAAATCAGCCGATAGAATGGCGAGGATGATGCTTTGAGGGTTTTTCATGTATTTCCTTGCAACTTCCACAGCGCAATCTCCACCTTCCTGTGCCTTATCCCCAACGCCAGTGTGATCCAGGCCCGGCAGATCGACAAGGATCAAGTTCGGTTGATCAGGGCCGGCGATGTCGAGCTCGAGAACCTCCTCGCTGATCTCCTGGTTGCAATTTTCTCTGATCAGTTCCGAAGCCTTTTCAATCAGTGCAGGTGACTCCTCGGCGCTGGCGGTATGTGCAATCACAATCGGCTTGGTTGGTGGGTGTTCATGACTGCTGGAGGCTTTGGGCCGTATGGTGATTCGAAATAGTTGTTCAGGTTGACAGCGGAGTCTGATCTCAGTCACAAATCGAGTAGCAGAATCGTTGGCTGGAAGTGATACGCGGGTAATCGCCTCGACGGTAGCGTGCTTATCGCTGGCTTCGTTGCCGCAGGTGAGAAGTTGCGGCAGGTCCACCAAGGCACCTAGACCTGTACAGTGCATCTCATTGATTTTGTTGAAAAGTGAAGCTTGATCATCCATCGGATGAGGCTTGGCTTGCGCGTCCTGGGTTGATCTAGACATGATGAAAGATGTCCACAAATCACAGACTTGCTAGAAGATGAACAGATGGAAGAGAGATATGAAGAGATGAAGAAAGAAAGAGGAAGGGAGTAATAGTAATAGTAAGAGTAAGAGAGAAGAGAGAAGAGAAGAAGTTTAGGCGAGTAGATCAAAAGAAGAAGTTGCACTTCGGAGATGGACTAATGTTTGTCTTGTATACACAGTACGCAGGTCTGCAAATCTCGCATTTCTCACATTAAATTCAAAACTATTCTCTTAATAGAGCCCTATTTACTTTCAAACAAATCACCCAAGCATCCTAAAAAGTCCTCGACATCCTCCAAAAACTCCCTTGGTCGCTCTAGACTGGCGAAATGTCCACCCTAGATTCATCAGCAAATTAGTCTCAAGGAAGCCTTGAAGAAATCACGTACAGCTGAATGGGCGTTGAAAAATACGAGATTTGGGTATAGCTCTTCAGCCCAGGCCTTCGGAAGCACAGCAAGATCATGCGGGAACAAGGAATACCCAAGCGGCTTCTGCTTCGAGATCGGATGTGCATTTCCTTTGAAACGGTTCCTGACAAGCTCTGCGTGGTATAGACTGCGAGGAAATGTACGTGTAAACCAATAGAAGCTGACCATGGCTAGTATAGTATCAAGTGGTAACGGCTCTCGTTGATCAACCCATTCAAGGAGCTTCTCACCGATCCTGGGTAACTGTTAGAGTAGATCCCCAGAGGTATTCGTTGGAATATCTTACCATGCCAGCAGTGCAAGAGGACTTGAAGATATTGCCAGTCCAACTGTAGATGGACGGGTTCCATGAACAAGGGCATAAGCCAGGCCTGTCTGTTGCCAGGCTTCAGACCTTTGCAGTATCTTCGATTCTTCGGGGCTAAGATCAGAGGAAGTGGGGTTCTCGCCTGGATTTAGCACAAGGAGATTGACTGCTCAGTTAGCATCGCTGCGGATTATGGAAGGGGTTGTCATACCATGAAAAGCCTTGCATTCGGAGTGATTGACTGACATGACACGAACAATCATGCTGCCCAGATCACCTCCCTGAGCCACATATCCGCTGCCAAAACCAAGATCAACCATCAATTGGTTCATGATTCGTGCTGACGTTGCTACCGTCATTTCCGTGTTCTGTGTACGTTTACCAGACAGTCCATAATCTGGCAGACTGGGCACGATGATGTGATATGGTAGGGTCTCTCGGGTGTGTTTTTCTGCCAGTAATTTCATCATCGGTAGAAACTCCATGAACGATGATGGGAACCCGTGTAGAAAGATCACTGGAATGGCATCCTCTCTCGCTGAAAACAACGCAGTGAAGTGGATATCAACCAACCCAGCTTCAGAGTCCTCAAACACAGTCTTGAAATTTGGAAATATGTTGATTTGGTCTTCGTGTTTCCGCCAGTCAAACCGTTGCAACCAGGTTTCTTTTGCATCAATCAGCCAGTCGCGGGAAATCCCAAGTTGGGGATCTTGCTGGGTGTTCCACCATGTTTCCGGTCCAATCTCAGAAAGCTTCAAGAGCTCTTTGAACTTGATCAGCTCGTCTTCTGACACGCATAGCTGGAAGGGCTCAAGATTGGCCGAGATATTCTTTGGGGGGATGCCAAACGGACTAGACATGACTGGGTAGGGGGCAGAAACTCGTAACATAGGAAGTCTGTTAAAGATTGAATCGAAACAGCAAAGAAGCCATCTTCTTTATAGATAATTCACAGGGAGAACGACCCAGCCGGCATATAGTCGACAATTAACGTTCGTCCGATGCTGGTTGCATTGTATAGATCAAAGATTGATGTGATTGGTCACCAGTTCGTCCGGCCCCATATTTTGGTCCGGACTCCCGGTCGAAACGATGCTCGTTTGCTCATTCTCCTTGAAACTTATCAGCAAGATGGCTGACACTTTCGATATGTCTAGCGAGCCCTCTCCGAAGCGCAGAAAAGTTCGAAAAGGCACGCGCAGCTGCTGGGAGTGCAGACGACGGAAGGAAAAATGCACATTTGGCTCATCCGCTGACGTCTGCATCAAATGCCATCGACGGGGTACGAAATGTGTCGCCCAAGAACTCCCAGATGAGGCATCCACCTCTTTGCGCCAAGGGGTAAAGACGGGCGATCGTGTTGCGAGGGTTGAAGCTCTAGTCGACCAGCTTTGCAAGCAGCGTATCGATAATGCGAGGTTGCCTGTCCATGCTATGTCCGGAGAGGAGAATGAGGCGTTGGCGCATAATATTCCAACACCTCATTCAAGCAATTTCCTATCTCCCGGCGTTCATAATTCATCGGGGCCATCGGAGGTAGGTACTCGTTGAATGGCAAGAGAATGGACATCAGAACTTATTGCTAACTACTTCCACTTAGGAAGAGCCGGCTGGATTCGGAATTCTGCAAAACAACTCCAGAGTTCCAAAAACTCATCAATCTTGGGTTTCGTCTTGCAGATTCAACGAATTATCTCAACCCCTTCACAAACTCCTGCCCTCCCCCGAGGATACGGACCGAATAATTGAATATTGTGGCGGCATTTCCACCCTCTTCTTTCAGATGAGCGCTACTCCATATGACGAACTCGAGCGCGATGGATCTATCAGCCCAGAGTCACTATTCAATAGGCCTAGCCCAACGGCGCATCCTGTGTTTATAGCGAGATACATGCTTTATATCGCAAACCTCCTGCAACATAATCATTCAACCTTGCATCCAATATCAAACGAGCTGTCTGAATCTCCTCGGAAGATAATGGATCGACTAATCCACAGTGTCAGCAGCCTGGTCATCTCAAACGATGATATCATCGCTTGCGTCGAAGGACTGGAATGCATGCTGATAGAGAGCTGGTTCCAAGTCAACGGTGGCAATCTGAGAAAAGCCCTAATAACAATACGCAGAGCTCTGACCATTGCACAATTAATGGGCTATCACCGTCCCACGGGCCATATTAAGTGCAGAGTCGTGGATCCGCAGACGAAAGCCCATCCACGATTCCTATGGTTCCGATGTGTCTTTCTCGAACGCCATATCTGCAACATGTTAGGGCTCCCTCAAACAACTCCCGACCATAGCATGGCCTCACGCGAAAACTTGGAAAATGATATCCCCATGGGATGTCTTGAACGTATACACTGTGTCGTTGCCTCACGCATTCTCGAACGCCACCATTCCAGTCAACCCTTCAACGACTATTCCACGACCAAAAAAATAGACGAAGACTTGAAAAACGCAGCTGCAAAACTACCATGCAAATGGTGGCTCACTCCCAATCTGGCTATGGTGAAAGACCAGCCTGATGCGCTGTTCTGGGAAATGAGAAAGCTGTTTCACCAACTTTTTCATTTTAACTTGCTGATACAGCTTCACCTGCCATATATGATCAGTTCGTCAGTAGATCAAAACTCCAACTACTCGCGCGTTGCATGTGCGAATGCAGCGCGTGAAGTTCTCTCGCGATTCCTTGCGTTCCGCAATTTCAACAAATTCGCCTCTTCCTGTCGGACATACGACCTCTTTGGTCTAATGGCTGGGCTGACTCTATTGATTGCGCATCTTGATTCATATCGTCGCGCTGCAGCCATCGCTGCCTCCCCGCCGAGTCAACAGGTCATGACACCTGAAGATCTACTGGCTCATCAACGGCCAAATGACCGTGCATTGATAGAGCAAATTCAAGAGAACATAGAGCAAGCCAGCAAACTGGATGGCGATGCATTGAGCACGGAAAGCTCACACTTACTACAGCGCTTGCTGAAGATTGAGGCCGAGGCAGCTGACAACAATGTTTCTTTTACGAGAGATCTGCCTTCTGGAACACTACATGAGCTCTACGGCAGTGATGAGCACCATGTTCATCTTCATGTTCCGTATCTGGGCACAGTGCAGGTCACACACAGTGGCGTGATCTCCAAGCTGCCCACGCACAGTACCAATGCAAGAGGCACCGAAAACGACGCAGAGTCGGCCTTTGAATCTACTGTGAATGCATCGGGTAAGCAGGCTCACGGCTCTGGTTCTCTCAGTGGAGTTTCGCGTGCTGAAATAGCTACGTCAGACAACTTAGGTGGGAGCTCGCATGTGGGCTCGATCGAGTCTGCTACTAATCCGTATCCTTATGTTGAAAATCCCACGTTGCCGCAATTCAATTCGATGAATAACTATGTCGCCCAGGGATTTCAAGATCCTCTTTTTACGGCTGGCGCTGATGACTGGGCATTTCAGGGTGTTGATATGGCTTTCTTCGACAATTTGATGAGATGGAGCGATGATGGTGGTATGGCCTGACATACTAGTAATCATGCGGACTAGTCACTGACTCACTGTGCCGACGATAGGGCATCGAGACGGTGCAGAATCGGCACCTACTCCGTCTCTATCGTCATTTCTTGAACTTTGGCGGGTTTCCCATGTTTGAACCAGCAATCCCTCTTCCAGTGGCCTGGTTTACCACAATAGTGGCAAGTGTCTCTCGCTGTTGATTCTCCAGCGAGCCTGGGCCTTTTGTTTTTGCCTCTGGGAAAGGTTCTATTGAGTAGACTTGTTCTGTCGTCCTCCTTGCCCTTCGACGAAGGCTTCTTGCCGTATCGTCGGCCAAACTGTTTCCTTGCAGGAACGCGTTTGGACTTCGGAGAGTGCTCCTCTTCTGTGGACTCTTCGTCGCTACTATCGGTAAATAGCCGCTTCCTGGACAATTCCTCTCGTTCCTCCCGAGCTTCGAACTGTGCTTTCACCTTCTTCGCCTCTTTGGTTTCGGCGTACCTCACCCACCAGATTGCCGAGGCAGCTTTAATCACAGCGCGCCGGCCTTGTGGGACCTTGCAGTGCAGCTCGATGATTCTGTTTTTAATGGGTTTCCATAACCGGTCAAAGAGATCATCACCCCTTTGTAAATCGGTTTTAGCATTTAAATGCTTCTCAATCGAGCATAGCCGAGCAGCGAAATGAAATGAAATGGGTTTTCAAAAGGTCTCTGCCTTGCGACGAGGAACTTCCGCCTCCATTCAGATTTGATGTAGTAGGCATCTTTCAGAAGCGTTTCGGTCCATTTTTCAAAATAGTACCAGTCTCCCGATATAGACGGGTCATTTTTGATAGCTTCTTCTTCAAGTTGCCATTTGTCCTGGAAATCTTCGCATAAGAATCCGGTGGCAACAAGAATCATGTTCTCGCTGTTGTAATATGTCTCGGGATCTTCGACAAATAAAAGACTTAAAATGTACAGCCAATGCTCTCGCTTCTGACTTGTATAATCCTGATTGAAGATGGCGCGCTTCCGCTTGATCTTGCCCGGAAACCGGTCATCGTCTGAATCCCAATTTTCAAACGTGTCCCAGGCTTTTTCCACCAGATTGGATCTCATTTTCCGCTTCAGGGCTTCAATCTCCTTCCAGAGAGCGGCAATAGCAGCTGTCTCCGATCCTCCCGGCGAGCCGCCTTCGTTTGCATTGTATTGTTCCGACGGGAGAGGGTTTGGCGATACATCCCCAGGGTTGTTGATTTGCTCGCCAGAGGGTCGTTCGAATTCGCTTTCAACTAGGGATTCCGGGTTGAAACTGGATCCTTCTCCATGCTCCGGTTGCTTCCCTTTGTTGCCAGTGGAAACACCGCTCATTGTGAAGAGATCGTTCCTTTCTTGATCTTTCAAGGGGTTAAAAAAGAAGAGTCAGAAATTGTAAAGAATATATAGGTTCAGGCGTACGGTCCGTCAGTCGAAGAGATGAGGGGTATTCTCTACTTAAGTAATAATGCGTTTGCGGTTTGTTACGAATCAGCTGCAGATTCGTAGTAGATTTGGGTAAAGATCTGCGAATGGATTTTGCAGATTTATCGCAAGGCTGGCACAAGATTGATTGAAGAACTATTGTAGAAGAAGGGTTTGGGAAGATCCCTTTTCTTCTGCAAGAATACTCCAGATCATGGTGTAGCAGCGACCAGTATTGACGAGGTTCCTCTTAGCTCTATACTCCATCCTAGCTTCTTCGAATACTACTGTGACATGCACTGGTTACTTGAACCTTGGAATTTTTGCTTAAACACAAAGGCTACCATTTGTGTGATTTAAGTATTCGTTCATGATTAATTGAAACTATCTAGCTTACTACCTAAGTCCAATCTCAACCTTAATGCCATTCCCTTGCGAGAATGACATAACCGCAGAATGGCAGACCATAGTTGACCGTAGAGCGCATCGATGTGCTGACGGAGCAATGCACAAGGCTTGATAGTTCTACCTCGCCGATCTAAAGCAGCAAGGCCGAGGGAAAGATACCAAGAAATCACAATGAAATAGTATTGAAAAGCACAGAACATCAGGGGGTATGGGTAATGGTACACAATATCAAAGGGAAAAGGGGTCGGTGAAGTACGTGAAGGTAAAGAGAACGAGGGCCATCTAGTAAGGCGAGTTGACAACATCATCTCGGCCAAGACGGTTGCTCCATCCGCTCCGTGCACGCTGGGGTGTAGCGGGACCAGCAATGCTTTCGCGCGTAGGCTTCTGGAAAGTACGCTTGGCGACCATGTTGACCTCGTTGGGCAGGGCAACAATGACATTCTTGTCAGATCCGAAGCGGAAGTTGTCAGCCATGACGTTTTGTTCGTAACGCTTGATGGTGTACGGGTCCTTGCGGTTCGCCACAACCTTCTTCATGCTCCAGGTGATGATGAAAGGACCGGTGGCAGTGACAATACTGGTCTCGGTCGAGTCAACACCGGTGTTGAAGCGAGCGGGTGTGAACGAGAGAGGCTGCTTGGTCTCGTGTTGGAACTGGGCAACGTGGGCAGGCTGCAGGCCAAGGCGACGAGGCTGGGGCTTGGAGTCCTTTGCGAACGCACGCTCAAATCCGAGCTTGCCTTCATTCTTGCCTTCCTTCTGCAAAGAGTCAATGAGCAGCAAGTAGGTGCGGCATGTTGCCAGCACCCAGCGTCCATCAGCAGACACATCAAGACCGATGATGGGTTCACCGAGAGCAGGGATGTGAGTCTTGGCGTTGATACCCAGGCGATCGAACATGCGAATATCACCCTTGTTGGAGGCGACGGCAAGGTATCCCTTCTCGGTGGTAGCCATAGCCGAGAAGTCATTCTTGCTAGCATATTGCTTCAACTCGGAGTCGACAAGCTTGTTGCCTGCAAGACGAGGATCGATGCGGAAAAGAGCGTTCTTGGACACACCAACAAATGGCTGCGCGGATGTCATTTGCGCAAATTTCTGGAACTTTAGTTAGCATGTTTTGAAAGATAACAAGGACTGTATGCAGACTCACGTTTTCGGGTGCGAATGTCTCCACGCCAATATCATCATGAACCTTCCACTCGTCCACGATCTTGCCGTACTCCAGATCCATTTTGAACAGCGAGTTGGGATCATCGCCATTCTGAAGAATCATGTTCTGGTCCTCGGCGTGAAGCATAACCTTCTTGGGGCTGAAGAGGCTGCCCTTGGGAGTCTGGACCTTGGAAATAGTTGTAGAGAATTCAAGGTTGTTGTGGGGGGTATGCTTGAAGACACCAATCTTAGAACCGCGAACCACGAAGGAACGATCGTGCTTGTAGCCAACCGCCAATTGGGAGTTGACGTTTCCGTCAGCGTCATGGGTGACAACGTCTTCCTCCTCCTCATCGCTATCGTAGTGTTCACTACGTTGTGCGTCATCCTGATCACCGTCATACTCCTCTTCAACTTCTTCCTCTTCTTCTTCAGGCTCCTCGGGCTGATCTTCAGCGTCTTCCATGGTGAGATCCTGGAAAGCATCAAGGACGTAGTCTCGGTCATTCTCCTTAACCTTAGTCCACTTCATTTCATTCAGCTGTTCCCAAAGAGCCTGCATCAATCCTTCCTGGAATCGTTCCTCTGAGGGTTGGTCTCGGAAGCGCAGAAGCCATGAGAAGGCCGAGCCATCTTCACTAAAGGCGTTGAAGATGAAAGAAAGATATTCGAAGTTGAAGACTGGGTTGATATCGGCAACAACAGCCTGGCCTAACCATTCTTTCTCCGCACCGGAGATCTGGAGCCAGTACTGCCAGTTTCCAACCTCTGAGACAGTGGCAATGATATCCGACTCCTGCTGCACGAACGTTCCAGTAGAGAAATCAAAGAGGTGCAGCTCTGCACGTTCCTTGGTGAGGATTTCCTTGGCCTCGGGCTGAGCGGCAGAGGGCGGGGCAGCTGTGGGTTCCTCCTCGGCGCTGCCAGTCTTAATCTGCCCTTTAGATTGGGCATATTCCACGTCTCGTGCCATAGCAGCGGCTGATTCTTCAGCCGACACGGAATTTCCACGTGATTTGGTGGTAGGGGAGGAGATTGGGCTGGCAGAAGGGATAGGCTTTTCCTCGTATGAGAATTCCTCCAATTCGGCTTCTGTGGCTTTCTGGGCACTGCGACGGTGCTTGCGCTCGTACTGGCACTGGAGGGCGGCCAGTTCGAAAGTAGCTACTTTGTCGGATGGGACTGAGGGGTCGCAAATGAACTCGAATAGATCACCGGGGTCACCACTCAGATCATCCCAGGCCAGGATCTTGGATCCTCCTTCACGAAGCTCGGAGCGGAAATGGATAGTCTGGTCCAGCAGGAAGACCTTCTCGTCCTTGTCGATGCTGTCACCGGAGCCTTGCTCACCGTCGTCGTCTGCAAGTTCTTCCTCGCCTTCTTCGTAGGCTCTCTGGATCACGAGCTGGTACTGGAAATCCTGGCCCGTGCGTCGGATGGTGGCCGCGGCGTCCTTGAAGATCAGCTCGGAGTAGCCCTTGGGTGACTGCGGCCTGACTAGGTACAGCTCTCCCTGAGGGATCTCGATGATGGCTTCTTTTGAGGCGTCACCAAATATGAATTTGCTCACTTTGGACAGAATATAATGTCAGTTACACCTGAAAACACCACAAAAGCCTGGATGGAGGGGTGGCGGGGCATCCAAGTGCGTTGCTTACCGTTGCGGAGCATAAACATGGTTGCGAGGGGCAGCTGCCAAAACAAAAAGAAAAAAAGGAAAGGGTTCGAAAGGAAAGGGGTGGCCGGCGGGCGGAGAGCGGAATGTGACTTTTGTCAGAAGCAGCTCTAGCGATAGGAAGAACTTCTGCAAAGTCCAGAGAGATGAAGAGCAAAAAAAACACGAGTTGCAATCACAATGAAAAATCGCCTCCGTCATAGATGTTGTGGCTAATGGATTATGTCATCCGGCTGATTCTAGCGCCTTGCCTAAATAGGTTATATGGCTCAAAAGAAAATAGCTGAAAGTACAAAAAGATAGTTTCGCTGGGAATCGAACCCAGAACCTTTCCGGAACACTCGCCTGTAAGGCAATTGTTAACGGAAAATCATAACCGCTAGACCACGAAACTGTTCGATGGAAAATTCTGCGATCTTTGACATTATGAGGCAGAACAATTATCCAGGTAGTAAGTTTCTTCCACTCGTACTTGTGTTTGCATCTATGGATGAACTTTTAACAATCTTCAACGAAAATCCAGGTGACGTTTTTTCACTGATCAGTTTTGCACCAGGCTCAAATGTAAGTTCTCTGTACTTTGCGAGTAAGTACGGATAATGAACTGTTGCCCGTACGTGACGGTACTATATATATCCCAAGGCTCACACTCAATCCTGGCCCGCCGAATCTGTGTGCTCGAGTGTCCAGGTGATTACGCCCCAGGTAGGTACTAAGATCTGGTATAACCGCCGCTTCAGCAAGTGACTGAAGGTCGATGGCGATATCGAAACTGGCAACGCGCTCAATTGGCCGACTCAATGCCATGATCGAGAATCATCAAGCCCCGGAGGATATTTATAGATAGAGTCATCCAGTGTGGGTGAAATTTAATACAGAGGCCTCAGGGTAGAGTTCTCAAGTCAAACAGAAAGTTGTCTGGTAGAATAACGTCGCTCATACCAGGTAGGAGTGAGGATGATGCATGGCCTGGGTAATTTTAAAGTTGGACGTAGAATCTGGAGTGCGCAGATGTTCGAAATCATGAATGACCCCCAAGACTGGGTCTGTTTGGCATTGAAGGTAGTATGTACAAGCTCCTGGGTTCGGTACTAGTTTTGAGTGTGAAGCCTACTCCTTGCCATCTTCCACCCCCTCCGCGGCGTTGATCTCCTCAAGCTGTTTCACTTGCTCTGCTTGGATTTGCTCCTCGCTGAGATCCTCCTCCGCATCCTCTCCATCATCTGCGTCTTCTGCGGCCTCTCCGACAGCCTCTCCATCCCCCGGCTTCTGCTCGATCAGAGCACCACCCTTGCGTGTCGGGATGACCTGCATGAAAGCCTCTCCCCAGTCACGAACTTCCAACCACTTCAGCATAATCTCAACAACATGATTGGTGGCTAGCACCTTGCGGTGCGCAAGTGAAATGTACTGCCCGATAGGCAATTTTGCAGTCTTGATGCCCTTGGCAACTGCGTTCTTGTAACAGACAGCCTTGTGTCGGTTCTTGTCAACCAGAGCCCCAACAATATATGTGCTGTAAGGCTTCAATTCGGTCAGAGTGTTCTCACTATCACTGCTGAGATAGATGATCTCGCCATCCTCGGGTTTCGCATCGGGTTGCTCCGCAAAAGGCCCGGCGAGCCTGCCGCCCTTCGGACCTGTCATGATTTCCTTGGCCAGCCCAGCTGCATGGACAAAGTCTTCCTGTAAAAAGCGAATATGCTTCCAGTTCTTGTGGGCCCATAATACGGTGTCAAACCGCTCTTTTAGCAACTTGTCAAAGGACGAGAACATGATTTGTCCGTGATAGGGAGCGCGATTGTTGTCCGAGTATGTTCGTGTGAGTTGCCCGGCCAAGGAGACTCGCTCTCTGGGTTCCATCAACTCATCGTAACTGCAGTCCATCACCAACGAGATGGGTATGAGCGTAGTTCGGCCGGGCTTGGCCTTTGCCCTTTTATCTCGTATTTCCTGCCGAAGCTTTTCAACGGCTTCTTCGCCTCCAGTTTCTCGTGCCTCGTCAAACTGTGCCTGGAGACGCTCTTTCTTCTCAATGAGCTTATCCTTTTTCTGGGCTTTCATGAACGCGCGCTTCTCCTCGAACCGTTGTGACTTGCGAAGCTTCTTTAATTGGTTCTTGGACATGGTCGGCGCAGCACCTTCTGTTTCATCTGGAGGATTGGGTTGGTCGGGAGTCGTGGTAGCCTTTTGGACCGTAAATTCAGAGAGATCTTGGGGCTCGTTTGCGACAGCAGACTCCGAATCTTTGCCGGCCACGTCGCCAGCGCCTGTCATGGCGGGATCCAGGGTTTCAGTATTATCCTGGTTCTCGTGATCCAGCTTGGGGAGCTTGCGGGGCCTCTCGTCTTCGTCCATGGCGTTGTGTTGGAATTGGCAAAAAATGAAGGTGGGCTGTCAACTGCTCGTAGATCGGGGCGGAAGCCGCAAAAGCCACCGACCAATCAGATGCCCCGCAGCCCTCATTACTGTGCAAGCCTCGTTTCACGTGACCGTCCAGATCCAACTTCTCCAATCGTCACAGCGACTCCTCGCTATCCCTCCAAGCCCTCACCAGCTCCATCCGCCACAATGCCTCAGGATATGCCCCCAGTGGGGGGCTACGCTCAAGTCCAGTACAAGGTGCGCACTTAAATTTTGATCCAGGGGCCTCAATGGCCTCGCGCGCCCAGCACACAAGTCAAGACTAACCACTAGTTATAGCGCAACATCCCTGCCCGCGGATTCAAGCCTGCCTACTACATGATCGGCATGCACGTTATCATGGCCTACGGTTTCTACAAGTACTTCTACGGTGCCCGTGAGCAGCGGTACGTGTCGCCTATCCCGATTCATTCTTCACTCCGATCGTCCCGAAACAACCGCAATTGGAAATAGGATCGATATGGAGTTCAAATCGATATAACAAATACAATGAGAATGCCGCCGCTGACAGATCTCTATAGCGAGCTCGCCCGTGAGAAGATGTGGTCCCGTCACCACCTTACTCCTCTCCTTCAAGCCGAGGAGGACCGTGACCAGGTCCGTCGACACTACGCCGACAAGGCTCGCGAGAAGGAGCTCCTTGGTACCGATATCAAGGTCTACAACTCTGACCGGTATGTGTTCTCCACTCCTGTACTGGTGACTCGGTCACATCTCGGGATTGATACTTACTGTTCTTGTCCATCACAGCTTTGTCCGCCCTACTTTCGCCTATACCCCCTCCAACCTCACTCAATAAACACCTTGACCATGTCTCTGTGGTTTTGAGCGATCTTGTCCCTCCATTTCCGCTTTCTCTTTCGACTGTATGATGCCGGTGTTTTTTAGGATGCTTGTTTATGTGGCCCCTTGCTTCAATGGTAGATGGACTGAACTAGACCTTTCTGATCATGACAGGGAGAGCTGGAAGCATCGTGGTGGCTATTGAGGGTGAACTGTCTCGGACAGTTTTGAGGAAAACTGTAGATATTACTCCGTTGAAAGGATCTTAGTTCAGTTGCAATGTCATTTCTTTGTTCAAACCTTCAAACCCAAGTCAATTTCTTTATGATCAGATCATAGATTATCTCATAGAGACATGCCAAAGAGAATGTAAGTATTTGTTGTGACGGGTCAATGCCGGCTATACAGATAAGATAAACAGTGAGGGGCATATAGGCAGCTACCTAGGTACTTATACTTAGACTTAGACACCGGAGTACCTGTAAGTAATACAGAGTAGGTATCTAATAGAGTAAAGTAGAAGAGAACAAAACAATTTACATTGTGCAGTTGGCTTCAGTGGACATCGCGTGGAGCATCAAGTGAAGCGGTGTGCCCTGGTCTTGGGGGGAAATTCTTAGCCCGGCACATCTCCAATTCCGCAAGTCTTCCCTTCGCCCCCGACTCTTCAACACCCCCTCCTCCAACGTCGCTTCCGAAACCCTCGTCCCTTCCCCGAAAGAGCGGCGCGTGCCGCAGTTCACCGGGTGTCCGCTCAAGCACACGAGCTTCCACCGGTCCATTGTTTCCTCTTATGAGACACGGTCTTGTACTGTGACAAAAGCTGGGATATAACCCTCTTCCTTTTCTACAACTCCGAATCACCTAAAATGGCCGCAGAGGACTTGTCGGAGGGCGGCATGGCCGAAATCATCCAGGCCCTGCAAGTCATCCACAATCCTGCATCATCAAACGACATTCGACAGAACGCCTCGCGGTTTGTGGAAGATTTGAAGGAGACTGAAGGCGCTGCGCGCAATGGCTTCCTTCTTGCTTCGCGACTGGAGCATGAGCCCGTGGTTCGTTACTTTGGCCTCACTCTGCTAGACCATGTGCTGCGCAAGCTTTCATTTTCTTCCCCCGAAGAGGCTGCCAGTATTCGATCTATGGTCCTACAGCTCGCCGAGAATGTTCGACACGAAGACCCGTCCTACTACCGCAACAAGATCCCTCAGTTATGGTCCGAAGCCGCGAAAAAGAGCTGGGGGCTGGATTGGAACGACATGGACGCCACACTGGTTCAATTCTGGGGGGCATCTCTTGTACACAAGGAGCTGGTGCTGGCCGTGCTTGAGACTCTCTCCGAGGACATTTTCTTCCGCGAAGATGTCGTCTCGGCTATCCGAGGCAGCGAGCTTAACCGTGCGCTTATTGAGATCTTTACACCCGGCAGCATTCTCGAAGCAATCACATCCACAGAAAAAAACAACACCGCTGTTCAGCGCTGCGGCCGAGAAGGTTGGTTGGTCCGTGTGAGCATGTTCCTCAACGAATGTATTGAAAGCGTCTCCGGCTCCGAGCAAGCCCGAGACGCAGCTTTGAAAGCCCTGGCAACACTGAAGTCAGCCCTCTCATGGTCTGTGTACCCTGCTGTCATTGCTTCTTCGGCTATTTTCAGCATTTTCAGAGCGTTGTCTTGTCAAGATGAGCAAGTGCTTCTTGCTGCAATCGAGGCCCTTCACGCCTTTTACGGCAGGAATACCATTGGCTGCGAGGAATCCCATGACCTTGTCTGCCTGATCTTTGAACAAGACTACCTTGTCGCTTTACAGAGGCTCTACGAGTGGTCAATTGTGGGCCCAGATGATGTTGATGACCCCAGATACCTGGTCTCTAAAAAGGTCTCCGAGATGGTTTCCTACATCGCTGGGTGTTTGGACGATGACCGGTTCCTGCGTGATACGATGAACCGCTTGGACCTTCCGCCTTTCTTCAACTTTATGGTCAATATCATGCAACACCAGAGCTTGACTGTTTCTATCCCCTGTTTACATCTTTGGTCCAAATTATTACAGATCTCGAAGATTCACAGGATGGATTTCGTTGCACAACAAACACCCCAATTCCTCAACATCTGCACAGAGCGGCTTCTCCGCTGGGAATCCCTCTCGACCGATTCCGATAATCCAACAGTGCAGTTCCTATTCGAGGATATTGACACAGCCCCCGAACGACACGCTTTTGTCGGCAACTACCGTCGATACTGCTCCTCAATCATAGAAACCATTACTTTGAAGAGACCCCAGGAAGCAATTCGCGAAATTCTTGCCCGGGTGGACAACAACCTGGACAACCTGTACAACGGAGTCCAACCTTTTAGCAGTGAGTAACTGACTGTTGTCATTATATTGCGCGCGTACTTGGACTAACAAGTCCTAAGTGGGAACATTCAGCAAATCATCAATCCCCCTGATGAGAGCGGATTCTCAATTTGCAGTGGTTGAGGCCGTTATCAAGGGTTACAACAAATGGATTTCGGCACATGGAAAAGCACCACAAAACGATGTAAGAGTTTGGAAATGTGCACCATTCAGTGTAAAGAGTCACTAATGGGCGTCTAGGAAACGAAGCGTATCGAATTAGAACAAGCTGTTGAAAGCTGGGGCTCAACTTTGATGACAAGGACCTACGAGGTATGTCTTCTGTTCGATGAAGCTCAATTTCCTAAACAGCCGTCACTCATGTTCCAATGCTAGGACCCGATCATCAAGCAAAGAGTCATCAAACTGATTGTCGATATTTCCTCGAAAGCCTTGGACAAAAACCCAGGATTCGCACTCAAAGTTCTGGAGCACATTCTCATGACACGTCTACCTGACCACCCTGAATACCCAATGTATTCTGAGGCAGTCAAAGAGCTCCATGGGCTTGCGAGTCATGAGCTTCGTCGTTTGGCCATGCGCTATGCCGATAACTTCTCTGTATGCATTCATTCACCTTGATGCTTGCTTTTGGCGGACAATGTTCTAATGTTGGCTTTACAGGGTTTCTACCACGTCATTGAACCGAAGATCAAGGAAATTACAATGACCAACAGTGTGGACGACAAGTTGCAGATGGAACTCACTTCGGTCCTATTAATCATCACGTAAACCTCCTGGTGCTTGCCCATACATCAACTCACTATGCTAACCCGATATAGGCAACGTGCGATCAAGATTGACCCTGCTCTGCAAAAGAGCCGTTTGGAATTTTTCCTCGAACCAGTCAAGATTGCCTGGCAAGATGAACAATTCCGCCAAGGGAGCTCTTCTTTCCAAGGGTTCTGCGAGATGCTTGGATTGGAAACTGTTGGCCAATACATGCAAACCAAACAAGCGCAGAAAATGCCTGACTGGACAGAGATCGAGTTAGATCATCAAGGGAAGCTTGTCCAAGAAGAAATGACCCGAAAGTTTCAGGTAAGGATCTCTCACATGCGTCTGTCTGAAACAATCTGACTGGTAAAAAGCTCCTGCCGCTGCGTGGTACAAAAACCATGTTGGCTGTTTCCACAGATCGACTGAGCAAGGACACACAAGCGTATGGAATCGCCCAGGAGATTTGGTGCGACACCGTCAGAATGATTCTTCCGACTTTGTTGCAGCTCGTCCGGTAAATAAGATTTCATTTTGATGCGGAGTCACCCAGACTAATGAGACCCTTTAGCAACGCCCATGCCTTCCACAATCCCGCTAACTGGAATATGATGGATGGCATGCAACCCGTCGTTGAACGGATCTTGACAGATCGGTTCTGGCAGGCCGGTATTTCAACCGGTAGTCGTGACGACTTCTATGCTAGAATCACTTCGTCAAAGTCCACCCTTGAAGGGTTTTCGTCGTCGGTTCGAGGGAAAGTTAGAGCTGTCCGCGAGGCATGCTATTCCATGTTGTTCAGCATGAGCCGATTAGGCGTCATTTTCTATGGATTTGAAGAGCTTCCTGGTCCCCTCGCCGAAGCATTGTTCGTTGACTCGCCTCACCTCTCCTCTCACCAGTTCTCTGTTCTTCTCAATATCTCGCGCTGTTTGATTGATGACTGCCCTGTGGTTTTCCGTGCCAATTTCTTGCCGCCCATGCTGTCGACTCTGTTCACCAACATTGACCGCAAGATCACCACGGAATGGGAATTCATTGAGCAACGCCGAGATGGCGGACCAGATGGAGATCTCACTACTGAGATGAAGTCTGAAAGTGTTCTTCGACAATTGACTTATTCTGCAGTGATCATGGTTGCCAGCCTGTTTGATCCACAGAGAGGTGGTAAGTGTTTCCCGCATCCATAACCCAAAAAAAGCAACAGAAAAAGAAAAAGAAAAGAAACCTGAGAATTGCGAGCACTAGAAGCTAACAAACCTCGCATGCAAAAAAGATCCAGATAGAATCGAATCAGACCCTAGTGCAGCTCAACCAACGCCAGCACTCTCTGATTCAATCCGCCACTTTGTTTTATCCTCCCCCCAGATTTTCGAGCCAGTGATGCTCTTCTGCACCCATGCTCTTCGAATGCGTGATACCCGCTGTTGCAGTATTATCACACGCGTTATCCGTTCAATTTTGCAGGATTTCGCCCCTAATCCTGCAACTGAAGACACTCAAACCACTCGTACCATCCGCGAGTTCATCTGCTCTGATGTTCTGAAAGCCTGCATCACATCCGTACATGAATCCTATTTTGTCGATATGCAAAAGGACTTTGCTCAATTGATTGCATCTATCTGGATTCTCTACGGTAACTGCAGCCCAACGCCCAATGCTATTTTCCTGAGTTTGCCCGGAATCACTCCGGAAAAGATCGCCCGAACCGAAGGCCATCTCCGCCGCTGCACTTCCCCACGCCAGCAAAGGGCGTGGGTTCTCGATTTCCTGGAATCCGTCCGAGGTGTCAGTGTCTCTGCGCAAGGCATGTTCCTCGGTTCTCGCGAGGATCGCCGAAAAGCGCGCTCTGCGCTGCAAGAGAGATACATGACCACTGAGATGGATGCCCAGGATCAAAGTCATCGCGTCGATATTAACGACGGTCCCGATCTGGGTGGTGTGGCTGATCTTTTTGGTTAAGTGGATATCGGATATCTGCCATTGCTACTGGCATCATTAGATCTTCTTTCAGTTTCCTTATGCCTTGCTCTTGCGGCTTATCGACTACCCCATCCTTAGCGAGCTGTGATATTGCGAAAAAAGAAAAAATGACATAGAAAGAAAAGCAATACAGCATGCTTTGAATATCTAGTGATACCATGTACATAGTGGTCATGTAGGTAACCTGCTATGCCTCCATGCATCTCGACAAGCCGTTCTCTTAACAAACCGAGTCTACCGATAATAAACACCCTCGGTAATAGGCGACCAACTATGGCTGAGCACGCATCAAGTTTCCATCTCTTCCAGTCTCTAATATTTTGAAGAGGGTAGTCGTATAGGAGATTACTTCCAAGCAATGGAGAATTGCCGGAAAAGGGCTTTGGACCTGAGTCTCATCATGATTCTGAGATGACTTGCTAGAATTGTTGAACGACGAACTACAAATGAACATTGCCCCAAAACTCAATTGAGTATGCATTGAGCTCCCAAGTTAAGACTGCCCAATGAATCGATGTCTCTCCAAAGCTGATAATTGACCAAGCGCGCCTAAAACCGAGCGCCAACATGAAAACCGAGATAGCTAGTAGCAAAATTTGAACTTGAATAGAGCTTGAGAGTCTGGGGAATAATCACATCACTGCACATTCGCCCTTCTGACATTGCTCCATATAAGAAACGTCCTCAGCTGCTGAACCAACTTCACCGGGTTTCCGCTTCAGTCCCTCGATCTTGATCTCCTGCTGGCCCTCTGCATGCCACCATCGCAGATGCTGCAGCTTGACTCCCTGGATATCTTGATCGTGGATGTCCCATTTACCCCCACTGACGGTTACAGCGATGTTGGTCTTGGGGAAGTGGAAGTCCGGAAGATAGATCTCTGTCGGAGCGTTGGTTGAAGTCGGCCCTTTAGCCGTCAAAGACAATGTGAAGGTGCAACTCTTCAGATCAAAGACATGGTTGTCCAATTTGCCGCTGACATAGGTCGGGTTGGGGCGGAGGTATGCTTCCGCAGCGCGATAGCCTTGTCCCTGGCGTATGGATGGGGGCTGAGACCGTTCACTGGAGATTGATGGAGTTGCTATAGCACCCTTGAGATTGCTGGGTCCAACATCTGGCTCGTCTCCACTACTCTGGCTTTCGGAGTAGGCTGGTGAATGGGGATTGGTGGATCGAGTGTTACTGCTCGGTAGTTCTAGATCGTCGTGGGAATAGATCGATAGATCTTCCCCGTTCCACTGGTCGCCCCATTCGTGGTCATTCTGAATTTCGTCAGTATGAAAATCCCGAAGACCAGGAAAAAAGCCTTACCTGTGTGACATATACCCAAAGAGTATAACCATTAGACGTACTGCCTTCCAATGCGAAGTGATTGGCATCCATGGCGCTGGTTTGGCTACTGTAGTCACCCGTTTTGTATGCATACTTATCGTCCATGTCATAGGGGATTCCAATCTCCGTGAAGACAACTGGATGCGAACCCATGTAATTCCGACTTTCCTCGCGGAGGAACTTGAGTTGGTCACGCAGACAGTTCCGGATGGCGGACTCGCCAATCTTGAGTGCAAACGCCGGAGTGAGATACTTGCCCCGGAGTACACCAATGACATCCACATTGTATAGACGGTTCCTGTTGCATTTAGTACCATAGACATATTTTTGTTGAAATCAGTGAGTCCATACCAGTGCTTTGTCAAAAGAGTCAATCCGTCATAGTAATGCACTGCATGGACCATGTTGGGGTCATCGTCAGAAGTGCCTTTGACATCTGGTGGAATCTCCATAACAGGTGGTTGGCAAAACATAATCGCGTCTGACCAGATGCCCCGGATAGCGTCCTTGTATGCTCGATAATGGTCCAGGAAGTAAGAGTTGGTGAACTTCTCGTAGTTCAATGCCTCACCGGTTTGAGGAACCTTCGAGAAGTAATCCTTTTGCAGGAGCGTATCGGTAGATGGGTCCCATACCCCATGCTGTGCCCAAATGCACTCCCCAAGTTTCCATCCAGAATCTCGTTTCCAGCCATATTTGGTGTCATCATAGTCAGCTGGAAGCCAAGCACTGTCACCTGCAGGATCCACCAGTTCGGTGCCAGTTTTGTGAGGGCCAAAGTTGCCAAAAGCCCATGTTGTCTGCTCGCATGCCCGGCCTGAACCGGTGAGAATAGCCTGGAATGCAGTCGGAGACGTTCCAAGTTGAAGCTGTTGATCTGGTGGAACCACTGATATGTCTTGTACCCCAATAATACCACGATGGGGTTCATTCATACTTTCCCAACCGATGATCACCTCGCCCTCGAGGTCTCCTGCGTCATGAATCTTCTGTGCTAAGTGGGCACAGGCGTCAATGAAGTGACGTTGAAGATAATCCTGAATGTTGACCCCATCGATCACAGCCTTAGGAGCAAAGTCCCGTCCAGCCCAGAACAACGTAAACATGGTTTGGCAAACCATTCTAGTATAGTTTGTGCTCCAGATCATTTTTGGGAATTTCGCTGGAACATCGTATGTGTTTTGCACCAAAGCAGCTTCTGTTGTCTTGAAAGTCTTCGGGTTCAGACCTGCTGCATAGAGCGTCCACATCGGTGCTCCAGAACCCCCCGAAAACCGAGACCACTAGGGATCGTCAATATACGTCTGTTAGTGATATGGGTTGACTTGGTTCACCTACCACATCCTGATGCGGATCCATAAAGATATAGAATTCATATTGTTTGGCTATCCGGAGCACCTCGATCGTGAAATCAATCCACTCTTCGTCATAGATTCCGGGCCCAGAATGCTCAATGGCTTCCCAGGTGAAGATGTACCTGATTGTATTGTAACCCCATTTCCTCAGTCGCTTGAAGTGGATATGGGCATCTTCCAACGGGAAGGGTCGTCCGACAAATGAGACATTATCCCCATCGAAGAACTTCTCCGCAATGTATGAAGGGGTATCGGGTTTCTTGGGATATTTCGCATCAGCCGCAGCATTAATTCCTCGGAGCGTAATTTCTCTGTTGTGAGGGTCTCGGAAGGACTGGCCCTCCACGCGAAGACGTAACGGGGCCATCGTTGCCTAAGTAGTGGTAAGATCCCGAGGGAGTTGGGCTCGGTGCAGCGGGCGGACAGGGGTAAACAACGATATGAAAGATTGTGATAACTGGTACTAGAGCAATATTGCAGCCTAGAAGCTTGTCGATTCGCTTCCCCGAGTATTGCTCACTATTGAACGTGATGGAGTCACTCCTAGGAGGATGGCTGAGAACTGCGGAGAGAACAGCCACCGGATCAGACGAATGCACGTGACGCGAGCACTCAACACCAGTCAAGCTCAGTTCTGTTTCAGGTTACTCTCTCTTTTCCGTGAAATCCGAAATAGTGAACTGTTCAGACAGCCAGAAGGGTTGAGCTTTACGAGTACGAGTAGATCTGGGCGATAACGATAAGCGGTGACGTATCGGCTAGCCGACCGTCTGCTCCACAAACAACTTTCTCCCCGCTGCTACTGCTGCTACTGCTGCTACTGCTGCTATTGCCAAACATGTCGAGCAAAGCGGCATTGAAAGCTGTTCGCGCAGCTTTGGAGTCAAAGGATTTCCAAGATGCTGCTGAAAAAGCAAAAGCGCTGACCAGACAAGAGCCCCAAAACTACCATGCGTAAGGTTCGCGACAGTCCCTGCTAGGACGTGCTAACTCTGTTTCCCAATTAGACATGTCTTTCTTGGACTCGCATGCGAGAAGTTAAACGATCACGAAGAGTCAGAAAACGCATATATCGCTGCAACTCGCATTAAGGGTGATGATAAGACTGCTTGGCAAGGATTGCTGTCCCTATACGACAAACAAGGTGGGAGCAGGCTGGATTCTTATCACCAGGTGGTCATTCAGCTGGGAATTATTCTCGCCAACAAGTATGTCTCTTCTCAAATGCGGTGAAGTCGATGAAGTGGGCACTGACTATTCGCTAGTGACGAGCGGGAGCGCTGCCAGGACCTGGTCAATAAATACACCAAGTTGACAAATAGCCATGGATCTAAAGCCCAGCGCAAGGCTTCATTGATGCTGCAATTGCCTAATTCGCCGCTATACGACTTCCTCGAGGGCAGACTGCCTCATCCGTCACACACATACTTGCGCCTGATTGAATTGACGGAAAGCGAAGAGAGGGAATTCATCAATCATCAGATTGGAGAGCGGAGAACTCGCCTCGGTGCCCGCATTGACAGGGTCACCCAAGAGGTCAAACGTGAAGCCTTCGAACAGAGCGGCTTGGACCAGCTTTATCGAGGAATAATTGATTGGACGAATGATGATGAACAACGACGTCAGTACGAAGAAAAACTTTTCCACCGCATATATGAGGATCTTTGTGTTTCACCGGCAGAGCAAAAGGAAGAAAAGAAGGAGATCGTGTTCAAGGCCGCCCGGGATATGGTGATCATCAAGCATCCATTTGAGCCTGCCTGGAAGGTCTTTTTGACATGGCAAGACGTCAAGAACTTCTCTGATTATGATGTCGGACATTTGCGGGAATATATTGAATTCTTCCCAGAATCCGGAATCTCAAAAATCCTCAAAGGATTCCTATCTAGTGAATTGTCACCATTCCCCAATGACCCTGAAGCGGAAGCCTCAGGTGACAAGGGGGGAAAACAGGATCCAGCCCTCCAGCCTGAAATTGAGCATGAGCAGAACGACGTCAAAGTCGATAAGCAGACAGCTGCCCAAGATCGTCTCATTCTGATGGTCGAAGGATTGGAGTCTGCCGGAAACTCCATTATTGCCAGCCGTGTCATGGCAGACCTCTACCTTCACCTCGAAGAATATGAAAGTGTGGTCAATGTTGCACGCAAAGGTCTAGGGAACATCAAGGAACTGACCAAGCTCTGTGGTGTTCAAATTCCAAACACATCTGACGCATTGAACATCGCGCTTGCAAATGCGTTGATCTATCACCAAGCGCCTCGGCATCACCCGGAGGCCAAAATTATTTTCGGAAAGATCCTCGAGAGGTTCCCGCTGTCGTGTACTTGTTTACTTGGTGTTGGTTTGATTTTGAAGGAAGATCAGGACTATGCCCAAGCCGTCGATTTCTTGCGTCGTGCCCTTGAACGTGATACCCAAAACCTCACAATCCGTGGGGAGCTTGCTTGGTGCGAGGCATTGAATGGTGATCTCCAAGCTGGACTCGATAGACTCCAAGGTGTATTGGAAGACTCAAAGGAGATCCAACCCGACAACAGAGAATTTGCATCAGAGATCCTCTACCGTATTGGCTATTGTCAATGGGAGATTGATCCGTCCCCAGCTGCGAGAAAAGACCGCAAAGGTGCTTATAATAGCCTCTTTGCGTCCATTCAAGCAAACATGAACTTTGCACCCGCCTATACTATTCTTGGCTTCTACTTTGCCGACTACAAAAAGGACAAAACGAGAGCCCGCCGATGTTTCCACAAGGCGTTTGAACTGTCAACTTCAGAGATCGAAGCTGCTGAGCGCCTCGCGAAGGGATTCGCCGATTCTCAAGAATGGGACCTTGTCGAAGCAGTTGCACAGCGAGTCATTGAATCCGGTAAAGCTAAGCCTTCCCCTGGATCCAAGCGCCGAGGGTTCAGCTGGCCATATGCTGCACTGGGCACTGTGCAAATCAATAAGCAACAGTACAGCAAGAGCATTGTTTCGTTCCAAGCTGCACTTCGTCTGGCTCCGCATGATTATCATTCTTGGGTCGGTCTTGCAGAAAGCTATCACCATTCTGGAAGATATGTTGCTGCCACTAAGGCCTTCGAGTATGCGAAGACATTGGAATCAGATCTCTCGGAAAAAGAAAAAGAGAATGTGTGGTTCTCAAGATACATGCTGGCAAACGTCCGCCGAGAGCTTGGCGAGTACGATGAGGCAATTGCCAGCTATGACGATGTCTTGAATTCCAGACCCGGCGACATTGGAGTGTCAATTGCATTGCTTCAAACCTTGACTGAGAGTTCAGCGAAGAGCCTCGGCCTGGGGTTGTTCAATGATTCAGCTGAACTGGCATGCCGAGCCATTAAGCTTGCCCAGTCGCTGGTGCATGTCAAAAATGATATCTTCAACCTGTGGAAGGCTGTCGGTGATGCCTGCTCTCATTTCTCACACATGAAGAGCAAGCTTGTCAAGTTGTCTGCTTCAGACTGCAAGACTCTACTGGCGGTTGATCTCGACCCCATCGCTTTTGATTTGATGGCCGACATCGATGGCGTTGGGAATGATTGGCTTCAGGCCAGCGAAGACGAAGAAACTTCTTCAGTCGGCTTCAATGTCTACGCAGCCATTCTTGCATACAAGCGTGCACTCCATGTTTCAGTCCAAGACTCTCACGCTCAGGCGGTTGCTTGGTATAATCTTGGCTGGGCTGAATTCCTCGCATACCGTGAAGTGCAACCGGGGCTTGCTCATAAGGATAAGAAGTCTCGCAAATTCTTGAAGGCAGCCATGCAGTGTTTCAAGAGAGCGATTGAGCTGGAAGCTGGCAATGCCGATTTCTGGAACTCGTTGGGTGTGGTCACTACTACCATGAGCCCCAAGGTTGCGCAGCATGCCTTTGTGAGAAGTTTACACCTGAACGATCGCAATGCATCTGTCTGGACCAACCTTGGCGCGCTCTACCTCCTCCACAATGACATTCAACTTGCCAACGATGCTTTCACACGATCACAGTCAACCGACCCTGACTACGCATTGGCCTGGGTTGGCCAAGGCTTGCTGGCGCTTCTTGTTGGCGAAACAAAGGAGGCCAAGGGAATTTTCGAACATGCCTTCGAGATTTCAAACTCCTCTGAAATTCTACCTAAGCGCCAATTCACTCTCACCCTCTTTGATCATCTCCTTGTCAATCCTTTGGCTTCAAATGAGGTGTCCGAGCTCATTCAGCCATTCTTTGCCCTGCATCAACTGTGCAGCCAGAACCCATCTGACTTGCCATTTGTACATTTATCTGCTCTTTTGGCTGAGAGGATGGGAGAAAGTGCAGATGCCGAGGCAAGCTTAGAGGCAGTTTGCGCAGGGATGGAGGCTGAGTATGAAGAGACCGAATCCCCCGCATCTCTCTCAAAGTATGCGCAGGCGAATGCCGATATGGCTAGAATTCTGCTCGCTCGCCACGCCTACGATGAAGCTGCGGAGAAGGCCGAACTCGCGCTCACACTCTCCGGCGAAGAAGACGCAGAGAAATTCGACCCCCAAGCCTGCCGAAAGCTCCGCTTATCTGCGCATTTGACCGCTGGTCTCGCGTTCTACTACACCAAGTCATGGGACCAAGCTATTGATATGTTCCGCGATGCCCTTCAAGAAGCAAACAACGCCCCGGATGTGGTCTGTCTTCTGGCCCAGGTTCTCTGGGCCAAGGGCGGCGAGGAGGACCGATCTGTTGCCCGCGAGCAATTGTTCGCATGTCTCGAGAATAATGAAAGCCATGTTGGGGCAACCCTGCTTTTGGGTGCCATTTCGATTCTCGACAAGGACAGCGAGGCAGTTGAAGCAATCGAGGCAGACCTCAACAGCATCATGCAACACGACGACATCGACATTCACGAGCGGGCCAAGCTGATCAAACTTCGGACCACCATCTCAGCATTGGGATTCAATGCTCATGCAAATGTTCCCGAGGATGCCAGACGGATCGGCGAGGCCACTTCTGCAATTATGCTTTCTCCAGGCCTGCCTGCTGGGTGGCTGGAGCTGTCAAATGCTTCGCAAGACCCCCATGCTGCAGAAATGGCCGTCACGCGCGCACGCCAGAACGTGCCTCCCCACAGCAACCTCGATGCCACTGAACTTGGCCAGGCATATGCACAGAGTGGAAGGACTAGTGATTCGCTTAGAGCAATCATGGTGTCTCCGTGGATAAGCAATGGTTGGGAGGAATTGGACCATCATTTGTCTGCCCTCGCTGCATAAATGTGTCAGGAGACACTCCGGCTGAAAAGCCTGAAGATATATCCAGCAATGTGGCTGGACGAGTCATTCAGCATATGTTTATGAGTTCAAGATAATGTAGAGTAGGAAAAATCAATTTCATACCTCCATGACAGGCACCATAGTAGGAAAGCAGACTTCCATGATACCCAAGTTCCATGCCCTTATTCTCCTTCTAGACCGGCAGTCTTTTCCAGAAGTCGAGCCTTCCTACCTTGCCGCCATGGTGTATCCATAGCTTCGATTTTACCCCCAAGCACAGTCACACTACCAGGGTTAAGAAGCACCATCCCCCTTGCAACAGTGGGATCGCGGAGTAATAGCTTTGCGCCGATAGCGAGTTTTTCCACAGAAATACCATCCACACGCTGCATTTCGACTCCAGCAACAACAGTGCCTTCCGCGTCTTGAAGAATCAAACGATGTGGTCCACTCCCACTATTCCCAGAAGCATTCGCCGCAGCCACAGGGCCACTGTTCGCGCCATTGGTTTCGGTAGCTTCTGGGTCTTCGTCAACAGCAATTGTGCGAACAATCTCGCGTCCTCGAATGGCCTCGCCGCGTTCGACGCGTTCAATTGCTTCAATTTGGCTCCATAGACTTGTTCCGATGTCTTCGATATCTAGAACTTGGACTGGGATTGCGCCTTGTAAGCGTCGTTCTTGGACCATGGGGTCATACGCGTCCACTGGCAGGATGCAGGATCTATGTTTGGAGAGCGATTCTGTGATGTTGGAAGCTAGAAGGCGGAATATCGCCGTCTTTGCCAGCGCGGAGGGAGGGACATTGCGCTGTGCCGAGGCGGAGGACAGGAATGCATTGAGCCAGACCGGGGAAACCGAGAGAGATTTGGAGCTCAGAATTTGAGCTGCAATCTGATCTGGACTAGCCATTGTGTCTTGTGAGATCAGAGAATATCAGTGAACGAAGAGAAGAACAAAAGAAACGCCTTGAACCCCAGAGCACAGACCACCGCTTATAGCCGATCTGGCGACAGCTGCCACTCTCTTCTTCCCCCAAACACAACATGTCCACCATATCTTCTCCGCGTCCTTCGATCGCCTCATCTAGAGCGCACTCTCCAACCCCCGCCTCGTCTCGCCCATCACTAGATGCCTTGAACACCAGTGTCAGCGGCCTCAGCGCCGCATCTACCCCGTCCACCGCACGAGCACTATCCCCCTCACTACCACCACGACGCAACCGCAGCGCCCTTCGAGACTACTATAACCTCAAACCCACTGCAATAGATCCATCAGCCGCCAGAGACCCCTCGCGGTCCCGCAGCGTCCCACGAAACACAGATGCAGGAGACATCTCCAACCCATCCGCCCTAGCAGGGACCGAGCTTGACAGTGCAGATTTCGACCCGCACCGCTATGTAGAGCACCTCCTTTCATCGTCGTCTCTGTCTACTGTGCTCAAGGCTGAAAATACGTTGGTGGGCGACATCCGCACTCTGGACGGGGAGCGCAAGGCCCTTGTCTACGATAACTACTCGAAGTTGATTCGGGCGGTGGAGACAATTGGCAAGATGAGGCGGAGTATGGATGAACGGGGGGCACCGTTGACTATGACGAAGACACTGGGTCCGGCTATTGCTTTTGTTGCTGAGACTGCGGGTGGACTTATCAAGGAGGGCGAGGAGCAGCGCAAGCGCATGAAAGAGGCTAAGCAGAATAATGGGGATTCAAGTATAAAAAGTGAAAAGGATACTGTCCGATGGGTGCTTGCTGCACCGCAGAGACTTGAGGGGCTTTTGGCAGATGAGAAACAGGAGGATGCGGAGAAGGATTGGAAAGAGATCCAGGGCTTGCTTGACGCCTGGGGCAATGTCAAGGGTGTTGCTGAAATCCGTGAAGCTTGTGAGAAGGTTATGACCCGTGCAGACAACAATGATTGAATCCAGTGTACGTCTGGTCACCACATTGCAGGCGCACCTCCTATCTCAAACGGAGTGTCTACCCAGGCCACGGAGCACACACATACCGGAGCTATACAAGGAGGCTCCTGAAGCATGACTGAAGTGTCTCACCGGTTCTATTGAGAACGGCACCATCATAGATCCCAGAATGCCCTGATCTCTGGTATCTTCTCGCGCGACATACCCTATCGCTGTCATTGCTGCCAGTACTGCCATTGCTCGGATCATTCACCAAATGTCATGAAAGGCGCTATTAGAGATACCCATTACAGCCAGTGATCAATAAACAATTCATAATCCACCTTGAAATAGCCCAGCCATCGCAATCAACTCCCCTTAAGCACATCCCGACTGCAGAACATACTCGCCTTCAGCCCATAATCATTCTTCGAAGTGATATCAAGGAGCGTGTACACATCACTCTTATAGTAAATGGGCCGAGCATTCTTAAAAAGCCCCAACTCCACCATCTTCTTCACCACCCGCTTAACATCCTCCACATCCCCAAAATCAGCCGTGTAAACACAGATCAAGCGAGCCTGCCCAGACCCATCATTCGGAGCAACTTTCGCACAATCCCCCAACACCCCTTCCTCCATCGCCCTAGCCACAGTCCCCCAAGTCTCATCAACCTGATCAACAGTAGGAAACAACATCCATTTCCCATGCGTAACGCCCGTGTCCCGCGCCAAAGCAAGGAGGTCATTCTCGAGCTCTCTGCGCAGTCGATTCAACTTGCGCGTTAGTCCAGCCGTAGTCTTCGCGCCAGATTTATCGTGCGCCTCGCGCAGAAGTGCACTTTCATTCTCGTAATCCTGGAGAAGTTCGTGGCCTTTTCGAAGGAGGACGGGGACATCACCCTCTTTACTCGGGATCTGGCGGTTATGCATCCATATCCAGGGTCTGCTGGATGTAAGCTCTGTAGTGGATGGTGGTAGTCGGGAGAGAAAATGAGCTACGGATTCTGTTCTTCCGCGGCGATCTTGGGGTAAGCTTGTGCTTGTGCTTGTGCTTGTGGGTGATGCATCTCTCATCGAGACGTCTGATGACATCGGGTTCTGGAGATTGTATTGTTTTGTTGAGAGGATGTTTTGGTGATATTCCCCCCAGTATGGTTCTGGGTCGTAGGATGCTACTTGTGTTTCTAGTCGGGCTGTTTCTTCTTCGTCGCCTGGTGGATGTTAGTTGTTGTCGTCTAGTGGTAACGCGGGGAATTACCGTAAAAGCTTGACTCGTCAGAGAAGATTTGGTCGGGTGTTTCAGTGGTCATTTCTGACTGTGAGCCTTTGTAGGTGATGATCAAGGTGGAGGGAGTCAGAGGTAGGACATAATTTGACATAGTTGTAGAAGTTGAGTGGGATGAGGTACACTCGCATCCTTATACCCTGATTTCCACGCCTCATTTCTTTGTCGCAATTTACTACAATCTTTTCTTGAATCTATCTTAATAAGAAGTATCAAAATAAATTCAAGTATTTTATATTCATGAGCCCACATGCTATGGACGTTTAACATCAATATTTACATTCAACTGGCGGAAAGTGATTTAACCCAGTAACCAACCCCCTTTGTTGAATCAAACTAGTTGTCTAGTTGTCAGACTCAACAGGCCAGACCTGGTTTACAAACTTGACGAGATCTGCCTTCAACTCGTCAGGCCGCTCTAGAGCAGCGAAATGGCCACCCTGAAAGGACAAACATCAGCATGTATCAAACACAATCCATCAACAAGTCATACCTTTTGATGCTGCTGCCAGAACACCAGATTACCAGTTGTCTCAACCCAGGAGCGTGGCAGTCGAGCAAGTTCCTTAGGGAAAGAAGAGAACCCAAGTGGTTTCTTGATGTACCAACGAGGATCATTTGCAGCCGGTATAGGCGGGGCAGGGTAGTTCTATCAAACCAGATTAGATCCACAGAAGCCGATGATCATCCATGGATAGAGAATACTCACTTGTCGGTAAGTATAGATTGCCCGGGGGAATGTATCTGTAAGCCAGTACAGAGTGATAGATTCCAGGATATCATCAGGAGAGAGGGGATCATCGACCCATTCACAGAATTTCTCGCCAACCCTGAGTATATCAGGTCAGTTTCTTGCGTAAAGTGAATAACGCGAACATTCAAGCTCACCACGCCAAGAGGGCAATAGGACTGGATGCTACGACGTGGCCAATGGTGCTAGGCCGGGTGCCATGTTCAACGGCATACCCAGACCCCGTAGCCTGAAATTGATACATCCGTTCAATACCCTGGATCTCGAAGGCATTGAGATTGTCGTCCGTGGCGCCTTCTGGCTTTCTCATAAAAACGACATTGACTGGCTGATGTTGGAATTTGAGAAAATCAAATGATCGGGGAAAACAACTTACGATGTGCCGCTATTAATGGATGTCAGAGAATGCTTGGGACTCGAATAGTCTCAATCAGAGGATGATTCGGGTCTTACCTTTGCAACTTTCATGATCCACAGCGAGATGCCTGGCTATCCGGCTTCCAATATCGCCTCCTTGGGCAATATAGCCACTTGCAAATCCGAGGTTCTTCATTAATTGATCCATGACACGAGCAATGTCACCCGTACCGAAGTCTTTGTCTAACGGAGGACCAGAAGAAAAGGTATAACCTGGTAGAGATGGTACAATCAAGTGATAAGGCAGAGTCTCTGGGGTGTATTCATCTCGGAACTTTTGCAGGATAGGCAAAAATTCCAAGAAACTTCCTTTGAATTGGTCAGAATGGTTAACATCTGATGTGAAAGGATGTACCTACCAGGCCATCCATGCAATAAAAGCAACGGAACAGCATCTTTCTTCAGAGAAAAGAGACTCACGAAATGAATGGTGATTCCTTCAATTTCAGTCTCAAACTGGGGGAAAGAGTTGATTCGATCCTCGGTGGTTTTCCTTGTCCGATGTTAGGTGTATTCGTAGTCGCACATTTAAAACATGATGTTATGTACCAGTTATAAGACCGTAGCCATAGATCCCGCATAGTCACCAGCCAATCAGTACCAACGCCATAGCGACGGTCTGTTTGAGAATTCTCGTAGGTGTGAGGAGCGAATCTGGCGACTTTGAGGAGTGTCTGCAGCTCAGTGATCTTGGCTTTTGGAATAGAGACCTTGAACGGCGTGAGGGAGGCAGGCGAAGGAGGTATACCAAAGGGTAAAGCCATCTTGGTTGTCAAGGGTTGTTAAAGAGGGCACTTTTCGCAAGTTGGTGCCTGTGCCGTCATCTGCGGGGTTTATATGGGCGACCGACTCGATGCTTACAAACGACTGATTATACACTTTCTATGCCACTCATAAGTGCTTACAGCGATGGAAGAGAAGATAACTGCCTTGGAATCATTTGAAATAATGGAAATGGTATGATCAGGTCATTGATGTCCTTATGCAATTCCTAACTACCGTATAAATGCCTTTATGTACAATGGTATTCTATTCCCAAATATGCACCGCCTCTTGGAATTGCAATCTTCAATCTGAGCGGAAAAACCAGAAACTTTTGAGTGATATGGCAGGATTGTAGCACACTTTTAAGCAGAGGATTCGGCTTCTAGACTGGGGAGCTTGGTGTCTAACCAACGCCACGAAAGAATCGCCTGGATGAAGCAGATGAAAGCTATAAAATGTAAGTAAATGCGACAAATAGCTTTATGCGAGAAAAGAGATAAACATACCCAAAGCCACAGTCATATAGAAAAACCCAATGGTTTCAAACAATGATCCTGTCAAAAGAGGCCCAAGCATCATTCCAAGACTGAAGCTCACCTCAGTCATGGAAAACACTCGCAGGTTGCTTCTGTTAGCCTCAAACACACGCGGGTCTTTGGCTTCCATGTCCTTCACAACGTCTGAGAGCATGGTAAGCTTAGTCGATGATAAATTGGCATCGGGAAACTTACAGGCCAATTGAACAGCTCCAACACCACGAACCAGAGGAAGGACACTTCCCAAAGCAAGCAAACTGCATGAGAAGATTGATTTTCCAGCTGCATCGCCGCTGGCCCACGGGAAGTGAGAATCACCGGGGGCACCCATAAGCAAGATCAAAGGAACAGTCGCCACCCAGCCAAAGGTAGTAGGGCCTCGGAGTCCAAGTCGATCACGTAGCCATCCAGCCGGGCCGCTGAGAACAATATTCGGAACCTGAAGACAGAAGAACATCATACTGATGAGGAAACTTTTCCACCCAAAGACATCCCGCAGATGAACAGGGAGGGTGTTGTTGATTCCGGACATCAGAGACGCAACTACCACGACATTCGCCAAAGAAATCAAGACTCGAGCATCAGAGAGCATGGCCTTGTAGTACTTTCGCTTTTGATCGCCTTGGCTTTCCACTCCATAATCACTTTGCTTGGTGGGTTGGGCGTCAGATAGTAGGGCAGTTGACTCTTCGGGTGAATTCTCGTCGCCGATAGAATTGTCGGGGGTTTTCAAGTCTTTATGCGAGCTTGGCTGAGGCTCAATCATGACCAATCGGGCGATAATATCTAGAGCCAGGACAAGCAAGGGGAGCGACCATGCAGTCCAGTACCCAAACATCTGCAGCAAAGCACCACTGACTGTTGGACCTCCGACCATTCCCGCAGTGACAAATGACATTGCCATTCCCATAGAAGCTCCCAGATTCTTTTTGTCCACATTGTTGGCGAGGAGAGCAAATCCAACCACCCAAGTGCCGGCCCCCGCTGCACCTTGCAGGACGCGACCCGTGAACAGAACCCAAACTTCCGACAAAGATTAGATTCTCGAATATTCAAAGAATTAGGAATCGAATTTCATACCGGAGGTAGAAAAGGCTATCATCAAAGTCCCAACGAGACATCCTGCCAGCGAAAACAAAAGTGGCGTCTTTTGGCTTGCAGTCTTTTCGGCCAAGTAAGCAATGATTGGAGCCGAGACCAGACCAACAAATCCATGACCGGTGAGTAAGGCTGTAGTGTATCTCTGAGTTTGGGATGGATCAATATGCAGTCGTTCCTCCAGCATATAACTCAGAATTGGCGTAAGAAACCCGAACAAAAATGTCTCTGTTGATATGAGTCAAAATACCACCCACACTGAAACATGGCCACACGCACCTGCGAACAAAGCCACTGTAATCGAGGAAACGATGAGAATCCGCGACGACCGCCATGAATAGCCCCATGGCTCTTTAGTGATCTCCATCGCGAAGTGGTCAGTTGTAAAGAAGAAAGAGAAAAAAAAAGCGGGGGGCCAAAGAAAGAGATAAAAAGCCGATCACATCATCAAAGTGAATACAACCTAAGAGAATGCAATTGATATTTAATATTTTCTTATCCCTACGGCGTACTAGCTCTGATCCTAGCATTGACTGGAGGCTGTCATTGGCGACGAGCTAATTTAGATCGTTCTCGCGTCTGAGCCGAACGTGATCAACGCCTCAATATGCACACTACTGCATTGATTTGAAAGACCGACGAAAGAGCTGTCTGAATTATATGCGTCACAATAGAGTTCACGCCCTTCGCTGTAGATCGCTGACTTTTACGCAGAGTACATAGTACATTGTAGTAAGCCCGTGGCAGTAAGACACCCGACGAGGGGCTGTGAATACTACACAATGCGGAGGATGCGGACTTGGCCAAATGAAGATAAAGAAAGGCAGTTCATCTGCAAAGCAACCTTAGAAAGGTCTCGAATGATTCATCGCCAGAGTTACTCCGTATAACAGTTCTTTAATAGTCATACCCCACCGGCTACCGTCGGACCTGTTATACTAGCCTGACTAGTGAGATTGTACTTCGCACTCCGTGGAGTTACTTAAGATGCTGGCTAGATCAGTCTGACACTTTTTGATAATGGCAAGATCTCAAATGATTATGTGCAGAATAATTGAATGACTCACAAGTACCTACTCCCGGAGGCCCGTTAACACATTCCAATTTCCAGGGTGTCGGGCTATCAGGTTTATGTCGTGAGATTTGTTGCTGGGGCTTTGATATTCAATTTTAGAAGCTGGCCATTGAAATTAAATTCCATGCTTATTTGTTTTGCATCTAATGATAATTCCAAGGTTTCTCTCACGGTCCTCTTATAAGTTTGGTAATCCTCATAGCTGACAATAGCAATTCGATATTGGGCCTAGTTATCAGATGGAGCTAGTGGCTATCGGACTCATGAGATCCATCCTCTTTCCCAGCCATCGACGCTAATTTCAGCCTGAGAAGACGAGAGAAGGAAAGCATCCACATCTGATTGACCCAATCTTGGTGCGAGCCATAAGCCTCTAGACCGGCAATGATGGCAGAAGCATGCGAAAGCAACAAATCGCCCAGACGTCCCTTTTGACCAAGAGTACCATCACCAATCTTAGTCTCTCTTTCTTGCTCCTGAATCATGCGCTTATACTCCTCGAGCTTTGGCCTAACTCGGTGGATACGCGCAATTGCTAGTGGTTTCGTTTCCACATGGAATGGCGGTTCCCCCTTTAGTCCTGTCAAGGTTGGAAACTGGGCCTGTACTTCAATGGGAGCCGCAATAACACCGTCAAAATCAACGACAGCTAGAATTTCGAAGTTCTCATTGACAAGAAGGTTATGCGCTCCGAAGTCCGGATGTGCGATGCCAAACGGTCCTCGGATTGACTTCTCATCGGTGTACATCGAAATGAGCCGCTCAAAGAGTATAGGGAGCGAAAATGAAGGGTCATCCATCACCTCTTCTGGGGCGTTCTGAACAGCATCCTCCAGCTTATGCTGGGCCAGATAGCGATAGTATTCAAGAGACGACTCCCAAGGGCCCTGTCCGGTTTGACAATCGGGTCCGACATAAAAGTCCCCTGTCTTTGGATCTTCATACAGTGACCCTATTTTGTCAAATTGCAGTGATGCCATCTCGACTTGAATAGCCGCCATTTGTCGTCGGAACTTTTGGTCTTGCTCAAGCGTCCCAAATTGACTCAAGGGGGCTTCTATCTTTTTGCGTAGTTCAGACGCGACTGTACCAGGAATATATTCCATGATCATGTATGGTGCCCCCACATCGACAGATTCGGGTTCGAAGTGATAGACCTCTGGGACAGGGATGGAGCTTCGTGCTCTTGCAAATAGAAGTTAGTATTTACGCTCAATTATCATTCACAAGGGAACAAGAGGCCAAGGAAATCTACAAAACGAAGAGAAACAAGAGAAGAAGGGAAAACAAACCTGAAGAACTTCATGCATGCCACTTCCGAGGACAATGCCTTGCTCACATCTTGCCGATGATGATCATCTTCCAAGTCTGGCATCCTTAGACGGACAGCCCAATGCTTTCCATCTTCGAATACCACCTGCCGAACCATATTGAAATGACCGATCGAAAACTTCTCTGAAAGGTAACATGGCATATCTCGATGGTTGGCACAAATTGTGGCCAGACGATCCCATTTGATATCCTGCAGGAACTTATTTGCTCGTTCGGTGAATTCGCTGTCATCCTCGTACTCACCAGTGCCTATCCAACTGGCACTCCCAAGGTCGACTTGATTTGAGGAAAGCAACGCCATTTGAACAGTTCTGAGGTAAGGCTCAAATTCTATTGCCAGTGTTTGTCACTTTGTGAGATTCCCTAGGTCCAACTGCTAGGACACAAGACGAGGTGGAATATGGTCAGTTCTCTATTAGCGGAGGGTGAGAGAATGAAGAGAGGGAGAGGGACATGGAGGGGTTTATTAAGAGACTATGCCTATATAACACTGACTATTTGACTTGCAAAGCATAAGCAAACAACATGACTCAAAAACCGATGCAGATAATAATACAGAGTACTATTGCCCAGGTTGTACGAGGGGCATAGCGCCCAAGGGCCACAGTATTTGAATGCCTAAAGGTGCCCGAGGGCGCCTATTCTAGACCGATTTCAAACCGCTCTATACCGGGTATTGTAACTGGCTTTTGGCGATGGTGAGGCTATTCAAACCAGCCCAAATGCTCGACTCGTATACATCTGGCGTTGAGGCTATATTCTGAGGCCCCATACAAAACCCCCTTCAAGACCATTTTGAAGCCATTAAGACTACAGATGAATGCTGGCGACAATCTTATTTCCAGGTATAATTTCAAACATCTCACCCCTTTTGGAAGTAATAGTATGTTACTCCGTACTATCAATGATTAGCGGATGTAATGGTAATACAGGTTTCATAGTTCTTTGTCCGGCTGAAACTAGGATACTTCAGCATATTTTAGCGACTATACCCCCTCGTACACTCTCAGTTGCTAACTTCGATTCCAAAGGCACATACGGGACTTAGTTAGCTACCGCTTTTGTGAATTTCAAGTCAGACTCACCAGTTGGCTGAGAAATGGGTGGTAATAAGATTTACCATACAGAAGGAAATGTATCTGACTAACCATATATGGTTAGTGTGCTTTGGCCTTTTAAACATCTCCCTGTGCAGATGCACTCTACTGAGCCTCAAGTCTTGAGTTGTAAACCTCTTCCATTCTCTTATGAATTGACCTCGGGAATTTCGCGCCATCAAGCCATGGAACAGCGCAAAAAGCGGTCTCCCCACTCCAATACACGCTCCGGATGCATTACTTGCAAGTAAGTTCAAATGATCAGGGATCAAACCAAAATAGCCTCTATCCACAGTCCCCGCAAAAATTAACAAGTCCAGACTTCGTCACAAAAAATGCGATGAGACCTACCCAGAATGCCGCCAGTGCACATTTGCAAATAAAAAATGCGCCGGGTATATACAACTCCCCGATAAACGTACCAGAGCCTGGCGTGACCAATTTCAAACTGGGAGACGACAGCAATTGGAGCTGGTTGACTCAGGTACTGTTTCATCACGCCCGGCTTTTCGAGATCAGATCAATTGGTCTTTCTTCCAGATGAATTTCCCTATTTATACCAAAAGAAAGAAGCAAGTTTTTCACGTGGATCACTTTGAATCTTTGTTCATGGGAATTGTAGCACTGCCTACGAAGACTCTGATGCTTGAGCAGGCTATTTCTGCAGTATCGTGTGTCTATTTAGGAAAAGTGGACAATAACGACACGATGCTTCAATATGGTTTACAGCTATACAATAGCTCCATAAGGCATATGTCACGTCTTCTAACTCGAGAATCCTGCGGTGCGGACCTTGCATACACTTCTATGATTTTCCAAGAAATTGAGGTACATGTCTATACCTTCAAATGTCATACGTTTCTAACCTTCGACAAGGCCATACATTGTCCTCAGGGTCTTGGGGGCTTTTTTACTCATGTAATAGGATCAAATTCCATCCTGAAGCGATACCTTCCCCAGTTACTCGAAAATCCCCTGACAGCCATTATTTACCACCAGCATCAAAAAGGGAAACTTGTACATTCCCCCTCTCCGTTATTCCAATTACTTCTTATGGACTGACGGATTATTAGTTCTTAGCCACCAACATGGACATGTCAGAAGAGGATTACGCATATATTACCCTGCCCGCGCCAAATGACCCCATGCTTGAGCTGATACACTTACTCGCGGATCTTTCTATTTTATCTAAAGCGAGTGGCTCTATATGTGCATCTCAAGGCAAAGCCTGTCAGAACCTGCTTTTGGGTTGCATTTCTCAGATGGAAAGACACAACACATGGTATTCCCGGTGGGAAGAGAGAATTGGTGGAAGTCCATCTGTATACGCTCCGGGTAAGTATACCCTGAAATCTCTCTTGGGCTTTGACATAGCCCTGGAGCCAAATTTGAACACAAGTCTCACAGATGACATTTTCCAGGTGAATTGAACTCGAAGCTATCTCCGACTGACCATTTATTTGGCCCGGCTTACCGATTCCCTTCACTTGACAATGCCAGATTGCATATCTTTTTCTGGGTAGCATCAGCACTGCTCCGCCCTTTGCTTTTTCGAGCCCAATATCTTGTCATGCTGCATCAAAGTCGGTGTTTGACCGTGCAGGCTGAAAAACTACACCAGGAACAGCAGATATCAATACTCGAGGCCGATAAAGTCGCCCGATGTCTTCCATATTGTACGCAAGAGGGTATGAAGGCGAGAGGTGTGAATTATGGCGGGTTTTTCGCCGCCAAGCACCTTGCAACAGTTTACAGTGACAATGGGTGTTTGGAGAAATTTCTCTGGGCAAAAAGTGTCTTTGTGCATATGGCTAGGTGTGGGTATGATTCTGGTACTCGGGGGATCGAAATGGTGTCGAAGATGTGGCCTCTGGATGTTTAGTATCGGGCTGGGGCTATACGGGACCTTTGGAATAGACAAATTAATATTAGACAGCCTGAAGTACATATCAACACTTAGCAATCAAGCTATATCAGTTGTTTCGTCAAATGAGCCTTCCAGGATACCCCACTGTATACAAATGAGAACTATAGCTAAGCGAATCTTGAACATTCACTCGTGAGGGCCCGTGGATTGAAATCTGGCAACCCAAATGCAATCATTTCCTAGAGAGCTGAAGTGCTCCCTGGATACTATCCGTAGAATTTCACTACTGGAATAAAGCAAAAGTGATCGAAATGTTCCAAACCAACTTTCCTGTACTTCGTGGATCCTCACCGCCCCACTATGTGAGTTTTCGTGGATTCGAGTACACTCCAATTGTAACCGCATTTTGATATTCACCTAAATTTCTCACTCAAGGCTCAGTCTTTTAGAGTGTGTGATACTTCAAAAGAAATCAATCAGGGGGGAAACAGAAAAAGCCGAGCTATATGCTAAAGTGCCACGCCGCTCTCTCAATCATCAAGTGTTGAGATAAAATCCTAAAGCCAAGCCAGACTAGTCCAAGATGGCAATCATCCAAAGCCCTCAATCTGCGACAACGGTGTTTCTAGACCAGCCACCAAGCTGTCTCGAGTTTTGCCCAGAAGCCCCAGACTACTTCATCGTGGGAACCTACCTTCTGTCAGAAACCAAAACCGACCAGGACGAAATTGAACAAAAAAAGACCGGAAGTCTGCAATTATGGAAACTGGACCCCATCAGCAAAGCACTGTAAGTCAGCCTCACATTGTATCCTAACCTGCCCGCAACGAGCCAATACCAACACCCCGCAGATCCCAAATCCAAAGAATCGATGTCCCATATGCAGTATTTGACTTGCACTTCCACCCAAAGCAAAAGAATCTATTCGCTATAGCCAGTAGCGTGGGATCAGTCTCTCTATTCCAAGTGCACGCAGACTCAACTTCACCAAGCATCACCCAACTATGGACAAAGCAAGTACACGAAGACCCCTCAATCCCAGCCCTCTTCCTTGCCTGGGCACCAGATGACTGGTTTCCGCATTCCCCGGCAGACGGATTCGCAGTCACATTCTCTGATAGTCGGACATCTGTCTTTGGGACGGAAGGCGATCTCTGCGATCTAGTTGAATGGGGTACCTTTGAAGCCAAACAGATGATCGAAGTGTGGTTCGTGGCTCTGGCTTCGATTGGAATGGACGACTCTAAAATACCGTTCATGTTCACGGGTAATGATTTCGGTTCTTTGCATACGCGCCGTTTTGGTGACCTTGATGATCTGGATGATCATCTTGCGCCTATGTTGCTTGAGCATGATGATCGCGCAAGACATCACACTGCTGGTGTCACGGCTATTTTGCCTTTATATGATTCTTTGGTGGATGATGCGCCTGTTCTTTTGACGGGTTGTTATGATGAGGGTCTCCGTGTGTACCATGCTACGCGGAGGGGTGAGGTTCTTGCTGAGCAGTGCTTGGATGGTGGTGTGTGGCGGCTGCAAATGTTGGAGACGAAGAAGAGAATGGATGCTGGGAATACTGCGGTTACTGAAACGCGGTTCTTGGTTCTGGCGAGCTGTATGCATGCTGGGAGTAGGGTTGTGAGGGTTAGTTGCAAAGAGAATGGTGGGATTGGGGATTGGGATATTGAGATTTTGGCGAAGTTTACAGAACATGAGAGTATGAATTATGCCAGTGGTGTTTGGAATGGGGTGCATGGGGAGGAGAAGTCTGAGATTTTGGTTGTGTCGAGTAGCTTCTATGATCGGAGGCTCTGTGTTTGGACGGCAGATGTGTGATACTTAAGTAGAAAGCAGTGGGATTGACATACTCGGCTGCTTGAGCTTGTCAATTCTCAAGATTGTGTGCTACTTTCAAGCAGATTGAGTATTAAACTTGACATGATTGTGGTCATGAACACGCTAGACTAAGAACATGCATAAGCGACAGGTATACAAGTACATCCGCGCCCGAAAGAAAAAGAGATGGTTCATATCCGAAGGTTTATCGTTCCAATTGAGCGCGTGATTTAAACAATGGTCTCTAGCTCGCGAGCATAACCCAATGCATTCTCGATCACGGTTCCGCTGGCCATCAGGATATCCTTCTCAGACCTGGCAGCCGCCTCAGGCTCGACAGGGAAGAATATCCGGCCATCGCGGAGGATCCAGCCACGCTGTTGAGCGAACTCAATGACGGCACCCTCAGACTCAAGGAAAAGGAGGTTCTTGGCGTTGGAGATAGGAAGGGAAGGGTATGCTTTCTCGGAGCAGTCTGCGATTTCACTGCGGATGGTACCGATGAGGACCTGAAGATGGGGGGTTAGTTTCTTTGTTTCGGCAGTTTAATGATTCCACATCGGTTCGATGCAACTTACATTAGAGAAGAGACCGAAATCTTCGGACGGAACACGCTCGGACTTTGTCTCCCTCCACACCTTGTCGTAGCTGCCTTCCATCAAGTTGCGCTCCAACTCAACGGGGTACTTGATGTATGCATCGTCCTCGACACGACCGCCCTTCAAGCTTGCCTCTTCCACCAGACCCTCAAGCACTGTGTGGAAATTGGCGCTGTCGCCCATGCTCAAAAGAAGAAGCAGGTACAGCCCCGTCACCTTGCTGCGTTGGCTTGTGCTGAAGTCAACTTCTGATGAAGTCTGTCCTGGCAGACCAGCATGTCTCTCGATGTCGTAGAATGGCTGCAGTTGCTGGTAGTATCGTGTGAACAACTGAGCGTCGGTCTGGCGGATTGAGGCAAGGGCTCCGAGCTCAAGGACTTGGCGTGCGAGGACAACAAGCTGGGGAGGTGTAGATGGGGCGGGAATCAATGCGTTTTGCATAAGCAGAGCTCGCTTGGCACGGCTGAGAAGGTCGTTGGCGGCATCAAGCTGCTTGCGCTCGAGAGCACCGTGGAGCTCTGACACAAGGGACTGTAGATCGGACATGGCGGTAATGTGGATTTAGAACGATGCTGAGAAGATGGAAAATATAGCCTAGCCGTAGCCTGACGAGAGGAGTGACTTTATCGGCGAGCGAGATAAGGAATTCGGGTTTTGAGGTGATGGTTGTTGGCGCTATGCCGATGCCCATGACGGAGCTGTCGCGGGCGGTCAGATGGTGGTCACGTGTAAACATTTTCTGGCGGAATTTGCTGGGCGGTCAGACGATGTTCTTGAAGCTATCCAGAAGCTGCGCAGTTGAATAGTCTGGAGAGCTTATTGAAAATATCTATAAACATACTTTGACAGCTAATATTACGCTTCTGCTAAATGGATAAGACTCATTCATCAAAACATGTCAGATTTATCAATCTGATCATTTCAAAGCATAATCATTTGGCTAACCCATCTCACAATGCCAGCTTCAAGATCTCCTGGAAAGCAGGTGTACCTAGCCCGGTCACTGGGTCCCATCCTTCGGTGGCATTCCAGCTAGCACCAGGGACCATTGGGGTAGGAACGCCAGACCAGCCGTGGCAGCCCGAGGATCCACCATGAACGATGTCTGTAAATCCTCGCAGTCCACCGCCATATAGCCAAGGGTTGAGGAAGCCCATTCGCGGTTTACCTTGCGCAAGACGAACAGAATTCAACCGAGAGATAATACCCGCCAACACTGGAGCCGAGGCACTGTTCTTCTGTCAGTCTATCGGGTGTCTGTCCAGGGAATGGAAAACATACCTTGTACCACTCACTGGGATCCATTGATCATGGTCGCGAACAACAAAGCTCTGTGCCTGTGCTGAAACATCCGGGAGGCCCCTGCCATTAGGATTGTAAAGCCCTTCCCACTTATTGCCTAAAATGTTGAGATAGCCTTGCACAGCCTGGTCTTGGTATGAGGGACGTGGGAATACCTCCGAGAATCCACCTCCAGAGAAAGAGGTGGCGTGCTCGGGACTGACACCGTGTGTGCCTCCCACGGAAGTGACAAATGGACAAGTACTCGGATATTCTGGAAGGAACCTGGTTCTATTTGTTCCGTCATTCATCAAACAAGAGCCTCCCACGCCAGCATCTCCACTGCTGAAAAGAATCGACACTCCTCGTGCTGCAAGCTGTGCAAAGAGACTGCAAGTGGAATTCAAGTAAGAGGCTGGGAGACTCTGCTCGTTTTCTCCGTACGAGTTTGAGAGAACTGCAGGTAGATCTTCGTCGGACAGGCTGAGAAGGTAATGGAGTTGCTCAAGGTAAGGTTCGTTGGTGATATCGGCTTCCGAGAGGTTCGCCGGAGTGCCAATCTCAGGGACAAGAGGACCGCGTCCACCAGTGGTGTAGAATGTCGTGAGGACTTGATCTGTCATCGCAATAGAGTATTGTATGTCCAGACTGGCTTCAACGCTGTCGAGACCAGAATTCTGATCATTCTTCCCGCCATTGATTGAAACGACGGTGAAATTCTCGTTCACCTGGTCTGGTGCGTAACGGGCCAGGAACACATCCAAATCCCCATGGCGGGCATATTGTTCCAGATAGCCAGATATTCCCAGTCGGTTGCGCGGATCGGGTGTGGTGGTTTCATTGCCAATACCGTACAGATTCTTCAGACAAGCTGGTGTGATATACGTGCCGCATCCAGCATCCAGCTGCTCCGAGCTCACGGGTGCCTGATCAGGCTTGATGATCGTGCTTTTGTGCGGGTCAAAAGTGCCAAACCGGGTTGTGGGTTGAATGAGCTGGATGTGTGGACGCAGACCACTGGGCACAGAATACTCGAGGGTTCTGATGGCAGTGGATTTCTGGGCCTCGTTATGGTAGTAGTGGAACTGGGTCTTTAGCATTTGTTCGGCTTGAGAGATTGGCACAGTGAACAAGACCCAGTCACCATCTGGAACAATGCTGTTGGCTGGGACATGTTCGGTTCGGAGCCAAGCCAGAATCTGCTTCATGATGGCAGGGGATGGGCGAAGCTGCTTTTTCACTTCATCTCGCTTCATGTGCTGGCCATAGCTGGGGTGACCTGGAGTGGAAAGATCAATCACCTTCTGCTCAAAGCTTGCGGTGTTGTTTTGGGTGATTGCAAGACGAAACTGGATGAGCTGTGTAGGTCGAGGCTTGCTCTGCTTGGACCATCCGTGGGGAGCAGCTTCGAGTTTTTCAACTCGTTGATAATTGAGACCAGGAAGGGCTGATGCTATTTGGAAATAGCAAAGCACTAGGCATAGTGCCTGCAAAATAAAGGATTGAGGTCGCATCTGGAGATGTGGTGAAAGACGTGGAAGTGAGAAGGCGAGAGAGCAAGAGAAAGGTGTCAGAGCTGGAATAGCAAACTTGGGTCTGGGGGGATATGCCAACGCCCCAAAGCCAATATACCACCACACAAGATCGACGACACCCTTTCACTCCCATCATCACAGGACACCGTCAGCGCCGGAACTACAAAAGTACAAGGTTGCATACCGGAATCATAGTTCCATGATGACTTTGGTATTTCAATGAAGCTTCCATTATGCTCCAGATCTCCAATTGAGCAGACCAGCAGCGGAAGCTGGGTGTCTAGCCGGGTTAATATCAATTGAAGTCGACGGGATAGTCAAATATACACAAATATGAGATCCTCACCAGCCAATTGTACACCGCTAGGATTGATCTTCTGTTTCGAATTGTTTCAAGCTCTGTATCACCCCATGCACACCGCAAGACTCTCCATGTCTTGTGGTCTGCCCAGGTGCCTGGGAGGCCCGACGAGATCTAGACTGTGTGACCCATCTGTTCTCATGTGTGCGATTCTCCATTCTCAGGGGTACCCAGATTGGAATATGAATATGAGATTGTCCCAAGTAAATGAGCACACGAGCACACGAGCACACAAGCCAATCGAAGTACTAGATAGAGATCAGTGAGATTGACAGTTTCTGCCTGACGGTTTCTGCCTGAGAATTGTGTCTGCCTGAAGCATCCACCGGAACATCAAGGATCCGCAAAATGCGGGATGATCGACGTCACAGAGATTGAATCACTTGGAGATCACTGAATCATCGAGTCTAGCCCCCATCGATTTTGCTAGGCAACTTTTAGGAGCTGCACAGTGCTCTTTTAGTTCATTTTCTTCATTTTGATTCCCCAACATATTGTTAAGGGGAAATTATCAAAGCTTCACAAAGTGCGGGGTGGCATGATCCAATCGACGTCATTGCTTTGGTTCCCTTTATAACTCGTCCCCCTTCTAATCCTCCCTTCTCACTACCTCGTCATGGCCGAATTACAGCAGCGTCGGTTGTCAGCGGATAACCAGACCATTTCAAAGGCCGAAATCCCATTGAAAGAACGCTTCTTCCGCTACTTCCAGAATGAGATTACTAGTACAGTACCGTATTGTTATCTTCGGAGCACTCACTAACGTAATTCTAGTGTTGCAAGAAAGAATGGACCATCTGTCGAGTACAGCTCTGGTAGGCGGCGAACGGGCTGACGCAACAGACCACTGTCTGGCTGGGATTGTCCGTCTGTCAAACGAAGTCAAGGATGCCGCGAGTTACATTCCAACGTACGATCAGAGGGTCTATGCAGAGGTACAGAGGGAGAGACTTGGCGCGTTGGAAAACACTAACCTCTCTCTAGGCAATCAAAGCTCTGCAGGACAGACTGAGTGAGATACGTACAGCATTCGAACCTCGGTCCAAATTCAGCTTCAAGAACAAAAAGAATGCATCTGCCATTTCCATCTCGGATGCCGCGGCCTTGGCAGTGGAGGGTAGACTCAACGTTCCCGGCTACCATTCTCCAGGTGCATCGTCCGTGGATTCATCCGCCGCCCACACACCCAACTATCCCTCCACACCACTAAACGAGCCCGACAAGCAGCAACAAGAGAGACCAGAGCTCGCACCCACTTCGTGTCCCGGCGTATCGGTTGATGATTTCGGCTCGAAGTCGCGTTCGGACAGATTTGCAGCCACTGGCATCTCATCCGTCTCTGTCGACGATCATTATGGCTTGCATATAATGCTTCCATCTTCTGGATCAACATCCACCGTTCCCGCATCCATCACCTCCCTCGATCACTGCGTAGTGGACATGTCTATTCCTACCGCCAACGGAAAGCCTTACGCCAGTCTGACTGCCAAGGGTGTGAAAAGTAGCTTGTTGGTCTGTGGCCAGGTCAATGGCCCCGCCCACGTCACTGGTCTTGAACGGAGCGTCATGGTAGTCTCCTGCCGTCAGTTCCGCATGCATAACTGCAGCAACGTCGATGTGTATCTTAGTTGCTCCAGCAATCCCATCATCGAGGACTGTTCCAATATCCGATTTGGCCGGATCCCAAAAGCATATGTCAGTAATTTTCTCATATGCCCTCTATCTCTACTCACGTTTTCTCTAGGCATTGAGACATGATAGACCCGATCACGAAGAGCGTTGGAGCCAAGTCGAGGACTTTAAATGGATCAAGACTGAGCCAAGCCCAAATTGGAGCTTGCTTGATCCTAATGATGCGGTGCCAGAAGAGGTTTGGGCAGAGATCGTTCCTGGCGGGCCGGGATGGTCTCTCGATGACATTTTACAGGCCATAAAAGTGCTCAAGCACTAGGCTCACTTGACGTCTATTTCTTGGACTCAGAATTCGTTTAAGCGACTACGTCGGCGCTCATCGGATATGTGATATTTACATTGAATACTGGTACTTATACTCACTCTCTTTTAGTTTATTAGCAGATGGAAAATCATACGAAAAAGGCATTCGCGGAGGGATGATGTGAATTCATAACGAACTGTGACAACGATGTATTGATAGCTACAGAAAGTACCTCTAATCAAATATAAAAAACAAAAATAGCAACTCTGCTTCTGTTTCCAATATCGAGTTTCTTCCAAGCTTCCATAGCTTGGATCTTAGGAGCTCAAAACTTCAACTTGAATGCCAGAACTTGAGTGTCAAGGCTGTAGCCAGATGTATCCTTGTAATCGAACTTGCCAAAGTTCAAGTGCCCTAGAAGAGTCAAGAGTTAGTTTTCGACTGTCATTCAAAATAAAGGGGATACCCTCACCATCCTGAGTCATGAAATCATTGTCACTGAAACTGAACAAGAAATACTCTTGACCAGCTTGATGAGCACCCCCAGAAGGATTAGCAGGAACAACAGCCAGACTCTCCCACTTCTCATTCAAAAGGTACTTATCCGAAGGGCCACCATTATGAAGTCTGAACTTGCCCAGCTCCGAATTCACATTATAATCCACGAAAGAGCAATACTCAGCCGGAACAATACCAGGGAACAAAACGCCCTCTTTCGAAGCAATCGCACCACCAGCATCATCATAATTCTTCAATCCCCTCAAATCAGTAGCCGGAGTTTCTCCCTTCAAAGAGAAAACATCTGCATGCCGATAAACAGACCTCGTATGCTTCTTCCCACGTCCAAACCCAGCATCACGAGAAAGAACCAAGAAATCACCAGATGGCAACTGATGAACTTCAGACTGACTAGCAACACCATATGCCTTCTCCTCATCCTTCTCCGTATAATCCCAATACTTGGGCAACATCACAGCATACTCATGTGCAAGAACAGGCTCCGACTTCGAAATATCATAAGCAAGCAATCGAACAGGTGAGCGGGATACTTTCTCTGGCCCACCCTCCTGGTTGAGCGAACTCTGCAAAAGCGCATATAACATCCCCCCATCCGCAGAGACAGTAACACCCTCCAGACCCTGATTATTATTCCGTCCAGACTCAGCGTAGACAGGAACAGGTCTGGCCTGGGGACTGTACAGGGGCGGGGAATTCGAATTGAAACTCAATGTCCCGTTTCGACGAGGCAGGTACGCAGCAGGCGGTTGGATTGCGTGAACCATGCGGCCCTGTGCATTGAATTTGTAGATGTAGGGTCCGTATTCGTCGGATATCCAGAACCCGTTATCCCGGATATCAAGCGCTGTGCCCTCGGAGTCAACTGAGACTCGCTTGCCGCCTGGTCCGGGTCCGCCGTAGCCATCGCCTGGGTATGTGGCTACAGGGAGGGGTGGGAAACCAGTGAAAGAGGCGTGGCCGTCTGCATCGGCGTCGAGGGCTGTGACGGGGTGACCTTCTGGGTCGGTGAGGAGGATTGTATCGAGGTATTTGAGGTTGATGTTTGGGTTGGATGGATTGCGCAATGTTGCATTTGGTGCGAGGTTCAGGGTTATGGCGAATTTGTGAATACGGGATTGGAAATTGAGAGTTCCATTTGTATTCCTGTGTGTATTAGAATATGCTATATGCTCTTGTGTGAGTTGAGTCTTGGTCTTACCAGCCTCGATCTGGGGTCGCGTAGACGGTTCCAGAGTAGCCATCTGGACTGGTCTTTTGCCAGGAGGATTGGTTGAAGGCAATTGAACTGCCGATTCCTCCGATTGTGTCGCCGTATTTGTCTGTGGCGTTCGAGGGGATGAATCCGTAGCCGGCGAGGCCGGTGTACTTGTAGCTTGTTCCGCCGCAAGTCGTCTGGTTGACGACGTGCTCGGCAGCTTTCACTGTTGCGGATAGAAGAGCGACGGCTAGGGTCAATTTCATGATGGTGAAAATGAATTGAGTGTGTGTATGGTTGCTTTGAATGACATTGTCCTTTTATACCTTGGTATAGATTGAGTCGTTTCAGCTATACTTTTGCGTACAACACAGGGTATGGAGCCAGCGCTCTGACGAAAGCATTACTCGTACAATGTGATGAATATGCGGGGATCAATGTCCATCGAAATATCCGCCTGTCGATTACTTGGACATGGGCGAAAATCATTGCCGTGACAGGTATGTAGAGCCTAGATGCTATCTGATATGGAAGTGGGGAGGCTCGCACGCTGTACTTGGTACACCAGTGTCTTTTTAGACTCGCGTGAGTTAAAATAATTGAATTACTATCTATCTTTCAAGTTAGTTCAAATTTTACATTCTATGTATTCCAAGTGGTAGGCAGTTTCGGGTAATTTTTCGCGTGGAAGCCCAAGTCTTGATAGACGGTTGCGTCCCCTGCATTAGTTCCAAGTTAATTCAAGCTCGAAAAGTAGAGATCAACAGAGGAACATACCACTCAAAGTACTGATCCGGTGTTCATTTTCATCTTCCAGTCTCTCCAACTCTTGGCCGGGCTCCTCCTCGTGAGGTAACTTTTCTCCTTGAGAACTGGCAGCTTTGCCAAGATCATTCTGTGCCTCGCCGATCATGAGGAATTGGGAATTGGGATATTCCAAAAATTCGGGCTCCAGTGGTACCCACCGGAGGTCTCCGAACTTTTTGAGAACCCTGACAAAAACAAATCAATACTTCGTCTGTTGGTATCTACTTCGAAGTAGACTTACGTTTCAGGAAACTCTGGATTCTGAGGCAATTGACCAATCGGGGGGCCAGGAAACTTGGGATTTTTGGATTGAACAAGCCAACTGCCACGTTCCCGGAGCCCAAAGTCCTCTTGAAGAGCGCCGAGCTCAGAAGGTATAGTCAGGACATAGGCAAGATGAGATGCCCGAGGTGTGTGAGTAATCGCGTAAACACCTTCTGCGTATGGCCTGGCTTCCTCGGTATGACGCTCCCCCCTCGTAGCAGTTTGGTATGTTTTACCGGCCATGAAATTCTCCTGCAAAGCCTGCATGGACTGACCTGCCTTTTCCACGAATCCCATGTCTCGTTCTTTGCTTGAGGTTGGGAATTTCTTCTTCGGCAGCATCATCAATCGGCACTGGGCGCCCTTGTCAACGGGGCCTTGGTCATTATCGAACTCGGCCCCGAAGGGAGTTGGGCGAAGAACAAAGAAGCTTCGGGCTACATCCCCAATACTGTGAGGATCCTCGACATCGACGCGTGGGCGGAAGAAGAAATAAATGAAGCCTTTCTCCAGAATATTGGAGGATACCACGTTTTCCCTCTCTTCGGATTTGCGAACACCCCCTGCCTCGGTACTGGCCTTTTGGTCCGGCGGGTGTTGGCCTGGAGCATGCTCTCCAGATGGCTTTTCGTCCTTTGTCGGGACTTCGAGTTCCGACGCTGGAGGCTCGCCCACCGAAGTGATCGGTGCTTGTTCGGGTGTTGCCTCGGGCTTGATATCCTCCTTGCTTATATCCTCTGTTTTCTCCTTTTTCGGGAGTGGTGCTTCATGAGGCGGCGCTTTTCGTTTGGTGCCCGCCGTGGCCTTAGTTGGTTCGGCGGTAGCTGCGATAGCCTCCTTGGCCTTGGCGGCAGCGTGGCGGGAAGAGGTTCGGGGAGCCATTGTCAATCACTGAAAACAGAAAGACATCGACGAATTTGCAGTATGGTGACAGGTAGCGATTGTGAGGTTGGGATCGTGAGTGACGTCGGGGCGAATGATATATACATGACGTCATCGCAAAGGACTGGAGTCCACAGCGACCAGGACCCCCTGTGAGAACTTTAGAGTATCTCAGTCGATGTCCATCTCATCAGGCGAGTTAGCTGTAGTGTCTATGCCACTACACTCGGTCGAACGTGCGTCGGAGCATGAGCTTTCGTCCACATTCACATCGCGGAAAGCTTGGAATGAGTTCGTAACAGGAGAATCCTCGAGGGAATCACTTCGTCGCTTTTTGGATCTCTGTTCCTGCCCTTGCTGCATATCTGATGATGCTCGTCCATGGTAGCCACCCTCATGCCTGGGTGCGTGGGCCAACTTCCTCTTCTGTCCTTGCTTTCGGGGGACCGTAGATGTGCCATGTTGCCCATCGGCCTCGTAGTTCAAGTCATTCATGTATTCTGACAAGTCACGCTGCCATCGTTCAAATCGATCTGGCAGGCGAAGTAGGTTCCGTCGTGGTGTATCGGGCTCATCCTCGGGCTCTTCGACGGCATATGGCCTGATGATCCGAACCCCATCATCGCCAAGAGAATCCGAATCTTGTGCAGGGGTCGAAGGGCCGGAGTCGTCCACACTTAGCTCACTTTCATCCGTTCCTGTGGTTGTATGGCTCGATGTATTCCACACCTGCGGTAGAGGTGAATGGTGGGAGAGCGGAGGGACTTCGGCCGAAGAGTCCATGTTATCATGAGTGCGATGCGAGCCACATGAATAAAAATAGTTCAACTGAGCCACAGTGGTATTTAATTTGGGTATAGTTATGTCCCAATTATCCAATATGGGAATAAGGAGTACAAGTAAGTCTCCCAAGGGGGGATAAAAGGGCATGGAAGTCACAAGAAGGAATTGGTCCTGGCAACCATTTCCAGATGCTTCCAGCGCGGAGTACGGGGTATACATTACTACAGTTAACTATGTGAGGATATACATTGACTTATCTCCACATAAAAGTCCGGGGTATGAGTATCAATTTGAGGAAATATCAGCAGCTATATTTTCTGATACATTTAATACAAAATCCGATCCATATTTCTTACATTTTCGTACTTTTTGTCTTGGTCCTGCGTGTTTCTCATAGTTAAGAACTTAAGCTCCCCTGACCGCTCACCGCCCGGGAGCATGATTGGCCCGTCAGCCGCTTGCACAATAGACACGTTTGGTTTACCTTCAACTCCCCAACTGTTGACATTGCTCGATTTCCGATTCCTTTTCTTTGGCAGTGGATGCGGTGGTCGCCTCTGCCTTCTTTTGATCTCTAGTGTGCGGAGCTTGCGACTTTCCAGTGCGGCTCCGGCCAAATCGTCAAGATGCAGTCCTCCCCAAACATGCTCACCAAGGTACGCCCCTCGTCAATGGCAGATGCGCCCATCACTATTTCGCAAAGTCGGAGATGCTAATCCACCTGGGTTTGAATTAGTTTGAGTCCAAATCTTCCAGAGCCAAGGGAATCGCATTCCACCCGAAACGGTCAGTCACTTGTGGAGGGGACACCTAGCCAGAGCATCCCGAACTGACCTCCGAATAGACCATGGATTCTTGTCTCTCTCCACTCCTCCACCATCCAATTGTGGGACTACCGCATGGGAACCCTCATTGACAGATTCGAAGAGCACGATGGACCCGTCCGTGGTGTAGATTTCCACCCAACCCAGCCCCTGTTTGTGTCCGGAGGCGATGACTACAAGATTAAAGTCTGGAACTACCAGACCCGGAGATGTTTATTCACATTGAATGGCCACTTGGATTATGTCCGGACGGTATTCTTCCACCCGGAGCTACCTTGGATCCTGTCTGCGTCCGATGACCAGACCATCAGAATCTGGAACTGGCAAAACCGGTCACTAAGTAAGAGAGGCATTGAAGCCGGCACTGGCAACTTGAGCTGACAATTGGGTTTCTTATAGTTTGCACTATGACCGGCCACAACCACTACGTGATGTGCGCCCAGTTCCACCCTACCGAAGACCTCATTGCCTCGGCCTCCTTGGACCAATCCGTTCGCATTTGGGATATCTCCGGCTTGCGCAAGAAGCACTCGGCCCCGACTTCGATCTCCTTCGAAGACCAGATGGCCCGAGCCAATCAGAACCAAGCCGATATGTTTGGCAACACCGATGCAGTTGTCAAGTTCGTGCTGGAGGGACACGACCGTGGGGTGAACTGGGTGTCGTTCCACCCAACACTGCCTTTGCTCGTTTCCGCAGGTGACGACCGACTGGTGAAGCTCTGGCGCATGAGTGAGACCAAGGCGTGGGAGGTCGACACCTGCCGCGGTCATTTCCAGAATGCCTCCGCCGCTCTCTTCCACCCGCACCAGGACCTCATCCTCTCCGTTGGCGAGGATAAGTCAATTCGGGCCTGGGATCTGAACAAGCGCACCTCTGTACAGTCTTTCAAGCGCGACCTCGACCGATTCTGGGTTATTGCTGCCCACCCCGAAATGAACCTGTTTGCCGCAGGCCACGATACCGGTGTCATGGTCTTCAAGCTTGAGCGAGAGCGCCCTGCCTCTGCTATTCACCAGAACCAGCTGTTCTACATCACAAAGGAGAAGCATGTAAAGATGTATGACTTCGCCAAGAATGTCGAGTCTCCTCCCATGCTCTCATTGCGCAAGCTTGGCTCCCCATGGGTTCCTCCCCGAACCCTCTCCTACAACCCTGCTGAGCGCGCTATTCTGGTCACCACACCCGCCGACAATGGTACTTATGAGTTGATCCATCTTCCCCGGGATGCTACCGGCGCCGTGGAGCCCACAGACGTTAAGCGTGGACAGGCAACCTCTGCTGTCTTCGTTGCCCGCAACCGTTTTGCTGTGTTCAACCCCTCGAGCCAGGTGGTCGACATCAAGGATCTCAGCAACTCCACAACCAAGACCATCAAGCCCCCAGCTGGAACAACCGATATCTACTTCGGTGGCACCGGATGCCTCCTTTTCATCACCCCTACACATGTCGTTCTGTTCGATATTCAACAAAAGAAGCAGCTGGCCGAGATTGCCGTGAGTGGTGTGAAGTATGTGGTTTGGTCTAATGATGGTCTTTACTGCGCTCTGCTGAGCAAACACAACGTCACGATTGTCACCAAGACCCTCGAGCAAGTTAGCACCCTGCACGAGACAATCCGAATTAAGAGTGCTACTTGGGACGATGCTGGTGTGCTTCTTTATTCCACCCTCAACCACATCAAGTACTCTCTTCTCAACGGCGACAACGGCATTATCCGCACCCTTGACCAGACCGTGTATCTAGTGCGCGTCAAGGGACGCAGCGTTTACGCTCTTGACCGCAATGCCCAGCCCCGTATTTTGGAAATTGACCCAACTGAATACCGCTTCAAGCTCGCTTTGGTCAAGCGGAACTATGATGAGATGCTGCAAATCATCAAGACCTCAAGCTTGGTTGGCCAGAGCATCATCTCTTACCTTCAGAAGAAGGGCTACCCCGAGATCGCCCTGCAGTTCGTCCAAGATCCCCAGACTCGCTTTGACCTTGCTCTCGAGTGTGGTAATCTCGAGGTTGCTAATGAGATGGCCCGGGAGTTGGATCGCCCCAATTTCTGGACCAGACTCGGAACCGAGGCATTGGCTCATGGTAACCACCAGACTGTTGAAATGACATACCAGAAGCAGCGAAACTTTGACAAGCTCTCTTTCCTGTACCTCGCCACTGGTGATCAGGAGAAGCTTTCTCGTATGGCTAAGATTGCCGAGCACCGCGGTGATTTCACATCTCGCTTCCAGAACGCTGTCTACCGGGGAGATGTCGAGGACCGTATCCAGATGTTCAAGGAGGTCGACTTGTACCCCCTCGCCTATTTGACTGCCAAGTCACATGGTCTGGCTGAAGAAGCCGAATCAATCCTCGAAGCTTGTGGTCTCACGGAAGACCAGATTGGTTTGCCCACTCTTGAGCAGCCCCTGCAGGTCCCTCACCCAATTGTGCCCACATTCAAGTCCAACTGGCCCGTCAAGACTGCCGGTCACTCTTCATTCGAGAAGGCTCTCCTTGGAGAGGTTGGTGTCGACGAAGATGTTGGTGCTGATGGATACGATGTTGAGGAGGAGGAGGAAGAAGCCACTCTCGCTCGGGACACCCTGGACGATGATGACGAGGAGCCCTCAGGGTGGGACATGGGAGACGATGTCACTATTGAGGAAGATGTCGACTTCGTGAATGTGGAAAGCGCCGAGGCTGGGGCCGCTGGTTCCGAAGCTGATCTCTGGGCTCGCAACTCTCCGTTGGCCGCGGATCATGTCGCTGCTGGCTCTTTCGATACTGCCATGCAGCTTTTGAACCGTCAAGTTGGCGCTGTCCAGTTTGCTCCCCTGAAGTCTCGATTCCTTGACATTTACAAGGCCACCAAGACATACCTCCCGGCGAGCGCTGGTCTGCCGCCCCTGGTCAACTATGTGCGCAGAACTGTCGACGAGACCGACTCTCGCAAGATGCTCCCCATTATTCCTGGGGACCTCGAAACCATTGCCACCGTCGACTTGCAGGAAGGCTATGCTGCTATGCGCTCCAACAAGCTAGAGGACGGCGTAGCCACCTTCAAGAGAATTCTGCACACTTTGCTTGTCAACGCTGTCTCGTCCGAGGCTGATGTGGAACAGGCCAAGAAGATCATTGCCACTGCTCGTGAATACATCCTCGCTATGTCCATTGAACTTGAGCGCCGAACACTCTCCACCGACACCCCCGAGAATCTCAAGCGTAGCCTTGAACTGTCTGCCTACTTCACCATTCCCAAGCTTGAGGTTGCTCACCGCCAACTTGCTTTGATGGCTGCGATGAAGCTCGCATTCGCCAACAAGAACTATGGCTCCGCCTTGAGCTTTGCCAACCGGATGCTGGCCAACGGAGGCTCGGCTAAGCTCTTGGAACAGGTAAGATCTAAAATCATCGGTCAATCGGAACTCGATACTAACTATCAAAACCAGGCCAAGAAGATCAAAGCCCAATGCGAACGCAACCCGCAAGACCAGATTGACATTGACTTCGACCCCTTTGCCGAGTTCGACATCTGTGCCGCTTCTTACACCCCCATTTACAACGGCTCTCCCAGTGTGTCGGATCCCTTCACCGGCGCCAAGTACCACCCCCAGTACAAGGGCAGTGTGGACCGGATATCCGAGGTCACCGAGATCGGCGCGCCGGCCAGTGGTCTGCGTCTGTTTGTCCCCAGTCAATTTTGATTGCAGAATGACGAAGCTCAACGGTTTTTCTACCTTTTTTCTCTCTTCCTGATATGAAGTCACAAAATGGGTTTTCATCTGCATGCGGAGAAGTTGTGTTTGGCGGCGCTTTTTATTTCATTGGCCGGGAGAAAGACAAAAAAACTTCCTGCACACACCTGTCTAGATGTCATTTTGTACCCAAGATTATAATTGCTTAGCGGTCTAGTTTGTATGCGAACATGTTTGTCCAAGTCTCGAGTCTAGATGGATAGTAATACTCCATTAGTGTTAGTGTATGGTGAGTGATGGTAGTACAGTTTATGTTCATTCGCCAGAAAATGCAATATCTAATGTACAAAGGAGATGTCCCAATCCCAAGAGTAGAGAGTAAACCACAACTTCAAGTCAAGAATTAATCACACCGTCCATCCTTCCACCCACTACGCCACCTCTCCTCCCAAAACCGACAATCAAACTCCTTCTTCCCCAATTTCCGATTCACCTCATTATGCGCCTCACACATCCACCATCCAAACTCCTTCCTACTCCCCAACTTCGGCTGATTCCGTCCACTCGGATGAGCCATCCACGCCTGGAAATCATCCGCACATACCCAGCACGGATACAATTTGGAGAAAAACTTCAAGAATCCTTCCATGTTGCTCTGGTGTTCTGTGCTGGCTTTTTCGGGGTATGTAGCTGCCATTGAGTGCAGGAGTGTCCATGTTGAGCGGCCTAGTTGTTCAACGTCTGGTGGACAGTCGGAGGGGAGTTCGCTTGGTGAGGGTGTTGCTGCGGCTGCGAGGGCGGGTGTTGCGGCTGTGCTGGGGTTTGTAGCATTCTTCTTGTCTGCTTGCTTGGTTAAGGCACGCCATGACGAGAGGGAGGAACAGGTGCGACAACTGTGCATGTTAGCTTGCTGTATTGCAGACTGGTGTTTGGTACGTACGGCTTTCCGTCCTTGTCGAGAACTACTCCCTTTGGTAGGGCGTCCTCGCTTTTGGACTCTGCGGGGATGTTTTGGAACATCTGTGCTGTGTTTTTGTATTGGGTTGTCTGCTCTGGTTGAACTTCGACCATTTTGCTGGTTTTTGTGCTTAACTCGAGTGTAATTGTGGAAAGTGTGAGCGTGGAAGTGCCTCGGAGTTGATTTCTAATAGATTGCGGAGAACGGAGGCGAAACCACTGGTGCTGTAGCTGACGGTCAAGCTGCAAGGACTTGGTATTGTGTCAATTCCTGGATTGCACTTATAGAGCTATCAGATAGTCGAATTATATAGCATTCAATTTAATGTGGTAAATGTTGTCTGATGCAGTATGCAAGCGCAATGTCATGCCGATCTTTGTCAGCCGCGCGCTTTGCTTTGTGAACACGCGCTTTTTCTTTCAACTTTTGTTATTTTCCCTTTGTATATTGCTATTCATTTTAATCGGACGCATTTGCACGCCACTGCCAGCCACATCTATTGCATACCCACCGAGGCACTTCAGCTCCATCCATCACCAGCATCACCAACATGCCGCCGAAGTATAGAATGTCCGACTCCGAGTCTGAAGCAGAGGCCGAAGCCCCTTCTACTCACTCAGATCACTCGCTAGAGAAAGCCCTCCGCGAACAAGTCGCTTCTATATTCAAGTCGGGCAATATGGCGGAATTGACCGTGAAACGCGTGCGACATGCGGTGGAAAACAAACTAGGTCTCACAGCAGAGTACTTCAAGACCACGGGGGATTGGAAAAAAAGAAGTGAGGAGATTATCAAGGAGGAATTTGTACGTCTTCTACGTTCCAACGCAATTACATTTTGACAGGTATTGATTGCGATGGCACAGGACACACAAGATGCCGCGGCGCAAAATCCCGAGCCACCAGCCAAGAAATTACCCTCGCCTGCACCTCAGAAACAGGCCTTGACCAAACGATCCAAGTCAGCAAGTGTATCCCAACCCCGGAAGCGCCAAAAGACAAAGACACCGGTCTCAGATGATGAGAATGAAAGCGCGCCCTCGGTTGCATCTGATGGGGAAAGTGACGAAGTGACGACATCTACGGCGCGATCAAAACCTGTGAAGAAAGCACCGGGGAAATCTAAAAAGCCGACCAAGGAAGATTCAGAAGCTTCTGATGTTGCTGGGAATACCTCGGATGTGCCCGAACCAACTACAACCAAGGATGACTCCGAAAGCGAGATGTCAGTGGTGATGGATGAAGAGCCAAAACCCAAAGCTGCGCGCAAGCCAAAGAAGAGCGCAGACGGTCCCTCTAAACCGAAGAAGGCCCCAAAGGCCAAACCCAAGGCCAAGGACGAAGATATCAGCCCTGACCAGGCTGAGATCAAACGATTGCAGGGGTGGCTCATCAAGTGCGGGATCCGGAAGCTGTGGGGTAAAGAGCTGGCTCCATTTGATACTCCCAAGGCCAAGATCAAGCATCTGAGGGGCATGCTTGAAGATGCTGGAATGAAGGGACGGCCATCTCAAGAAAGGGCGAACCAGATCCGCGAGGAACGCGAGTTGAAAGCTGATCTAGAGCTCATCACAGAGGGTGAGAAGACTTGGGGTGCGAAGAGTGAAGAGGAGGATGATGATAAGCCTCGACGTCGGCTGAATCGGGGACGCCAGTCGCTTGCCTTTTTAGACAGCGATGATGGCGAAGAGACTGATTGATACCATTATCCTTTCCCGTACTGAGTGAGCCTTGTTGTTGATGAAGGACCAGAAGCATAATTATTGTCCTTTCACTTGTTTCATGTTCCGTGAGGCCATAATATACAATAGGGATTATGCCCATCACCGTGCACTTTTGGGACCGCTCAGGCGCTGGGCTGTCAGACTGAATATCGCAACAGAAGAGATGAAGAGGACGAGGTTGTAGAACTGCTTTCATGTTAGGTCATTGTTGTGTCTTGGAAACTGGGGGACTTGCAGCCTTTCGCGAGTACTCGTTCTCCTCGGCCTCTGTTCGAGCCTCGACAAAGAGGCGTCGTAAATTAGGGAGGTTTGCCTAAGAAATTAGCCCTAGCCAGACAGACCATACTCGAATATCTTACCATTGTAGATGTATAGACGGGGCTCAGGAACAAAAAGGAGAGAGGTACGGAGGAGTCGAGGCGGGAGAGTCCAGAAGCCGCCATTTGTGGACAACTTTTGATCGTCCACCCTTTCTCTCTCCCCCATTCTTCTCCCTGAAAATCCCCCACACCTTTGGTGGTCCTATCTCTTTCTCTCTCTAGTCTGGATTTGCTGACTGGATAGCCTGAACGCCTGAACTCGACCTCGCGCGACCGTGAACCTCTGCCCCCCGCGCTCACACTACTCGAATCCCCCCCATCCCCGAATCTCTAGGCGGAGGCACGACTTGGTCGTTGCTGAAGCTTACATCTACTCGCAATGGCGATGAACAAAATTCGCGGCGCCTTTGCGGTGCCCCGGAAAGGAGAGACGTTCGAATTGCGAGCTGGACTTGTGTATGCGGCCCCCTCCACAATGCGCTGGCCACCTTGCCACAACGAATATGATGCTAACGATTGAAACAGCTCCCAATATGCCTACGAGCGGTATGTGAACCAGCAAAATCAGCGAAACCTTGACTAGCGGCGAACGGAGAGGGACAGGGACATTGCTGATGACGTGACAGAAAGGAATCAATTCAGAAGACTATTATGGCTATGACCCTGGGGAAGGACGTGTCGGCACTTTTCCCCGACGTGCTCAAAAACATCGCCACCGGGGATCTTGAGCAGAAGAAATTGGTCTACCTCTATCTCATGTGAGCATCGCCGCACGTGTCGGGGTGGCTCATCATGCTAATCGACCAATCTCACCTGCAGGAACTATGCCAAATCGCATCCGGATCTATGTATTCTCGCCGTCAACACCTTCGTTCAGGACTCCGAGGACCCCAACCCGCTGATTCGTGCGCTGGCAATCCGAACAATGGGCTGCATCCGAGTGGAAAAGATGGTGGACTACATGGAAGAACCGCTGCGCAAGACTCTTCGGGATGAATCACCATATGTTCGCAAGACAGCTGCGATCTGTGTCGCTAAGCTGTTCGATCTCAACCCGGTCATGGCACTCGAGAACGGATTCCTCGAGACACTCCAAGAGATGATTGGCGACCCCAACCCGATGGTCGTTGCCAATTCAGTGACTGCACTTTCGGAGATTCATCACTCAGCACCAGAGACGAAGGCCCTGCAGATCAACACCAACAGTCTACGGAAGATGTTGATGGCATTGAACGAATGTACAGAGTGGGGACGAGTCACTATTCTCTCGACCCTGGCCGAGTACAAGACGACTGACGTAAAGGAATCGGAGCACATCTGCGAGCGAGTTGCGCCTCAATTCCAGCACGTTAACTCTGGTGTCGTTCTCGCAGCTGTCAAGGCTGTCTTCTTACATATGAAGAACGTTAACCCCGAATTGTCCAAGACCTACCTCAAGAAGATGGCCCCTCCACTAGGTATGCCCCCTAGCTGACTTTTTCCAATGTGGAATTTTGGCTAATCTGAAATAGTCACATTGGTTTCATCGGCCCCTGAAGTGCAATATGTGGCACTGCGAAACATTGACCTTTTGCTGCAGAAGCAGCCGGACATTCTCCAGAAGGAACTCCGTGTCTTCTTCTGCAAATACAACGACCCGCCATACGTCAAGTTCCAAAAGTTGGAGATTATGGTTCGCATTGCAAACGATCGAAATGTGGACCAGCTCCTGGCTGAATTAAAGGAGTACGCCCTTGAGGTTGATATGGACTTTGTCCGACGTGCTGTTAAGGCAATTGGTCAAGTTGCAATCAAGATTGAAAGCGCAAGCGAACGTTGTGTCAACACACTGCTAGATTTGATCAACACCAAGGTGAACTATGTCGTTCAGGAAGCGATTGTGGTCATCAAAGATATCTTCCGCAAGTACCCCGGATACGAGGGCATCATCCCGACTTTGTGCCAGTGCATTGATGAATTGGATGAGCCAAATGCCCGAGCGGCACTGATCTGGATTGTTGGAGAATACGCCGAGAAGATCAGCAATGCAGGCGATATTCTGGGCGGCTTCGTGGATGGATTCAACGAAGAGTTCTCCTCGGTGTGTTGCCCTTTCTTGATGCGTATACCGACCTTTGCTTACATTCTTTCCTAGACGCAATTGCAAATCCTCACCTCAGTGGTCAAGCTGTTCCTGAAGCGGCCCGAGAAGGCCCAGGGTCTGGTGCAACGGGTGCTCCAGGCTGCAACCGCCGAGAATGACAACCCCGACGTTCGTGACCGAGCTTACATCTACTGGCGTCTTTTGTCCAACACCAGCGATTCCGAGGCAACTAAGAACATTGTCCTCTCAGACAAGCCACCCATCGTCACCACCATCCACTCACTACCCCCAGCACTCCTCGACCAACTTCTTACCGAACTTTCCACCCTCTCCTCTGTCTACCACAAGCCCCCCGAGCAGTTTGTTGGCCACGGCCGATTTGGCGCCGACGCTGTCCAGCGCGCTGCCATCGAGTACGTATCCATCTTGCGCTTACCAACCACCGAACTTACTAACGAATCCACAGGGAACAACTTCAAAACGCACGCGAAAACCCATTGGCCGCGGCAGCCGCCGCCGCCGCCGACGGCACCGCACCCCCTGCGCAGGCGCAAAACAACGTCGAGAACCTGCTGGACATCGATTTCGACGGCGGTGCCCCTGCCTCTGCACAAAACGAGCCGGCAAGCGGCATGTCCGGCCTGGAAGGATTGGCAGGAACTCCTGTCCGAGTTGCCTCCCCTGCCGTTGGCGCCCCCAGCCAAGCCAACAACAACTTGGACGACTTGTTGGGCGTCTTTGGAGACTCGGGACCTGCGCAGCCTTCAGCTGGTGCACCCAGCGGCTCTGCTGATCTGATGAATGGATTCTCTGGTCTGGACCTCTCTGCTAATGGTGGAGGCCAGAACAAGAAATCCAACGACGATATCATGTCGCTCTTCTAGGTGATATAGTGTGGCTAGTATTATATGTGGATGTTTCGCAAGCGAAAATCCGCACTGAAATAGATTGTTTACGTTAATTTTGACTTGTACATATGTACTTAGTATGAGGCTCGCAACCCTAAATGTCCTAGTCAAAGCTTGGCTGTAAGTACCTTGTTGGCCATCTATACTCTTTCGTATATAAATTTCTACCTATAAACTTCTACTTAAGTGACTTGATACTATCACGCCCACAGGAACAGAAATGAGGTGCTCATTAGAGTTGCCACGTTTTCGCCCTGGATCCACCGAAGAAAAAAATAGTCAATTCGGCAATTGGGCCGATTTTGGCCACTTCAGGGCTACTTCAACTACTCACAGTTCGAATAACCTTGCAATTGTAGACAATTGAAGACAATTGCAGATACTTAAGTGCAAATGAAGATATATTCATATTCAACCCTGCAGACAGAATACCTTGATAACTCGCAAGATCCATAGTCCTATCTCCTATCTCTCTCCACACACAACGCTAGCCGTGGGGTCTTCCAAGTTATCTCCGTCGACCTCGGAATGGATCCCTGCTTACCAATTGCTCCAATTCCTCCAATTTGACAAGACTTTCCAATGTGAAGTGGGACTCTGACGGGTATAAATGGGGCAAGTCCCCCCAAGAGGATGGGTCAATTCTCCAACCCAGAACTCTCTAAAATGGCTCAAACAGACTACAAATTCGAAGGATGGATGGGTCTCGACCCCAGCTCCGGCGAAGGCAACATGGTCTGGCAAGAATTCCAGCCTAAAGTCTGGGAAGAGACCGATATCGACATCAAGATCTCCCACTGTGGAATCTGTGGTTCTGATCTGCACACTCTGCGCAGTGGCTGGGTATGTCTAATCCAATGCTTTGCATATAAAGAATACAAAAAATTGGGAACATCCTAACACCATCCAGCGCCCAACCACCTACCCCTGCTGCGTGGGCCACGAGATCGTAGGCACAGCCGTACGAGTAGGCAGCCAAGTGCGCGACATTGTCATCGGCGACCGCGTCGGCGTCGGAGCCCAAAGCGACTCATGCCAAAACCGCTTCGGCGACTGCCATGAATGCGCCACCAGCCAAGAGAACTACTGTTCCAAGAAAGTAGTCGGCACATACAACAGCATCCACTATGATGGTGGGAACTCCTACGGTGGCTATGCGACATATAACCGAGTCCCGGGTCATTTCGCCATCAAGATCCCAGAGGGCATTCCCTCTGCGGATGCGGCGCCAATGCTCTGTGGTGGAGCTACGCTGTTCAGTCCATTGAAGTACAATGGGTGTGGGCCTGGGAAGAAAGTTGGGATTATTGGTGTTGGGGGACTGGGTCATTTTGGTTTGCTGTTTGCGAAGGCTATGGGGGCTGATAAGGTGGTTGCTATTTCGAGGAAGGAGGGGAAGAGGGAGGATTCGTTGAAGATGGGGGCTGATCTCTATATTGCGACTGATGATGAGCCTGCTTGGGCGGCTGAGAATGCGAGGTCGTTGGATTTGATTGTTTCGACTGTTTCTTCTACCAAGGTTGGTTTTTTGGGTTCTTTTCCAGGGTTGAGATGGATGTGCTGACATTTTTTAGATGCCTTTTAATGATTATCTGGGTCTGTTGAAGACTGGTGGTACTTTTGTTCAGGTTGGTTTGCCAGAGGATGGGGGTCTGTTTGCCCCTGTTCGCAGCTTGATGCGCCAGATCAGTCTTCAGAGCTCGCTTGTTGCTAGTCCCAAGGAGATTCGGGAGATGTTTGAATTGGTTGCTGAGAAGAGCATTCATCCTTGGATCGAGGAGATTCCTATGAAGGATGCCAACAAGGCTATTGTTGATATGGAGGATGGCAAGGCTCGCTACCGCTATGTGCTTGCCAATGAGTAATTGGGAGTTGGTGGCTTAGAAGGATATGGATTACGATACTATTGAATTGTAGAGAGGATCATGTATATATTCTGGAAGTAGAATTTTTCATTAGATGCGAAGATTTCTTAAAAATGATCCAGAAAATAAAGGAAATTAAGAACATGAAGGAGGGACAAGACGCAATGTAAAGCAATAATAGACCGTATATTATTATTAGCGTATTTTAAATCTCCCAACAAAACTAAAAAAGACATAATCTCGAAGTGGCCAAGCAACCACTTGATCAACTTCTGGCCCTGTCAAAAGCAGAAATAGATCCAAGTGGAGCAAGGCTACACAAATCTCAAGATACTGGATTATCTTTCTGACCAGCACCACACAGATCAGAAAGGCCAGGATCCGAGCCAATAGTCAACACCGGAAGGTGGACTGGTCAAAGCTGCTCAACTAATTTAGAAGAGGGCCATGAGACCAACGACACCGGCAAGGAAGCCGAAGGCGGGCTGGACGTTGGAGGCACCGCCAGTGAAGCTGCCAGGGGTGGAGGGAACAGCGGAGGGCTGCTCGGGGGTAGAGGGCTGCTCAGGGGTGGAAGGCTGCTCGGGAGTAGCGGGGGTGGAGGGCTGAGCAGGGTTGGAGGGCTGCTCAGGGGTGGAAGGCTGCTCGGGAGTAGCGGGGGTGGAGGGCTGAGCAGGGTTGGAGGGCTGAGCAGGGTTGGAGGGCTGAGCAGGGTTGGAGGGCTGAGCAGGGTTGGAGGGCTGCTCAGGGGTGGAGGGCTGCTCAGGAGTAGCGGGGGTCGAAGGCTGAGCAGGGGTGGAGGGCTGAGCAGGCACAACGGGCACGGAAGAAGCAGGCTTCTGGGGAGGGGGCACGACAGCGCTGGTGGGGATGACGGGAACGCTGGTGGCGGGCTGGATGGGGCTGGGGGAGGTCACGGGCTTCTCGTTGTCACAGAGAGTGCAGACGGTGGTCTGGGTCAGAGTGATGGTGCTGGTACCAGTGACAGGGGTGGTCCAGGTGGAAGAGCCGGAGGTGACGGTGGAGTCAGTGACTAGGATTTGTTAGCAGGGTGGTTCAAATATATAGATTATAAGTTGTTAAAGCTTACCAGGGCAGGTGGTGGTCACAACAGTGATGGTCTTGGTGGTGCCGGAGGGAGTGTGCGAGGGCTTGGTCCAGCTGTGGGGAGGCTTGGTGTGCGACTCAACCGGGGTGGTAGAGGTGGTGCAGGGGGTGGTGCTCTCAGCGGGAGGAGTGGTGCTCTCAACCGGGGTAGAGGTGGTGCAGGGAGTGGTGCTCTCGGCAGGAGGAGTGGTGGAAGTCTCAACCGGGGTGGTGGAGGTGGTGCAAGGAGAGGTCCAGGCATCGGTGGGACGAGTCCAGGACTCGTGGCCGGTGGGCTTGGACCAGCTCTCATCCCAACCATCGGTGTGGTGAGGGGCAACACCGCCAGCGTGCTCGGAAGGACGGACGTGGTCCTCACCAGCAACCTGCATGACACCGGCGAAGGCCGGGGTGGCAACAAGGGCCAAGATGGCAACGGAGTTGATCATTTCGAAAGATTAAAGTCTTTTCTGGGAAACTTGAAAAGATAACGAATGAAGTGCTGATGAGATGAAGGTTTGAGGGCCGGCAGTCGAACAGCCTTATATATCTTCTTTGGACAGTAGAAAACCCAAGTCGGAACAGACATGGCTGCCACGGTCGTGCTCAGGACAGAAAGCTAGTTCTGATCCACAATGTCACCATCCTAAGGCTGAATGCAGGATGTCTCCACGATTCAAGCACAGATTGCAAAGGCACCGAGAGGCCATTGGATGGAAGCCTTAAGCAATGATACATCCATCTGGTGGACTTGGTTGCAAACGTGACAGTCTGTAGTTTCATTGCGGTAAGTGGAGTATCCTAATGCGGAAAAGACAAGATTGCCAAGTTTAATCTGAAGATCGTCGGTATCTGTCAGCAGTGTATAGATTTGAAAGAGCCAATCAAGTAGTAGGTCAATGAAAAGTTTGAATTGGATCTGATATATCACCCTTTTTTGGGTGCAAGCTTGGATGATTCAAGGCTCGACATGGAGATAGGCACGCGAAGCACTTGAGACAACGTCAATTAGGGCTGCCAAGGTGAATGAAGAAGCCCGGACTTGGATTTGGACGAGAGCATGGAAGTGGAATGGCCGAGCAACTAGTGCTTGAACAGGACCACAGCTAACGGTAAACGTGATTGGAAGGAAAACACATGGACACAATTTCCATGCGTCCTAAGACACAATAGACAAGAAGAGTCCAAAAGCGACGATCACAGGGAGGACGAAGGCATCCAGGAGCGAATGAGAGCGGTCCATGCACCCTCTGGAATGTGAGATAGACACCGACGGGGCAAAAGTCTGTTGCATTAGCAGGGCGAGGAATGTACGGGGAAGCCCAAAGCATCCCGAAGTGGAGTTGTGAAAATCTCTCAATCTGTCTCAATCTGTAGCGGTTGATTCACGTCCATTGTCTCACTGTTAGTTTGTATCTATGACGAGAACATCAAATCTGTACTTCAGTAGGTGGAGCCCCTATTGGTTATACAATGGGGCTACCGTAGATTGATATTGTGGTTGAATTGAAGATTCTGCTTCATGCCCTAGATTCGGAGAGTACCGCCAGTGTGAAGAAGTGAGTTAAGACGGTTGGGTTGCATCGTTGCCGTGCACTCGGTCCATCATCCAATGGCACAAGAGGTCTAGCTGTCATCCACGGATCTTGACGGCCGAGTATACCCCAGGAGACAAGTGTGGGTAACCTGGCTGCAAGCGGCAAGCAGAAGAAAGAATTTGTCGCGGCAATCTTGATCTTGACAGAGACTGAGGTCTGAGGCAGGTCTTCCATTTCCGGCCGAAGGTATACTTCCATTTTGGGAAGTTAGGGCTTAGGGCAATAGTTTCACGCGTCGCGCGTCGCGCCTTCCCGTTTGGGTTCAATTAAGCACCCGCCTGTCTGCCAAACCCCAACACCCCAAGATGCCTCACTCAGTATCGCCTGGATCCGCGCAACATGACGATGCTATGCCAGATGCGCCACCGCCTGCATCGGCCGAATCTTCGACTGAAAACAACGTCAATTTGGAGGAGATGTTTGACGATGACGACGACGAGTTTCCTACAACTGGAGACGTGAAGATGGAATCTCCAGCAGCACAGCAAGAAGAGTGAGAGAGTCCGCTCTTGTAATTTTTGGTAGCCGCAATGCTGACTACCTTGCAACAGGCCTCCGGCTCCCACACCCACGGGGGTTGACGAGGAATTGATGCTGGCCTTCTACCAACGTCTTTTCCCCTTCCGATACCTTTTCCAGTGGTTGAATCACGGAATCGTTCCCACGAAAGACTTTGGAAACCGTGAATTTGCGCTCACACTGCAAAACGATGCCTACCTCCGTTACCAATCCTACCCCACGGCCGACATGTGAGACTGAGCTCAACCTTGGAGAATGTGAGCTCCCGGCTAATTGAACACGTACAAAAAGGTTTCGCAAGGATATTCTCAAGATGAACCCCTCTCGTTTCGAAATTGGACCCGTCTACAGTACCAACCCGCGCGACCGCAAAACGCTACGAGGTGGTCAAATGAAACCAGTCTCCAAAGAGTTGGTATTCGATATTGATTTAACTGATTACGATGATATCCGTACTTGCTGTGTCAAAGCAAATATCTGTGCAAAGTGCTGGTCTTTTGCGACAATGGCCCTCAAGGTCATTGACACTGCACTCCGGGAAGACTTTGGATTCGAACATATTCTATGGGTATACTCCGGTCGTCGTGGTATTCACGCTTGGGTCTGTGATCCGCGCGCCCGCAACATGCCGGATGATCGGCGAAGGGCCCTTGCCGGCTACCTTGAAGTCATTCGAGGAGGATCACAAAGTGGTAAGAAAGTTAATGTCAAACGGCCGCTGCACCCCCATCTTGTGCGCAGTCTGGAACTTCTCAAGAACGATTTCGCCCGCACTACACTTATTGATCAAGATACATTCGAAAGTGATGAGCAGGCAGAACGTCTGCTTTCATTGCTTCCTGATAAGGGATTGAACGACTCCCTGCGAAGGAAATGGGACTCCTCTCCGGGCCGTGCCAGTACCAGCAAATGGTCTGATATTGATACATTGGCCAAGAGTGGTAAAAGCACAACTCTCAAGACATCAACTCTGAGAGATGCCAAGCAAGATATTGTCCTTGAATATACCTACCCACGCCTGGATGCCGAAGTCAGCAAAAAGATGATTCACTTGTTGAAGAGTCCTTTTGTTATTCACCCGGGCACAGGTAGAATTTGTGTTCCCATCGACCCGAACAATGCCGAAAACTTCGACCCCCTCACCGTTCCCACGGCGATGCAGCTTCTCAATGAGATCGATGAATATGACGCCAAGCACCCTGCCGGTACAGCAGAGGCCGATGTCCCCGACGTCGAAGGGAGTGCAGTCAACGGCTCTGACATGAAGGGTGGCCGGAAATTGCAGGATTATGAGAAGACCAGCTTGAAACCCTACATCGACTTCTTCCGTTCGTTTATAGCAGGTCTGATGAAGGAAGAACGTGCGGGCAAACGGGAACGCGATGGGACTGAGTCGACTGTCAAGGCGGATCCGATGGAGTTCTGACCGCCAAATGTTGATGTTGCATTGCGGTGCCTCATATAACCATGAATTTACGTTTGTTCAATTCCCCCTCTCGCCCTTGCTCTAAGGTCTCTCTTATACAGTTTTCGTGGCGTTTGGTGTTGTGTGCTATACCGAACCATATATTCTCAAATACCTTGATAGTAATGCATTGACTGCCTTCCATGTAACCTACTGGCCGATTGATCTATGAGCAACAAAATATCAACGGTTGATCGACATTCAATGTGCATCTATAGATGGGCCTCTATCATTGAACGGCTTACGGAGTGCTGCCACCTACCAAGGACTTCTACAATAGTATGTTTGAGCCGAGCAAATGTTTTCACATGAAGTAGGTGTATATTGGAGATATTGGAGATATTGGTACATATTGGGTCATACAGAAGCAGGCGCAACAAAATATGTCACGGGCAAGGAACCAGCCCACAGGCTGACTCCGAACCAAACCCCACTTTTAATTATCAGGGAGTCAGTCCCAGCAATCGCAGGGAAAATTAAGGTGTTAAGTGGAGGAGATCAATTTAAGCACCAACGAAGTTCTTGACATCTAAAAAAAGGTTTGTTAGCAAGGTTGTGAAAACGCTAGAAAGAAACCAGAACTTACTCTCCAACCAGCGAAGGTACTCCTTCTGCTCCTTAACGGAGATGTAGTCGGGGATCATGGTAGCAAGCTCAGCGTTGATACCACGGTCCTCGATGTAGCGCTCCCAGAGGCTCTGGAGGTCCTCATCGAGGTTCTCGAAGGGAGGACCAGCGTAAAGGCTCTGGCGAGACCAGTCCTTCTCGGCAGTCTGGGCCAAGGCAAGCTCAGCCTTGGCGAAGTGGGAGACTTCCTCGATGGCGAAAACGCCATCCTGGACAACGGCCTGGATGAGGACAGCACCGTTGGTGGGCTTCTCGATAGTGACGTTCACGCGAGCAGGGAAGCTAGGCTCAGGGAGCTCGCCTTCCTCGTGGCCCTCCTTGCCCTCGTATCCCATATCATCGGAAAGGGCAGACTCATCGAAGTCCTCCTGCTCGCTGATGTTCTGGATGTCGGCGACGGTGAAGCTGACGCTGACCCTATACGATGAGACATGTTAGTCTTTGTGATTGGACGTAGATGGGGAAATGTGCAGAATTGGGATGATTGGGCGGTTCATACTTCTCGTTGCCGAACTTCTTGGACAGGACAACTTCCTGCTCACCCTCAACGTCCTTGACTTGCCATTCGCCAGCCTTGATGATCTCTTGGATGACTTCCTGCTGTTCCTTGAACTCGGGAACGTCGGAAGACTTCTCGTGCTTCAACTCATCCTCGAGCTTGGCGAGAAGCTCGACGTCACCTGGGGAAAAAATGAAGATCAGTCAAAGGTCAAATACAATGGCCGCAATCCGACGGATCGGAATTGTGCGGACCAATCCAGATGGACTGATTGAATCTTACCCTCAGCGGCGGGAGCCTTGAAGATGCTGGAGGTAGAGAAAGCAGCGTAGGCGGGCTTGGAGACCTGCTTCCAGGGCTGGGGAGTGAACTTGGGGAGGGCAGGGCGCAGAGCGGAGGTGGCGATAGAGCGCGAGACAGTGCGAGGCACAGCGCGGGAGATAGTGCGAAGAGACAACATTGTGATGGTAGATGGATTAAGTAGGGGATTATGAAGAAGAGAGCTTCGGAAAAAGTAAACGGAGCTAAGATGATGTTGTGCCAAGACTTTGAGCGACACTTCATAGTTCCACTTGAAGACTCGACCCATCACTTTTATTACTTCTCAAGTTGTTTGCACTATCAGATTCAGGTTTTCAGCATATGGAATTGGTGTATAATGTTGTATTCGATTATTCGAGTATCGTGGTTCTTAGTTGGATTGAAAACATACAGGGCAGGATATACTACGTTGTCGATCTTGCACTTTTACTACGGAATAAACATACCGCAGTATAGATGAAATGGTATATTGGAAGATATTCGGCTGTACAGAATCTAAAAAAGAATCAATGTGCCCATAATGCGCCAACCCAGTTTTTTTGGACACCAGACAACAAAAGAAAAGAAAAAACAAGATAATCGTGATCATGACATGCTCTTGGGAGGGAATGTGGAGGTGATTTTTTCTCCAGCCTTGGTGAATCGAATGAATTTGATAGCACTGAGACCGGACCAGTGTCCGTTCCAGTTCTTCATTCCCGTCAAGGCATATTGGTCGCTGAGGTCTGGCATCCAAAGTCCGGTAGTGAATTCCCGATCTTCGGTCTGCACCCGCTCCTTGAGAGCCTCTTCCCGTTTGCTTGGGGGACGTCCCTTGCGGCGCTCGGATTGAAGTTCTTGAATTTCCTCGGTGTCACGATCAATGTACCTAAACTTGTAAGCGGTGAATTGGCGGAGAATGGGCGGGGACATACTTTGCGACGAACTCGGTCATTTGTTCAGTGGTGAGGGCCTCGGTGTGGTCCTGTACGGCTTCGTGGATGTATTCAATGCGGTCCACTGGTTGAGTTAGATCAGTGGTCTTCGACAAGGACATGTGTGTGTCTTACTGTAAGGCTGTCGGGCCCGGTTCACAGTGTGGGAATGGCGGGACAATCGGTCAACACGGGCACCAGCTTTGCGCAGTCGGTGGGCGTCGCGGCTGTTCTCATGCATAATATTGAGAACTCCCCGCTTCTTGGAGATCTGCTTATGAACTTTTTCCAGCGAAACTTTAGGCATGGTGGCGGTATGTGAATAGTGGCATGTAATAATCCTCCGTGATAATTTTCTTGGATGCAACGGCAATATTTGGCGGTGAGACCCACGTATCACCGCCTTCCCCAAAGCGCGTCTGCGCGTAAGGAAGGGACGATACATTCCGGGGTTATTTACTCCCTCGAATGTCGAATTGGTCTTGACCTTCGACTTCATTTTCACCTCTTCCTCCTCTTCCACCTTTTTCCTCTCGACCCCCGCCACTTGTGAAAATATCTATGTTACCATCCATTATCTGAAAAGGAGGACCCGCCTGTGCCTCGAACGGTGTCCACTATGGGAATCAAAGGTATGCTGGGAGTAATCGTGATGAGACCAAGGATTCGGTATTCTGACAGGTTACGATAGGTCTGCACGGGCTTCTGAAGTCCATACAAAAACCATGCCATATCAAGAAATTTAGCGGGCAGACTCTTGGAGTCGACGCATATGGATGGCTGCACCGCGGCACCGTTGCCTGCTCTGTAGATCTTGTCTTGGAGAATCCGACCAGGAAGTATGTACATCTGTTTGGTTTCAACCACGTTTTGGCGCACATGCTCATCAAACTATAGACACCTTGATTTCGTCCTTAACCGAGTTCGGATGCTTCTGTTCTTTGGTGTGAAACCCTACCTCGTGTTCGATGGTGACAACCTTCCCAGCAAAGCAGGCACTGAACAAGAGCGCGCTCGTCGACGTCAAGAAAGCAAGGCACTTGGTCTTGAGCTGCAACGAAAGGGACGGATGCCAGAGGCCTACCAAGAATTCCAGAAAGCCGTCGACGTGACACCATACATGGCTCGACAATTGATTGAGGAACTGAAGCAGATGAATGTACAATATGTGGTGGCGCCGTACGAGGCAGATGCACAAATGGTCTACCTGGAACAGCAAGGTTACATTGACGGAATCATATCAGAAGACTCGGACTTGCTTGTGTTTGGAGCCAAGCGTCTGCTGTCAAAATTGGACCAGCATGGAGAATGCATTGAGATCAACCGGGCCGATTTTGGTGCTTGCCGTGAGGTCAGCTTGGCCGGCTGGAGCGATGCAGACTTCAGGACCATGTGTATTTTGAGTGGTTGTGATTATTTGGCGAACATTCCTAAGATGGGACTCAAGACTGCTTATCGCATTGTTCGCAAGCACAGAAGCGTGGAAAAGGCCCTCCGCATGCTTCAGTTTGAGGGTAACTTCCGGGTTCCCCCCGACTATCTGGCCAATTTCAAACAGGCGGAGTTGACATTTCTCTACCAGCGAGTCTTTTGCGCCAAGGCCAAGAAATTGTTGACTTTGACACCGCCAGAGGAAGGTGTCAATTTGAATGATATGCCATTTATTGGTGGAGATTATGAACCCGAGCTTGCAATCGGCGTTTCTTCTGGCGACCTGGACCCCTCCACGAAGGAGCCAATTAGATTGAAACCATGGGCTGCTAACAGGTTCTCTCAGGGAATTCATCGTCGCCAGACGCTAGGTACATCCTCCGAGTTGAAATCGCGGAAGCCTGCTATCAATGATTTCTTCACTCCAAAGAGAATGCCTCTAGCTGAATTGGACCCCAACAGCCTGACTCCATCGCCCAGCCAGCAGCGACTTTTGGAGCGTAATTTCAACAACTCCTGGCAACCAAATCTCGCCCCGTCCCGCTCTAACTCTGTTCGATCAACGCCCCTACGGGCATTCTCTGCACAAGGGCTGAGTCCCTCAATCAGAAATGCAGAGCGCTCCTCATTTATCGCTCAAAGTGCAGTATCACCTGTTCTACAAGCCACCAAGAGACAGAGGCTGTGCTCCGAAAACGAAGGAGACTCTCTACCTGTCTGCTCTCCCGCCCGCAGCCGGTATTTCACCACCACTTCAAATCAAGCTAGCCCCAGCGCGCAAAAGCTGTTCACGCCTAAGCGATCACGCAAATCAGTGGTTGGGGTATTCTCCGATGAAGATGCGGAAGACATTATGTCTAGCATTCCCGATCCCACTTCCACGCCTGGACCCACAGAATCTCGCACTGAAGGCAAGCTAGGTACATTTGGCCAGCCTGGCGAAGTTGAAACTCCTTCCAAACCCTCCAAAATCGATCAGGCCGTCGAGAAAGATATAGAGGCACCCAAAGATATTTCCCATGGCGCCCTCGCCAACTCCCCGGGCTTCAACCAGGCTCTGGAGTATCATGTCAGCCGACAAAACTCGGACATTGCTGCAAAGTTCACCTTTAGATCGGAGCCTAAGTCTGACACAACAAGCGTCCCCGTGGTGACGAATTCCCCTGTGGCCCAGCCTAATCGTCTACCTGTACCACCCTCTACGCCTAACAGCCCTGTCTCAATTTCCCGGGGAAATGTCGCCCAGCGACGCTTGACACCACTCCAACGGATGGGGCACAATGCGCTTCGCCGTTCCAACAGCCTCAACTTTCCCAGCAAGCTTCGAGCCAGCCAGGCTGCTGCACCCCTCGTCAAGGAACGTTCTCCGGTTGCCCCGCAGTGCTCTTTCATGGGAACCCAAGGCAGCGAGGATCTTATGGTTCCAGACAGCGACGAGGACGAAGAATCGGAAGCCGAATCATCCGCGACTCCACTAGACCTCGCACGATTCTCTTTTTCCGCACATTAAGTTGATGGACATCCACATTGATTACGAAGCATTGGGTCAGGGACACTGGGGTATTGGGATCTGGGGTAAAGCATTGGAACCACCTTTGGTTCCACATTGGCGTGCAACTTGTATTATTTTTTTTTCACAGTTCCCACATAGCGTTTATTTGAAATCCATGAAACATTGCGCCTTAGCCAGTACCTAAGCTACTCGTAGTACCTAACCACGTAGCCAGAGACGGCCCAATATCAAGTGGCTGGGTGAATCGCGTGGCGTCTGGGAGTGGGGCGAACCTTATCAAGATCTGCACTAGTCCACATCGGGTCTAATGGGGTCTCGACCTGTCCCGTGTCGGGCAGAAATGACCTGCAGCAGCAGGCGGTCAACGCTGGTTACCGGGGAAGCCAACGTAAACAATGGCCCAGCCTCCTAGATTCCTATACTCTTGCCTCAATCCCAGCCCCCAGAGAAAAAAGACTGTCAATTGACGTGGAGTTTGGTCCCCAGCTACGATCCCTCCTTTCCCTTTCCATTCCTACGCATTCCTCTCTTTCAACTTTCCACCTGTGCCACAGGCGTCAAGTCATATCTCTGATACAATCAATTATTCTAGGTGCAAGTCGGAACACTGAATCTCTATTGAGCATTCTTCAAATCGCGTTCAATACTGGATCCAATCTTGAACGACCCGTCTTATCATCACCTTCACATTCTTCACGCGCATTCCATTCCAACCATCTGATACCGATTTGATCCTCGATCTATCATATCGCGAACGCAATCGGGCCATCGGGCATATAATCAAGTTCTGATTTCGCGCCCCGTTGCATATACTCCTTCTCGGAGAAACGAGAAGCGAGTCAACAAACAATTGAAGGAAGTCGACATCAATCACAATGGCTTCTCCCTTTGCTCAAAAATGGGCCCGTAAGTGACGACATTGCACCCCAGGCTTCGACAGGGCGGCTAACTTTGGAAACAGGCTTCATTCCGATGATCGGGTACCACCATGTGCTCATGCTTATCATTGCCATTGCTATTATCCTATTATGTGAGTGCTCATGCAAGTGATCTTTATTGGAATGTGACTAACAAATCAAAGCACTTCTGTTGGCTGGATGCTCATCGTCATCCCCGCAAATTCCTAACATCTTCCTTATCTCGCTATACTACGAAAAGTACAACCCTATCAGAGATCTCGCCCAGGTGCAACCGGACGTTTCTACTGCTCTCTTGAATATCGTTGGTGGCGCAGACATGGAAGTCCGCGTGGGATATTTCGGCATCTGCGTTCAACCCGACAAAGGATCTTTCATCTGCAATGCCAACGCAACGGCACTCGCCGAGATTGTTACCGTGGATCAAGATCCACTCAACTTGATCTGGGTCGCATCGACGTTTAAAGACGCCGTAGTGTTCCCGTACCTCCTGTGAGTACCGCGGCGAGCCCCTTCCAGAATCCAACTAATATACAAATAGCATTGTGGCTGTCATTCTCGCATTCTTCTGCTTCATCCTTCTGGCAACATTCCCCGGCTGGCACGAGGAGACAGACGACAACGGTTCCGAGCGTGAGGTCAAGCCTTTCCCGTCCCGCCCTGTCTCTCAGGCCGCCTTGGCCCTGATCTTCGTTTCCTCGGTATTCGTCCTCGTATCCGTACTATGGCAGCACACCGCATCCGTCGCCGCCAGTACGATAGCTCAAGACATGGGCAATGGAAGTGTCAAGAGTGGAGTTGGTTCCTCAGCCATGGTACTCGGCTGGTTTGGCTTTGTCCTTCTAGTCATTGTCACCGTTGGTCTACTGGTCATGATATTGAGTATCAGTCTGATCCGCAAACTGACTGATGAGGAATAATCGAATTTCTTCCGACTCCACTCAACGCAACGCAAAAACCTTGCCCCTTGTTTATTATTGTTTTTTTACGACCTGCTATCTTCTTTTACTTCGCAACATACACCACCCTTATAACGGGACGACACCAATGGGAAATGAATAATACCTACGAGCACACGACCCCAGCTCGCAACGGAAATGGAAACGGATCACGCGCACTTGGAACATTTGGATTCCACGGTTTTTTGGGATATGGACAATTTGGGACTTTTTTCACGAACATATTTGAGGACATTTCCTCTGCCTTTTTTGCTTTTTTGTTGGCCATGATGACAACAGACTTTTCGTCTGGATTGCACCGCCTGAGATTTATGTCGCTGTTTTGCTGATCTGTTTGGCACTCTTGTTCTCGATATTCGACATAGATTACCATGTTATGAAGCTCCATGTACATCTTTTTTTTGCCCTTGTTTACTCGGTATCACGAGAATTACTCAATCTCACGTACATTGATAAGTCAGGCTACCCCTTCCTTGATCTCTAGTAAAACAATTTTAGTCACCTTGATGAAATGTATTTGTAGGATATTGAGTACTTTTAAGTCCCCGAGGTCCTAGGTAAGTAGCTTTCAATGTTTCTTCTTAGGGTTGTTCGTCCGCCCACTATATATGTCGCGAAACGACCTTGAACTCTGGGGGTAGGGAAAATGTCCACAACCACTCAGGCACTGAGCTCTACGTAGAACCTTGGAAGAAGGTGAACTTAACTCGAATCCATCTGCATAGATGAATGCCACAAAAGTAAGTATGCTCTTAGGTATGGTGAGCTGGTCAGTATATGCCAGATCTTGATGCGAAAGGTGATTTAGACTGGGACTGGCGCTGCGGGTCGTACTATGGAGTCACTTTGAAGAGCTAAAAGCTCTCATCACCCGCAGACTCAGCTATGCATCACATCAAATCAGCTACTAAGTACCTGGTACTTATCTCCCGGGCTGGAAAATGGAACAGTGGCAGAAAGCTTGTTGTATTTTTTTGCTTGGAGCCCGGGAAAGGCCATACTCAAAGCGACAGAAGATGTATATGCCAAAAGACCTCCAATACTTACGCTGGGAGCTCTGGACTTATACTGGTTATCTCTTTCTCTGATCCAGATTTCGGCAATACAACCTTAGAAATTGACGGACGACGATTTTGAGATGAGGGTGAATAGGGAAAATCCATCCAGTACACCTGGGTCGAAATAACAAGCCGCCTGTCAAGGCATCGGCTCTTCACATTGAAAAAGCAGTCAAGAGTCCTGTACCCAGATTCAGAAAAGACATCGAAAAAATGAAAAGGTATCTCATATACCAAGTCCACGGGTACTGCACATCTCAGCTATTAAGTCGTCTTAAGAAGAGGAAAAGAAAAAGAGAGAAAAAAAAGGTGTGGGGGCTGGATCGAACTCCCCCCCTCTGTTACCCCAGGTAATCCTGACAGAGGGGAGTTTTAGAGTACGCGGTATTGAAATCCTGAACGCCTTAACCCACTGAGCTACCGGAGTAGCTCACAGAAAATCAGGAACTTTTGTATCTGATATAGACCTCTGTACTTCCTAATTGGGAAGGTGGGTCTGCTTTCCATACCACGTGACCAAGCGTCCCCACACTTATAGATCAACTGCTTGTATGCAATGCCACTCTATAATTCATGGACTACATACCACATCTGTCCATCTTTGCTGGTGCACATTCCTCTGCTTTCCGTAAGTTGGGCATCCCGGAAGTCGAAAAAAATCGTCATCAAGAACAACCAAAAAAAAGGCCTTGGTGGGCAGGTAAGAATGGTATTTTTTCTTCTCTGGTATGATGGGCTGTATCAGAGTAATGAAAAACTATGAATTCCTATGGTTTGAACAGTAACATGTGAGTCTTTCCAAGTATGCAACCATAGTGACGCCCGTATTTGTCGTGCATTTTTCCAATTACCTCCACTCTGCATCTACTCCCCATACTGCTTTCCCTTTGCCTTCCTCACATACCATCCTTCGCCCCCCTGCACCAGCACAATGGTAAGACATAGTAAGAGACCCAAGCGTGCTTGTCGTCAAAAACAGGCCCCACAGCACGCAGCAAAGACGTCACAGTCTAGCCTCAGGCCGTCAACATGGTACGCCTGGTACCTCGTGTGTGAAAGTGTATGTCTCGATATATCTTTTCTTGACTTTCCGTCTGATTAAATCCCAGTTTTACCCAGGAGACAAAGATGAGCTATCTATTCTCTGCCTTGTCTCAAAGGCTATGAAACAATTAGCCAGTCCTTTCCTGCATCGATCAATTAGGTTTTTCCTGCGTCTACGACCTTGGTGGGAGCGGGAAAGTGATCCTGATAACCCCCGCCACATCGTACGCAGGCTTCAGGACATATCCCACAATTCTTCGCGGGTGTTCGTTCAAGAGATCACATTCGGAAATGCCGAAGATTGCGTTCTCGTTCTCGACGGAATAGAGGACGATTGTCTATCCACCTTGATTGAGCTGTTGCCAAATCTACGACGAGTGAGATATGAAACCATCTCCAGCATTCGTTTTCCTCTACTTAAGTATATGTGATCTTCTCATAGTGGCTGATGCTTTTCTAGGCTGGAGCTTCCCTTCGATTTTGACCATTCATACATCAAAGCCATTGAAAAGCATCCCAACAAGCCAGAGATACATTTACTCAAACAGGATGGGGTCATTTCCCGCTCCCGCAAGATCCCAGCTGTGACTGTTCTCAGTGTTGATAATGCCACGGAAGTCCGGAGATGCAAGGAGTGGCCGCCTCAAGACAATTTCTTGAACTTCGTCACTTCTTTTCCTAACTTGAAGTCTTGTACCTGGAAGATTGCTACCTCTGTTTGCAAATCGCTCGAATCGGAATATGGCCTCGATACGTCTCGTTGCCCGAAATGGAGTAGGTTGGATGGGCTTGACCTACCGGACTACTTCCCTCGTATTGCATCTCTCTGCCTTGATAAATACTATCTTGGTAGTCAAATATCACCTTGTCTCCAAGATCAATTCAAGTGGTCGAGTCTGTTGTCCCTTGAGCTGGGTCCAAATGGGGACTTCGCGCATGCGAACCTGCAGCTGTTGACAGGACGCATGGTGAATTTAAGGCACTTGAAGATCAGGCAATATGGATGGGACAGCTCTCAGGAGACGTGGCCTGTCCTTGAGAACTTTTTGATGTCTTTTGATACATTGACCGATCTGGAAATATTCGGCTATTTTTTTGCAATCCGCGCGATTACTCGGCATACTGGTTTGGTCAATCTTCGTTTTCAGACCCCCAAGTCATGGTGTGACGAGTCATCCTGTGGCCCGCGGTGGGAACAAGATTTAAGTTCTCTGGATGCATCATGTCCTCAACTGAAATATTTGGAATTAAACACCGTGCGGAACAAGGAGACCCGATGCGCATGGGTAAGTATACATCCTGACCCGCTTCACAAACCGCAACCTAACTCTCATTGAAGCTACCGGCTGCTCTTCTAGACAATATCGCCTGCAATTTTGCAAATCTGGTGGTCCTAAGCCTTGATTCCACATTTGACACTTATGACAGTAAACCAGACTGGAAAGACCATTGGAAATTCGAGCCCTATTCCACTTACATGGAGGCAAAGAAGACTGGCTCCCGCTTCTATGAAAAGCGGTATCGAGCATTCAATCAAAATAGCCAATTTCCGAAAGCGACGGGTCAATCAGAAAGGCTCCAAACGCTGATGTTGACTGCCGTAAGATACGAATGCAATAATCGGATAACCATCGAGTCAACCAAAATGACTGTCGATATCCTACCCCCTAAGACCGTGGGAAAAGCCCCTGTCTTTTACTATACTGAAGACAAAGGGAAAGCAAGGTTGCGTGGTGGACCACCACGCCCGCGCTTGTATGACGAAGTGATGAGTTTGTTTGTGGACTGAGGAAGTCCTCTTCAAAGGAAATCCCATCCCGCTGTCATCAATCCGGCTTCTCTTCCTACCAGTCCGCCAATTTTCATCTTGAAATATGGATCAGAGACAGAGAGAAAGGGGCAGAGAGCCGAAAGACTGCGGACAGGTTCAGACCCTTTATGATAAGTATTGTAGGTTAGGTTTTGATCTAGGCATCTTCATTCGCTTCGATGATGCCCCATGCCCCATTATTGGCTTCAGAAACAATTGATATCGCGAGAGGGGTACTGCTCTTGAATCTAATCCATCATTCCAAAGTACAGTCAACACAGTGTAGTGGGGGAATCCACCTACACTCTGGCGCGCACTAGTCATCTGCGCAGTATACCTATAGGTAGCTGTGGACCCGTGGACCTAGGTACTCTATACAGGCCTCTCTTTGTCTTTGTACGGTCCAGACATCATACAGACATCCATAGATCCTTCTCCGCAGCATTTCTATGGTATGATGGCAGAATAGGGGCTGATTGCACTAGACTTCAGCAATGGGCTTGGCTGGGCCAGTTATAGGCAGCACCTGAGGAAAGGGTGGTCTATACGATACGCCCTCTAAGTATTCTGTAGGCTATTTGTTCCACGGGGAAGTACTGAAGCACTTAAGTATCAGGAAATCTATATTTGCATCGAAAGCTTTTCGAGAAACAACACCATCGCACTGAAGCTATATTCTTTAGACTAAAGTACATTGGAGCTCGTCTTGGCTTCACCCGAAGGCTACTAGTCACCGGCCCTGCGTAGAAGGGTGAGCTCATCGCCGGTGTCTCCACGTCGGCCACCACCTCCTCCACCGCCGCCAGCCCTGACACGTCAGCAATCACAAGTATAGAAGGCTCACTTGCCTTCGGAGTCCACCCTCATAGGGAGCGAAGCCGTCATCGTCGGTATAAGTGGTATCTCAATCGGACAAGTCGGGATGGCCAAGTCGAATACTGCCCCGTCAGCATCTTGACCCTACCTTTCCTGTCCGATGTCCCCCCCACAAAGTCAAGCGGCATCGGTGGAAATCACGGCAAGCTCATGAAGAGCGTCCGCACCTCCAGAGACACCACGGCGCTCGCGACGGCGGTCGAGTCGCACCATGACCCACTTGTAGCCTTTGTAGAAGGAGCCAGTGAGACGCATTATAACGGCGATAATGACAACGACAGCCACGAGGATCTGAAACCAAAGAGGAAGTGAAGTAGGAGAAGCCATACTTGTGAAAGAAAATAAAGTGGGAACGGTGAGGAGGGAAGAGGGAAAAGGGCTATGAGAGAAGGTAGTAGGCAAAACACTACGGACCATGGAACTACGGGTTGTCAGGAGAAACAGTCGACACAGATTCACTGGGTAAGAACAGAATTACCTTGAGAAGGAATAGATAAAAAGGAGGAAGGTGCAATTGGCAACAGTTAGGTATCCGCATCTGGCACTGGGGCACCACTACATAGCAGGATCCCACAGCTGCGATTCCAAGACTGTCCTCAATCTGTGATGAAGAATAAGAGAGTCTCCTACTTAAGTACTTAAGTAGTGAATCGGAGAACTCCTCGACAATATATTTCGCTCATCTCTATCTCTGTCGTAGCTGGCCAGTGGCACCAACAGTGCGGATTCAACCTTGATCGCGGAGGCTCGTGCACTTTTTGTAGAGCCAAAACAAGCTGACGTGATTAGCCCCGTTGTCCACGGGTGTAAAGGCTTACCCAGGTAACATGCTGATGCTAATGTATTCCAGGGCTTGGGTGGAGTTTACATGACTTAGCCCACCTCTTGTCGACCGGGGCAGTATACATATAATAACTCTTTATCCACACAACCTGATGGCCCGAAGACTAAATGATACTTAAGTAATGAATTGTATGAGGGAAGAGAGGCAGAAAGAGGAGAAGAAGGAGGAGAAGAAGGAGGAGAAGAAGGAGGAGAAGAAGGAGGAGAAGAAAGAGGAGAAGAAAGATCAGGTACTGTACAAGGGTCCCTCATTACACCCACTATGTACAAGAAACTGTTATTTGTATTTTTTTCTTTTTTTAAGAAGATTGTAGCTACTCGTAACCTCAGTCATCTTCAGGACCTGCCCCATTCATAACGGGGAGATCAATTTGCTGATCGAGATCACTTCGTATCATACTTAAGTATGGATGAACAAATTTGCATACACCCCAGCAAATTCACCAGCAGTAAACACATAATCTCCAGAGCTTCTTTGTCACACTAAGGGCTAAGCCAGGTAATCAATGGCCCTCATACTTAAGTAAAACAATCGAAATAAAAAGCCATGGAGCGAGAAGAGAACATTTTGAACTTGCAACAAGAGTCTGTCCCCGGCTTTCTAGAACCGAAATTCATCAACTAGCGCTTCTGTTCGTTCAGTTCTTTCAGCTGCTCTTTCAGTTCTTTCACCTCCTCTTTTATTCGATGAATTCGCCTCCACACTATCCAAAGCTTGGGGTGGATTAGCTAGGTTTCAGAATATAACCACATAGCTCATACCTCAATAATGCGACCTAGAGACACAAGTAGCGCAGTGAGCACAGCCCAAACAAGGATCGCCAGGCCAGTGTTCATGATGATGATGGAGGCAGGATAGAGATCAAGGGGTTCTGGCAGTCGGAAGGTAGGGACAAGGGCGAAATGTGAAGGTGTGCAGAGCAAATATCGGAGTTGGAACATTAAATTGATTAGTATGACTCAATATTTACCAGCAGCCCGAAGGATAGCCATGGCTTGCGGCCGTGTCCCAATTTGGACGACTCCCACACTGACACACAAATGAAACAAACTCGATTCGGCCGCGGACTACTATTGTAACTATGGAAAAGGAGATAGATTGCCAGCCTCCCCAGTGTGGTGGAGTCGTGTTTAAAATGATCAGCATGTGATTGCCCACGACAGTAAAAGATAGAGCGTTCTTATAGTTCTTCTCCTTCATCATACTGTAGGACTATGTGAAATGATCAGGAGAACTTTAGAAGGAGTGATAGAGAGCAATCGATCTATAAATGTGGAGACGGTTCGTTACCACGTGATATAGAACGGAGATCCACCTTCCCGATTAGGAAGTCATTGTGTGTATACGAAATACACAAGTTGCTTAGTTAAGGTCTATAAGCTGCCCCAGTAGCTGAGTTGATCAATACATTAGGGATTTAAATACCGCATGCTCTAAACCTCCCCTCTGGGTCCTAGGGAGCACCCGCTGGTCTTAACAGAGGCGCCCTAACAGGAAGGATTCATACGATTGAACCAAGGATATCTAAGTACCAAGTCCTCAGAATAGTCAAGCCAATGAGAAAAAGCCATCAAGCAAATCATAGCGATAATATGATATTGAGCAACAGGTAACCTTGAAAAAAAGTAAAAAGCTCCATTCGCCAATCCTTCATGCAAGCCGAACCCCAGGATAGCAAAAACAGAAGAATGAAATATTGCCCAGTAATTGGCGAAGCAAGCTTTGATACAATTGCATTTTTGCTGCCAAGCATTACGTGCAGATCAATAGTCCATAGAGTAGCCTCCTCGCGAAGCAGCCCCACCTCCATGAACGCCCCGACTATCATGCCCATCGTGCGAGTTCGTGTGATCATCCAAAGACTTGTACTGGTAGTAGTCTCCACGGCCACGGCCTCTGCCACGACCACGGGGATTGTTACCACGTCCACGCCCGGTGCCTCGGCCGCGGCCACGGTGACCTCCTCTTCCTCGTTGGTTTTCATCCTGGTAGCGCGGCTCTCCGCCTCGAAAGGTATGGTGATAATTGCCACGACCATGGGAAGGGGCTTCATGGCCAGCGTGTTGCGGTGTCCAATTGACCTCATCTTGGTCTTGCTGGAATCGTCGCTTCTGGGGCCTGTTCAAAGTGCGTTCTCCTGAACGGTAGTCTCCAGTCTCCTCAACACGCAAGACAACCTTTTCTCCAATCACGGTGTCAAAAGTCATAGCCTTGTCAGCAGGAAGGGGGTGCCAGTTTTGAATCTTGCCTGCATCGATGAGACGGGCACCTTTGCGAACAGCCAATACTACAATAGGCAGCGGGTTTTCTGTGTGGAATGGTTCGGTTCCTGGAATAGGTGCCACGCGGGCTGCCCAGATCTTGTTATCCAGGCTTCCAGTGCCGGTGACCTGCCACTTTAGTTTCTTTCCCATGCCTCCAATCTTGTCCAGGATGGAGCGGGATGCGGGACGGGGTGTGATTAGGATGCTGTTAGCCATGTATTTTAGGTCATTTGATTCAGCAAGCCCAGGAGGCAGCATTGGACCCAGCAAATTTTGAGTCATGTTGTTGGACACGTCTTGGGTAACCAGATACCCAGTGTAGAAGACAATCCGCTTGATCTGCAATCGGCCATTTCGGCTTTTGCTCTGGTTGAGTGTTGGGTTGCGCAACGCAAGATTATGGGAATTCACCATGCGTTGGATTTCGGCAGTCTCAGTAACAGGGTCCAGATATGTGCAACCTTCAGTTACTTGAATCACCTCCGACAGGATAGGCGTTCGTATGGAAGAAGCAGGTCCAACCTGAAGACTCCTGTTCAGAGACTCGAAGAAATCTCGGAATCCCTTGACGCTGTTTGCAAATTAATACCTCGGGACTTCACACACTGAATTCAGCTATCGTGAGACTCACTGCTTGACGCGGTCCTCGTAAACGCGAATTTCTTCTGCCTGTGCGTAAGTGAAAACAAGATCTTCGAGGAAAGCCTGTTTGAAGTTCATGGTGGTAGCGAAGCGTTGGCCATTTGGCCCAACCTCTGGCTTGAGACCAATAAGGTCAAATTCCAGGTCCTGACTTGCTACCATTCGTTTGATAGTCTCCGCGAATCCAGCTTCACTGCGGCCAGTCAGAAGAACTGTGAGGGCATCTTTCTGCGCCATGCTCATCTTGACTAAGCGGAGCTTGAAGAAGGTCAGTTGGTCGGCTCTAATCGTGCAGAACGAATTGGAGATCACACAATGTTGTCATTCCACCAGCCTTCCCATCCACGGATCTCTTCAGCCTCCAGGCCCTTTCCAGTGGCTCCAAGGATGTTGGGATCATGCCACCAACCACCAGTTGCGAAGCTGTCTTCGGTTTGTAAAAAGCCTACGGAAGAACCGTGCCATATTTGCGGGTTGGGCAAGGGGCTGAGAAACACTGATGCGCGTCATGGTCAGTTGTGAAACTTTGCTCCCGGGACTCGGTCGTTCTCACAGGTGTTATCGAAATCATAGACGTGAATCGCACGGATCTGGGAGACGGCTGATGGCATTGCTCGTGTCAGCCAAGCTGAAGCGGTATATAATTGGTCCTGGTTGATTCTCACCAGGTAGTTCCTTATTCACAATCGACCAGCGTCGCAAAGAGGTGATAGTATGGGGAGGTCGGTTGGCGACATGCGCTCCGCTTGTGTAAGACATGCTGGAAGCTCCGAGGCGGGCGAGTTTCTCTGAGACGACAGCTTTGGCAGACCTCATAATAGAAAAAGCAAGTCAATTAGCACATATTGCAGAAGAGCACAAGTAGTCTCAATTAAGAAAAAAAAAAGGAAGTCGAAAGTGCAGTGACGTTCGGAGTCGGCAAAAAAAAGGGAAGCGATGCTCGGGGAGGTTTTGCCGCCCGCCTAGAACGTGACTCAAGACACACCCCTTGTGCCCTCGCTGTTTGTATGGACAATGTCGACTTGCGACAGCAAATTCTCCAGCGGACTCTACAGGAGGTAGCAGAAGAGACAGTGGCTAACCCCTGTGTTATTTGCCTGGACACCATCACCGAGCCATGTGTGGCACAGCCATGTCAACATGCCAATTTCGACTTCATCTGCCTTCTTAGCTGGCTGGAGCAGCAGCAAAAGTGTCCCCTATGTACGTGGTCACCGCGACTCCTACAGATTACGCCTGGCTAACAATAGACTAGGCAAAACCAAACTGACAGCAGTCCAATACGAACTGAAAGCCCCGCAAGGCCCGAAGCTATACCAGCTCCCAACCCCGAGCTCAACCCCCGTAGCTCCACCGACAGCTCGACCACCACGAGGTCCCAGGAATGGTCCCCGCGGAGGCCGACGTCCTCCATGCCCGCCGCGACCACCCCCGGATGACCCGCTTGAGCGCCGGCGCAACGTCTATCGCAACCAGACATACTCCATGCGAGTCGGATCCAACCGCTTATCCCAGTATCGAGAACTGGCGCCAGAGCGCTTCAACAGAGACGAAGAGCTAGTCTCGCGCGCTCGGAAATGGATCCGCCGCGAGCTACGAGTCTTCGCGTTTTTGAATCCAGAGTCAGAGGAGGAAGAACGCACACCCCAGCAGGTTTCCCGTCCCGGAACTGATCGCCTGGAGAACCGCAGGGCCAATAATGCGGAATTCTTGCTCGAGTACATCATTGCCATCTTGCGCACGGTGGATCTCAAGGGAAGCGCCGGCCAGGCGGAGGAGTTATTGCGCGAATTCATCGGGCGGGAGAATGCCTGTCTCTTTCTGCATGAACTGCAAGCGTGGTTGAGAAGTCCTTATCGAAGCCTCGAGGACTGGGATCGCCATGTTCAATATGCGAATAGCCCGCGCGATACATCGGAGAGAGGACATCGGGCCACACCAGGCTCAGATCGTAGACCCATGCCCGCGAACAGGAGCAGAGGACAAGGTTCTCGACGGCCATATAGATCCCGGATGGAAGATCTGGTTGCTCGCTCCAGGCGGATACAACAAGCACAGCAACGATACAATCCATATTAATATGAAACAAGAGAAGCATGCTAGATATTAAAAAGGCACGAATAAACAAAAATGTATCATGTATTTCAAGTTGGACTCGCTATGAAAACTCCTAACAAATGCTTCTAGGCTAAAATCAATGCAGTCATCGTATCTTGAAGTGTCAAAGGATTTGCTTCAAATCTACCTCCGACGGAAGCGGCCTCTTCCCCTAGAAGAACCTCCCCGGTTGATGTTGACAGACCGGTAGTTTGCATGAGTCAGGGGGTTTACCTTCCGAGGACGAGGCTTCTTCTCCGAGGCCTCAGAGGTAGAGGTCTTTGGCGGTTTACCTAGAGTCGGCTGCTCTTTAGGTTTCGCAGCAGAAGATGAAACAGCTTCTTTGATTCGCTCCGAGAAACTCTTCGGCTTAGAAGCAGGTTTAGAACCCCCGAATTCAGGATCATCGTCCGAGTCATGGTCGTATTCTTCCTCGGTGTCAATTTCAGGCTCCGGCGTGGCATCAGCAGCGGCAGCTTCGGCCCGTTCAATGTCACTGGGAACATCATCCCATTCTTCTTCAGCAGGACGCACAATCTGTGTCTCGGGGACACCAGCAAGTTCGTCTTCACTGCCGGAATCCTCAACGGCAGTCGATTGGGGTACATTTGCCTTTGGTTTTGGTTGATGAACAACCGGTCTCATAATAACCCGTCGAGTCGTCCGCTTCTGACCCTTCTTCTTGTACTTTCGGTTGACGTCTGGCCCTTGGTCCTCGCCTTGCATTTTAGCTGCCTCTTCTGCTTCGGCCTCCTCTTCCATCTCGCGCATCACATCCCAGTCATCTTCCATGCGATCTTCCTCCATATCCCTTAGACCTTGAACCAAGTGAGACAGGCCTTTGCTGGCGAATCTTTGCGGCTTGCGCGACGCAATGGGGCTAAGACCAGGTCCATCCGGCCCTGCAGTGGGTGGAGGGTATCGACCGGAATTGGAGCGACGAAGAAAAGACGGCGTCCCCGATAGAGCTGGTGGTGACATTTGCGTAGGCATCCGCAAGTGATCGTCCTGTGCCTCCTTGTTATCTTCAGCCTCCACCATTGCTGCGTATCGCATGGTCGTCGGTGTCGCGAACAGATTCGCGAGGTAGAACTGTTTAGTTTCCGATGCGGGCGTTCGCGCCAGCCTTGGCGTTTCTTGCTGCGGCTCTTCTTCGGGAAGCTCTGGAATAGGTTCCACAGGCCTCTTTTTGGATGGTGTCCGGAAGGCCGCAGAGAGGTTATTCGTCTGCCTCTTGGCCATGGGCGTGTCACGACTCCCCCCGGATTCAGATAGCATATCGAACAAACCGAGAGTTTTTCCATCGCGCTGTGGCGTTGGGCCAATCGCAGTCTTCAGTGGGGATGGAGCAGGTAGTCCCTCGCGGTGTGCGGAAGGGCTGAAGAGCCTGCGCAATGTGTTTGGCGAGTCATAGGGATCGAGGTCTGCAGGATGAAGTCTAGTGCGATTGTTTGAGGGGGTTGCGAAAAGGCCTTTCGACGACTTGCGCGGTGTGGATTGCTGATATGCTTCTTGACCAGGTGGTGACGCATGTTTCCGCTTTTTGGAGTGGCTGTCCGAAGGTTCTTGCGGACGATTCTCACGTCGACGTAGAGATGCCTCTAGGGCTTTCAAACGACTGTACTCCTTGTACTTTGCGGCTGAAGTTCAGAAGGTGTCAGATCAGTCCCAAGCAATAGGTTAGAATTGGACCTACCGATCTCCGCGTTCTGTTTGATATCGTCGCGTCCTGCCTTCTTGCCCCCATTTGCGGAGGCAAAAGCCTTCTCCCAGACTTTCAATTCTGCGCGAACATTAGTCGCCTGCACAGCGACGTCTGCGCTGGAGTTCAGAACCTCTGACATGATATGTGTGAGAAGGTCAGTTGAAATCGCGCGACGCGCCGGAATTGACGCGACGTCACGCGTCATATGATTGGCCGAGAGATAGCCCTACATCCTCCCCTTCACATTCACCTATACTTCAAGGTTCGGACGGCATTGACCTTTACTCTGTACTTAGTGTTTCTTTTCAATTTCAGGTTTGATCCATATCTGTGTTTCTTTGACTACATGACTATTTGCCCATTAGCTTGTTCCCACTATGACGACGTGGTTCAAACCATCGTTAGGAACAGCGCTCATGATCAGCAAGATTTACAAGAGTCGTTGCCTGTTAGTTCCCGAGGTCTTGTGCTTAATGTGACTTCTTAACGGCCAAATCCTGGCGTAACCAGATGCCGTCTATTCCCAATTCGCTCCGGACATTCCTCCGCGGGCCGAGTCTGACATTTGTCTTGCCTACTCCGCAGGTGGCTTTCAGCTAGCACAAAATGCGGCTCAGCCCCCGGATTTGACTCTGTATGAAGAGATATGCTTCTTCAACCACAAAGCATCTCTTTGTTCATGACTAAAACAGAAGACCCTCCACCCGAGACCCATCACTTGCAACTATTTATCAGATCTGACCATGCCGTCAGGGAAATCTGTCTTCGATCAGGAGTTTGACGAAGTGGTGAAAGCAGAACTTCAAAAATGGAAAGTTCCAGGACTGAGCATCGCACTCGTTCAAAGCTCCCAAATCAATGCCAAGGTGAGTATGACGATTTCACTGGGACAACAAGTGCTCACCAAAGACAGGCATATGGGTTTGCAGCACTGGCGAAAGATACCGAGAGCCAAGAGTCACGCCAAATGACAACGGACGCCTTATTTGCAGCTTGTAGCACTACCAAAGCTTTCACGGCTGCCGCCACCTCAATAGCCATTCAAGACAGCCACGCTACCAAACATCCCATTCACTGGGACTCTCCATTGGCATCTTTGATCCCGGAAGAATTCGTTCTCACTGATGACTATGCAACTCAAAATGTGACATTGGAAGATGCTCTTTCTCATCGCACGGGAATTCCGGAGCATAATTGGACACTGGCCTTTTTGCCCAGAAAGGGCGCGACATTGAGCTCAGCGGTTCGTATGATGCGATATATGCCTCTCGCAACACCATTGCGCAGCAAATATCATTACAGTAATCACATGTATATCGCCGTGTCACATGCACTGGAGCGATACACTGGGACCCCGCTGGGTGATTTCATGAGGAATCGCATTTGGGCGCCTCTCGGAATGAATGATACATACTTTGGGGCCGCTGAAGCAAAGAAAGACCAAGCAAGTGCAGCAAGACTTGTTCAAGGATATGATTGGGTTCCCACAGAACACGGTGGCGACTTCATCCCCCGACCAAAGAACGATTGGCCAGCCAACAGTGGTGCTGGAGCCGTGTACAGTAATGTACTTGACTATGCGCACTGGGCGAAAGAGCTCATTGATATGGAAGGTCCTTTAAAGGGGCATGAATCCTTGATCGATCCACGAACCATTCATTTCGAAAACGGAGACGTGAACTTGCCTGGCCCGTTTCATGCGTACGCGCTAGGATGGTTCGTGGACAACTATCGAGGCCATCATCTTTATAGCCATTCTGGCGGATGGCCTGGATATGGTAGCTGCGTTGGTTTTGTTCCCAGCAAGAAGTTCGGTTTCGTGATCATGGGGAATTCCTCATCGGCACGATATGCTGCATTCAGGCTCTTCATGTATCTTCTGGATAGACACCTTCAGCTCCCAACTGACCCGGTTTACGAAGAACAAATCGAAAATGTCATATCTAGACAGGAGAAAGAGTGGGAAGCAAGATTCACCAACGAGAAACCCGAAATATCAAAGGCACGACTTTTCCCTAGGTTGCCGGATCCACCAATTCCCCATACCTTACCTTTGTCTAAGTACGCTGGGTCTTATCATCATCCAGGAGAATTTGATATCGTACTCAAGATTGAGTCAGGTTGCCTGTCAGCGGATTTACAAGATCGGGTCATACCCTGCGAGCTGTCTCTAGCCCACGCAAGCGGGGAGTTCTTCGTTGGCACCATTCAGCGCACAGGGTTGAACTTGTTACCGCCATTCTTGGTCGAGTTTCGTTTGGATGAGGCTGGTTTGGTGGCAAAAGTCGGTTTATTACTGGAGCCTGATGTCAAAGGAGAGAAAGTCTGGTTCGATCATGTTGAGTTATGAGCATAAAACTTGACCTGTGCATAACAGAGGGGGGCCTATATATTATAACATGGTAGGATTAGTCTATGAGATATGGTAGTGGCGTGGTTGTAATTTCTCATAAGTTGATTGTATGAAAAAAAAAATTGAATTTCTTGCATCAGCTTCTATTACTTTGCCAATTTCATTCTCTTCCTCTCTCCTCTCTCCTCTATCTTTCCTCATTTTCCATTTACTTCTTTTTTTTTTTCTACTTCGCCAACACACTCCCTACTCAGGACATCAAAGCCATGGAATTCTCACGCTTCATCACCCAAGGCCCCATCTCCATCTGCCTTGGGAACGGAAATCACACCTCCCACTTTGATCCACAATCCTCCACAGCATGTCTTGCTTCTGATATCGGGGCAAACATCCGACGAGGTCTTCTTCTGTTTTTCCTACGCCAGTGAGCGAATTCAGGCGGCCCTTGCTCTCAGCCACAGGAAGATTTCCAATGCTCTTTCAGATCTTCTGATTGTTTTTATTCCCTTTCTGCGGACCCGGATGGTCCGCTGTGTTCATGGCCAAGATTTCTCTCCCTCTAGCAGCCTGTGGAAAAAGACTTGAACTCCTACGGCACCTTGAAAGGGATACTCCGGAGTACTACATCTGCTATCGATGCTTTGAGCTTCACAAGTGGGGGAATGACGGTTTCTTCGACATATCCGGGCATGGTTCGGACTACCGATGCTCTCTACCTTGCGCAGACCCAACGGGATTCAAATATCCGTTGGACCTTGAAATTCACTCATCGAAGCCACATTGCTGCTGGGACCTCTACCGCTACAGAATAAAATCTCTCCACGTACAGCTCTCCTTGTGGCGTTTCAACTATGGCCCTTCCTTCGGCATACCGACAGAGTCCCTGGCATATACCGCACCTATCCCCGCCGCTCCAGGCACTGAGCCCCAGCCCGAGCCCGCTCCCAAGAAGGAGCCCGTAAACCCTCCATTCATGGCAATTATGACCCCACCGCCGACTACGCGCGCCAATACGAAGAACAGTCCGAGAAGACCCAGAGGATAAAGCTCCGAAGGAATTGTCAATGCAAAATTTGACATCAGCAAACTTGTCATTGTTGTGCAATGACAAATATGATGCCCAGATGAAACCCGTCAAGTGCAAAACGTATCCCCGAGAAATTCTGCCATCATTCAACATGCAGCGACTAGCAATATGAGAATAAATGAGCGTTGAGCCTCGATGTCTGACGGCTCTAGTTTCCACGGGACTCTCATGGATTTAGTTCAATCTAAGCGTCTTTCTACTTGTGCCACTGCCTCTTTCTTTAAACCTCAATATTCATTTGCTTGGTTGCTCCTACATAAATCTTCCACTTGCTTTCTCTTGAATAAGGCTGGATCAATGGCAAGAGTCGGTCACTATTGGAGCTTGATGTCAAAGGAGATCCGGTTTGATCGGATTGAGTTCTGAGGATCTTAACTAGATTCGTGCCTTCGAACTTTGTGCAGAAAATATCTAAAAGACCCAGAAAGACGTTCTGTGTAGCTGACTCTCCGTATTGAAGAGAATGACTAGCAATACTGTCAGAGTTTAGTTAGTGGGTTGTGATTTGTTTCTCAAGTTTATGTTGATCATGTGGAAAAAGTCAAACTTCTTGCGCTGGCTTCTGGCATTTGCCCTATTTCCTTCCCTTCCTCTCTCTTCTCTCACTTTTCACTTCTCATTTCTCACCTCTCGCCTCTCGTCTCTCATCTTTTATCCCTCATCTCTCACCTCTCACCTCCTTCTCACCTCTTACTTTTCTCTTCGCACCTCTCCCATCCCACATCTCTTCTCTCGTCTCTATTCTTACCCATTGTTAGTCCCCTTCCCCTCTTCTACTTCTCTGAGAAACCTCTACCTCGGGCAGCTGGGATATACACCCTCGGGACATCTGAGCCATGGAATCTCACGCCTCATCACCCAGGGCAGAGGAACATCCTCGTCGCACTGTGGTCTCAATACAAGTGCCGGACTCTCCTATTCCTCGGTAACAGATCCCTGAGACCTCGTGAGAGCTCCAAAACCGCCCAGTGTGGAAATGGAAATGGTGGATTGCTCCCCATTATGGGTTGAGCGCCCGTTAGAGGCCCGACCCACATAAGGTCCGGAATCCTATTCTACCCTGTACGACAATACCAGAATCATGGTCATACATGGGCTGTGTGCCGCATTACTTGTCGAGGTATATACTCTTCCATTCTCTATACAATTTTACTAATCCCTTGTTACAGGCAATGAAGCTTTACGCCAGCTTTGCTTTATCCCTCTGCAACGTGAGAGTCGGACATAGCATTGCTATGAATTTGCTATTCACGTGGATACCCAATACCAACCTGCCATCACTGTGGCCAAGCTACATATTATATTCCGATGGCGGACATTGACTCTATGGCCCTCGCCCCAGTCGAAATTGCTCGGACCATTGCTGGGCCGGAAGTTGAAATGGAGGGCACCGATCCTCATCCTTCGGGGACCGATCATCATCCAGCTGGCCGTGCCTTCTGCGGCTGGGCCTTCGGATCCAAGGATCGCTCTGGTGCAGAGCGCTCCAAATGCTATGCCAGTCCAATAACCATCGGAAATGGACATCGAGATCGAGATTGGCTTCAAGAAACGGCGAAGCGAAAGAGTCAATGGGTGGTTATCTCCCAGAAGCCAGCAGAAGATCGGGAAGATTCCATCTGCCGTTGAACTTTGAGCCTTGTGGCTTTGGCTGTTGAGGACTCAGGGGAGATGAATCAAGCTGCGATCTCTCTTTCAAGCTAAAATATGAGGATACGGATAGGTGGTAGGAATTCTATCGGCGTGAGAGACAGCAAGGCAATGTGGAACGGAGGTGAAGGGCCATGGAAGTTGCCAGGTTACCGTGATGGTGGGCTCTGATACTGACACGGAGAAATCGAGAAAGTCCGTTAACTATCTTCTGGCAAGATAGGGCAAGGCCAAAAGTACACGAGGACCAAGCCAAGGGCTCGTATAGCCCTGAGAAGACAAGACGAATTCCTAGTTAGTCATGGACAGGATTTTCAGAATAAAGTCAACTAAGGCCAGAACGGAAGTTTCAGATATTTCTCCTGCGGAGCTCGTGTTTAAGTGGATATTTGTGGATCAAAGATCGTATTGTTTGATTTGGTGTGGTCGATCCCCGACGATCCTGCCAGCGCCCTTGACATTCGCCAGGAACAATACCAGATATTTGGACTCTTCCAGGGTTTGTAATGATTTTTGCAAGTAAATAGTGCAAAAGCTGAGGATTCAAGGTACATGACCTTCAAGTAATCTAGTGGAAAGATATTTTTTACGTGGAGTTCGTCCAAGAAAAGAATACCAAACTTGCTTTCTGGATACGAGATGTGCCACTAAAATATGGGGGTCCGTTGATTTTTAGCCTCAACTCCTTCTCGGAATCCACAGTGATAGGCTCTAGGGTGTGCTTCTGCCTTTCGTTTCGAGATTTTGCGTTCCAATTAAGTACAAGAAATAAATAGATGCCCAGGTGGGCTATGGCACTTCGTTCTCTAGTGCTTTAAAAGCCCAGTGAGACCCCTATACTTCACATCAGTCACTCGTTTCCCATTTTCTTTCATTTAATTTTTCTTCCTCCGGCACTTGAATAAATTTCTCCGCCCAGGAACTATTCTCTATCATGTCAACAGCCCCAGGAGCCCCGCGGCCATCAAGGCTCAACAAATGGTGGCCTATTGGCTTTTTCATCGGCGCCGTCGTCTGCTTCATCATTGGAGGTGCTCTCGTAGGCACATGGGTATCCAACTCCTACGACGACTGCTCCTACAGCAACTCCAGTTCCTACTACAGCTCCTACTATTCGGACTACTCATGCATCAGCACCAACATGGGCCAATTCTACGGCGCAATCGCCCTATTTGTGATCGGCGGCGTCCTCAAGCTCACAGCTTGGATTCTTCTCATCATCTTCTGCATCAAGCGCAACCGATTGAACCGCCATACTGTCACATACGTCAACTCTCCTCCCGTTCAGCAGACACAGCCTTTCACCCAGCCCTACGCTGCTCCTCAGCCCACCTACGCTCCTCCTCACCAGACTGCTCAGTTCACTGGACCTCCGGCATCCCCCGATATGGTCCATTCCGGTATGGCAGGCTCGTCTATGGCGGGTACACCACCTCCAAAGGAGGCTAGTGCCACGGCAACTGGCTTCAAGTACTGTGGCCAGTGTGGAACTGCTGTTTCCAGTCGTTTCTGCCCTCAGTGTGGCTCCCAGAGCTGAGGCTCAAGATTTCGTTGATGCATTGGTGAATGCAGAGACTATTTCGGCTTTGAACTTTGGGGCAGAGAGGTTGACAAGTGTCAGCATAAAATGTGGGCAAATTTGGAATGCCCTGTGAAGTTTACTCAAGACGGTTCGGAACTAAATTACAACCACTTGCCATACATTTATAATATAATGGTTTTGTTTCAATAATTGTAAAGCTAGAGCTGTAATTCTTCTGGGCTAAAAATAAGGTAGCAAATATGGGGGGGGGGGGGGCAACCATCAGATTGAAGATCCAATCTAGAAACGATGATCGCACAGATCGAGAGCTGATCTGAAAGTTAGATTCCCTCGCCATGTGCCTCGCACGTTGCATGCAAAACGATGCGAATATGGCGAGAGCCAAGTCTAGCTTTTTCTTTGTGAGCCAAAAGCGCCGATATTTTCACCGTATTCTTGATTTGCCGCCCGTTCATGGGCAGCAAAGCAAGATGATAGTAGGTATCATCCGTCATCGTTTCATCGCGCTCTAGCTGAGAGGTGAACTGCCTCCAGATCTGCCTCTTTGCATCCAACTCAAGCTCTGGATAGTGGAGCGTGAGATGAATTCTGCTCTGAAAAGCGCTGTCGATGCTGCTCGCGCGGTTGGTTGTCATGAACATGATACCGCGATAGTATTCAAGTAATCTTATGTGACAGTCAGTATTAAACGTAAGATTTAATGTGGAAATTAAGTTTGACAGACCTCAGAAAGACTGCGACAATCTCGTTGTGTGCCATGTTGCTAGTTGATCGCTCTTGCAGGAAAACATCGCATTCATCGAAGAGCACAATAGCATCCCATTTCTGGGTGAGCTCCAAGATCTCACTGAGACGATCTTCCACGGTGGTGGCATCCTGGCCCAACTCTCCAGCACTCAGCACGTAAAGAGGCTTCTTGACCTTGTCTGCAACGGCCTCGGCGGTCAAGGTCTTGCCGGTGCCAGGTGTACCAACAAGCAACACGATCATCCCCATTCCCTTTCCTTGAATGATATCATCAAAAGCAAGGGTGCTGTCACTTTTGGCTTCAACAAATGACAGAATCAAGTTCTGGAAACCTTCAGGGAGGATGAGCTGTGGAAAAGCGTGTTCATTCCACGCGATGTCACTGATATTGTTCACCTCGAAGTGGACCCAGCGCTTTAGCTTCAATGAATATCCTCGCAAGCGTGTTGTACAAAGTAGGAGTTGTTCGTCTGTGAGTTCGGAAGCTAAATCAAGTATTTTGTTAGCCCAATTCTCGGCGATAAAGCACATCATTGCTCAAAGTGAGATCACTTGCAAGGCTCGGCATCCTTCATTTCCACCAGAGACTCCGCATTTTGGACGTTTATATGCCTGATCCTCTCTGGATCTCTTTCTGGAATTCGACCTTCATACATTTGTGTCCTAGCGGTGCCGGCACCCCAGATATTCTCGAAATGGTGGTCTTCATTGAGGTCTATTTTTGGTGCGATTGAATCGGAGCCCAGGCCACTCAGGGACGGTCGTTCGTGGGGGTTTGCGTTGAAATATGACAAAGCGTCCACAATGACGCGTCCATCAATCTGAATATGCCACTGTTAGTAGGGGAGAAGAAAGATGATATGGTGCTGATACATTTCGCTCGAAATCCCTTCCACCAATCCGAGTCCATACAGACCCCGAGTATGCCTTGTATTGAAAACCGCACAGCCTCTGAAATTCTCGACCACGGTTGATGGCTTTGGCTCGAGCCTCGTCTTGGGCCGGGTGAAGACGTGCTGGGTATGCACTCAAACTAGTCAAAGATTGGGTCCCGTCGTACTGGGGGATGTTGACTATCGATTTCGCGTAGCCAAACCCCTTCCCATCCCAGTCCACGAAGTTGACAATGATGGTAATATATCTGTTCCCTGGATTGTAATGACAGCTCTCGACGATATAGAACCGCTCTTGCTCCCCTTCGGGGGCGACGATGAGAGCACCAGGTTCAAAGAGGGCCCAGAGCAAGTTGTATGTGATAACGCCATGGTGGAGGTGATCTTTGATTTCGGACATGACATCACCCAGCTCCTTTTTCAGTTCGTCATAGAGAAGGACAGAATAAGCCGCGGCTTCATCATTGTCGCGCTTTTGGCGCTCGACGATTTCCGTAAAAGCTCCCCAACGATGGTAAAAGGGTCGGCAGGGCGACCTGAACACAACTTTCTGCAATGATGGTGTGATACCCTTATATCCCTCGAAAACCTCTCCCAAAGTCTCTTTCAAAGATGTGCTTTGCACCACGATGGAGTCGAGAATTAAGGGCCTGCCCTCATCGTGGCCCTTTCGCATGCGTTTGATGAAGGCTTTCTGTTTGATCACCGCCTGCTCCTCGACTGATTCACCCAGGTCTTGGGGATACTGCTCTACCCAGTTCTTACAGCACGGACACTTGGGAGGACCTTCGTAGAGGGTCTGTATGGCACATTCCAATCCATCAGATGGCTGTTGCTGAGGGGTATTTGAGGAAGTCGATTTGGAATCGCCTGTATCGAAAGGGATTCCGAGGTCATCTGAGAGCTCGTTGCTGATGCCGGACATGGCTAGACCGTGAGGGGATGACATCGACCTCAGTCTGGATCTGCGGTATGGCAACGATTCAAGAGTGAGCGGGTCTATTTGACTGAGAATATGCAACAAAAGTAATGAAGTTCTGTTACGGAGAGTGGAGAGAAGAGAAAGAAGGAGGGAGGGGGAAAGAGCAAACACTTATTTATACATTCTGGGTCTGAACCCTGATATGGGGCATCTCAACACTACCACGGTGTTTCCCGGTAAAGCGGGATACCTTGGGTCGATGATATCCATATGGGTTGTAACTAGGCAGTGTCTACAGGGTTTGGCGCCTTGATATACTCTTAACCCGAACCCGAACCCGAGCCCGTTCCACAGATTGGGCTCGAAATATGAATACGAATATTCGTTACCCCCTATATTTGGAGCTTGATATTTTTCTTTGTCAACTTTCGATGATTAAGACTGTTGCACAAATTTTTCCAATCTCTGGTCTGTGAATAAATGAGCTTTCGATGAATCTGGTCACGATGTTGAACTAGGGGCCGAGGAAACAGAAGCACATACAGTGAGACCTCTGATTTTTAACACCCCCAAGGACCTAAATTCCTACCGCATACCATTTACAGCTACACCGCCTAGTTGTAGGCACCTGAAAAGAGATCTGAAAAGAGATCTGAAAAGAGATCTGAAAAGAGATCTGAGAATCTGTCTAGACCTATATTCCTAGCATTTGAGTCGCTTCAGAAGACTTTATTTTATTCTTCTCTTATAGTCTTATTGCGGAGCGTAGCGGAGCAATTATTTCATAGTTCCCCCTGATCACGTGATCTTGATATATATTGGGTCCCAAATCACAGGAAAAACAGCTTTTGAGATGTAGTAGCCGGTGCGAAATGGCAGAATGATAGGTTGCTGCCCACTAGTCCCGATTCGGCCACAACCTCACATTCTGGCCAATCATATGCCCCAAAACACTTAAAGGAAAGAAAAGGAAGGTGCACTAAGCGCCACGCTCCGCAAAGGCCAAATGCCCTCCTCCCTAGGGTCCTGCTATCTGGGGACCAAAGGTCCCCAAGTCCCTAGTAAGTTAGGATCAATTGCACTGGATAGTAGTGAGTTCGAGGTTTTGTACGGCAGTGTGTTATGTAATGATGGGGTGTGCCCAGGTGGGTCTAGGGATGCTAATACTTTGGAGGTCTCACTGTAACTTGGTCTCAGACTCTCAGCTATAAGCTCTTGAAAAGTCAAGTTAGTTGAAGTTTCAATTCATGAATGACCGTGGAGCTCAACTGGGCAACTTATTGCATCTGTAGTACACCCATTATCGTATTAAAAGCACAACCCATGACTTGACTCCAATTGATGGAGACGACGGAGGATATGAGGCTGATGACGGCAGGCAAGTGGGGCCTCGGGCACTGCCACTGTGGCCGATGCGGCTCATCAACAAAACGTGACTCCTTGTTGATCCCACGTACCAAGTGAGCCACTTCTCCAAAGCCAAATTGAACTTGAATTTTTTTCCACCATTCATTCTTGAGATCTCTCGTCTGTCTCATTGGCGATCTTTCACATAAAGAACCGACATATTCTGGTCTGTGCTTCCAAGGTTGAGGCCTTTCCCCTCTTGACCTCCGACCTATCATTCCAGCTCCCCAAGACAAACAAGTTTGCTGCAGTTGCTTTGCAACTTATCGAGATGAAACTGCTTGACTTGCCCCATGAGTTGCTTCTGAGCATATGGGAGGCTACTGAGACAGAGTCGGACATGTTCGCGCTAGCAAGAACATGCCACTATCTTTATGATGACCTAGGCCCCAGATTCTATCGTCGCCTGGTCCATGGATCAGATCTGTCTCGCCGAAGAGCAGTAAATTGGGCTGCACAGCAATCATCACCGATCCCAATGCAAAAGCTTCTTGACGCAGGCGTGAATAGCTCCCACCAGAACGAAGTTTATCCGGTGTGCACTGCAACCAGACATACTCAGCTAGAAGTGATCAAACTTCTCCTCCAGCATGGCTTTAATGTGAATGAAATCGAGCCAGAGGGATCTGAGATGGTGCAAAATGTTTGCCCTTTGTGGCTTGCTGCATTTCATGATCAACCAGAACTCACCAAAGTACTGCTTGAAGCTGGCGCAAATGTAGAGGGTGCCGCTCATGGTGCCGCTCACGGTATCCCTGGTGGTACCCCTCGAGCGAAGACAGCTTTATCGGTGGCAATATCCCATGGAAATGCCCAGGTCGCGGGCCTTTTACTCGAATGGGGCGCTTCTACCGACATCATAATGGATGAAGGGTGGACACCTATGCAGTGGTCAGCGAGATATGGAGAGAGTGAGATGATCAAACATCTTATCAAGAGAAATGTTTCGCTCGACCATGGGTCAATCATTGTTCCTCTGGCATTGGCAGCACGTAGATGTCAAGAAGAGATAGTCGCACAGCTAATTGAGGCCGGTGCTGATATCGAAGCTGTGAACAATCGTGGTGAAAATGCTCTCCATGAGGCCGCGGCGTATGGACATGAATCTCTCACAGCCTTTCTATTGTCGAAGGGGGCCAGAGTTGACGTCCAAGACTCGAACCATTTGACCGCGCTATCGCGATCTGTCGGGAACAAATACCCCAACCCTAGAGTGATCCAAATACTCATTGACGCTGGCTCGAATATCGAGCAAAGAGATGCTCGTGGAAGAACACAGCTTGCGCTTGCTGCCACGCGTGGAACCCATGTTGGCATCAGGATTTTGCTGGAGAATGGCGCAGATCCGACCTCAGTGGATCTCGATGGATACACTGCTCTTGCACACGCTGCTCAGCATGGACACTCACTCAATGTTCTTGAATTCTTCACTTGGAATGAATCGGCCAAGGGGACCAACCAAGATTCTCTTGCGTCTTCGGGCAAAGGCTGGACATCCGCGAGCTTCATTGATATCCCCGACAATCGGATTCGCACGCCGCTCTTTCTTGCGACTCTTTACGGACAAGAGGAATCTGTTCGCATACTTGTTAGCAGAGGCGCTTCCCTGGACATTGCAACTTGCGCCGGTCGAACCCCCTTGTCTTTTGCCAATGATACCAAGGATCAAGTTTCCGAGATCGAAAATGACATTATGCGGCGTATTTGGATATGGCTATCTCGGCCCTCGGAGATCACACTTGACATGGAACGCATCAAAAACTCTTCTAAAAAGACCTGGAGAGACGAGGTTACGAGGATGGAATGCGACTGGTGTTTGAAGCCCGCTAGCGAGTACGACACAGTCCTGCATTGTGAAATTTGCAATGACGGAGACTTTGACATAGATCTGGAATGCTTTTACGCTGGTGGGGGTTGTCATGACAGGAGTCATACTTTTGAAAAAATCCGCCAGGTGAATGAAGAGTATGTTTCTACATCTGATGAAATGATCGAGCAGCCCCTTGTCGGTCTTCCTATCCGAGAACATATTCTTAACCCCAGGGGTGGGTTAGCTGCTTAGCATACACCCGTGGAGTCCAAGAACCCAGGAGGAAGGGGGGGGGGGGGGGGGGGGGGAGGGGGAATTTTAGGATGAAAAACACAAAAAAAAAAAAAAAAAGCCGAAAAGGGGATTTTTTAAAAATAAAAGGATAATATGGGGGGT